AATTCTTTACACAAAAAAGCTTGCAAATAGTCAAGTCACAGGAGAATTTGTCAGATTTCCCAGGATAACTATTACTGTCAGATCTTTTATAAATGATTACCGTCTGACATGGTGTTGCTACCTTACGTGTTCTGAACAAGTGTTAGAACATACTTGCAGAATATATTGTCGACTGCGAAACTGAAACCATACCATTAAAACCAGCAAAATTGATTTCTTCGTATCTCTATATCTCTATTTAAACATCTGACATCATAGTTACAAATTGTTGGGATCTAAATAAGCTAAAATTAGTGTAATTTGTTCAACTCTTCCTCATGAGAGATTAAAACCTAAAATTGGTTATTCGCACCAAAATACATGTATCAATATTTAATTTCCATATTTGTCGGCCTATTGACAAAGCTTTTGTATAATTGAATATAGGAATTAAGATTGCCTAAGGTCCTTTGTACAGTGTCTATGTATATGTTTAGAGAGACTTTGTTCTGGATAATCCTTAAATTCAAGAACTATTGTCTATGGATGCAGATAACATCAATGTTGTGTTATATTATCCTTTTGATGACATTCCTTGAGCTGTTGTCACTTTACAACTAAAACATATTCATGTAATCAAATATTTCTATTTTCACAGTGCTTGTATTTCCAGAGGACAAGGTAATGGCCATCATGTTCTCTTTCATAAGAATATAATGCTAACTTGTTGAGGAAAATTTCATACATTCTTAACATTATTTATATATGACTAACATCAAACTTCTTTGAATACAAATTCCTCAGAAGAATTTACTTTTGGATAACTGACAAAATTGAACAGTGTTATCCAATTATTTCCTTCCAGGATTCATATCTTTGTTATAACCCAGGAGTACATTTTATGTTTATAGTAAAAAGGCTTATGATACAGTATAATATTCTAAACCTCTAAATATGGGGAATTATACCTATATATGGTAATATGGGTAAAGGGTAATGGGTTTATTATATTATCATGTCAAAGTTCACATTGACATATCCTTCCTCTTGTATCAAGGCCTACCTAATATACCCCTCCCACATTCTCTGGCTAGGATACTGGGAGGTGGGGTAGGTAGGGGGTGGAGCCTTTATGCAAAACAACTCCCCAGCATTAACACAAATATCTGGGCACTGTAGAGCCTTTACTAGCTTCAGATAAAGAAAAGGGATTTAGGTAAACCTCAACGAGCTGATCATAAACTGATCGCTTACTTTATGTGCAGTTTAGAACTTTTGAAAAAGGATCAAGTCGTATTGTTCAAAAAAAGTAAAAAGAATTTTGCACTTGGTTGAAGAAATCCTGAGAGTGCATTCAGCCTTTGATGTTTCAGAGAATGAAATATTAACATTTTAGAGGTACCAACTTTTTTGGAACAGTATAATGAAATTGCAAGTCAAATATGTACTGTACATGCAAATTATCTTAGGATTATACCTAGTCTATTCACAGAAAAAAATGAAAGATCCCATGAGAAAATCTCGAAATAACATATCTATAAAAATATATTATAATCCTAACCCCTGAGGTAACACTGACACACTTCAAACAAAACACAACAAAAAGAATCGAGAACTATACAAATTATTATACAAGACATTTTTAGTAAGTCAAATGAAAAATCTCATAAATACATGAAGAATGTCTTCACTTACAATAAGCCATCCTATGTGAGAACCTCCGGGATAAGTATAATCCAATATACGAACAAATGTTGAAGAAATATAAGCTACAGGATATTATTATGTGAAATCGATTGTGATTTTGTTTACTTCGTTTTAAATCTCTTACTGCAAAGTCAGACAGTATAGACTACATTCGGTGGACCAGGTATAGCTTTCATAATAAAAGTCTCACAGAAACCTAACCACTGATTTTTAATGATTGTAGGTTATAGACCATGAAATTAAAAGTACAATGCCATTGAACTTTCTGGAAATGTTCACCTTTCCTTGCTATGGGAGTCGGAAGCAACTTATCTTAATGCTTACCTAATGTTACATTTGGTTATAAAATCTGCCATGTGAAGAAATTTATTCGCCCATCATTCTGCCTCCTACAAGCTTTCCACCTCGAAATCGTGGGTGATTTTGAGTTCAAGGTGAATACTGAACATGGATTTATTTTCTCAGGGATGTATAATGCATTAACGCAACCAAAGTCATTACGACTCCAAGAAAGCCCATAAGACGTCAGCTTCCTTTTGAGAAAATTGGCCCTTTTTCAGGTCTCATAATTTCTCATATGACTGACTTTTTATCAAATGTTTATCAATTCTGGCTCTAATTGTCTTATGTACAGGACAGTGCCTATGGCAAGAGGATGGGACGAAAAAATGAAAATTCTCAAGAATCAAATATACGAGCCAAATTAAATATAAGCATGGAGATGAGTACGGGCATTCTAAAATGTAGACAATTAAATATTCTCACAAAGTGATTCCATTTTAGATTCCCAGGTACAGTCTGGAACTCTTGCATATTTATGCACCAAACAAATTATTTTTTATACTAAGTGAAATGAAAAACAGCATTACTGATGAAGATGGTAAACAGAAGCCATAAGAGTTCTTAATCCTCGAGTGCATGACACTAACAACTTCTCATTAAGATAACATGTTCCAATTCTAATAAATCCTAAACAACAATTAAGATATAAACAGATTTCCATCTATTAGGTTTTTATACACCTTGAATATAAGAGTTGAACCCTAATTGTCCTGCTCCCTGTTAGAGCCAGAGAGGCATGTATTACTAGATATGTACCTATACATAGACTTACCATCAAAATTTACCATCAAACAATAAATTAAACATTTTAAGATTCAGAAGATTCAGAATACAATATAATTTTCACCTACCTACAGAATCAGTCTCTTCATTGAGACTATAAAAACTGGTCATCCTTAAACGAAATTGTTGATATTTGTTCTAAAAAGGTATTTCTTCACAAAAGAAATCATATCTAAAGCTTGTCATAATTTGTTTGCATTTCAAAGTTACATCAAACAGGAAAGTATTTTGAGAATGTTTAAGCAAACTGAATCCCCTTTATCTGAAAGATTTTGAGCATGTGCGACCTTCAAAAGTCACCTGTTTCAATTCAAGAAGGTACATATATTTACAAAGCTAGAGAAAACGGTCCTAAGCCCAGGTGATTAAACAATATGATGCTGAAGCAATACATTATTTGATTTGTTAGAACCATAATTATGTGTGGCAGTTTTCAAGTTTTTTATCATCTCTAAAAAACATTATGATCCTTTGCATTTGTTATTCAAGCGGCAGAAGAAGTTATAACAAAAAACGATTGTTCTTTAATATAAGTTTGGTAAATCATTAAAAATTATGCTTTGTATCAAAAAAGATATTGCCTACCTTATTTGAGAACTCTCAAGTTTGAAAAATACATGAACATAAAATAATAACTAAACTACATATTTCTACTAGCTCTTAACAGTGCAAAACTGCGAATAAATTACATTTAATTGTAATGACTGTGAGCACAACTGTTATCAACAATAATCATGAAACTAATACAATACAGGTAGGATAAAGTCGTCAACAGGTAAGTTCAGGTAAAATACAACCCATGGACAGCTGTTACAGTAACCTGGATAAAGAGTTGGCCACAATCACAATGTTACAATCTACCAGGGCTAAAGCTAAGTACCTAAACAAGGCAACTACATTCAGTGATCTCCTAAGTATTTTCTCAACAGAGTATTACCTGAATTTTACATGTTTTGGTCAAAATTTGTCTTTGGTGCATTATTTCTGAACTTGTCAAATATGTCCACAACGCATTACTTTTATATCTTTTGGTCAAAATATGTCTTCAAATGCAATAGTTCTGAACCGAAATGTCACATGCTTCAGTCAAAATATGTCTCCAATGCATGAGTTCTCAACCGAAATGTTACATGTTTCAGTCAAAATATGTCTTCAATCGAGGTCTGAACCGATATGTCACATGTTTCAGTCAAAATGTGTCTTCAATCGAGGTCTGAACCGAAATGTCACATGTTTCTGTCAAAATATGTCTTCAAATGCTAAGTTCTTCTATGCATTAGTTTCTTGAATGTTGGGAAATGCTGATACCCCAGGTCTGATGCCCAGATGATGTCACCCATACAAGCTAGAAAACCATCCATAGTCAAATTGCCTTAATAAAATTAGCTCTGGTCTGATCACTCTTCTATGCTTGTAAACAAGACTATATATGTACTGAAAAGTACTATATGAGTTCAGTGCAAGCTGATGTTGATGTGGAAAGTCATAGCAAAAAACAACTAAGATGCCATCTTTACTATCATAATATTCCTATCTTATAGTATTATTTACATCTCCACATGTTTTACTTCTACTGATATTGCAATAAACAAAATACACCTCATGCCTTTGAACTCCTTGTCAGTTTATATATTCTTGTTTTTCTTATCAGTGATCTCCCCAGCATTAAAGCAAGTGGGCGCAGCACCCACCTGAAACTTTGAAAATAGGATTGCACCCACCTGAAAATCCATTTGCACCCACTTGAAAATGAGAAAAATAATGAAAAATGGGCATGTTTTAACCAATTTTGGTCTGAATTATGAAAATGAGAATTTTGCACCCACTTGAGAAAAAAATCCTGTAGAGATCACTGCTTAAGTTGCCTATTACAACCTTAACATCACTTGCTTTATTTGCAATCACGAGCAGTCTTTTAATTAAATTACCATATCCTTTTTTGACCAGTGACATAAAATATCCTGAATATATTTTCATGTAGCTACTGATTAGATTATACAGAAACTGCTATGCTACAATCAAACTGGTTGATATTTGATATTTAAAAACAATCAATTGCACAAGAATCATACAACCTAATTAACTTCTAAATCTGCTCTATAAACATAACTGCAGAAAAAATAATATTTATCCTGCATCAAGTCAATATAGAGACTCTCCCTCTGCTAATGTATTAAAAGACCACTTACTTGAACTTTTCTTCTCAGCCATATTGCTTTGAATGTGATTTCTTCTATCTAAGCAGCTTGCACAACTAAATCACCATTATTCTGAAAATAAACAAAACTATGATTTTATACCAGTGTAGGACTCTTATATCAAATAGACCATACATCAACAGTATTAGCTTGATATTGCAGAACACTTCTAGTGTGGGAACATATATTGATATATTTGACTGGCTAGTATTAAACTAGTTCAATATGCCCCGCCTCTGACGGCTATTTCAAAAAAAAATAGCAATATGTATGATGCGACATCTATCTAAACATTACATTAAAGACAATTTGCAAGCAAATAACCATTAAATATTCCATAGAATTTTATCTCAGAGTGAACCACTCACTAAACTCTGGGGAAAAAGGTCAACTTCTCTTGTTGAAGAGATCATTAATATATTTTCTTCAAAACTTCATCTTAACCTCCATAACACTTGATCATTACACAGGGATTCCCCTTATAAAAGAAACTCTTGATCGGCACAGACTGCTGAAACTTTCTTAATTCAAAGAATTGATGCCAATCTTATAAGAAACAGTTGGGGTTATAAATCAAGTGGCTGATTTCAGTAATCTATCTCAGTTTTAGGCCTAGCCTCAGGGTCTGTGGGAGGGGAAGGGGAGGGGGGTTTTCTGTTATGCCGGGAGAGGCTAGTATTCATGCATGATCAGTAACCTTCAAAGCTGACAATAAAATATTTCAGGATGCAAATCTTTGCCTTTATTGTTATGAAGTATCGCTTCATCAGATTGAGTCCAGGGCTAGCATCCAAGTTTATTTCAAAAATCAATAGATGTGCAACCTGTTTTTAAAAGGGGATGGATGAATACACTAAACAACCTGTGAAATACCTGTATCTGCCTGTGTTTACTGTACAGATGATTCATCATGATTAGCGAGTCAAACAGGTGCACAAGGAAAAATGGGAAAATTCAAAACAAAAAATTTAAATTTCAATCTTGATTTTATCGTTGAAATTCAAGCTAATTTTTGCCTCTCTTTATACATTTTATATTTGTGGGAATTGATTTGAAAACAAACTCTAAAATGAAGAAATAAACTTACCTTCTAATGAGTTATTTCGAAAATTGAGACTGAATGTATCACCTGGAAAAAGTAAACTTTATCCGCCATTTTAAAATGACGTCATACATCACGTGACTTTTGGCGGAATTTTTAAATATCAACATGTTCAACACAGATTTAAAATTTTATATGTTAGATAATCTAGTAGAGGCCTCAGAATATGATGCCTTACTAGATAGTAGATACACAGCCAGATCTTTTTCATTCTTAGAAATCTGAAAATAGCGTCCATTTGGTAATGAATCCTTAAAAATTCAGGTTATGACAATGGTCTCAAAATTGGCCACCAGCCTACCTTGGAAGTCAAAGATAGCTAGCCTTACCCTATTCTTCAGCCAAAGTTTGTAATTTGGCTAGAGACTCGGGTAATGCTAGCCTATTTCAAATAGTAAATGAAATAATATTGTTTATTCCCAGGCCACATGTATATTTTTAAATGTCTGTTTATTTGTCAGTGATTTTGCAATTTGGGATGCCAGTTAAATCTATTTCCGTATTAGACTATTTACAACACTAATTTGATTTCCATATTTTGACAGTTAGTACCTTCTGTTTTATATAATTTGTAAAATGGTTTACCTTGTAATCGCGAATGCAACTAACGCCTTTCAGGTACCGGATTAACCTTGTATGTCCAACTCATTTAGATATAGTGGCAGGTATTTAAAAGAGTTTCCAATAAAATAGTAAGCAAATCTGGTAGCCAACAGGCGTTAGTTGCATTCGCTAATACAAGCTTGGTCTCAGACTACTCTCAGGTGTGACAACTCTATCAAATCATATCGGTTCATGGATAGTAATGGTACAGGATGAATTCCATATTAAAAACCTATTTTCTAAAAGCTTTACTTGATATGAACCTCAATTTCTTCAGAAAATAGAATGAAACAATGGCATGGTTTATAAATTAGATTATTTCCAACAGTTCTATTCTCTATCCCTTCTTATCTGAATTTTTATTATGTACATATGCAATTGGGGGGGGGGGCATTTTTAAATTCTTTTTTAGCCTGTGTTGCCACAATTAATTTACTCTACTACATCCAAAAAACTTTAAATCATAGGATTGATACCTATTTGTAACATTTACTTACTTCTACTAAACATTTCAATTATTATGTATTTCTAACTATTGCCACTTGTGATTTCCAATAATTCAGGGGAAATGAAATACGTCATGCTCCCAATGCATGTTTCAAGATGGCGACCGCAGATTCTAAAAACTCAAAATCTTCTAAGAAACCAGGTCTTTCTCAGGAACAGATAGTATCAGGTTTTAATGAACTTCGACAACAACAAAGGGCATATGCCTCAAAACTATCGGAGCTTGAAATGGAGCGCAAAGAACACGAGTAAGCTAATTAATTGACAATAATTTCCCAAAATTTCTAGGATATTTTCAAAAAATTAAATTAGAATCTATATATTGTCAAAATTAGGCTAAGCTAAGACTAGGCTAGGTTATTACGATGACAGTTATGATCACTTCATCTCTAGGGCGAAGGGGTGTAATGTCGACGTGTGGGGTAATGTCGACATAATAGACGGGGTAACTTCGACACTTACGTATTAGAAGTAGAATTTCCGTTTTCCGCCATGTTTGATTTCTGGAAAAATTAAAATCTCGCGAGATCTCGATCCATGCGAGAAAAAAAACATGGCTTCCCCCTAGATCGGAAATTAGAGCAAATAAACAACAAGGTGTCGAAGTTACCCCACATGTCGAAGTTACCCCAAAACGGTGTCGACGTTACACCCCTTCGCCCTACCTAACCCCCGACCTAACCCAACCTGAGTTATTTTGATTTTGAGCTTGGGGTACTTGATCGCACACAAGTATTGGCTGTTGTCATGACTTCATCCAATAATTTTGTTCATGGAGATGTGTGAACATTTCTTGAGGAATAGAGTAAGGGCAAAGTGGTGTAACGTCGGCGTTTTGGGTAATGTTGACATGAGAGATGGGGTAACTTTGACACTTACTTATTAGAAGTTGAATTCCCGCTTTCTACCATGTTTGATTTCTCGTGAGATCTCCATCCATGCGGGAAAAAATGGCTTCCCCTAGATCGGAAATTAGAGCAAATAAACAACAAGGTGTCGTAGTTACCCCATATGTCAAAGTTACCAAAATGGTGCAGACATTTCACCTCTTCGCCCTATTGCAGTGAATAAAAATAGCAAATTGAAAAGGTTTAGTTATTAATGGGCCACATTCATATTTCTTTCTTAGATTTCTGATCACAGGGTTTCAAAATCCAGAATATCTTCTTTCTTTTTTTACACTCTGCTATAAGCAGTTAGCATTTCCCCAATTAAGAACTCACAATTTGACAGCAATCATGTATACATCATCGGTGCATAATTAGATCACGTGACTCAGTTTAATCGGGCACTTCCAAATTGGTTATAGCAGAGGGGAAGAAGGAGGTACAAATTCTGGATACCTGCTTAGGAGGATGATGTTCTGCTGCCCCAGCTCTGATGTATCATTTAGATCATTTATATTGGGCACATTTTCTGAAAAATTCAAGATTCTGTCCAGTGACCTTTCCTAAGGTCCTACTTTTAGGTATCTTTGAGTCACATTTTCAGAGGGCTAAAAAAGTTATTTCATCATGTTAAGGGTCATTCTGACCATATACATAGTGATCCTGGTCATGTAAATGATATGTGAAACTAGGTAAACTGACTGGAGGTCAAAACAGAACTCTGTTATCTTGGTTCAAAAAATGTTTAATTTTCAGCATGGTTTTGTCACTTCCTGTTTTGTCATTTCCTATTAAGTACCATGAGACCTTGATAAGTACTTTATTCTAAAATTTATAGTTTAATTGCTGAATTATTCTACCTTCACTTTTCAGCCTAGTGATAGAGTCCCTAAAAGAGGTTGATGAAGATCGTAAATGTTTCCGTATGGTTGGAGGTGTCTTAGTGGAAAGGACAGTGAAGGAAGTGTTACCCGCCCTCGTAGCAAACAGTGAACAGGTTAGCCTTGCATCAATTCCTTCTGAAATACTGATGCCTGTAAAGTTGTGTATGACTTTTAACCCATGTAGAACTACATTATTTTATGTGTTGGATTAATGAGGATCAGATCATCTTTCTAGGATATGTATTATTCATCATATTTGGGGCCTAGTCAATATTAAATTGAGTTTACTCCCCCCTAACATGATAACTCAGATGCGTGTAGGTAGTTACCAGTTTCACCACCAGGTGGCTTGTTCAGGTCAGATAGCAAAGTGGATATAGTAGAAAGTTCCCTAGGCTTGAATATTAATCATTAGTTTTTGTGGTTCAATTTTCATAGCACGGCTATGTATCTTATAGTTATGCAAATAAAATATGTCCAGTAAAAGAAAATGTTATCTGTCCAAAACAAGAAAAAATATTTCACTTTTTGTGATTTTATAACATGGGGTCTATGGGGAATCTCCCCGAACAAGAAGTCGCAACTTTTGATAAACATTTTTTGAAACCATATTTCTAGATATACATGTGGATTTCAAATATGACATCACTTTGACTGAATTTTGAATTTTTGAATATTTAATGACTTAAGATTATTCCTACTCGCATCTAGTCTATTAATTACGTTTTTGATGGATATTGAAATATTGATCCAACCCCTAAAATATATGTTTTCAAAAATGTTATTTAAAATTCAAAATATTTTTGTTATTGATATCTATTTTTAAAAATAAAGGGGTTTAAATGATATTTTACAGAAAAGTATATTGAGAAAGTTTGACTTTCTCAATATAGGATGCATTATGAAAAATGAGAACCATTTTTCGTTTTCATAGAAGCTTATCATTTAAATTTATTTTCATATAATTTATATACATGTAATAAGTACATGTTTACATGTAAGTAGATGCTAGTTTCAAGCAAGTAAAATTTTGCCACAAAATTGAGTAGTTTTGATTTAAACATCAGCATAGAGTAGTTTTAGCCTTGGAAATAGCTCACATTTTTGATTTATTTGTTATGTTTAAAGTATGTGTTAATGTAGTGGGTGTTAAAAAGTACTATGTATATATGTCCCAATTAAAATACAATACTGTACACAATTGCAATTAACAAAATATGATTTCCACTCCAAACCAATCAATCTGTGTTCATTTTAGTAAAAGAGTTATTAGAAGGGATGGGGTGTGTTAAATTTGATGCAATCTTCTCAAAAATCATTCCAGTGTTTTTTTGACTATGGCAATTTTATTTTGTGAAAAAATAAATTGAAATATCTGGCAATTTTTTCTAAACTTGTCCTTTTTACTCTCTGCCACTTTATGAACCTTTGCAACTTTTGTTAATTGTAAGCCAAAAACTGGATCCATTATATTTAGATCTATAAATGAAAAATTTATCTAATTTTTCCAGATTGGTAAACTAATAGAAAGCTTCAAATCTCAACTGGAATCGAAAGGAAAAGAAATCAATGAATATAGAGAGACTCACAACATTAAAGTACGTGGAGAGGATGGAAAAACACCGGAAGCAGCCAAAGACACTAAATCAAGCACACAGGGGGTTCTTGTTGCCCAGAATGCATAGCACAAGAGGGATGCCTGTGGATTATGACATTGTGTATGATAAAACAACATGTGTTTGTTAGGACTGGCTGGGAGGCATTTATAAAAAAAATCAGTTGGTGATTAGGTTTCACCAAAAGTCAAAATGCTTTCTTTAGCTAAAATTAAGAGTGTCCGTCTCTTGTTAACAAGTCAATACCATACACAGCTGGTTTAGATATTTCCAAAAATATTGTCCTTGGATCTCTTCACTGCTACCAGTTATTGTATTGGAGTTTTCTTAAGAAGGCCCATAGATCTACATTTTTCATGTATTTCATAATTTCATTGTCACATGGTGTTCATCTAATCAATTCTGTTCTCTGTAAATGAATTTTCCTGAGTGATATTTACTTTTGTTTGCCATGCATTTTTCATTTTTATATCAATGGCTGTGTGTATGTAAAGCTTTTGTACAAAATAAATCAAAGATGTGTCAAACAATCTTTTTGTAAGTTGTTTCATCTTTCTCAAAAACAGATGATTTATTAACAAATGTTGCCTTTGTTGGATGTATAAAACAGGTTGAATTTTCAAAAGCAACCAGTTTTCACCACTTTTAGCAGTTCAAGTGTTTTTTTCGGCCAAAATTTGAATCCCCTTGGAAATTTAAAAAACTGACCCTCCCCCTTGGCTAGGGGCCTGCATCTGGATATTAAGTTGCATTTATAAAGTTGCTACTTCATTCCAAGTTTACTGTGAGTCTGTGTTTGCCACTTCTGTCTCACATGTTTTTATTCACTACAGGTATGGGTGCTGCTGACATAAGTGAATTTCCAAATACAATAAAGGACAAGGAAAATATATCAAATGTCCATTGTGTGCCACAGGATTTCCATATTAATCATGGGTTTTTTATTAAGATTTTTTATTATAGTACCCTTCGGGGGCTTCATTGTTTTTTATGTCACCACCAAAAAGTGGTGACATATTGTTATGGTCTCTGTTTTGTTTATGGCGGTTGGCGATCGGTGGTTGGTGATTGGTGGTTGGCAATCGGTGTTGATCGACGGTTGGCGATCCGCGTCTGTAACAAATTCTTATAACTTCCAATAACTTAACAAATACTGTTTAGACTGACTTCAATTTTCTCAAATCATCTACAAGTTATCAGAAGTTCAAATCTGGCTTTAGATATGATATTTGACCTTCAATGACCTTCTCAAGGTCAAAAAAGGTCTAAAAGGTATTTTTTCAACATGATTCAAATTGACCAATTCTTTTTTTCAAAATCATCTACAAGTTATCAGAAGTTCAAATCTGACTTTAGATTTTAGATTTGACCTTCAATGACCTTCTCAAGGTCAAAAAGGTCTTTTTTCTACGTGCTTCAAATTGACCAATTTGTTTTCAAAATCATGTACAAGTTATCAGAAGTTCAAATCTGACTTTAGATTTGAGATTTGACCTTCTCAAGGTCAAAAAAGGTCAAAAATGTATTTTTTCAACTTGCTTCAAATTTCTTTTTTCAAAATCATCTACCAGTTCTCAACAGTTCAAATCTGACAATAGATTTGACCTTTAATGACATTCTCAAGGTCAAACAAGATTTGACCTTCAATGACATTCTCAAGGTCAAAACGGTCTTTTTTCATCTTGCTTCAAATTGACAATTTTTTTTCAAAATCATCTACAAGTTCTCAGAAGTTCAAATCTGACTTTAGATTTGAGATTCCACCTTCAATGACCTTCTCAAGGTCAAAAAAGGTCAAAAATGTATTTTTTCAACTTGCTTCAAATCTCTTTTTTCAAAATCATCTACAAGTTCTCAACAGTTCAAATCTGACAATAGATTTGACCTTTAATGACATTCTCAAGGTCAAACAAGATTTGACCTTCAATGACATTCTCAAGGTCAAAACGGTCTTTTTTCATCTTGCTTCAAATTGACAATTTTTTTTCAAAATCATCTACAAGTTCTCAGAAGTTCAAATCTGACTTTAGATTTGAGATTCCACCTTCAATGACGTTCTCAGGGTCAAAAAGGTATTTTTACAACTTGCTTCAAATTGACCAATTTATTTTTTCCAAATCATCTACAAGTTCTAAAAAATTCAAATCTGACTAAGGTTGAACTCATAATATTGTAAGCAACAAGGTATTGACATTTTGTCATGTTAATGCTTTGTTTTCTTTGTATTCACATGTTAAATACATGAGTCTCCCATGCCTAGGTTTTGTTATGGGTATGTTTTAGTCTAATTATGGGTTTCTAGGGGACCAGGTTGCCCTGTGCCTAACGTTCCTAGTCAATGTACCTAGTTATTGTACCTGGCAACCCGCATTTCTACAGAAGCCATGGCTACAACATAAACATATGAATATAGAGGATAAAACATTACACAATTGATTCATTAGTGGGACTTTTGGTGTATTTTTCTCCCTTGGAGCACTTTACCAACATTATCCATGCAACCTATATGTACATGTATTATATTTGATTAATTATTTGTATTATTTGAACCCTGGGGCAACATACAGATTGCTATCTCTTTCCTATTATTAAATAATACACTCCTTATGGATATTAACTGAGTGACAAATAACTTGAATAATCTCTATTAACCTTTTTCAACTGTGGCTATTTTAAAATATGGAGTACCTTCATTGATTAGATAAGGATAATTCAGATTTGGAATTAATAAACAATGGGATATTTAGTTAAATGGAGGATATTTATTTTATTGGTTTTTGCCATTGGATTTCTCGGAAATACAAATGGAATGCCTGTGAAAGGTAAGCACAAGTTATAATATACATTACAGTTAAATCCTTTCTTTCATAATTTATTGGTGGGCCTCATTTTTATGTCACCACCAAAAGTAGTGATTTTGTTATGGTCTCTGTCTTAAAGTGTGCGCCAAATAGTCTGGCAGAAATATAGGGGATTTTGACATTCAATCGTTTTCTTCGGATTACAATGTTTTTTTAACTTATCAACATGAATATAGGATTGGGACCTCAAAACCACCGGATGCCGGTGCGGCACCCTTGGGCAACTCTCTACAGAGCATTTCTTATACCCCCCTGATAAAATATACAGGGGGTACTATAAGACACCCTCATATCTCAGATACTGATATATATATTAACTTGAGATTTTCAGGAATTAGTTTTAGTATCATGCTTGACATGTATGACAAAAATCAAGAAAAAATCTTAATCCGTTGCTATAGCAACAGTAACAGAACACTATTTGTTACCGTAGAGATGCATTATTTTGCTGATTTTCAACATTTCTTCATATAGTTGATTCTTAAACTAGTATATAGTATTACACTAGTATATAGGACACTGCATATTTTATATTTAGTATACACATGTATATCATATGAAATCTAATGAAATTCATACAGTAGTGAGGTTGGCATATAGTCTAGACTTTGGCATTTAGAACATGCATCATAATAAAATCTTATGTAAAATTATACAATAATTATACAATAGAGAGGTTGGCATAGTCTAGATTATGGCATAATGTCTAAATTTTATAAGCATTGGCTTTCCTCATCTGAGCAATCAGACTACTGGGGGGGGGGGGGGGGCTGTATAGCTTCTGGGGGGCACTGGGGACCATTGTATAGCTTTTAAAGGCACTGTGAATATTTGATTTAACATTGAATTCAATTAGATATTTCTCTAACAGTGAAATTTAATGGCCATGAAACATTTCAGATTGACAACATCGTGAATTTTTTGTCAATGAAAATTTGGGCTTGCTTCTGGGGGCCACTGGGGGCCCCTGTATAGCTTCTAAGGCCACCATATAGCTTTTTTGGGCCACTAGGGGCCCCTGTATAGCTTCTGGGGGCTCCTGTTTAGCTTCTTGGGGACACTGGGGGCCACCATATAGTTTTTGGGAGCCACCGCATAGCTTCTAGGGGCCCCTGTATAGTTTCTCGGGGCCATTGGGGGCCACCGTACAGCTTCTGGGGGCTACAATATAGCTTCTGGGGGCCACTGGATGCCATCCTATAGCTTCTGGCGGCTACTTGGGGCCATCATATAGCTTCTGGGTGCCATCATATAGCTTCTGGGGCCTACCATATAGCTTCTGGGGCCTACCATATAGCTTCTTGTGGCCCCTGTATAGCTTTTGGGAGCCACTGTAAAGCTTCTTGGAGCCACTGGGGACCACCATATAGCTTCTGGGGGCCACTAGGGGCTAATGGATATGCTTCTGGGGGCCACCATATAGCTTTCTGGGGCCACTGTATAGCTTTAAGGGGGCACTAGGGGCCACTGTATAGATTCTGGGGGCTACTGGAGGCCCCTGTATAGCTTCTGGAAGTCACCATATAGCTTCTAGGGGCCATTTGGAGGCCCTGTATAGCTTCTGGGGGATACCATATAGCTTCTGGGGGCTACTAGGGGTCCCTTTATAGCTTCTGGGGGCTCCTGTTTAGCTTCTTGGGGACACTGGGGGGCCACCATATAGTTTTTGGGAGCCACCGTATAGCTTCTGGGGGCCCCTGTATAGTTTCTTGGGGCCATTGGGGGCCACCGTACAGCTTCTGGGGGCTACAATATAGCTTCTGGGGGCCACTGGATGCCATCCTATAGCTTCTGGCGGCTACTTGGGGCCATCGTATAGCTTCTGGGTGCCATCATATAGCTTCTGGGGCCACTAGAGGCCCATGTATAGCTTTTGGGGGCCACTGTAAAGCTTCTTGGAGCCACTGGGGACCACCATATATAGCTTCTGGGGGCTACTAGGGGCTGCTAGATATGCTTCTGGGGGCCACCATATAGCTTTCTGGGGCCACTGTATAGCTTTAAGGGGGCACTAGGGGCCACTGTATAGATTCTGGGGGATACTGGGGGCCCCTGTATAGCTTCTGGAAGTCACCATATAGCTTCTAGGGGCCATTCGGAGGCCCTGTATAGCTTCTGGGGGATACCATATAGGTTCTGGGGCCACTAGGGGTCCCTGTATAGCTTCTGGGGACTCCTGTTAGCATCTTGGGGCCACTGGGGGCCCATGTATAGCTTCTGGGGCCACTGGGGTCCATGGTGTAGCTTCTGGGGGCCACTGGGGGCATTTTTTATTTGAACCTTGAAAATTAATCTATTTTGCCAGATTTGGTGACTGTCGAGGTGGGGTACAATTAAATTATAATTTTCTTTTCAAATCTATGTGACTATTTATCTCTAAAGCAGCACTTTTTTACCTAGGGAGCATAACCTTTTCAAGAAGTGTTATTTTGGACCACCTTTTTAAAGAAAGTGAAATGTAAAAACTTGATTATTAAGTGATGTTACCATAGCAACTGAAATGTTAGATATATTGCATAAACCATATGATGAATTATTTCATCTTTACTTCTAATCATGTATATAACAGATACGTATATACTTCAGATGCCTTAAGAATCAACAATATGAAGAAAACTATGAAAATCAGCAAAATAATGCATTTCTACGGTAACAAATAGTGTCTATTTCTGTTTCTATAGCAACGGATTAAGATTTTTTCTTGATTTTTGTCACATGTGTCAAGCATCATACTAAAACCAATTCCTGAAAATTTCAAGTTAATATATTTATTAGTGTCTGAGATATGAGGGTGTCTTATAGTACCCCCTGTATATTTTATCAGGGGGGTATAAGAAATGCTCTGTAGAGAGTTGCCCAAGGGTGCCGCTCTGGCATCTAATGGTTTTGAGGTCCCAACCCTATATTCATGCTGATAAGTTAAAAAAACATTGTAATCCGAAGAAAACGATTAGCTTTGAAGTTTCTGCCAGACTAAAAGTTTAAAACTGCGCAGGCGCAGCGCTCTCGCTAACCTATATAAAGAGATTACAGGGTACAGGCTTCAGAGGTAAGCCAGGAAGGTGTACAACTATCGTCCCGTGTTGATTTCCCGTATAATCGTAACCAGGCAAGTTTCACCATTGGAATTGAAAATGACTATTAGATATACTTTGTAGATGTTTATATATGAAGGTATTAAGTGTATGCATCAAACAAATGGCTCATTTTGAACATATAAAAAGTATTTGTGTTTTGTTTCCCAAGGAATTGTATTCCCATACTATACACACATAAATAGTGTACATTATGTTGTACTTGAATAGCCTGGCTTATATAATATTGAAGGGCATGCTGATTGTACACCCGAGTACATGCATGAAGGCCTAATATTGATATTGCTTGCATACCTAAGTAAAAAATAAACTCTTCTAATCCCCTAATGTAAACACGGCGGTATACGTAGGCCGATTTATCGGGGGCTTTAATGTAACTGCAGTTGGTGGTTGGCGTCCGTAACAAATTCTTACACCTTCCAATATCTTAACAAAAACGGTTTAAAGAGACTTCAAATTTTTTCAAACTCATCTACAAATTCTCTGAAGTTCAAATCTGACTTTAGATTTGAGATTTTACCTTCAGTGACCTTCTCAAGGTAAAAAAAGGTCAAAAAGGTATTTTTTCAACTTCCTTCAAATTGTCCATTTTTTCAAAATCATCTACAAGTTCTCAGAAGTTCAAATCTGATTTTTAGATTAAAGATTGGACCTTCAATGATCTTCTTAAGGTGTAAAAGGTCAAAAAGGTAATTTTTCAACTTGCCTCAAATTGACCTATTTTTTCAAAATCAAAGTTCTCAGAAGTTCAAATCTGACTTAAGATTAACTCATTATATTGTGAGCAACTAGGTGGTGACATTTTGTCAGGTTAATGCCTTGTATAAAGTTGTCATATTTTTGTATCATCTCCAAGAATTGATATATTATTACAGTCATTGTTGTTTTTATAGTGTCTGGTGTTTACAGTTCAGTAGCCTCTCTCAAACTATTATGTTTCCATTTCAGAATGCTCCAGGTTCGGGGAGTTTATTCGCAATAGGTTTGATGACTGCAGCATATATCGCTGTATCCCCCATCCAGTCGCCTTCCTTGCTTTCACTAGTTTCATTCCTGATAGGGTCCCCTGTGAGCAGGGTTCTGGGGTGCCATCTAGCTTTACCAGTGACATGATCAACCCATGTACACAAGAGGTGACATCATGTGGGGAACCTATTATACCAGAGGAGGTTGATGTCCCAGATCATAGCCTGGAGACACCTGTGTATTACCCCACAATTAAAGAGATTCAGGAAGTTGAAGAAATGGCCCCTCGGGAACCAGCCCCAGCCCCAGAACCTGCATATGAGCCCCCGCAGCCTAAGCCTCGCCCTTTGTTTAACATTCCTCCTGCCCCAATAACCCCACCCCCTGCCCCAATAACCCCACCCCCTGCTCCAATGACCCCACCCCCTGCCCCCATCCCCGAGGCCCCTACCCTCTCACCAGAGGAAGAACTGTATGGAAAACACTACAGGCCTCAGTCCAGTATCAAACTCCTTATGTCCATGTTTAATAAACCAATGCCACAAAAACCTGGACATAAACTGCCCACTAATATAATGCGGCCTAATCTACCAGGATTATCTGGGGACAGAGACATCAATTCCAACTATGGCCACAAACTACCAACCAAGCTTGTGAAACCAAACCTCCCAGCAGAATTAGCTGCTCAGATCATGGGATCAAAGCCTGAGATGCGAATGCCTGAGACTCGTGATTTCATGAATGGTGATAATAGTAGAAGAGGTCCAACTAGGGCACCTACAAGGGCCCCTACACAACCACCTAAGATGATGGAGTCAAGGGAAAGCAGGGCTGGTACTAGAACATTATTTGGTAAATAATAATTTTTTCATCCATATTCAAATTACACTTTTGTTGCTTATTGTATTCCTATATCCATTCTTGCTTTTTTTATGTCACCACCGCAATTAGTGGTGACATATTGTTATAGCCTCCAACTTTTTTGTGGACAGTTTTTCAGTTGGTGGCAGTCAGCATCTGTAACAAATGACATGTGGTGACATTTTGCATGTTAATGCCTTGTGCATTCTTATTTTTATGCTCTGATGCATCTCAGCTAACTAAACCCAGACAAATAGTAGACTACATGTACAGAAGTTTATAGAGAGGTGACAGAACAGAGTGGTAACTTTAAACGAATCATTAAATCCCATGAAACCCTTACAATTTATGTGAGATGAGCATTAACTGAACCCGTGCGGGAAAATATTAACTGATACATACTTATATATATATCTTATATATACTGTTTATGTTAGGTTTTCCATTAAATTTCAGCAACATTTGCTGGGCAACATGGGTTTGGAGGGACTCTTCAAACAAGCTTTACAACATCTGCTGCATGTATCAGTGGCTGTGAGGCAGATGCAACATGTGTAGCATTGGACTTTAACTCCGGCACAAACGGTTGTTGGTTTCATACTGATCCTCTGATTTGTTCAGCTCTCCTTGGCACAAAGGCTACATGTACACACTACCAGATCATCGATTGCAGTGAGTCTTCAATCTTTGCATCATAGCAAAAATTAAGTTTTTGGTGATGTTCCACTTAAGAAGTTCATTTAACATAAAGTCAGTTGGTCTTGGGACTTTGAAAAGTGTTCCACTAACAGAGGTGTTTTACTTGTAGAGGTGTTCCACTTTATATGTTTCTTTATTGTATATCATTATAATGGTGGATTGTTTCTCTTTGCAACATTGATAAACACCATTCTTCAAAGCTCATATGTCATGGAACGGTCACATGGAACATTATCAGTAATTTGATAACTTCAAAATGAGCACTTGGATGTTAATTAATATATGATATTAATTAATGGTATATTTAGAAATATGATATTGAAATTTTAAATGTGGGTTATATTAATTGTTCAGGAAATGTAAAGTACAAGACTTAGTTAACAAAACTAAGCCTAAAACTAAAACTAATATAGACAACATAGGCAGTACTGTATGCTGTTTTCAGTAATTTAATCTTACCTGTATAGCATAACATATCTAAGTAGAAATCTTTAGGAAAGTTTTCAACTTATGGAGTTACGGAAAGGTGTTCCACAAGATAGTTAGTACTGTATTTAACATACTTAATATGAACTTAACAAACTTTTACTTGCTAGGTTCAGTTACAACTTTTGGTCCCTTCCCTTGGGCCCGCTTAGTTATTTAATGAATATCATCATGGGCTTCTCTTAAAAGCCCATGATATCATGTATTTTCTCTTTTTAGTGAACTAATATGTTTACAATAACAACAAATCAGTCAATTAAATACTAATTATATATTGTAGCATCCCCAGTGGTTGAAGTATTTACCAACATGAACATCTTTGGTGGTTCCTTTGTATCAACAGCCAACACTCTGGACCAGTGTCTCAACTCCTGCACGGGCACATGCTCTGGGGTCGACTATAATTTTGTCACCAATGACTGTTTCATTCATACCACCACATCTGGGTGTGGAACTATGAACTTCAAAACAGATTGTAACCATTATAAGAAATTGGCTTGCTCTGGAACAACTACAGCAGGTATGTGAATTCTTCTAAATCCCCTCATTTTTATTAGCTCACATGGTGAGCTTTTGCAATCACTCACTTGTCCGTCTGTCTGTCCGTCCGTCCGTCCGTCTGTTTGTCTGTCCGTCAACAATAGTGGCACGTTTTAAAACCTCTGTCGATAGGATTCCTGGTTTAAGTTATTTCTGTTCAACATCAATACAGAAAACCCCCCTATGACTCCTGGTTCAAAAGCTCGCCTATTTTCAAAATGGCCGTCACTTTTGTCTCGCGAAATTCACTTTTAGCCCATTTCCCAGCTAACCTCTGTCGATAGGATTCCTGTTTTAGGTTATTTCTGTTCAACATCAATGCAGAAAATCCCCCTATGACTCCTGGTTCAAAAGCTCGCCTATTTTCTAAATGGCCGTCACTTTTGTCTCGCGAAATTCACTTTTGGCCCATTTCCTAGCTTTACAAATAATTTCAGGTGTCCTACATTGTAAAAATCCATGTCAATGTAAAGATTAGATATATGAAATAATTTTGTTACAAAAAATCAGCGAAAAATTGTATCCATTTTTTTATTTTCAGCCATTTTAGTTAACATTGATTTGTCTATCTGACTCGCGAAATCCACTTTCTGTCAATAACAGTGGCACGTTTTAAAACCTCTGTCGATAGGATTCCTGTTTTAAGTTATTTCTGTTCAACATGAATTCAGAAAACTCCCCTATGACTCCTGGTTCAAAAGCTCGCCTACTTTCAAAATGGCCGCCATTTTTTCTCGCGAAATTCACTTTTGACCCATTTCCTAGCTTTACAAATAATTTCAAGTGTCCTACATTGTAGAAATCCATTGCAAAGTAAAGAGTAGATGTATGAAATAATTTTGTTACGAAAAATCAGCGAAAAATTATATCCATTTATTTATTTTCAGCCATTTTAGTTAACATTGATTTGTCCATCTGTCTCGCAAAATTCACTTTTGGACCATTTACCTTAAACCCTCTGTCGATAAGATTCCCATTTTAAGTTATTTTTGTTCAACATCAATACAAAAAACTCTCCTATGACTCTTGATTCAAAAGCTCGGCTATTTTCAAAATGGCCGTCACTTTTGTCTCGCGAAATTCACTTTTGACCCATTTCCTAGCTTTACAAATAATTTCAGGTGTCCTACATTGTAAAAATCCATGTCAATGTACAGGGTAGATGTATGAAATAATTTTGTTATAAAAAATCAGCGAAAAATTGTATCCATTTTTTTATTTTCAGCCATTTTAGTTAACATTGATTTGTCTATCTGTGGCACGTTTTAAGACCTCGGTCGATAGGATTCCTGTTTTAAGTAATTTTAGTCCAACATCAATTCAGAAAACTCCCCTATGACTCCTGGTTCAAAAGCTCGCCTATTTTCAAAATGGCCGCCATTTTTGTCTCGCGAAATTCACTTTTGACCCATTTCCTAGCTTTACAAATAATTTCAAGTGTCCTACATTGTAAAAATCCATGTCAATGTAAAGAGTAGATCACACCACCCGGACGTTGCTGGAGCGTTCCTTGAACGTTGAAAAAATTCATCAACGCTCGTCCACGCGCACAAAATGGGGAAAAAAAACAAAAACACGGGCGTTGGCTTAGCGGTGCACCGCTGAAGCCGGCGTTGCTTTAGCGTTGGTTAAGCGGTTGCGAGCGGTAGCTAGCGTTTGTTTAGCGGTAATGCGAGCGTTGGTATAGCGGCGTTCTGCGCATGAGAGCGTTGCCTCGGCGGGGGTATAAATAGCAGCAGCGTTGGTTTAGCAGCATAACGCGTTTGACTACTGGGAAATTATTTCAAGTGGGAAGTGTTTAAGAGTAAAGACCTTTATTGGAATTTGTAACTTTAACAAAAGTCCTTCAAGGATTAAAAAAGAAATGTTTTAAATCTAAAGTGCTTCTATTAATGTAATATGACATTAAGAATGAATAACATTACAATTTTCTTTAATAATCTCTCAAATCATTTCAAACAAACATATCACAATTTAATCGTTGCATTTCCATTACTTGGAACCGATTTACGTTCAAATTGCTTTAACAATGTCAAATAACATTTACAGCAAAGTAATAATCATGACGCATGACAAATTTTTGCATTACTGTGCGTGCATCAACTTTTTGTATAATACCATGACGAGTGCAACATTTTACAAGCTGCGCAGAAAATTCACAGATAATTTATTGAATTGCTTGATGTGAAAACACTAGGTATATACTATATTTGAATAAAGGTCTCAGTAAAAGTCTATTTGTATTAACATTTAATGAAAAACAAAAATCGCATAATTCACCTTTTTAAAATCCAAAATCACAAACTTTGAGCGCTTTTTTAGGAATTTACAATGCAAAAAATTGAAATGCCAGACATGAATATATCTCAAATGTAAAATGCACAAGTGTCTCCACAGTGTTCTACACAGTGGTGCATTTCTCCACGTATTTATAGCCAAATTCTGGTCCCGCTCCGACACCTCTATACCAACGCCAAAGCAAAGTTCATCGCCGCCATGGAACGCTGCGACAACGTCCGACACCGTTCCAACAACCCCATGTACGCTGATAAAACGCTAACAACCGCTCCACCGACGTTTGTGCAACGTTTAATCGCCGCCCGGGCAACGCTGGCGAAGCAGCGGTGGTCCAGCGTTTAAGATTTCTGCGTTGGTCTAGCGGATTCAAGCGTCCACGAACTTGCATCTAGCGGTGCCAAACTTTGACTGGGCGTTGGTGGAGCGGTGATAAACTTTGCCAGGGCGTAAAATTGTCCCTTTTTCAACGCTCGCAATATTTTGAGCAGCTCAAAACTTTTGGAGCGTTAGGATGGCCACTCGAGAAACATCCGCGTTGGCCGAGCGTTTACAGCGTTGCTTTAACGGATGCCAACTTTTGTTAAACGGTGGTGAACGTTTACGAGCGTTGATGATTTTTTTCAACGTTCAAGGAACGCTCCAGCAACGTTTAGGCGGTGTGACCGGGCCTTTAGTTAACATTGATTTGTCCATCTGTCTTGCAAAATCCACTTTTGGACCATTTACCTTAAACCCTCTGTCGATAGGGTTCCCATTTTAAATTAATTTTGTTCAACATCAATACAAAAAACTCTCCTATGACTCTTGGTTCAAAAGTTCGCCTATTTTCAAAATGGTTGCACCATTCTTGTTTCGCAAAATTCACTTTTTGCCCATTTCCTAGCTTTACAAATAATTTCAGCTGTCCTGCATTGTAAAAAGCCATGTCACTGTAAAAGGTAGTTGTATGAAATAATTTTGTTACAAATTTTTTTTTTATTTTCAGCCATTTTAGTTAACATTGATTTGTCCATCTGTCTCGCGAAATCCTCTTTTGGACCATTTGCTTAAAACCTCTGTCGATAGGATTCCAGTTTCAAGTTATTTTTGTTCAACATCAATACAAAAAACTCCCCTATGACTCCTGGTTCAAAAGCTTGCCTGATTTCAAAATGGTCGCCATTTTTGTCTCGCGAAATTCAATTTTGGCCCATTTCCTAGCTTTACAAATAATTTCAGGTGTCTTGCATTGCAAAAAGCCATGTCACTGTAAAGAGTAGTTGTATGAAATAATTTTGTTAGAAATTATTGGCAAAAAATTATATCCATTTTTTTTTCAGCCATTTTAATTGACTGAGAGACAGATGGCTTGAAATAATTTTGTAACAAAAAATCAGCAAAAACTTATATCCGTTTTTTTCTGTCACCATGTGAGCCCAGTACCCACGGTACTAATTTTTTTCTTTAAATGTCTTGAACCCTTGACAGTGCTATACTTCTGAATTCATGCTTGTATCTATTTTATTGGAGGGCTGGTACATGTTGTTCACACAATTAGCAGTTTAGTTTCAGCTTCTACTTTTGCCTTAGTTTCAAGTTTTTCTTTTATTTACAAGTCTGTATTAATTAAACTGTTTCCGAATCAAATTGTTTGTGTTGCAATTGCTGGAGAGTATATATATCAGAGTTCTAATTTCCCCTTGTTTTATGGCTTTTAATGGGCTATGAATTTTCCAAAAAGTTGCATCAAAACACTGCCAAATAAGGTCAGAGAAATGTACGTACAGGGTGTTCCAAAAGTAACAGGACTGGTGCTGGCATTTTGTTAAATATGCACCAATCAACTTCAAAATTTTACATAATGTACTTTCATGTATCGTAACTAAGACTGCAAAGTTTCAACAAAATATATGAAACTCAGGTAGAGTTATGGTTGCTATAGTAACCTGACATTCCAATACCCGGGGCAACATTTCACGCAAAAAGTTACAGAGACATTAAGCATTTTGTACACGCCATATCATTTTGTACATGCCATATCAAAGTTGAAATGCAACAACTGGTTGGAATTACATTTGTTTTTACATCATTTGATATTCCTATGTATCCTCTACTTTGAAAAATAGGCTCCTCTTTGATCAGTTCAAGAGTAGGACTATACTCTGTATACATGACCCAAACACATGAGTGAACCCATTTGAGGACATGTCACGCAGTGTCGATTGGACAATTTGGAGAAGGTCATTCTCATCTTAAAAGGTCTTACAGCACTGATTAGCATTCCGTTCTCAATATAAGTAAAAATTAGATATTGCATGATCAGAGGAGTATGGTGCATGGTTTTAGACCTCAGGACCTTGCTCCTCTATAGGTGCATGGTCTTTAATGGTGACCCGCGGGCAGGCATGCTATCAAGGTAGATGACTGGCTTCAAATTGGGTCTTTTCAAAAACTCAACTGTGAATTGTTCAGACTGTTATACATAGTGATATTCCAGGAAATTGAATAAATATTATTATCATTATAAAATTATACTTGAATCTGAGTTGTATAGCAACACCTTAACAACAAAGGAACTAATAAAATAAACAAGAAATGTTGTATCATAATAGGTGAATTAGATACTTTCTTCAGTAATACAAAAATGTTAGATATCACATTTTCAGGAAAAAAGTTGCCCCGGGTATTGGAATATCATGTTACTATAGTAACCATAACCCTAACCGCAATTCATCATTTTTTCTGAAACTTTGTAATTTAAGTTGCAATACTTCAAAGTACAATTTGTGAAAATTTGAAGATACTCAGTGCAAAATTGACAAAATGCCAGCACCAGTCCTGTTACTTTTGGAACACCCTGTATATAAGAAAAAATGAAAACAATCTGAAACAAAGGATTAAATCATATATGAAATAAATTATGAATGTTTTGTTTTCATCATTTGAGCCTACCAAATGGTGACATGTATTGGAATATGTAGAAAGGCAATCTTTTCATACATTTAGTGTGATATTGATGTTCTTCCAAGATCATGATCCAATATTTCAATACTAAAAATATGAATTAAAATACATATACAAATTGTACCATATATTACATATGCATTCAACAATTGATTTTACAGCCAGTACTGCATCAGGGGGTTTAATTGGTGTATTAGAGACATTCTCTGGGTACCATGCCTTCGGAGGCACATATATGCCATCAGCCACAGATGTAGCCACCTGTGTAAACACCTGCATCAACAATTGTGAGGCCGTTGATTTCAACTCTGCTTCCAACCTTTGCTTCCACCATTCTTCAAGCTCTAGCTGCTCTTCTCTGAATCCAAAGACCTCTTGTACTCACTACAAGAAGGTCTCCTGCTCAACAAGTAAGTCATAATTTGTGACTGATCATCTTTTAATTACTTGTACAAAAGGGATGGTTTGAATTTAAAGTAACTTTTAGTAAAAATATTAATATACATTAATGTGAAATGTAGATATTATACATAAATCTGTGGTCGTGGACATACTAAAAATAAACAGGGAATAGTGTAAAGGCCTGAAAAATGAATACATGTATATGCAAATACAAGTTTATTGATAATTGTGTACGAAACAAGATAGCAGACAAATCACAACTTTTTTTATAATTTTACAATGTAGTCATTTTTGTTAGAACCTTTCATTAAATCCTTTTTGTCACATATAAAAAGTATTTTGGTGTTTCTAACATCTGTAACTTATTGTATCTAACAGCTGTTACAGCTGTGCCTCCCTCAACAACCACAGCTACAACCACAGCTGCCCCAACTACCACCACACAAGGAGTAGTAGAGACATACACTGGATTCAATCTCTTTGGTGGAACATTCCAGAGTGGTATCTCTAGCTCTGCTGCTTGTATCGCTGCTTGCCAGGTCAGTGCTTTATTTAGGCCATTCAAAATAAGTTATATGTTTAACATCCTGTTGAAGGGCCAAATCCTAGGAGGGCAGGAGGTAAAAAACAGAACATTGATGTATTGCATTTTTACATGGTTTCTGTATTGTTCAATAGTGAAAATACTGTAAAACATAGACAGAGAGTGACTGAAGAAATGACAGACACTTTGAGTTCACATACACATTAAGACGATTCTGAAGCTGAAATACACATATCTTTCGATCCAGCAACTCCATCACTCAATTGTCATTGATGTTCATTTATTTCTTACAATATTCATAGAAAGGAGATATCAAAATTAGGTTTAACTTTGAGTGGCCTAACTTGTTCTAGGCTCACTTTCAACAACTCTTAAATAATATTTTGTTTTATAATCAAGTAATCTCCTTTTAGAGCTCCAGTACGTGTGAAGCTTTGGATTTCAACTCAGCTGATAACAGCTGTTGGTTCCACACCAGCTCAAGCAGCTGTGGTGCATTAAACGCCAAATCAACATGTACACATTACAAGCTTGTGTCTTGTACCACAACAACAGCTGGTCCTTCAACTGTGACTACAACAACAACAGCTGCTCCCACAACAACAACTGTGTTTGGTCAGACAACTGCTAGTACTGTAAGCACAACCACAACAGCTGCACCAACCACAACAACAACAGCTGCACCAACCACAACTACAGCTGCACCAACCACAACAGCTGCACCAGTAACTACAGGTGCACCAACCACTGTATCATGTGGTATCCCTGCTATCACTCCGAAGACAGAGAGGATTGTGGGAGGGGAGGAGGCGATTCCAAGAAGTTGGCCATGGATGGCCAACTTCCAGTTATTCGGGAGTCAGTGGTGCGGGGCATCTCTCATCTCTTCTGAATGGGTCGTCACTGCTGCACATTGTGTCAATGGGTAAGTATTATTCTCAATGGGTCATAGCTGTGGCAACATTTTTTGTTTGTTTTCATTTAAAATATTTATTCTCTAAATTAAAAATCATATACATTGATACTTACATGTTGTGCAAGTGGGTAAGTTTTCTTCTGAATTAGTTGTCATTGCGACACATTGTGTGAGTTCTTAAAGTCGTAACCATTGACACATTGTGTCAATTGGTTGTCAATGCAGCACATTGTGCGTGTGAGTTTGTTCTTTCCTGATTGAGTCATAACTGCATATTGTGTGAGTATCTTTTACGATAGTCGTAACCATTGCACATTGTGTCAATTGGTTGTCAACATTGTCCGTGTGAGTTTGTTCTTTCCTGATTGAGTCATAACTGCATATTGTGTGAGTATCTTTTACGATAGTCGTAACCATTGCACATTGTGTCAATTGGTTGTCAACATTGTCCGTGTGAGTTTGTTCTTTCCTGATTGAGTCATAACTGCATATTGTGTGAGTTCTTTTACGATAGTCGTAACTATTGTACATTGTGTCAATTGGTTGTCAATGCAGCACATTGTGCGTGTGAGTTTGTTCTTTCCTGATTGAGTCGTAACTGCATATTGTGTGAGTTCTTTTACGATAGTCGTAACTATTGTACATTGTGTCAATTGGTTGTCAATGCAGCACATTGTCCGTGTGAGTTTGTTCTTTCCTGATTGAGTCATAACTGCATATTGTGTGAGTTCTTTTACGATAGTCGTAACTATTGTACATTGTGTCAATTGGTTGTCAATGCAGCACATTGTGCGTGTGAGTTTGTTCTTTCCTGATTGAGTCATAACTGCATATTGTGTGAGTTCTTTTACGATAGTCGTAACTATTGCACATTGTGTCAATTGGTTGTCAATGCAGCACATTGTGCGTGTTAGTTTGTTCTTTCCTAATTTAGTCGTAACTGCATATTGTGTGAGTTCTTTTACGATAGTCGTAACTATTGCACATTGTGTCAATTGGTTGTCAATGCAGCACATTGTGCGTGTTAGTTTGTTCTTTCCTGATTGAGTCGTAACTGCATATTGTGTGAGTTCTTTTACGATAGTCGTAACTATTGCACATTGTGTCAATTGGTTGTCAATGCAGCACATTGTGCGTGTGAGTTTGTTCTTTCCTGATTGAGTCGTAACTGCATATTGTGTGAGTTCTTTTACGATAGTCGTAACTATTGTACATTGTGTCAATTGGTTGTCAATGCAGCACATTGTCCGTGTGAGTTTGTTCTTTCCTGATTGAGTCATAACTGCATATTGTGTGAGTTCTTTTACGATAGTCGTAACTATTGTACATTGTGTCAATTGGTTGTCAATGCAGCACATTGTGCGTGTGAGTTTGTTCTTTCCTGATTGAGTCATAACTGCATATTGTGTGAGTTCTTTTACGATAGTCGTAACTATTGCACATTGTGTCAATTGGTTGTCAATGCAGCACATTGTGCGTGTTAGTTTGTTCTTTCCTAATTTAGTCGTAACTGCATATTGTGTGAGTTATTTTACGATAGTCGTAACTATTGCACATTGTGTCAATTGGTTGTCAATGCAGCACATTGTGCGTGTTAGTTTGTTCTTTCCTGATTGAGTCGTAACTGCATATTGTGTGAGTTCTTTTACGATAGTCGTAACTATTGCACATTGTGTCAATTGGTTGTCAATGCAGCACATTGTGCGTGTTAGTTTGTTCTTTCCTGATTGAGTAGTAACTGCATATTGTGTGAGTTCTTTTACGATAGTCGTAACTATTGCACATTGTGTCAATTGGTTGTCAATACAGCACATTGTGCGTGTGAGTTTGTTCTTTCCTGATTGAGTTGTAACTACAAATTGTGTGAGTTCTTTTACGATAGTAAAATTGCGACACATTGTGTCAATTGGTTGTCAATGCAGCACATTGAGCGTGTGAGTTTGTTCTTTCCTGCTTGAGGCATAACTGTTCCATAGTGTGTCAATGGGTAAGTATCCTTCTGAATGGGCCATTGATAATATAAGGTTTTTCTCTGTCAGTGGATTTCTAGTAGGTTTTATTCATACTCCTAATAATTCAATTACAATACATGTACTTCTCTTTGATACAACATCTATTGAACAGCTCTATTCAGAATAGCTGTTGTTTTGCAATGTATTCTGAGTTAATAAATTATCATTTATTTCAGATTGACTGCATTCTCAAGCAGCATGAGTCTGATATTTGGAGAACATGACATTAGCACCAACGAGGGCACGGAGGTGACGAGGTCTGTATCCCAGATTATTATTCACCCTAACTACAACCCACAAACCATAGATAATGACATCGCTGTTATGAAACTCTCATCTCCAGTAACTTTAGGAACCAACATCAGCCCTGTTTGCCTGCCATCTTCTAGTCAGGTGTTTTCTGCAGGAACTACTTGTACAACTACTGGATGGGGAGCTTTGTCATGTGAGTATCACAGTGAAGTTGTATTACTTTTTCCCGATAAGTGGCCCTAGGGACAGGTCAGTTTATTGACCTTGACAAACATATTTTTCATTCGGAGTGGGGTACAATAAAAATCCATCAGCCCCTATTAATGTCATTCATTGATATGTTCTGAAAAAACAAATATCATTGGAAATACACCATTAATGGGGAAAACTCCCAGCCGTGTGCAGGAAAGATGGCATATTTTGTTGGCACTTTGTTTTGATGATATTTTATGAATTAAATTGAATTAGCCACCCCTTAGTATTTATTCTGGTTAATTTTTCTAGTTGGAGGGTCGAGTCCATCAAAGCTGATGCAAGTGAAGGTTCCCCTCTATGATAACTCTGTCTGCAATGATGTCAATCATTACTTTGGCCAGATCTCCAGTAACATGGTGTGTGCAGGCTTTGATGAAGGTGGTAAAGATTCATGTCAGGTATTGTGGCACCTGTTTGTAGCTTCTTCATTCTTATAATAATGTTAATTCTCAACTTTCTCCATCAGGAGAATTCTTCTCTTTTTCATTCAGGAGTACATTCTTATTTTTTCTCCTTTAGGAGTGCAATTTCATCTTTTTCCCTCAGAAGTATATTCTCATCTTTCTTTCAAAAGGGTATTTTACTGGAACTTTCTCTCTCAAGAGTATTTTGACAGCTACTTGCAATTAATTAACAGACAAACTAAGTAAATCGAGATCTTGGACCATCCTATCTAGTTGCTACACCTAAGTATAAATTTTTACCTTGTGAATAGATTTACTGGTAAATGTCTAGAATATATCGCGCTGCATATTCATTACAGTATTGTAAGAATCTTGGCAAAATCAAAATCAATTTTTACTCATTTTATTACAGCGCAAACATTTGATATTTCTACTGATATAAAAATGATATGTTGTATTTTAGGGAGATTCAGGTGGACCTCTAGTCTGTCAGTCAGGTTCTAATTACTACCTGACAGGTGTGGTCAGCTGGGGGTCAGGATGTGCATTTCCCTTCAGCCCTGGGGTCTACGCCAAGGTCACATCTCTGGTCAGCTGGGTCACGTCTAATACTGGTGTACAACCTGGTTCAAGTGTTGTCATCCCAGCAACAACTGTTGCATCTGTTACAACAGCTGCTCCTGTCACAACTACAGCAGCTGCGACAACTACTACATCTGTATCAGGAACAACCACCACAGTTGCAGGAGTGACTACAGCTGCAACCACCACCACAACAGCAGCACCTGCTACAACCTCTACAACTGCTGCTACAACCTCTACAACTGCTGCTACAACCACAACAGCTGCTGCAACTACAACTACAGCTGCATCAACTGATTCGTGTGGTGTCCCTGTTGTTACTCCAAAGGTTAATTCAAGGATTGTTGGTGGGGAGGAGGCCAATGCTAACAGTTGGCCCTGGATTTCACCTCTTATTATTAATGGATTCCAGAGCTGTGGAGCATCATTGATTAGTCCTGAGTGGGTTGTAACAGCAGCTCATTGCACTTCAGGGTGAGTAATATGCAAGCTCATTGCATTTCAGGGTGAGTTATATACAAGCTCATTGCACTTCAGGGTGAGTAATATACAAGCTCATTGCACTTTATGGTGAGTAATATGCAAGCTCATTGCATTTCAGGGTGAGTTATATACAAGCTCATTGCACTTCAGGGTTAGTAATATGCAAGCTTATTGCACTTCAGGGTGAGTAATATACAAGCTCATTGCACTGTTGGGTGAGTGATATACAAGCTCATTGCACTTCATGGTGAGTAATATGCAAGCTCATTGCATTTCAGGGTGAGTTATATACAAGCTCATTGCACTTCAGGGTGAGTAATATACAAGCTCATTGCACTTTATGGTGAGTAATATGCAAGCTCATTGCATTTCAGGGTGAGTTATATACAAGCTCATTGCACTTCAGGGTTAGTAATATGCAAGCTTATTGCACTTCAGGGTGAGTAATATACAAGCTCATTGCACTGTTGGGTGAGTGATATACAAGCTCATTGCACTTCAGGGTGAGTAATATGCAAGCTTATTGCACTTCAGGGTGAGTAATATACAAGCTCATTGCACTGTTGGGTGAGTGATATACAAGCTCATTGCACTTCAGGGTGAGTAATATGCAAGCTTATTGCACTTCAGGGTGAGTAATATGCAAGCTCATTGCACAGTTGGGTGAGTAGTATGCAAGCTCATTGTACTTCAGGGTGAGTTAAATATACAAGCTCATTGCACTTCAGGGGGAGTAATATACAACCTTATTGCACTTCAGGGGGAGTATATGCAAGCTCATTGCACCTCGGGGTGAGTAATACTTTTGTATACATGCTCATTGCAAACTGCACTTCTAGTACACTTCTTCTAGTACTTCCCAGTGCATGAAAGTATATTATCGTGTAATTTGAATATATTTGGTGCAGAATTAACATAATGCCTGTACCAGTCCTGTTTCTTTTGAGACACCCTGTGTGTACAATGTGTTTTGTTTTTAGGTTGTCTGCAAGTCAACTATCATTGAGTTTTGGTGAGCATGATACTACAGTATCAGAGTCAACTGAAGTATCTAGAACAGTATCCCAGGTCATCAATCATCCAAACTACAACACTGGAACACTTGATTACGATATTTCTGTGTTGAAGTTGAGCTCACCTGTGACATATACCAATGCTATTAGGCCAGTTTGTTTGCCTTCATCTTCTATGGACTTTGCTGTTGGATTGACTTGTGTTGTAGCTGGATGGGGAACACAGGGTATGTTTTTTTATGCTACCTCTTATTATGATCGGTCATGTTTTCCTGGCACACTGTCGAATGACACTTTTGGTAGAAGGTGGCCATTTTGAAAAATGGCTGCCATTTTTGCTATATACTTTGTTTGTAAATATGCCAGCCATGGCTGTTCGATGGGATTTGTTATGGTTTGGCGTTGCTGTTGTCTTGTTGTTTAAGTGTGTTGTTATGTATTCTGTGAGCTTTCTTTTGTCCACTTGGTGCAAAATGCCTATTCAAATTATTGTTAGCCATGGCTTCTGGGTACACATCCAATCTCCAACAATACCATACCGTACTGTGATATCAGAGTATGGATTGGGGGTGTATACACAAACTATAGCAGAAATTGTTTTATTTTTTAGCATTTGGTTCATTTTCCACACCACCTAAGCTACAGCAGGTAAAGGTCCCTCTGTATAGCAATGCTGTATGTAATGATGCTTTTCATTACTTTGGTCAAATCTCAGACAGGATGGTCTGTGCCGGCTTTGATGCAGGTGGTAAAGATTCATGCCAGGTAAGTTGAATTTGATGTCACCACCAGTTACTATGGCAATGAATATATGTTACCACAGAAACAGATAATTTTGTGACTGTTGGAGTGTCCAATATTTGGTTCTGGAACTATTGTTACACTTTTGTAACCAGTTGCAATAACTAATTTGGTGGTGACATTTTGTCATGTTAATGCCTTGGTAACCTAAGTTGCCAAAAAAATGTTTTACTTACTTTCATGCTTTTAATGTCACTTTTTATGTTTCAAAAAGATATATTCACCAGTCATCCTTCCAAGGTTGATAAAACTTTATTAAAGGTACTGTTTTACATTAAATATAATTTACCATATTGTAGGGTGTTTAAAAAGAAACATGCTATGATTTACTATTATGTTCTTTATTTCAGGGTGACTCAGGTGGACCTCTCATGTGCCAAGTTGGTTCCAACTATTTCCTCACTGGTGTTGTCAGTTGGGGTTCTGGTTGCGCAGGAGTAAATAGCCCTGGGGTATATTCTCGTGTGACAGCTCTCAGCTCCTGGATTCAGTCCAACACAGGTGTCAGCCCTAAATCGAATGCCGTACCCTTTAGCATGACGATGCCTATCACTACTCTAACTGGGACAAGAGCTTGTGGGATCCAGGCCATCCATCCTAAGAGTGCAGGGGGAAAAGTGGTTGGTGGAGTAGTGGCCACAGAGAACAGTTGGCCCTGGCAGGTGGCAGTGTTTGAGGAGTCATCGGGATTGAACTTCTACGTATGTGGTGGTACCCTCATTGAGGACCAGTGGGTAGTCACTGCTGGACATTGTGTTAAAGAGTAAGTCCTTGTAACATGTATTATTCAATATTATCTTATCTTTGCCCACTCAATAATAATTGAGTGGGAAAATTGATAATATCATTAATTTTTTCCAAATATCTGACCATTTTATTCTTGTTGTTTGGATTCATTTGAGGCTAAATCATTTCTGATATTTACCTTACACTCATTTTCTTACATTGATTGGTTTATCATGAAGTGAAAATATAGCCTTTAATCAAATATGACAGCTAGTTACATTTGATAGATAATACAAAATGATAAAAAATGAGTGTTTCTGAATTAACATGTATACTGTAATTACTCTTCAGTAAATCTGCAAGCAAGTTCACAGTCCGACTAGGAGAGCATGATCTAACTGTTAAATCAAGCATGGAGATGGACTACAAAGTGTCTGATGTCAATCTACATCCCATGTATCAATCCCTACAGTATGATGTAGCCTTGCTGAAGCTAGAGACTCCTGTGAGGTATAGCAGAGAAGTCAGCCCTCTCTGTCTCCCCTCTGCCTATAGTGAATTCCCTGACAGTATGGAGTGTGTTGTCACAGGTTTTGGACACACCAGTGGTAAGGGGGCATTTCCAAATGTCTAAACAGTTATGGATCAATTCTAAATTACTTTCTAAAAGCTGAAGCAAACTTGTTGGATCAAAAATTGACTTGGTTTAATTTGAATAGTCCCCAATGTCTCCTGTATATTGCAAATTACAGGGTGGTCCAAAAAAAAGTGAACCCCTGCAACAGGCTACAATTTTCTTAATACATGCATGAATTGGCTCATATTATCACATGTTGTATCACAAATTTTGGTTGATGCCATAATTTATTCTCAGTCTAAAAATTTTTAAAAATAATAAGCGTTTAACAAACATGCCTGGAAATTAGATATTGTACAAAATTTTACAAATGTGATTCACGGAAATTATCGAAACACATTGGATGATCTTAAACAGCTTTCAGTTAGAGATACAAGTTTAAAACCCTACCATATGACAAAAGGGACACTATTCAAGCAGAAAACACATTTCACACTTTCATTGATCATTTTGAAGCATTTTTAACTGTTCAACAGTTCAGGGGTATGTTACCTCCACCAACAGTTAGAGGGGGCCTCTTATGGAAGGAAGTTGCCCCCTGTGACCAGGAATCTGATAACCCCTTCATCAAATATCTTTAAAAATCAAAAGAAAAACCCAATATTCAATGTTTTGAGCCATATATCATTAGAATTGGTCCATGATTTATGAAGATATTGACATTTCAAGATCATATAGGGGTATGTTCATGATTTCACTGGAAAATGTTTTCGTCTATGGAAGCTTAGCACATCTCTTTGGATCACAATAACTTTGCAACTAACAAATGTAGGATGCTAGTTTTAAGCCATAATGTGCAAGATTGAACAAAGTCAGAAAATATTAGTTCTTTAAGACTGCAGCTTAAAAAATTCTCAAGGGAAAGGTGTTAAAGGGTTGAAGAATCGCGGATATTGAAAATCACAATTTGTCCATTTTCAGTAATGTTTGGTTAGGGCTTATAATTTCTGCAAATTTCAAGACTAAGAAAAATGTATGGTACCAACATTTTAGACCTTCCTCTACAACATGTGAAAATAAAAAATAATTCCTGTAAGTAATAAGGGAAATATGGCCAGTTGCAGGGGTTCACTTTTTTTTGGACCACCCTGTAAATTATTTCTATGAATTTATGAATTAAGTAATATACATGGTGGTCAAAAAAATTGGAACATTTGTTAATTGAACACAAAACCTTTATTTTTCCTCTAAAATGCACCAAAATTTTACTAAGCATAGTTCAGTCACTTATTTATCTGATGATAAGTTTAGACGTGCAATCCACAAAGTTAACACCTTGAATTAGTCAATGTTTCATAGGACCCCCTTTTCTCAAATATACACTTGTCAATTTTGCAGTTACTTTTTCAAGTAATCTTTATTTCAAAGCTTTGATGAACATGGTGATTGCTAAATACTCGTTTTATAAAATTATATTCAGTTGTCAAGAGGTATTTACATCTATGGTTTACTAGAAAACTATTGTGTTAATGCCAACTTAAAGAATACCCAAACTAATTGTTTTTATTTAAGAGGATTTTTATTTCAGAGGTGAGCGATTGCATAACCCACACAGCTACTAAAGTGACAAAATCAATGTTTCCACTTTTCAGTGAAGGGAAACTGACCTGTTATTCACAAAGCTTTATTAAAAACTGACTCTTGGCACATATAATATACCATTTGTGTTCTGGGAGACTCCTTTATGATATTGATATTCTTATATTGATATAATTAATGAGTATTATTTATATTAGAACAATAAAGGGGAGGGGACTTCATTCACCAGTCAAAACATCTGCCCTGGTCCCTTTCTGGAGAAGAATATTCCATCAGTAAGACACTAATACACCCAACAATAGCCATCAAAATATGCTTGATACCCATCAATTTGGATAAAAAAATGTTGAACATGTAACCAGCACACCAGCAATTTTCCCTGCAGGATATTTTTTGAACTGAACAATTTATATTTCTGTATTTCCAACCACGTGCTTCGTACAGAGCTTCTTTGATAGGGATTTTACCAGAAGAATTTTTGTATTTGTAGATTCCAGTATGAATAACAAACTAAACCAGGCCATTGTCCCAATCATCAACCAGGAGGTTTGCCATCAGAGGTATTGGGGAGATCTTATAGTAGAGAGTACAATGTGTGCTGGTTATGCAGAGCCTGAACCCAATGCTTGCACTGTGAGTAATATGAACTAAGGGTTCTTAGGGATGGTGTAGAAATATGGACAGCTGTGGAAGAACAATATTGATTTCATTTCATTAATGATTCTATTTGTGTAAAATATTTGACCCCAGAAACTTGAATAGTAATTCAAAAATTTTGTTAAAAGTTTAAATGTACTACAAGGGATCAAGACAAGCTCAGAGTAAATTTTAAAGAATTGTTTCTATTTTTCAGTTTTATTTTTTCTCATCATTCCATGTCATGACTATTTTCTAAAAATTCAAACAGTTTGATTTCGGGGTAATTGTCTGGGGACATCCCCTTTTTATTATTAGTTAAAAAGCTTTTAGACATTTTATTTTTAGATGTCAAATCTTCAATGACCTTGGTTCAAATTAAAGTGTTCCAATTAAAGGAGGCATTCCTCTTTATAGGATAGGGATTAACATTAAGTCAGTGGGTCACTGAACCCTAGTAAAACGTGTTCCACTTGTAGAGGTGTCCTACTTATAGAATTCCACTCAATAGGTTTTACTGTTTATTATATTGACATATTTCATTATCTATATTCCAGGGTGATTCTGGCTCCCCCCTAGCATGTCAGTATGATGGTCAATTCTTCCTTGCTGGAACTGTATCATTTGGTACAGCAGGCTGTGAAACCAGAGACTCTCCAGCTGTATATGCCAGAATGACTTCAGTGGTACCATGGATCACAGAGGAGATATATCAATAAACATAGAATAGATTAAATAGCATAGTGAGATATTTAGTCATGTTCATTCACTCGCCTCCCATCTGTGAACTGGGCATGCAAAGGTGACTGGAGCAGGAAATCTTAATATCTGAATGCCGTCTGGATTTTCAATGGTTACTTTTAATAAAACTATATATTAATAAAAAAAGATTACTGGACAATGAGTTGTTGAGAATACCGGTTGAGATTTCACAGTTATTTCAATGTGATAATGGATATAGAATTTGAATACGATTTCCTACAGATGTACTTGCAGTTGACAATAACTTTATATTTTACTTATTTATATATTTATTGAATTAAATAATCATTGTAAAAGACAGGGCATAAACATGTGTTATGTTTAATATTTTATATATTTTTTAAATATAAACATTTATTATTTTTATCATTATATTGTACTAGGATATCAGTTCACTGGATAAACTTTATGTACAAATAAATAGAATTTTGACAGAATTCATTAAATGTTTTCAATATGTTTATCTTGAACCTAGATTGAATTGTAAGTCATTAAATGTCTTCACTACTTTTGAGGTTCAACTTCCACTTTGATTCATTAAATCACCGAGATGATCATCTGAACACCTGGGGGATCATGCTGGGTTATTTTAAACATCATGTTGAATTCCATCACATTTTGCAATCGGGTATTATTCATTTGATCATTTGTGTTGCAAGCGGAGATTCTTTGCGAAGACTTCAGTTTCAATGCAATGTCCCCAAGCTTGCAAATGATCTGCAATATGTTTCACTGCTATGAAGTATTCATCTTGGACAGAATTTCATCTATTTCCCTGAAAAAATAAAGAGTAAAGTTATATATGACTAAGATACAGCTCATACAATCAGAGTTTCATTAGAAGTTTGCATCGGTTGTTTTGCCCCATATTTGGAGTTGTTTTCCATATTAAAATCACTTTTCCAATAACTAGTTACTTTGATGGAACTTCAATGTAACAAAATGGATGAACTTTCTGGTTACAAATTTTTTGTTTTCTTGATTTAAACCTACTTATAAGTCAAGTTGCAGATTATAATTTAGCACAAAGCTAGAAAATATGGTCTAGTTTTATAAGTTTCTTCAATTTGGAATTTGTTTCGTAAAAGAGTTGCAATTCATATGTTTAGCCCCTCGCTTTTGTTACATTGATGAAAATCCGTTATATTACCAATCTATATTACTTTGACGACTTATGTCAATTTAATAAAAGTGATGGTCTAAATGCATGAATTACAGCTTTATTGAAAATCAAATTTCAAACCGAGAGGATTTCTAAAAGGTAGACTATATTTTCTAACTTTGTGCCAAATGATCATCCGCAACATGACTTGTCTGTAAGTTTAAATCCAGAAAACAAAAACTCGTATCCAGGAAGTTCATCCATTTTGTTACATTGACGTTTAAAGTAACCAATTGTGGAACAGTGAAAATGATAGTCTCCAATTTTGCCTGTTGTTTCAAATCACATTGCCTGGTGTCAGAAATTCTATTGAAACCCCTGAAAGTGTCAAATTATTCTACTTCTCATGTGTCAGTATGGCAAATTTTAAAAGACCTTTTATGTCTTATATTCACAAGATATAATACAGCCCTTTTTATCATGTACCCATACAAAGGTGGGGTTTACTTCAACTTATAAGTGACACCCAGATTTATTTTTCTGGCTATGGCTAAAAACATAGAATGGACCAAGTTATTGAGAATACGATCATCATTATATGTTCTTTATGATGTCACATTGTTTGTCTATACATATAGGAACATTCAAAAATGTTTAAAATCTTGTTTTTTTAAATTCAATCTGGGGATTTTTTATAAAATAGGCACGAGAAGAATTATTGTGTTAATTTTGTCAAAGTTTCCCTCTCAATATCTTAACTAAAGTGATGCTCAGACCTCATTTATAGATAGCTTTTATTCCTGTCACATTGCCACTTTAATTCCAGTGTACAAATTGTACTCCTTGTGTCTCCCATTACATTAAAAATATTTTTTTGTCAGGTATTTTTAATTTAAGTGGTTTGTGATAAGGTTTAAATGATTGAAACATGTTTTAGATGGATATTCAAATATCCACCCTCTCATGTCACATTTCACTAACACTATTTCCTATCATTAGATACTTGAAATTCGATGAGTTTTTATCTACATGGTAGGGTGGAATCGTAATGCAACCAATCCCATCTCTACACATCAGGCAACCAGGGAATTTTTTCCAACCAATGGTTGATCAACACGATTGTCAATCTACATTTACTATGAGTACAAAATAACCATTAAGGCACACAACATTCAAATCTGAGATTAACTCGTTACAATTCACAAAAGAGCTAATCCAACAGGGGCCAAAATCTGAAAATGAAGACAATGAAGCCGATAACCCAAATGATTGCAACAATTCTCTTGATGAGCTCGATCATGGAATGCACAGCCTCCAAGACGAACAAACTACGCGGTGTTGGATATATCGCGATCACAACAGAGAATCTTTCAGAGTCAACCAGGTTCTATACCCTAGTAATGGGTGGTAAACTTCTCTATAAGCTCTCAACTGCTGGGTTTGGATTCCAAGGAGACGAATTCTACAGAGGTTACTTCTACAAGGAGCTCCAGGATGCTGACAGACTGGGGGTAGACCCTGCAACATTGGGGGTAGTTGATATTCGACTAGGGGGAGACTATGAAGTAAGCAGGCTTTCTTAGAAAATTATTTATCATTTTTACACAAATAACTACCAAGAGGTAAAATCATGAATAAAATATTATGGTACACCTCTAATAATTGTTGCGATGTTTTGAAGTTTTTTCATATTTTAACACATGAAGTATACTTAAATTACAACTTCCCTATTTTTCTATGAACGACTCAACAGATCTCAGATTATGCTTCAAAGGTGTTCAAATAGTAGTAGCTATCTGTCCTTCAATAGAGAACATAATGTTTGTATATCCCTTCAACAGGAAACACATTCTCAAAAAGATACGAATGCTTTCATACAGTACTTGATAATTGATAAAAAGATACTCTCACCAAATCTACATGAATTTCAGGTCAATTATATCTGTATAAAGTATACTTGAAGGTACTCTTAATAAGCTGATTATTTTTATACTTATCAAGTACCAGTTTGATGGCAGTATCTGTATATGTTTTCAAAGTACTTGGGAAATGTTAACATCAAAGAGCAATTCAATTTTAACTGTTGTAACCTTTAATGACAAGATGATGCGTTTTAAAAATACTGACATAACAAAGGCATGGATGAGCAAGTCATACAATTTTACCCCATATACATTTGTGTAAATGTTCAACCTCATGTGTCTTTGTATAAATGTTCAACCTCATGTGTCTTTGTGTAAATGTTCAGACTAATACAATATATAAAATCTGAAAAATACTTTACTGCGTAAAATAAAATTTGATTAAATATTAACTAATCATTTTAGAGTTAATTTGGGAAATAGGTGTTAATATGTAAATATATTATAAAATATGCTTGAACACACAACCATTGAATGAAGGCTTATACATAGAAATTGATGATATGTTTCGAAATAGAGAACACACTTTTATTTTCAAAAAGCAGTCACATTCAAATAAGAATATTATAAAACATGCAAATAATGAACATATCACCTTGCTTTAGGGAATTAAGTAATTAAGGAAGTAAACAGCATAAATCTATATTTCATTTGTTTCAGGTACACTGGAACTTTGTCTTACTAGACAATGTATTGCTGCAAATTCTCCAATTCGTGCCTGTCAATTCTACAATAGAGCCTAACCCTGTATTGAAGGAAATGAAGCTCAAATCTAGCCCAGCTTTCCTAAGGGCTCCCACCTTAGGCATTTGGGTCCATCAAAATGTTGACTTTAATGAGTATGTTGCCCAATTTGAAGAAGTTTCACACAATAAGGCCTTTTATGAAGTCACTTTTAATTATCCTGTAAAGCTGGACTCAAAGGATGAGAGAAACAATGTGCCAAAATCAGATAATGCTTTAAGTTTTTACGAGGGTGACCTAGCTGGGGTTTCAATTTCATACGCAAAGGGACCTGGAGGTGAACAGTTGAAATTGTACCACCTGAATAACGACACTAAGGGCTATGTTTTGCGTGAATATTGTGATAGGCCATCCGGCAGCACAGCATTTCTAGACGACTACTATCACAACATGTATAAACAGAATGCTGAAATGCCAGGAAAGAATTTTGGTGTCTATACATTTGCAACACATACTGATAACCTGAAGAAATCTGTAAAGTTTTACAGCGAGATCCTTGGAGGAAGTCCCCTTAAAGAACCCCTTGATCGTAAAACTATCAAAGGTGATGGTATACATAATTTGCTATTCCAAGTTGATGAATGGAAAGCAAAGGAAAATAACATTGAACCCAAAAATGCTGGAATCCCTGATATTTCTGACTCAGGGGATATGAAACTTCAGACTCATTTCGTTCTTTTTGATGATATTCAAATAGAAATCAGCCAGATTTCTAGCACAAAAAGCAATACGAAATTCAAGCCAAAATATGATGTCCAAACTCCAGCAAGTATCAACAACATGTTTCCAAGCTTTGCCGTTGACAAGGAGACAAACCTCAATGAATACATCAAAGAGATTCTGGATAGATCAACTGAAAATGACTTCAGAGAAGTGAGAGCCAATAGTGTCAGTGAAACTGAGGATAATTACGTGGTTGAGTTTACCAAAGATGACCTGGAAGGCTTTAAGTTTGCTTTGGTGAAGGGGCCATCGGGAGAGCAAATAGGATTCTGTCAGTTCACGGGTGTGGCGGAACAGGTGTTAAAAAATGAGATGTTGGACTATGGTGCTGTAAGCACACTCTTTGAAGACACCCATTCTATCCTTAATGGAAAATGTGACTATACTTGTAGCTTTAAACATTACTATGATACTATACATGAGGAATTGTAAAGACTCTGTTTACATGATACCTGACTGACATCTATTAAGTCTGAATAAACCTTCTTAATAAACAGTGGTTGGAATTAGTTTGTATTGTCAATGAACTGATAAATAAATCTCATTCAAATGACTGTGTTATTTTCTTTTCGAATTTGAAATTATACGAGTTATTTTACCTGAGTTGAGTTTCAAATTGTGCCCGTCTTTTTCTGAGCATCTGTAATAATTCATCATCTTTCCCCTCCTCTCCATCAGAGGATGTTGGACTTCCTGGAAGTAATAAATATATACATTCAGAAAACAGAGAAAATGCTTTGCAAATTGGTTGATGTGACAGTAAATGTATTTTCCAATTTTAGAAGATTGGTACCTTTTTTTGGAAATATACTAGTTGTTGATGCAAAACAATTGAATATACAATCTCATTTATTAAAATGTGCGTCTTCAGAGATGACAAGGATGAGAGCTGACACTATTGGTAACTATAAATGTATTGGATTAGCTAATTTTGAGTCAGCGCAAGTGAGGCAACTAAATCACCAAAAATTTTACAAAATATGGTCAACTGGAATTGCCAAAATTTTGTTTCCAGTTAGTATATTTCATCTTTGGCTTAACTTTTGCATCTCTTAAATGCAGGGGTGTCATTAGCAGCAGGCAACAGGCGATTTTTACCGGTTGTTTTCACAAAACTTCAACTTTTTCATGTTAATTTTATGATTTCCATTAATTTTGCCTGTTGTTTTCATTTATTTAGCCTGTTGTGAGAAATTCTAGTGAAACCCCTGGGTTTGCCTTGCCTGATTTTTTCTGGCTAAACTCTTCTAATATGTGCTGTATATTCTACTTACTATTATGCTCTGTGTGGGAGTTGGAATCAATATCACTTTCAGTACTTGATCTGACAGTTGTATCACTTGTAAACAAGCGATCAGTTACCACCTAAAAAAACATTACATTTTTTCATACACAATGATAGCAAACGTGTGTGCCATCTCACACCATATGAAGACTATGTTCCCAGTGATCTCTCAAGGATTTTTTCTCATGTGGGTGCAAAATTCCCTCTTTCACAATTTTTACCAAGTTATGTCAAAATATGCCAATTTTCCATGATTTTTGTCATTTTCAATTGGGTGCAAATGGATTTTCAGGTTAGTGCAAGCCCATTTTCAAAATCTCAGGTGGGTGCTGCGGCCACTTAGTTTAATGCTAGGGAGATCACTCGTTCTCCATTAAAAGTAGATTGCTTCGTTTTTTTTAGTTTTTCAGAGTGAAATAAATATTTCAAAATGTCATTCTGTCACCAAGAACACACAAATGAATAAATCTAGACCAAAAGAACAAAATCCTAATGAAAACTTTAAAGAGATCTCCCATGTATTTTATTGCCAGTGGTGTAGGGACCACTTGCTTCTATACTGAGGATGCCTTTGTGATTATAAAACATACCAATATACATATATGTTTTATTTACCTGTCCAATAGCACTCCCAACAGGGCTCCTGGTCCTAGCAGGAGATGCAATTTTCCTTTTAATTCGAGGCACATGCCTGGTATTCCTTGGACTACTTTCTTTAGAATAAGGTTTATATCTTGTGCAACCATCACTTTCTTCTAGTGGGTAAATGCCTTCTAGTGATTCATTACTTGAGCTAACTACACTGTGTCTATTTTCTACAGGTTTTGATTTACTCCTATGGTATTTATCATTAGTTCTATTGGATTTTCTAGATTGTTTATGAGGTTCTGTTATACCTGTATTTTTATCTCTTGGTTTTGTATCCCTTGATTTTGAGGAAACACTTGGATTTAGAGTTTCTTTTGGGTCACTTTCATGATATTTTGTATTTCTTGTATCTTGCTTGTGCCTAGTGGGTATTTCCTCCAGTGAATCAGTGTCACATTCATGATGTTTATGGATCTTTGAGCTTCTTTGTTTGCTTCTCTCTTTGTATTTCCCTTGTGTTTGTGCATGTCTCTGTGAATAATGGTCTCTTTCAGTGTTATCATAGTGTTCAATATAGGCCTCATCTGATGGCCTTTGTCTCGCATGTGCTTCCCTTGTATAATCATTATCTTCACCTATCTGTCTTAAATGTTCACTCTGGTGGGGACATGGGAGAATATCACACATAAGGTGACGATGGGGCTCAGGGGATTGTGGGTCTGTGTGGGTACCTCCTTTGTGTCTCAAAGCAGGACTAGCTATAGGAGATTGGACATGAGTTGATCTTGTGTGTCTATACATGGATGGACTGGCTATAGGGGTATGTGGAGACTTTGTGATTTCAGGCTGTGCTCTGGTCAACTTTGGCGTAGTGTGTCCAGTATATGCAGCTCTGGCAATATCAGATTGCATGGTGGTGGTTGGTTCACCACTGGTTTGCACGGTGATAGACTGGTCCCCATTGGTTTGAGTAACAGCCTCTACCTAAAACAAGCACAAATGTTTTGTGTGAATAATAATTTCAAACCCTGCTGATCATTCAAGTCATATATTCTTCAAATCAATATGTTGTCTATCATCATCATAAGGCAAGTAGGTGATATTGTAGGTCAAACTTAAGACCTTGCAACAACCCTTGCAAAAACCTTTCTGGCTGAATTTCAATCTTTTGTTCAACATCTTTTGCTATGTTTGAAAAAAATATGACTATGAATATGACTCAACTTATTGTGGGTGATATTATACACAATTAGCCATTAGGTTCCCATCCTCATTTAAAGTGTCTTACAAGAGCTTTAAGTGCTTAAAGATTATCCACAACTTAAATTGCGCCTTTGCCGTCAATCTTTCAATAAAGTGATCTTTCAACACATTTGAAATCTTAAACAGTCAAAGAAATATTTTGCAACTGCCATATCAATAATCACCTAATCAAAAAGTTCTCTGCATTAAGACTTGGTATTATATGTTATACCTATTACTACAAAACCTACTGTGTCAGATGTCTGAGTTTCAATTGTGACTTTTGCAGTTTGCACCAGTTTCTCAACAGATGGCAGGTTTTTAGTTTTGTCACTAGATGTCACTGCTGTTCCAGATTGTGAAAATCCACGGGAGGCCTCAGCTAACTTTTGCCTAAACTCTGCTAGTTTATGATCAATTGTATCACCATTCTGAAAACAATCAGAGTGCAATCATGTCCTATACTGAGATCTTGATATTGTCAAAATCCATACATCTGAAACTAGTTTTCAATAGGCCATCTGTAATGAAAATGGGTTTCATATCTTGGTCAGTATAATTCTGTTGGTCCATTTCGAAAATAAACATTTTATCCTCAAGAATATAATTGCTTGCTCAGTGTGGCAACTCATAAAACATATATAACTTCAAAGTGGATATCAATTAAAATTGTTGCGACACATAGAAATCCAGAAGTAAGGGGGAAGTGGGGATTAAATTAAAATGAAATTAGTTATAGCATATTTTTTTACCAGATATCAATGAAATGACAGACTGCTTAAGATATCTATGGTTGATGATAAGGGTATAAAAATTTGATTTCTGTGGTGTCATAATATTTGGAATATAAATTTTCCCCTAATAAGAACAGGGTCAAAAATTAACTATTGATATAGAGTTGACCCAATAGTGTGTTTTAATGAATTAAGAAATACCTGTTGTCTCAACTGATTAGGGTCACTGTGTGTTATAGCATCATGGTGGGCCTGTGTTCTTTGTTGTGCCTGTTCAATTCGCCTCCGTAACCGCCACTGATACAGTATATCATCCTCCTTATGAGGTCTCTCTTTCAGAGGTAGATCACATACTGCATTTTCTTTACCTATAATAAAACAGATAAGCTTCATCCTGCTGTAGAAAATGTAGTTAATAAACCCTGGATAATAAATAATGGGTAAAATAATACCAATTTCAAAGGTTATTTGATTTCAACTGATTTCAGTTTAAGGCATTAACATGCAAAATGGAACCACCTGCCATTTGTTACAGATGCCATTTTCTGGTGAGAGAAAAATGAAGCATCATTTGCATTATTATTCTTACATGTTTTTTGTCACGTTTACCAAATCAATTGCCAAATCAGTGTTGACCTTTTACTTTATGATACAGCTATAGAACTGAGGAAATGATTACTTTTTTCAATGAAGGAAAAAAGAGTTATTTATGTTTTATTTCTGTACAACTTTTTGGGACACCTGATATATTTGTATTATGAAAAAATGTAACAAGAACACATAATGTATACAATAGAACAACGGAGAAAGTTGCCTTCACAGTAGACCCCTCAAAAAGTTTTGCTGGAAAATCATTAACAAAACTTTACATACAAGACTTTAGGCAGAGAAAACCAACATGGCCTCCCTCATATTTACCAAACATCCCCATAAACAAATCCCTTCTAGATTTTCACACCAAAAAAACATTCCAGAAAAATTTTCAAACAATTTGCCTATAAACACTTAAACAAAATGATTTTAACAATAAAAATATCATTGTTCTAAACCTCCATAGAGCATTATCAAAAACGTGATGTACCTTTTGAAATCCTGGTAAATGCAGGTCTGTATGATTGTTCCTCAAAGCTTGCTCCACTGGGTGAACTACCAAGACCATCTGTACTGATCACAGGATCAGATGAATTAAGGCTACTCTCACTGAAATAAAGTAATTACTAGGTAGAATAAGACATCTGAGTATATGGCCAATACATGTACCTTAGTACCACACTGTTAAATACTACATGTGCAGTTGTGATACTTTTTCATTTTCAGAACCAGACAAGAGTTGAATCAGACCATATTTTGTATCAACATTCCCCAACCTTTGGGACAACATATTCTTAGTTTTGTGGTGCATTTCTGTCAATATTTACAAAAACATGATTTTCTGAAATTCTCTGTGTTTGTACAGTACGAAAAGAAATTTTGAGAAAGATATATTTACAGCTTCCAAATTAACTCAAGTTATGGTATGCTGATATGAAACATATTGTTCTGAAACAAGCTGAAGCAAAACTTTGGGATGACTTTGAGTAATAATAAGGATTAATAAGTTATCCAAGGTTTGGGTTGCTGAGCAACTGGTAATCAATTACTGGGTACCTTCTCTCCAATAATTGATCTGCACGTTCTTGAATCCATTTAGTCTTCACATCATCTCCAGGCACAAACAACTTAGAGCTCTGAAAAAATTTTTTATATCATATGCACACATTGTTGACATCTATTAAAACAGGTGAAAATTATGCAGGTTTGACAGATAGAGATATTTCGGCAGATTTTATGTTAAAATAAAACCACAAATTCAATATTTTCGACAACATGATTCATCTTTTTTCGACAGTATGATTTTATTTTGTCCACCTTTTAAAGTACTCCACACATAAATTTGAGTGTAAATCTTTTTTCATATTCTTCCAGCTTGGAAGTTGTAAATGTTAGCATATTACATGTTGATTATGAGAAAATGGATAACTTTAGATATCATGTGTTCAATATTACCGAGGTTGTTGATGATGTTGAAGTGTGCCTAGATCCTTGCTTGCTTCTGGAAGGGCTTAACTCTTTTGATTTGGATCTTTGCTTTCTCCATGCAGCAAGGGAATCTTTTGTTGGAGCCACTTTCTTTTGTTTTAACTGGTCATCTTTAGGAGTAGAGCTACTACTGGGTCCTGTGGAATTCAAGGGTTCTGGTGGTGAATTAAGCCACCAGAAATCTTTAGGTTCTGATTTCTTGTGGTGCTCCCGATCTTGGCGACTTGTGGGTTTACCATATCTAAACCTTTGAATGTACCTGTAGAAATAATATACTGTGTATCATGATATCATTCTTCAATACAATTTTTGGGTCTGCTGTAATGCGAGCGAAGCGAGCGCCAAACGGGGGGTAAGGGGGTTCTTCCCCAAAAATTTCTTTTAATTTACATTGAATATGGTGCATTCTAAGCATTTCAAACTAGCTATAAGTTTTTTAACAAATTTAACAAAATAACACCCCCTTGGCTACACCCATGGTATATTCTGAGAAATGAGGAAACCATATTGAATACATTAGTTTGCAAAGCACCAGATTCTTAAATAAACCAAACAAGTGAGCTTACTTTGCAAGTGCACTGTCTCTTTCATCATCTTCTTTGAGGGGTGACAGCTGAGCCATGGTAGCCTCTAACCTGGATTGGGCCTGCCTGGTGTCCAGTGTTGAACCTTGCATGGAGGGTGCAGATACCCTAGGATCATGGTGCTCAGCTAAGATAGGACTCAGATATTCAGACTGATGCAAACTTGGGCCACTGTAACACCACAGAATTCAAATTGACAGCAAAAATTGCAAATCCAAAATTCAGCAAAATATCATGCCAAAAATCCATGTTTATGTATAGACTATTTAATCAAATTCTATAAATTTTGTGTGCATGTTACTTTGTATGTTAAAAAGTTTACCTCAGTGTGGATGGCCGTTCACTCGAGGGCCATGATTCATTAAACTTTGATGATGTGTCCCTTGGGCTTGGTGTGTCACTTGTAGGTGGATCCTTATCTAAATACTTGTTACTTTCCTTCAAAAACTTGCGAACATTCGGACTCAGCTTTTTCTCATGTGGAAGTTGTTGTAACCGTTCAGGACTCAGAGTAACCTTAAGGAAAGAAGGACAATTTAACATGTTCATAATAGTAATTGTATATGATTATCCACCAACCCATTAGCCCAAAACAAGGACAATCTAGCACTTTCAGTTTGATATAACACACATACTTATATGACAGTAAATTATATCTACCTTCTTCTCAGCTGATGTGAGTTGTTTTTGTAATGTTGGGTGGTAAAATGGTCTCGGAAGTGGCTCAACTTCAAATGGATCACATCTGAAATCATAAAATTAAGATATATATTACATATACATGTATTAACATCAGCTATGGAGTTTTGTAGAAGAGTCAATTGCATTGTAGAAAAACATCTGCATAGTATGAAAGTCTATCTAGTGAATAATTGGGAGGAGGAGGGTAATGTTGACAAAGAATTACTTTTACACAAATTTTGGGGTAACACTTGTTAGAAATTCAGAAATAGAAATCTCGTGAGTTATTCATCTCTAGGAAAAAGAAGGTAAATGATGTTAACAATATTACATCACCTAATAGGCACCCAAAAATTAGAAAACATACCCCCTAGCCTTCTAACCACATGCCCAGGAAGATGACGAATTTGAAAAAGTGCAATGAAATTGTGTACACATCTGAAGGAAATGTGATGAATTGGTGATAGGATTTTGAATTTCGTATTAAATACCTACAGTACTGTCAAAAATAGAGAAGTATATTTGGCATATTTCATCTTGAATATCCACATTTAATGTCCAAAACTGCAGAAAATGATCCCAAAGTGAATGTCTCCAAGACTTTATACCAGCGTATGGATTATGCTTATCTCACGAATCTGAGTTCAGATTTTGATAAAATTAATCTCTGCCATGTTTGACAATTGTGGTTTGATTTTTATTGTAAGTGCTCGGGAATTGATCAATTCACATGAAATATCAAATAATCTGATTGGTTTAAACATACAGTCATGCATGCGCATGTGTGCCATGTTTTTTCTAGTCCTTATTTTGTTTTATGGAACAAAAATAGTTCCGATAAAAGCCTCGATAAAAATGGCAGACCAAATGTAGAATTAACAGGTAAAATCACATCAAGATTTTAGAGATTTTTCTGCTTAAAACAGTAAAACTTTTGCTTCTTTTGTGCATTCTATCCTTGACATATGAGATAAAAGTGTTATCAAACATGTATGATATAGTCTACTACTCATTAGCCCAACTCTCCATTTCAATATACACTCGAAGGAAGTGTTAATTGTCACTTCGTCATTTTTTGTGACTGAAATTCCCTACAAAATTTCCCTGCTCATCACCATATTTCCTGATTTTGAGAGAATTGTAACAAGTGAGGCAAATTAGAAGGTGGTGTCAAATTGATACCAAAAAATCTATTGATGTTCTTCATTTCCTCCAAGCTTAATATTTTCCCTAGCGAGGACAAGTCTGATTCTACTGAGCTAATAATTTTTTTTATGAAAAATAAAGAAATAACACCCAGATTAAATTATGAATATTCAAAAGAGGTCATTTAATAAATCTACAATATGTAAAATATTGAAATTGTCTGAAGCAGGCGTAATGTGTAGTAGACTGATTCAATAAAAGACAAGTCTCAGAATGATGAAGATTGATGAACTTCGTTCTCCAAACCGAGACTAGTCTTTTAATTAATAAAGGACCCACGGTCTTGTGCTCACACAGTGTGGAACCTTCAGAGGAATGTATATCCTGACTTTCAAAGAAAAATATTGATTTGGATTTGTAGTCTCGAACTTTTAGAAACTTAGATAGCACAGTTGTGTGACCTAGTTTGATGACCTTTGACCTTGAAAATTTTACTTATTCAGAGCTCAGTAAGGTCTTTTGTGATTAAGCTTACCAAAATTTACATCCAAAAATCAATTTGAAAAATCAACTTTTTTGACCTTTCGAAGGTCAGTGAAGGTCAAGTAAAGGTCAAATCCTAAAACTAATGTCAGATTTGAACTCCTGGCAACTTGTAGATGATTTTCAAAAAAAATTTGGTCAAATTGAAGCAAGTTGAAAAATCACTTATTTTTACTGTTTTTTGACGTCTCAAAACGGTAAAAATTTGATGCTGACATGTAGTGAGCAATATGTACGGAATGCTTAAATCTAGTAATGATGTAATTCATTGCAAGAAATGATCAAGTATTAGGCAAACTTTGAGAAACTTGTCAATCACAAAACCTGCCATTGACTTTATTTATGAGAAAGTTAAAGTTTCCTGAAAATGACAAGTCCTACTTTTTATCAAATTTTATAGAGTGAACACCAAAAACTGTAATTCCAAGAGCTTTGAATCCTCAGAGGACATAAGTAGGATATACAGCAACTACTACAAGTTATTTGAAAGTTCTACTTAAACAAAGTGTCTAGTATTTACAGGAAATTTGACTTTTTGACGTCAAAATCCGCAATTTCTCTGAAACCGGGCAAACTTGGAAAAAATCACAGTCAACTGCAGTTTCTGAGATTAATTTGGCCAAAACATAGTGGCCCCCATATCATCATCATCATGTTTAGGAGGGTAAGGTTAGTACTGTGTTGTCCTCCCTTCTGGTTTTATTATTTACATAATATATTCTTATGGGCAGTTTTCAGTTTCTTTAGTATTTTATTCCCCAAAGACGGTAGGCCCTACAGTAAAATTTTAAATGTTTGGAACTACTTTGAATCTAAAAAATAAGCAATTAAAGGACCATATGTAAAAATAGCAACATTTATACATGTCCTAACTTTTGCATATTTTAGTTTGTTTTGTAGTTTAACTATCATATCTGTGCCCTCTTATATTTTGATGCTTCTCTGCCATGTTATTTTCGAAAAAATTAACATGGCTGAAACTCCCTAAATTACAAAAGGCCACAGCTTTGATGCACATTATACATAACTATCTGAAATATACAAAAGTTAGGACTTGTACATATATATCCATTTTTTCATATACTGTTGCAATATAGGGCGAAGGGGTAACTTTGACATGTGGGGTAACTTCAACACCTTGTTGTTTATTTGTTCTAATTTCTGATCTAGGGGGAAGCGGTGTTTTTTTCTCGCATGGATAGAGATCTTGTGAGATTTTAATTTTCCAGAAATCAAACATGGCGGAAAACGGAAATTCTACTGGGGGGGGTGTATAGAGGGTCTTGGAAATGCATATACAATATTTTTCAGCTCTCTTATACCATATACAATATTTTTTCACCATATACAATATTTTTCACAGCTCTTATACCATATACAATATTTTAGGTGAAATACAATATACGATAATTTTGAAACTGCTTTTGATTAAAGTTTGGATATTTATAAGGAAATAATATTATATTAGGAGAGAATTCATGTACTAAAGTAAATGTATCATATTATAAGGCAACTAGACTCCACATACATACCACAATGATTTCATTTATTTCATTATGAATTAGACACCATTCGGGTACATCAGCATCAGAAAAGCTGTGACCACATTTTATTTTCAGGTAAACAAGTTGATTTAAAACACATTTATGATATAAGATTCATGACTTCTCTTTAGTGATTTAGCAACCTACTTTGACCAAAAAACTAACCATGACATTGCTGCAATTTGCTAAAGCCATTAGCCCATTACCTGTAAAAGTACCATAAAGATATTCAAAATTAGCACAAAACCTGCATCATTGGAATGGGTGGAACCCAGTGCTCCTCTTTCTTATGACCTACTTTCCCATGACTTATTTAAATGTCCTTCATAGTGAGCCAGGGAAAAAAATTCTTGAAACATAATTGATGCAAAATTGAGAATGTTGAATAAAAGATTCATCATGTGTTCTATGAAAATAAAGTTTGCTGAGGAAAATATTTATCAGATAGATAATGAAGATTCACAATGCACAATAATTTTGTAAAGCAGTTACCTGGAAAATATTAAGTATTTAAAACAGTTTCAGAAATAAAGGTCTTCACAAACTTCCATGTAGATAATTCATTTTTGATTGGACTCGAGTCTGGAAACTAGAGTTTGAAATAAAGGCAAGATGAGACTTGATTGTTTAAACATTTGAAACATGAGACACTTCGGGGTTTCAGATAAGGCAGCCTCAAAGACAGTATAAGTTAAACAAAGGTGTGTCAAAATTAAGCAAATTTCCATGAAGGTCAAACCACATGTTTCACAAATGATTTCAAGGCAAAGATGTATTGATGAGAATGGAAACTACTCTATGTAACTAGAAATAACTTTCTTTTAAAGGACCACGAACGGTATCGCAACAGATTTCAGTCATATATTGGATTTTGGCTATTTTCTGAGGATTTGAACAGGTGCATATGTTAGGCCAATGCATTAACTCCAGGACAAGCAGTCATAGAGATTATAAAATAATTTGGACTTCAAGACAGGGAAGGTGCAAACACCCCATCAACATGTTTTTCTGTAATGTTGTCCTGATTTCCAGCCCTTTCCACACCTGTTTTTCAATGTTTGTTGCATCGATCACTCTGTTGCGTTTTGAGACATGGTTAAGATCTTTAAATGAAAATATGATTCATGCAGGGGTTTTAAAGATATCAATTTTGGATGACCAAAATTAAGCTGAAAACAATGGATCACATGAGTTTTCCCAATGGGAAAATAACATGGGAAATACATGTACTGTTTTCCACTTTATCCCAAATAAATCATATTTTAGAGGTTAACTGTGTCTCAAAGTGCAACATATTGGTGCATCAAACATTGAAAAAACATATGTGGAAAGGTCTGAAAATAAGGACAACATTTCAGAAAAACCTTCCCTGTCTCAAAGTTAAAATTATTTTATTACTTCTATGAGTGCTTGATCTGGAGTTAATGCATTGGCCTAACATATGCACCTGTTCAAATCCCCAATAAATAGCCGAAATCCAACACATGACGGTTTGAAGACCAAATAAACACCTTTTGCTATATTATGCTATATTAGCATTGTGATGCTTGTATTAAAACATGCGCTGTATGAACACTTTATACTCAAATATTTTCATGATTTATCCCACATACCCCGAAACACGAGTAGCTATAGTGACCATATTTTTCATCAAAGTTAAGATGGTCAATGACATTTGGCAGTCTCACGCCCCGTGATCTGATGAAATGAACGGAGGGGGAGTAGCTGATTTTCGGTAAATTCAACAAATGTTGAAGATTTATTTTTTAAAGCAAAAGTTTACAATTGAATGGCTACATGAATAGGTGCAGTGCACAGGGAAATATGTTCGGTCTTCTTGGTTTTTTTTGAACTGATGGAGTTCTAAGATAAAAGGTCTATTAAAAAAGGCGCAGCGTCGCCAACGTGCAAATGCCATTGGCATTTGCATGTTGGCGACGCTGCACTTTTTTAATAGATCTTTTATTTTAGAACTCCACAGTTAAAAAAAATCCAAAAAGACCTAACATATTCCCCCATCCACTGCGTCTATTCATTTAGCCATTCAATTGTAAACTTTCTCTTGAAAAAATAAATCTTCAAGATTTGTTGAATTTTCTACCGAAAATCAGCTAGATCTACTCCCCCCTCCATTCATTTCTTCTGATCACCAGGCGTGATTCTTATTTGAGACTGTATTTAACACCTCCTGTGAAAATTTGAATGAAAAGGGCACAAAACTCTTAGTTTGAGAGGGCTTTTCTCTAAACTAACAGTATCGATTGACCTGGAATTTGAAAACAATTATAGAGACTACTTTTCCATGTTTTTCCAACACGGTTACAGTAAGAGAGTTGGCACAATGGGGGAACTTTTTCTTCATAATTAGCCTTCTTTAATTCTAGATACCATATACCATATTTTCTAAAATACCATATACCATATTTTTTACACCTCTTATACCATATACGATAAATTTTGCCCCCTCTTATACAATATACAATAAATTTTCAGCCTCTTATACGATATACAATATCTCTATACACCCCCCCTCTACTTCTAATATGGAAGTGTCGAAGTTAACCTGCCTCTTATGTCAACATTACCCCACATGTCAACGTTACACCCCTTTGCCCTAGTCAAGTGATTGCTTATTTTTTCAAAGTGTTTTTTTTCAAAGTAGTTCCAAACATTTAAAATTTTATTGTAGATCTAGGCCTAGTATATGTAATGTGACAGTTGCACTAAATATATAAGTCTAAATCAAGATGGGAAAACGTAAAGATGTGAATTATTACAGTAGCAAACATCAAACATAGATCGAGAACTCCCGCAAAATAGTCGCTAGTCTCGACTACTGAGCGGTTGCCTTTGGTGGAGGAGATCTCGAAAAAATAAAAAAAATATAAAATTTTAAGTTGAGCATTCTCGCCCTTTATCTGAATATTACCTGATTCTTTGCAAGCTAGACTTGGTATCCATATATCCCGCTAACTAACCGAAGAGATATTGTATCATATGGTCGTTCAGGTAAGAAGTATTTCCCCAATGTCGGGTAATTTGGAAAATATTTAATTTTTCAATTGGGCGCCATCTTAATCTAAAAATCAAACTTTAGTCTGTATTTTACAAACTGAAATAGTAATGAATTAATGTCTAAAAGATCATAAATATTCTAATAGAGGAATAAATTAATTTTAATTATTCATCAAATAATTATAAATAATTTCATTAAAGTATAATTGTTTGAATAAATACTTGATTTATATTTTCGTTTCAACTATTATGGCGCACTAATTTTGATAAAAATGTATCCGCCAGAAAAACCTCTGGGTTCTACCATTTATGAACGAATAATGTGATAATTTTATCAATTTACATCTTGGAAATTATTATCAATTCAAATATAAACATTTTTTTCTTTTTTTCTATTCATTTCGGTTGCATATCTTGTTGTTTGTGATGCCCTACTTTTGCACTGGTGAAGAGTCTAGCAGACGCTGAAAGTAGGCCTAGAAAGTTGTTCTTGAGAATTTTGGTAAGAATTTCGGAGTTTATTTTTTTTGATTGAATCATCATTACTATAATACTTTGATTTAGGCAAACATTGCTGCCTGCTCCTATCTTTCAGTCTCCTCCCAAGACAAATGAGACGAGGCAATAGGCGTAGCTAGGGGGGTGGATGGGTGCGAATCATGGGCGCGATTGCACCCCCTTCCAAAAAAGAAAAAAGCAATTTTGTAAAATTTGTTGAAAAAACGTTATCATAACCAAGTATATTTTGAAATGCTTAGAATTTCCGGGGGTGAACTGCCCCATACCCTCTTTTTTGGGGCTCGCTTCGCCTGCATTTACGCCCCTGCAATGCAGATTGTGCAAGGGGATATAACGTTGTTTCTAGAACCTCAATTTTATCCCACATGCCCATGTTTGATTTCAGTAAAAAAATGAAATCATCCATGTTGTAGAAATTTTAATTGTAGGCCTAGGCCTAGAGCCAAATTACTAAACGTCTGATTGCATGTCAAGTTAGCCTACCCCATGTCAAAGCTACTCCATCCTTGCCAGTGTAAGATGGCTGGCCACTAGGAATGCCGAGCATTAGCCTAATCCAGGCTTACTTTACCAGGCAAACTGGCAAATGATTAATGTATGCCTTGTCCGAGAGTCTAAAGAGGTAGCCTAAGAACATGTTCAACAATACAGCCAATGTGGAACATTTTCAGGTCTTACTATAGTAAGGCAAGGTCAGTCAACTATAACAACTTCACAAATCAATACAAAAAACATCTTTCAATTTATATTTTACTTTCAGAATATGAATGACAACCAACAACAACAATCATGACAATGCTGTTCAGTACATTGTAAAATAGAATTGTTGAAAAACAATACAGAATATGAGTCAGAATACTCTTGATCCTCCTCTAATGAGGGGGCGCAGGAGGAGTGTTCTTATCAACATGCAAGCCACACATACAATTCAAGAGAAACAGGTAATGTTAAAAGTTACATATATATTTCTTCCTGTTAATTATTAATTCTTTTAAATAAATCTTCATCCCGGAAAGTATCTACTTATTCAGTTATTTCCTAATATTAATTTCTTTGAAGTAAACTATTGATTTCAAATACAAATTATTAATAATGGGAAACCATGCTTGAAGGCATCACATAGGAGTCGTGTCATAAGTAGTGTTGTTCATTTTTTTTATGTTCCACCACAAGTGGTGACATATTGTCATAGTTCAACTTGTGGATGGCAGTTTGTGTTTGGAGTTCAGCTGTTGGCCACTGTAACAAATGGCAGGTGTTGAAATTTTGCATGTTAATGCCTTGTTGATGATAGTGCAGTCTACCTCCATGGTCACTGGTCATTCGTCATGAATTCAGATAGTACATGTATATTCATACATGTATATTCATACATGTATATCAGTGTTATGATTTTATGATTATAATTTCAAGCACAAACCAATTTGAACCATTCGGATTATCCATGATTTTTGGGATTATAATAATATATAGAACATACATTTTTAAGTTGCATCCCTTGTTTCCTTTGTAGGCCAGGGCAAAAGAGAACAGAGAAAGAAGAAGATTGAGTATCGGACCAATGCATAAATATATATTGCAAATGGTCTCGGAGTATATTGGTATTGATCTAAATGTGGCTGAAGAATTTATTCTAGATACACAAAAGGTAAATATATTATATTAATACAGCGTATAAAAATCAGATATTATCTGATTTTTAACGACCGCTTGATTTTAACAAAAAGTTTGATTAATTACACTGCTGATATTGCACTCTTTTCAACAGGTGTCATGCATCAGAAGCATATCAAGGCATGCAATGCCTGACACATTTCACTATTCCATGTGCTCAATTTGGATTCATTTACATGTATCTCATGAAGAAAGAACTTCTAAAGCTTTGTTGTTGAATTTTACATGAAGAAAGAACTTCTAAAGCTTTGTTGTTGAATTTTTGGACAATTCCCATCCACACATTTTGTATATGAACTAATGTAACTGAAGAAGGTAATTTATATAAGATTTGAACTGGTATCAATCTTGCAATAAATGTTTTTCAGCAAATTGACCTGTTTGAAAATTTCCTATCAAAAGATAGCGAGGCTAAGTCTATCAAATTTTTCCATCAGGAGGCTGAGGTCCCCTTATCTGAAGGCAAGCTTTTACTCTATCTTCTTACTATATGATTCTCAGATACTGTGTTTAACCTATGTTTCTAATCCAAATTAATTTTATGTTTTTCAAACATTTCAAGGAAAAATCCCCCAAAATCTGCTTGTATTTATCATGTTTGTCATGTGTGAATAATTATCCCATCGAACGAAGTTCGGAGGGATAAAGGGAACGCCTCCGTCCGTCCGTCCGTCCGTACGTACGTACGTCCGTACGTACGTACGTACGTTCGTCCGTCCGTCCGTCCGGGCAATAACTCAAATACCGTTGGCCCGATTTTGTTCATATTTTGTACACATATACCCTATGGGGGTAGAAGTTCTGCTAAAAAGCCAATTTTCAAAATGGCCGCTCATTTAAAAATGGCGGCCATTTTAGTGCCGATTTTACAGTAATTTAGGTGCAATATGTAAAACTGTGATAGCATTATGTTTTAAATGTAAAAAAATTATATAGGGCATTGATAAAGCTAGAAATGTAGAAATGAAAATAGTACATGGCAGCCATCTTGAAAAATGGCGGCCTTTACTCGTTATTTTACGATTTTTGCTGTAACTCAAGAAGTATTGGAGCGATTTTGTTCATATTTGGTATGTGAATACTATAAGCATGGCTCACTGTCTAATGTCACTTTTGGTAGGAGGAGGCCATTTTGAAAATTTGCCGCCATTTTGAAAAATGGTCGCCATTTTAACATATTTTACTTTAACTCAAAAAGTAGTGGAGCGATTTTGTTCATATTTGTTTTGTGAATACTATAAGCATGGCACACTGTCTAATGACATTTTTGGTAGGAGGCGGCCATTTTGAAAAATGGCCGCCATTCTAACGTATTTTACTATAACTCGAAAAGTAGTGGAGCGATTTTGTTCATATTTGGTATGTGAATAATATAAGCATGGCACACTGTCTAATGACACTTTTGGTAGAAGGTGGCCATTTTGAAAAATGGCCACCATTTTAAAGTATTTTACTGTAACTCGAAAAGTAGTGGAGCGATTTTGTTCATATTTGCCATGCGAATACTATAAAAAAAGTATATTACTTCTGATGACAAAAAATGGAATTTGAAAAATGGCCGCCATTTAAACGTATTTTACTCGGCCTTTACTCATTATTTTACGATTTTTGCTGTAACTTGAAAAGTAGTGGAGCGATTTTGTTCATATTTGGTATTCAAATACTATTAGCATTGCACACTGTCTTATGACACTTTTGGTAGAAGGCGGCCATTTTGAAAAATGGCCACCATTTTAAAGTATTTTACTCTAACTCGAAAAGAAGTGGAGCGACTTTGTTCATATTTGGCATGTGAATACTATAAAAAAGCATATTACTTCTTCTGATGACAACTTTCTTATGTGTGTTATTTTATGATATTTGCTATATATTTCGTTTGAAAAAAATGCCAGCTATTTCTGTTCGATGGGATTCGCTACGCTTTGGCGTTGCCGTTGTTCTGGTTTGTCTTGGATATTAACAGCTCATTTTCCATCAAGTGTACTCTTTTCATGAATTGAAGTTTTTGCCAGAATTTAGTTAAAAAGTAATTAAAAGTTATATAAGTTTCAATAGAAGTTAATGTTTGAGAGCAATTTTCTAGTATATCAATAGTATATCAAGTCTCTCGAGAACCCCCTCTCCCTACTTTACAAGTGGAATGTGGTCACAAGGAGGTCACCAACGAGGTTGTTAAATTCATTTGCAGAGTCTGGTCGTGTGATACCAGGGATGACAAAGGGTAGCAAGATGATGAGATTGTTCATCACAGATGGAGCTACAGAACCATTGAAGAACATCTGTGTCTACTTCTTAAGAATCAGATTTGGAGTAGAACTAAATGCCAGAAATATTGGAGAGGTATTCCCTGTGTGCTTTTGTCCTTGTGTTTTAACTAAAATTAGAATTAAATCTTATGCAGAATTTTCAATAAAAAAAATTGTGATATAACAGATTTTCATCCAGATATTCATTCAGAAACATAAATGAGAAACAATTCATCCACTCAACAATCTTATTTGCAACCATATATTTTTATATAAATTATCAATTTTATATTAAATTGAATATGTAGGATGAGATTAAAACTTTCAAATATTACATGTCAAGATTTGTTCTTTATGACTGTAAAATGAGTATTTATCAGTATTAGATAAATAATAATGTAAAAATTATTGAACATATTTAGTACATTGCATTTAATTATTCAATTTCAGTCAATAACATTTGGTGTGCTAGATGTATCTAAAGACAAGAGTCTATTGCCTGGCATAAACAAGAGCCTCACCAAGATCTTCAAGCCAGCCATGCATGCAACAGAGGACTGGGGAGAACTCAGTGAACTTCCTGAGGGAGAGCGGACAAAGAAGAACTTCCTTGATAACCTTGATAACTTCATTAACTTCATATCTTGTGAGTTCATTTTTTATTTACTTTTCTGTTTGCCAAAAATATTTGTACCAAATCAGTGGATATTAAAACTTATTTTATGTCAACAATGAATACATTTCAGTGAAAAAAGGGGAATTATTATAGTGTCAGATATTACCTGGAGTGCAGTTTGTCATTTTAAGTCTCCCTAAATGAGCAAAATGTCTTGCTGAAAAATGTACACATTGATAAATGACCCGGCCCTGATATTGCAGGTGCTCAAGTGAGTGCTGAAGGTGTGGTTAGACTGAGAGAATGTGAGGGAGTAGATCTAGAAAGTATGCAGTCTGCAAAGGACTGTATCAATGCTGCTGCTAATCCTGAGACAATGGCCATACTGGAGGATGTTGTGTCTTCCTGGTGTAAACAGATTGAACAGGTCAGTGAACTTGCTATCTCTATACCAGATAGCAATTTCTGTAAATGAAATACTTCTGTCATTTTACATATGTTCACTTTTGATTTTACAGTATTGATCTGCACATTGACTTGTTTGTCACTCATTTTGTCACTCTGTAGGTCGAAATAGAAGTACATGTGTAAGGAATTTAATTCTCCATAAATGTTTATAATTTAGTATTTCAGGTTAAATTGATTATAGTTCATTTGTTGTGATATAAACCATCTATCCATTGCTTTCAGGTATACTTGAAAACGGTTGTGTGGTTTGTGGTGAAGCCAAAAAAATGTGGAGATTTGAAATAAATATTGTATTGTTGGATATTAAGTTTTTATTCATGTCACCGCCAGAAGCTGTGACATATTGTTAGTCTCTCAACTTTTTGTGACTGGTGTTAGGCGATTGGTGTTTGGCTTCAGAGGTTGGAATCTGTAATAAATGGCAGGTGGTGACATATTGCACGTTAATGCCTTTTTATCATTATAAAGGTGTTAGCTGAGAGTGACCAGATGAGGAAAGAGGCAGATGACACAGGACCTTTAGCCGAGCTGGAACATTGGAGACAACTCACAGCACGCTTTAACTCCATCCTTGAGCAGATCAAAGGCCATGATTGTAAGATGGTCATTCATACACTCCATATTTCGAAGACAAAGGTCCTAAAGGTTAGTAAACTCAGTAAATTTCAGTTGATTGAATGTAATTCTACAGTCTACACTGCTAGAATATGTATATGATCACATGTTAAAAAGAAGCTCAAGAAATACATGTTAAAAAGAAGCTCAAGAAATACTTTTTAGCATTTTTGGAACAATTTCTGTTTATTTACCTGTTGATAAATTGTATTTTCAAGTTTCTTCCATACCTTCATAAAACTTACCAAAGGGTTACAGGATTGATTTTGATGATATTTGTGGAAGCAATGATAATTGTAGCAAGAACAGGTTCAATCCAAAAATACATTATTTTTTCTCTTATTGGTAACAATCATTGCATTCTTACTTTAGGGTAGTCCCAATCATAGAGATTAGACTTTAAATTGGAGTTTTATGATTTTAGATGTGGAAAGACTTAGATAATCGTATAACCGACTCTGCAAATGAAGCCAGGGATAATGTGCGCTACCTCTACACACTGGAGAAGTTCTGTGAGCCCCTCTACAGGTGTGATCCAGTAAGTATCAAACATCATTTTATTCAGAAGATAAAATATAGTGTACGGCATTGATGTACCTGTTCAGGCAAGATGTTATTAAAAAATATCCTATTTTTAGAAAATGAGTGAATTAAAAGGGAAAAGAAACCAGCAATTAGAAAATAACAATTACATATCCTAGAAATATGAAAAATACTCATTTTAACACATTATGCCTACATATGTATTTTCAACCACTTATAAGGCCAATCTGTATTCATTCAGGATAATTATGGCCTACTGTCCTCAAATCCAGTAGTCTAGGAAGATGCCTTTGAAATCATGACATTGGTACATGTATATGTTAAATTGTGCACTTTGTTTCAGATGGCTATGTCTGAAGGTATTCCCAGTTTGATTAATGCTATCAGGATGATACACAGCATATCGAGGTACTATAACACATCAGAGAGGATGACATCACTTTTCATCAAGGTAAACAATTGTAAATGCACAGTGTATATAATTTATACAATATCCTACTCTAGCTGCATTTGGTGCCTTTAGGGATGTAATCTTATTGGTCTTCTGGCTCTTTATGAACTCATAGACTCTATATCTATTTGTGTGTAAAACCAAGGGTGAATGTCACGACTCACATTGCAGTGTTCCGGCTTGTTTTGGCAGTGAACGGAATCTTAATTGTTGTAATGGCTATCTAGTAGTCAAAACAATAATTAACAATAGATATTTTACTTATGTAACATAGGTGACAAACCAGATGGTAACTGCCTGTAAGAGCTTCATCACAAATGATGGCATGGACCGTATATGGGATCAGCCTCAAGATAAACTCCTGAAGAATCTGGATGTCTGCATGGACCTCTACAAAGACTACCAAGCGGCCTTCCAGAGAGTGAAGAAAACCATAGAAGATACACCAGGAGAGCGCCCATTTGAATTCTCCGAGATGTACATCTTTGGCAAGTTTGAAGCATTCTGTAAAAGGATTGAAAAGGTAGGTATTTATTACAGCATTTTGTACACAGGCAACTGTAAAGTAAAGTAAATTTTGAAAATGACAGTTATATTACTGTGGAAAAGATAACTAGTTAATCAATTGTCCCATTATCCTTGTACAGTGTCTGTAGTAAATGATTACAATTTTGAAGTTACAACTAGGTGGTGAATTTGGTATATGTTAATGCCTTATTCATTTTTTGATTTCAGATAAGTACACTTCTGAACATGATAGGTGATTACTCTGCATTGATAGACTCTCGTATAGAAGGCATAGAGCCTATAGCCCAGAGATTTCAAGCAATCTATTCAGGTGTTAAGAAGAAGCCCTATGACCAGCTGGACCATAGAAAACTGGACTTTGATTATGACTTTGTAGACTTCAAAAGGCAAATGAGTGATCTAGATCAACAATTACAGACATTTATAGATGGTCGCTTTGACAGGATACACAGCTGTACACAAGCTCTTCAGCTTCTTGCAAGGTATTACAGTGTTGTTACTTATATGAGTGTATGAAAACCTAATGCCACCCCAAGCTGGGTAATAACATGGAACAGTCCCCTGATGACTTTTTATTTGTTTTTTTTCCAGGTTTGAGAAAATGCAAATCCCTGGTCTGAACATTGACGAGAAATATGCGTACATCCTTAATCATTTTGGCAATGAACTCGAGACCATCAGGAAGCTGTACCAGACACAACGAGAGGAGCCTCCAGTCCCCAGAGACATGCCTCCAATTGCAGGACGCGTATCGTGGGCTAGGCAGCTGTCACGCAAAATAGAAGTGCCAATGATGATATTTGCTGTAAGTAAAGCTAAACATTCCTGAAAACTTTTTTTAACATTAAATCTGGATGAGGTTATTGAAATATAAGTGAAGGAATTTACAAATGTAGTAAATTAATACAAGCTTTGGCTTAAAAAAGATTTTGTGTTTATGCATGTATAAATTATGCTTTTTAGGAGCACCCAACTGTTTTGAAAAGTGAGGAGGCAAAAAAGATAGTGAAGAAGTACAACACAGTTGGGCGGGTGTTGATGGAGTATGAGCTGTTGTATCACAGAGCCTGGGTCAAGTCTATTGATGCTGTCAATGAAGGTACAATCATATACAGAGAAAGAATTGTAGTAAATATTAAGTGCAACATATATCATTGCAGTCGTCCCATGTACCTCTGAAATGTAAAAACAAATGTACAGTGTATGGAGCATAAAATTGTAGATGTTAAGCATTTTTGGAAGTTTGATGAACTCTGATGTTGATAAATTGTATTCTAACGTAATTTTCAATGGAATGTAGACCCCACATAATTTCTGAAAACGGAAATTGTTCCTACATTTATATGGTCAATTTTATCATTAACTCCAATATTACACTTTAGTCAACATGGTTAATATGAAACGTGCATTCATGTGTAAAAACCAAATACACCTGTATTCTTTATTCCATAGCTCTACAGGTTCCCGTCCTTGTTCGCCACCAGGACACCAAACAGCTACTGGTGAACTTTGACCCCCTCATCATGCAAGTGATACGAGAGGCAGAGTGCATGCGCAAACTTGATATGGAAGTCCCTGAGGTGGCAAATATTCTTAGTCACTCACAAGATAAGCTGAAAGCCAATCGAAATACACTTACGGTGAGTGAACTGGGGATAAGCTAGAAAGTATCATACATTTTTCCAGGTATATTTGAAACAATATGTATTTTTTGAATGAATTTCTCAGAATGTATATTATTGCTGAAAATATATAATTTAAGCTTTTTTAAGGGTTGTGTTAAAATATTTAGATGAAATAATTAATAACATTCTGCTGTTGGGATTTAAAAACCCAGTTTTGTGTAGTAACCTTTCAAAAAATAAGTATAAGATACATTTTTATAGAATAAATCCATGAATAACAATATAGTCAACATATCAGGAGAAAAGTACATCATTGCAATGAAATATATGTAACACCAAAGCTTTGAGGTATGTGCACAAGAATATAATCATGTAAAACAGTGAATTAGCTGATGATGTTTCAGCATGTCCCCTTCTGCTAAAAACATGAAGTTTTTCTGTTGTAGATGTTACTTGAAGAGAATGATAAGATAAGATCCAAGATTCCCCCAATGTTTCGCCCACTCATGAAATGTTGCATAGAGGCGGTGGACACTGCTTTGAGGCCTGGCCTTATATCTCTTACTTGGACATCACTCAACCTTGACCAGTTCTTCCAGTCTATACGATCAGCGCTTCGAGAACTAGACCTGCTCATTAAACAGGTAAAGACTATAGAGCACATCCCATCAGAAAATCTGAAGCTTTTTTATGTCATCACTGAGAAGTGGTGAGACTGTGATATATCGTAACAGTTCTTTTATGTGATCACCACAAGTGATAACATATTGTTATAGTCTCCAACTATTTTAAATTAGTCCGAAACTTGGGACCTCTTACTTTGTGCTGTTAGGTGAATGATATCAAGGAGACACGTATAGAGGACAACCTGACATACATCAGTGAGACTATGCTATGTGATCTTCCAGAAAAAGCACCATGGACAGTTGATGAATTCCTCAACATGACACAAGTAGGTTTTATAATTAATAACCTGACATTTGGCCCATAGTTCAATTTTGACTACAGTAGTTCAAATAGGTCTGAAATCGTTGCATATGCAAAGCATCTTGCTTAGAGATATGCAAAAATTGATGTTATATTGTAGAAACATTGCAAAGATGCTGCAAATGAACTTGATGCCCGTAGTCATAAGATAGAAGAGGCAGTAGATGAGCTTATTAACATCTTTCTGGAGAAAGGAGGCTTTAACAACATCATACAGGATCAGTCACAGAGTATGTACCATGTTTATATACCGTATGTCAGCTATTAAATGCTTTTTAACAGTTGATAGGAAATTACCTTTCTTCACAGCAGATTGAATAAATATACTGTTGAATATCTCTTTGAATTACTTTGAATTACATGTTAGATAAATAGATTATCCTGTATTAGGATTATCTTTTGGCGTATATGATACAGCTGCCCTTGATTAAGACTGGGGTTGGTCTATCTATGAGAAGACATGCACTATTGTTCATATGAAACTGTATGTTGAGATTTTTCTATTTTTAGATGACACAACTTGTGAAGTAACCATCAATGAAGGAGATGAGGGCAGTGAGACAAATATTGTTCCAGTCGGTGATGCAACCTCAGAGGAAGAAGCAATAATCAGAGAGGAATGTAAAGAATTGTTCAATCATTTCAACCACAAGAATCTAGAGGCCATTCTTAGAGCCACTCGGCTGTCTTTGGATCTCATTAGGAAACGGGCATTTTTCTCTAACAGGTACATTTGATTCATGTGAACCCATAAGCTGATTGCCCATATGGCTTCAGCTGTGAATTGTGGACATACTATAAACCACCTGTTTAAACCATTGAACATATTTTTGGATAATTGTAATTACAAAGTGGCCTGCTGTTTTGTTTGTTGGGATTTGCTAATCACAGGGGTTCCCATATTCTAGTTTGATACTCATATATGTTTTAAATGACTTCTTCTTCAGTCAAACCAGAACATACGGAGAGAGCGGCTACAATGATATAGTTCCATTCTTCAAAGCTGATATCACCCTTGCCATCCCAAATGTGGTAAGCAAATTCTTCAAAGAAATGATTTGATTTGATTTACATCCTATAAGAAAAATGTATTGAATTTTATTCCATAGTTAGCATGATATTCATTGGATAACATGTGAAAATAAAAACGGTATTTTTGTAATCAGTGGTAAAATATGATATTTTTGACAAATTTTCACTTAACCATAGCATACGATTTTTTAGCCATGACATACGACGTCGTATGCGATGGTTAATGGATTTTTGCTACTTTAGACTCAAAACGAGGCTAAGTGTCAACATCGCCGGATCGTTTGGAAAATTCGAATTAAATAACTTAATTTCCGACAATTCTGATGATGACTTTAACTATGGAATAAAAAGAACATCCTATGATTTACTCGTGATATGATTTTAATCCACTCATGGATATTGATATGTGCACTCTCTCGCTACGCTCGCTCGTGCAGATATCATATCCATTCGTGGATAAAAATCATATCACTCATAAATCATAGGATATCCTCTATATATGCCACACTATGATTTTTAAATATTCTCACATTTCATATGCATTCTCAGTATCCATATTATTCTTAGTTTGTTCCAATTCTCATCAGATTACAATGTAAATACTTAAAGTTCTAAAGTTCATTTCATTTTGGATGGCTACTTGGTGGCAAGAAAAGAACTGGCAAACGAAATGACTTAAAAAATATAAATACATTTAACACATGCATTAATAGGAGTTAAATGTATTTTCATGAAAACGAGCAAAGGATTAAGAAATAAATGATAAGAAGGGATTAATCTTTTAATCCATAATGTGGAGGGGTCAAACCAGAAACATTTCCAATGATAATATAGGTCGAACCATTTTACAAAGAAAACACTATTTTCTAAGATGACTAACTACCCTCAGCCAATGAAGGATTTAAGAAATCTGTGCCTGTTATAAGTTCTAATATTCGCATTGCTGTCTCCATGCTAGGTGATGCAACCAAGTCTAGATGACATACAGCATTCTCTAAATGCTGCTACCCACCATGTGCTAGAGGTTAGTCGAGGCATTGCTCAGTGGGGACAGGCAAGGTATGAAGAGGTCCCAATCGCTGTTGCTGAACATCACAAGAAGAAAATGATGGACACACACGAGCATGAAGGTTAGTTCGATATTACAGAAAATAATACAATAGAACCTATGAAACATATGAACTTGATAAATTGAAGAGTCCCCTGTTTCAGAGGTGAACTTTGAATCCATAACATTGAGATCTGAAAAAATATTTTCAGTGATAAATCTTTATCTTCAGAAGTTAGCTACATGTATGTATATTTCAGTACAAATTAAGCTGGTACCAATTCCACCAAGTGACCTAAAGAACTACTACAAGAGTATAGCAGATCATAAAGATGTGGCAAAGATTGTTATGATGCTGAGCTCTGCTGTCAACTCATTCAGGGAGAACATTGGTACAGCACTCTCCCAATACTCTGACTATAGCTTCCTCTGGGAGACTGATAGAGACTCTACAGTACAGGTGAGGCAGAAGCAATTAATCATATTGTAGAAATGTAACTGTTTGAAACAAAATATGACTATACTATGAGAAAACCAAAAACTGAGATAAATTAGTAGGTGTTTATTATACAAAGATGATCTACATTTCAATATTATTAATACTTATGTTGTCTAGCTTAGGAGATTGATTATATTTAATTACTATCTATTTTAGGAGTTTGTCAATACAGATCCGCTTCTCTCAGACTTCAAGGCAGAGATTCTTAGATTTGACAACTTAGGCAAGGAAGTGGAAGAGATACCGCCATCTATGGTCGTTGGAGCCATTGAGTTGTTCACTGGTAAGTTACTTGAGACAGGCATGGTCAGATTGTGGTGTTTTGTACCACCCACTGTATAATAGATATTGTACTAAAAAGGTGTTCACTCAAGGAAGATGTTCAAAATTCATTATTCATATTATTTTTCACATATTTTTGTTTCGTTTTCTAGAACCACTAAAGATGTCATTGTCTGTTGAGACGAAAGCCTGGGAAATGTTGTATGGTAAGCACCTGAATCTCAACTACAAGGCCATGATGGATGAAATTGCTGAATACACAGAGGAAACCATGCATCGACTAAACCGACCAATCAAAGACTTGGAAGATGTCCGACTTGCTATGGCAGCATTAGAGGATATCAGGAAACAGCAGATCAGAATTGACATGAATCTTGGTCCTATTGAGGTAAATTAATGCCTCAGAAGTGCATTTTACATTGTATAATGATGTAAACTTGACCTTAACATTGAACATGATAGTCTAGAGCGCTGAACAAGTCCAAGCTAGGCTCTGTGTGGTAACTATGGGGTCGTGAGATAGAGACTTGTGGCCTCCTTGTGATAATTCATTTATCCTATGGTTCCAAGGAGCTTTATCAGTGGAACATAAATTTTATATTTGCTACATTGGTACAAGTCATTTGCATAGCTGGTTCTAGATAGGGTACATTCTTCCAGAAAAATTGCTAAGAATGAATTCTAAATGTACATCTGAAACCTGTCCTTATAAAATGTTCATGTATTGTATTATAGGAGGCCTACAGCATGCTACAGAAGTTTGGGGTGAATGTTTCCAGTGAGGAAGTCAACAAAGTAGATACACTCAGATATGGATTTGTCAGACTCCTCTCAAAGGCTGTATGTATAGATTTTAACTATTTAGAACTTTTTATTTGTCTTTATACATGCAAATGTTAAAACCATATTTCTTTACAAATGAAAGTTTGCAAAAAGCAATTTTGGCAATAGAACAATGATATGGAAGTTTGGGCTAATACTTTACTTATGGTCACAATGGTAGTAAAATTCACTGTCGCAACTTGAAATCCTCAGACAGTCACACTTACTGCATTGTCTCAAGAATGGGTTTAACATTGGGAATGGGAACATAGGACTTCCAGGTATCTTAAATCTTTATGCTATTCACATATTTAAGGATTTCAGGAAATGTTATTTATTTTCATTGATGAATCTCAATTACCTTACTGAACTGGTGATTCCTTTACTTTGCAGGGGAAAGTTCAAGATGAGTTGGTTCGTGTACAACCAGGGTTCAAGGAGGACCTCCTCAATGCTGTAGAAGTGTTCCATGAGAACCTAGAAACTTATGAGACAGATTATGAAACAGTAAGTAAACAATATGCAGTGCTATAAAACAGCATTTATAACTTGTATGACATTGCATGTACCCCTCAAGTAGTATTTTAAGAAACAAATACTGTAATAGACAAAATTAAAAAGTTATTGAAAGCCAACTTTTTCATTGAAAAAAAATAGTTGAAAAACCTCAATTTGAATGAGTAAGACATGTGATCCATATTCAAAGATTCTGGAATTGTTTTTGAATCTCTTGTTTATTTGTTTAGATTGGTCCAATGGTTGAGGGAGTGACGCCACAGGAAGCCAGTGATAGATTGCATCTCTTCCAGGTAACAAATTGTGAATAACATTAATTAAAGGGTTGTATAATGAATAATATTTGCTTATTATATGTCACTAGTATACAAGCCTATAAACAAGATGTTAAGTTGACTTGCCACAAACTTGTCAGCTAATTATAATTCCCAACTACTTACTGTAATGATGAATTTTCTTCATATTAAGGATATACCAGTGTAACCCTTACGACAATGGTGATATAATTTTAAATTACAGAAATAGGAAATTAACAACTCTATGAAAAGCTCGTTTGTTAACTTCACGTTTGACAAGTGTTCTGTATTAAATATCAAGGACGCAGAATGACGATATATGACGCTTTACGACATAGTAATCCATAGCAACTAAGAGATTCTCATTTTCAATGTTGTTTTATCATGACGTCATATAACACTTTTATTAATGGGTTCTCGGAATATGATACCATTATTTGTGACGTCAGTGACATATTGCCCCATCAACAAATAAACAAACAAATGAACTATACGTCATCAATTCTTCCAAATAATTCAGTAATTTTTTGTATATTCTTGTTTCATTCCAGTTTCGTGTCCGTTTCTTTCTTTTAACCCATCAGTATACATTATGTGTATGTGCCCATGTATTACAAACACGACAAATTTAATTTGTAACTTGCTTCTTATTTCGCTACAGTCTGTATGAGTTTTCATTAAGTTATAGTCTATAGCCTATGTAGTGACGTATTTAATATCAAAAGGCAACTGTAAAATACAGTATTCTATTTTGGAATTTCTTTAATTCATGTATACACTTATTACATGAACCATGGACACTTAAAGTCCGTGCATGAACATTCATTTATATGTATTTCTATTGAAATCATTACCTTGTTTCGTTTTTCCTTTCTGTCAAAACAAATACCATCAAACATGTGAAACAAGCCAAACTTTTGTTCAATTTATGTTATTATTCTATATTTTTTATAATTATAGTTACCAGTTAAAAATATTTTCCCAGTGAGTATTAACGACCATGATCGGACATGCCGGATACAATGCGAAAAACGTCCATACAAGCCGTTCACAAAAACACATTATTCGTGTACTATATTCAGTAGACGTATCTTGCTCAAATCCGACATAAGTGGGGACCTCGGGGTGAGGAATGCACAGGGCCCACCCGAAAATCATCAAAAAGCATGCATGCTATCACGAGCGAAATCATTCATGCCTGATCTGTGAGGTTATACTTGTGAAGGCAGTTCATTAAGACAGGACATGTTGAGTTTTCACAATTGTTAACCTCAAATGTAACGTTATCCTTTCCCGAAAAATGAACAGAAATATTAGCATATTGGAATAGGAGTCAAATATGGCTATTATTAGCCATTTTAAATCATCGTTTATTGAATGAATGTCTTACTGGGGCATCTAGCCCTCAATTTATTCATAATTTATAATATTTTGGAATGATGTTTATCATGTGGACTTAGCTAGTTTATGTTTTTGTGAGCAGTCGATTTTGTTAATTCTTGAGAAAGACGTCATATATTTAGTTAAATTATGACGCGAATTGACCAGTGGCTTTTGTATCATTGTTAAAGCACACCAATCTTCAACGGCATTTTCAAGCGTAAAACAGACCGTTGGCCCTATGTTTTTTTAATATCAAAATAAACATGAGAACACCTTTTTTAGAATAGGCAAATAAAAAAAATACCACAATCCATTGGAAATTTGCGTAATTTTCGATTCAAAAAAAGTGTCAAAATGCGAAAATGAAAAAGATATGTTTTTAATGGAAAAACGTTACAAAAATTCACAAATATTGTTGGGGTAGGGGTAACATTTTAAGTGAAAAAAGTAAGAAAAAATGTCCTGAGTGTACCAATATTCGAACCAATGTAATCATGTATAAAGGAAGTTTATCTAGGCTCGAAAAAAATCGTCAATACTCCCTAAATCATCATTTTATCGACGAAATATAGGAAAATATGTTTTTTTGCTTTGTAATCAATGGCGCCTCAAATGTTCAAATGTTGATAACGTCACACCTATTTTCAGAAGCTTCCCTTGAAAAAACTAATCCGTCGACCCACCTTTTTATTACATTTTTCGAATCGCTACATCTAGGTCTATAATAAAAACCTAGTTTCGTTGAGATTGAAAATGGTTGATTTTTTCGGAGGTTACACTGATATATCCTTAACAAAATTCTTGCTTAACTCATTTTTGTTTAAATAAAACCTTCTTTAACCTAAATTTGTTTTTCATATCAAGTCTTTCATGGTACAAGGTTTGTTACATTTGGAAATCTTTGGCTCTGAAATAAGCAAAAAAATAAATATAAAGATTTTAACACATTTTTTTCTGTTCTAATAGGGTAAGTTTGATGATCTGTGGAGACGTTTCAACACATACTCAGCTGGCGAACAGCTATTTGGACTGACCATCACAGAGTACCCTTCTCTGAACAAAATAAAGAAGGAGCTTAATCTCCTACAGAAGCTCTATGGACTTTATAATGCTGTCATGGATAGTATCGGTGGCTACTATGATATTCTGTGGACTGAAGTTGATATCGAAAAGATCAATCAAGAGCTACTTGATTTCCAAAATAGGTAGGTAGTCTAATCTATGCTAAGCTAATCAAGTGATGGTTTTTAGACTTGACCTTACTAAGTATAATGATTTTTAATCAAATCATTACAAAGTTTTAAACACAACGTTAAAATGTGGGAATCGATAAGTTTTGATTATGATTGAAACATTGCAGAATTCAAAGCGACTTTGATTTCACATATATTGGCTGTATTTCTTTGAAACCCTCCATACGGGTGCCTCATAATAGTTTTAACTGGTGCTCAATCAGTTGTGTTCTGTTGAGAATGCTTACAAAACAGTTTGATTGATCGAGTTATTCATATCACATTGAATAACAATATTATCTAGACAGTAAAACCTGTGTAAGGAGGACACTCCAAAAATAGACTAAAAAGTGTTCCACCCGGGAGGTGTATTGTTACATATGATATGCTCATATACTGTTTAAATGTCAAGCAAACTATTTTTCCTGTCTTCTCTTTTTCAGTACTATTTTTAATCGAGGCTGGGCAAAAAAATGTTCTTACATGTATATAAATGTTATTTTAATGTTTGTTACTGTATTAGTTAAGTTTGTCTTTTGTACTCTTATACCCTATAAAGGGTGAATTGAGAAATCAATAAATAAATAAATAAAATAAAACTGTTATTATGTCACCACCAAAAAGTGGTGACATATTGTTATGGTCTCCGTTTTTTTTATGGCGGATGGTGGTTGGCAATCGGCGATTGGCGTCTGTAATGAATTCTTACAACTTCCAATAACTTAACAAATACTGTTTAAACTGACTTCAATTTTTTTCAACATCATCTACGGGCTTTCAGAAGTTCAAATCTGACTTTATGTTTAAGATTTTAACTTCAAAGACCTTTTCAAGGTCAAAAAAGGTTAAAAAGGTCAAAAAGGTCTTTTTTCAACTTGCTTCAAATTGACCAAATATTTTTTAAAAATCATATACAAGTTATCAGAAGTACAAATCTGACTTTAGATTTGAGATTTGACCTTCATTGACCTTTCAAGGTCAAACAAGGTCAAAAAGGTCTTTTTTCAACTTCCTTCAAATTGACCATTTTTTTCAAAATCATCTACAAGTTCTCAAAAGTTCAAATCTGGCTATTGATTTGACCTTCAATGACATTCTCAAGTTAAAAAATATTTGCCCTTCAATGACCTTCTGAAGGTCAAAAAGGTATTTTTCATCTTCCTTAAAATTTACCAATTTCTAGAAGTTCAAATCTCACTTAAGATTTGATCCTCAATGACCTTCTCAAGGTCAAAAAAGGTCTTTTTTCAACTTGCTTCAAATTGACCAATTTATTTTTTCAAAAGCATCTACAAGTTCTCAGTGAGCAACTAGATGGTGACATTTTGTCATGTTAATGCCTTGTCATTATTTATTTTATTCACTAAAATTGGCTAAGCTGGTAAAGACTTTCTCCAACCTGCTCTCAGTTGTTTGCTTAGCTGTGCTTTTAGTTTAGTATAGGATTCATCATGTGCATAGTTTATGTTTTCTTGTGGATCACTGCTGTGGTTGTATAGTTCAACATCTTTTGTGTCACCCCACATAGGATCGCCACTTTCAGATAGTTTTATCCACTCAGTGTAGCGATAGCCATCATTTTTCATTGAGTAACCCATATATGGTGACCTAGAATAGAAAGCTTATGTGGAATATATAAAAAGAAACACTTTATTAGTACATCTGATTCATGAAATTAGTATTCTTTGATCAACAAAGAGAAATAAAGAGATTTAAATTTTTGATTGCAATGAGCTATCATTGGTGATTTTACTTGAACTAAAAACCAAACTCGTGTCAGGAACTGCAGAATGACACTGCAGAAAAATTCTTAGCTGCTTGTGTAACATATGCCATACTTTCGATTTTTGAATTACCGAAGTACCGAAGACTTTAGCATATTTGAGTCTCTAACATTTGATCCTTTAAAATGAAATTTTTGTCTAGTTTAATTTTAAAAGTCAACATGTCCTTTCATGTGGCGTAAATGTCATAATAACCTAGAGAGTGGACTTAACCAGACATAACATTATAATCAATACATTGATTTAAGTCCATCCATTAACATTGATTAATGATGAGCATTTTCAACAGGATATAAAGGTTAAATACTAAATTGTATTTTTACTCCATTATTGGGGAGGGATAAAAAGAATATGCCTGTTTTTCCATCTATCATTTAGCCGATATTTATACTTTAAACCCATATTATTATTTTGTCATCATTTTATGCGCTACCCGAGTATGGGTTCTGCTTGAAAGATGATTTTGATATTTTTTGTTACAAGTAATGGTGGCCATCACAGGCTATTTTCCATATTTTGCTGTTACTTGAAAAGTAGTTGAGCTATTTTATTTAGATTTTATATACGAATACTGGAAGCATGACACACCACCCTATGCAGATGCTGCTTGTAGAAACCGCTCTGTGCAGATATCATGTGTGTGGTGTGCGGAGTTAAATAAGCCATGTCGGGTATTCACTATTCAGTTGTATTCATATATATGTCGATGATACCAAATAAAAATTCAATTGTATGAGTATAAATAGTTTATACATTAATTACCTTTTGAACTGAAAGAATACTTCTTTTTTCCACTTTGTACTCAAGTTTTTGATGAGTGGTATTAAGCTAGCACCTTCATGGCATGCATCCACTTGTGCGGGGTCACCTTTTGGACATTGAGGTAGATTGCCTAGTCCCGAGGCCTCCACAAGTGTAGGAAACAGGTCAACAAACTCAGTGAGTTCTTCAGTTTCAATGCCATAGTCTGTTACCCCTGGTATAGAGATCATCATTGGTGCATGTGTATCAATATCAAAATTAGTTGATTTTAGCCAGCTCCCATGTTCACCTAGCTTATAACCATGATCACCCAGGAATGAAATAATTGTGTTTTCATGCAAGTTCTGCACCTTGAGCTCATCGAGGATTTGTCCAATGAGATAATCAATATATGTTATGCAAGCATAATAAGCTCTTCTTACCAGCAATGTTGGCTCCAAGGGCAAAGGTTTGTTTGGTAATCCTTCATTTTTGTAAGCTGCTATATCAGTGTATTTTCTCAAATGGTTATAGTAGTTCCATCCAATGAGAGGAAGGTTTGTTGGAGGAAATGGATTTGCTGGAGGCCTTATTGTATCTTTAGGATAGAAATCTAAGAATCTTTCAGGAAATATATATGGTGTGTGTGGTCTAAAAAATCCTACAGCTAAGAAAAAGGGTTTTGTATAATTTCTTTCACCAAATTTCCTGATTTCCTTTATAGCCTGCTGTGTAAGTAAGACATCTTGCAAAGGTCTTGCATTCTCTTCTTCCTTTGTCACAGCCTTCCAGCTGACATTAGAATTTTTCCATTTCCAGAGGTCGATTGGTTGAAAAGAGTGTTCAGACCAGGATATTTGGTCATGCTTTCCCGAGCATGCACCAGAATGAAATACTTTTCCTAAACCAAGAGATGTGTATCCATGCTGCTTAAAATATTGTGGTATAGTTATGATATTTTCTGCTGTTTCTCGGAAATATGTTCCTAAATTGTATACCTTTGTGGAATCTGGTCTTCTTCCAGTTAATATGGAAGTCCTGCTAGGACAGCAGAGAGCTAATTGACAGTAGGCCCTCTTTAATAAAAGACTTCTTGATGCAAGGTGGTCTATATTGGGTGTATGCATATGTGGATGGACAGGTGCTGGAAAGTATTTTCCCCTGTAAGCACCTAGTTGAGGTCTAAGGTCATCGGCCATCAGAAAAAGAATGTTCTTCCTTTTATCTGATGTAGTCTTTTTGCTTGATGGGGGAATTGTTCCTTTGTTGTCTTCAGTAGGATCTGCTGCATGCACATGTATATCTTTAGAGTCTTTTGTTGGATCTTTTACATGTTCGTTGTTACTCCTAACTATCAGCTGATCCTCTTTTTCTTTATAATATGCATATCTTAGAATTTGAATATAGAATATAATACTGACAAAAAGAGCAATTGTTTGCACAAGCTTCATGCTTGTCAACGATTATGAAGTAAATTTTACAAAAATAATTAATTATGAAATGCAGTATCAGATTTATTTATTGTTCTTTGTTGATGTTTGCTTCCATGGCAATTGAAAATGCCAAGCAAAGGGTAAAGTGTTGAATCATGTTATTAAACAATAGTACATTTGTCTGACAAATGTCCCATATAGACTAATATAGGTCAAAGTGTTTAAAGGGCATGTGGAAAGGAATGTTGACTCACGGTGTCAAACCCAAACGCTGCTACAAGCACTACAGGGAGCGTTTCATTCAAGCGGAAACGCTGCGGTGTGAAATAAAATGTATTATGTACCATTCGATGAACAATACCCTATGTACGTCCGTACGATGCCTTTCAATGAAAGCGATAAGGCTACTATTTGAAACTGTTTCAACAAGGTAAAAAGATGGGGTGGAAGATGAATCTCAGAATCGTAAGGGAATTAAAGGTAAGAGTTGGAGTCATGTCACTGTAAATATACTTATGAACAAAAATGCACTACATCCAACATGCATTAAAGGACGGCGTAAGTATGTCATAGGAAATGATTTCATTGGGAGAAACACACACAAGCATTTTTGCTTGGAAAATGGCTTCTTTCGAATGAAATGGGTGAGTTTCCGTTGATATTGATTTTTGCATGCTGTTTCTAATTTGACAACACTCTTCATATTCATAGCACTAGCTACACACCGGAAAAGCCTGACAATGGTAAAGTCAGATACCATTGTCACAAATGGCGGAGACTTCAAGAACTTATCTATTGCTGAGTAAATGCTCGTCAAAAGGTGTCTCACTTTTTGGGACACCTGATATATACCACGTTTGAAATATTATATCGGGCAAATAATAGAACTGGGAGTGTGTTCACAACTGACTTCATGGACTTTCATGCAAAGGTTTGGAGAACAGTCTCCTGGGCTAATAATTTGTTCATGAAAAATATGGAAATATCACCCAAATTAGATTATGAATAAAGAATATCAAAATTCTCCGAAGCAGGCGTTAAGTGCAGTACACCGATTCAATAAAAGACAAGTCTCGATTTTGAGGAAGATTTTCATCAGTGTACAGCGCTAATAATTTTTTTTATGAAACATAGAAATATAACCCAAATTAAATTTTTGATATTCAAAAGAAGATATTTAAATCTTCAATATGTAAAAATATCAAAATTGTCCAAAGCAGGCGCAAGGTGCAGTAGACTGTTGCACTTTGTTCTCCAAACCGAGACTAGTCTTTTCGAAAATCGATTTGTCAGAGAACCTTTTAAACCTTGCAATCAACTCTAAAGCCCCCCTCACCTATGAACCAATCCACTAAACGTAGTCTTGCGAATAGGAATTGAGTAAAAATCATTCTCATTAGTATGTGTACGTTGTAAATCGTTGGGGTGTTCGTAAATGTAAGTACCCCTTTGGAAAGGTTCGGAAGCATCGCAAAGATGTGTTTCGGTTTGTATGTTCATGTTCTCAACTGCCAGAATTGACATCGCAAGCCTGCGTTTGGTGGATTTGTTCATATGTGACGGAACCTTAAATCCCAAAATCCTGATGTCAACTTGCGCGTACTGGCCGATAGGAGTAAAATTTGTTTCCATTTGTGTTCGTATATGGAAGTACCCTCTCAGAAAGCTCCGAACGGCTTCAGTTCGCATGTTAACATTCCCAATCGTCAGAATTGACAATTTAGGCTTTAAGTAAAGCCCCCTCACTTATGAACGAAAACCCCGACATCAACTTGCGTGTACTGACGAATAAACTTGAGTAAAGGAAGAGGTGCTTTAAATGGCAAATACACCCATGGTCAAAATGAATCATTCTGAGGTGTAGCATGAAGAATATAATGTCATATAATTCTTTGAAAAATATAAAGTGCTTGGGCACACATAGGCTGAGATAGGGGTCAATTAGTTCATTATCAATAAGGTTGTATTGACTTACAAGGGGCTGTGCATCATTGACTTAACACGAGGATATCAGCATATCCCAATAAAGGTCATTGGTTTCCATTGATTATCATAAAAATACCAAAAATGCACTATGACATGAATTGATTGCAAAATTAATAATTTCACAATATGACACAAATGGTTTCTCTCATCAAATGTGCAAATATGAAGTTTGCATTGTACATTTTACATTTTACGACAAATTTCTGGAAACGGGAATTTTTTACTTGTCGTGAAAACACAATTGAAGTTACGATATCGTAAGTCTACGACTATTTTGGAAACGACTCCCAGATTGCAGCATTTCTTGAATATGAGAATGTCATCATTTTTAAGACTGGATTTTCGGTCATCAAATCACAATTACGATAATGTATGGTGTTTTGAAGCTTCGGAATTTGACCAAAATATACTCTGATACTCTAATCTTGACTCAACTAATCACATGTCTCGATAATAGGGGTTTTGACTGGTAGAATGACAAAAACGTTTATAAATTTTGATAACTATACTGCTTCGTACAGCCCTTCCCAACTGCTTCAAACGTCAACAACCAGCCAAGTACAACATTAATATCACATCCATCGAATGGTATTCTCGAAATAAGCAACACATACCTCTTATTCCCATTATTTGGGAAATCGTCAGACGGCTCATCATTCCCGCCCGCCATTTTTCCTACTCCGGAGCATTTCTTTGTTTAGTTTCAGTAATGAAATGCTCCGTCTTGCGTGTAACAGCGTTTGGCCTGGACATCGTGTGACTACTTTCTGCAAATGTAAAGACAAAATGATAACAATACAAAAGTAGACCACAAATCTTGTTATATTTTTGTCCACATCCTTTTGGATGATATTATATTTCTAGTCATGTGTTGGTGTGAACTGGCAAATCATTATTTTTCATCAAACTTACTTGACCAAAAAATGTGAAACAATTATCATTATGTGATATGCATTATACAGAAGAGATAATGCCATCATATATTTACGTTGAATGATTTGGAAAATATATTTTATAATTCCACTTCATTTTCTCTGATGGTCATGTCACCATATACTGTATATATACATGTAACTTCTGTGTGTTTTGTTTGAAGGAATGTATTTTATTATTTGACAGGTGTCGAAAACTACCAAAGGGCCTGAAGGATTGGCAAGCTTTCTTGGAGCTTAAGCAGAAGATTGATGATTTCAATGAGAGTTGTCCGATCTTAGAACTGATGTCTAGTAAAGCAATGAAGGACAGACATTGGGACAGAATTGCCAAATGCACAGGTAGCTAAATAATTTCACTGTAATTTCTTTATTGTAGTTTAGAAACATTTTGCAGCCTGTTGATTGTCTTTTTCAATGTTCACTTGTGCTCTTACATCCTAGTTTGCATTTCAATATTAATTAATGGGCAAGAACAATAGAATCTGCAATTATTTATTTAATTATTTTATACCTTGTAGAAAAATGTCAAAACATTAATTAATCAGTTTGAAGTAACATGTTCAACAAAATACATGATTTTGCTATTCTGACACAGGTATTCTGTATTCATTTATTAAAGTTCTATGAAATATTTTCCTGATTTTCATTAGTAACAGGCTATTTTTACCAAAACTGCCTTTTCTTTTCAGGACTTGCAACTATTTCAATGTTGAAATTTTCATTTCCAATAATTTTTGCTTGTTTTTTACATTCATTGGAGTTTCGTTTATTGTCTGAAAACAGCTGCCCATTCCGTTATTGCATCATTGTCATCTTACTCTGAACCTCTCTTTTAAGGTCACACATTTGATCTGGAGTCTGACAACTTCATGTTACGGAACATTATGGAGGCCCCTATACTCAAAAATAAGGAAGACATTGAAGTAAGTTTTATCGTATAAATAGAGGGTTATTTAATGGGAGGGATGGAATATGAATTTTATTCCGAGGGAAAATATTCATATTCCATCACAACCATCAATAACCTATTCATTCTTTAATAATTTTCTAAAACTTATTTTTATTTTTGTATGTCATCAGCCAATGACTGACATAAAATGATGCAATTTATAATAAAACATTTTCAGAACTTAGAAATTACCGGGAATATTTCTGATACAGGATTTTTGCTGATACAGGATCTGATACAGGATTTTTTGAATATCAATTTTATTCCCTGTTATTTTCCCTGGGAAAACATGTTATTATGGAATATTATAACATACCTATGATGATGTATAGTGCAAAGTGTACACAAGACAGCGGGCCAATATAAGTTTTGAAAAGCGCGTGCCCGCTAACTTTCTGATTGGTCAAGGCACTGACGTCATAACCAATCAATTGAAGATAAAACTGCGCGAGCAATTTTTCTAAACTCATTTCAATCATTTTCAAACCATTTGTTTGTCAATTCTATAAGAAAACGGAACTCTCTGATCAGTCTACATAATCATAGGTATGTTATAAATCGTTTATGTCACTATCGTGGCACATATGCCCTCGGTTCTCAGAGATCAATGTCCCTCCCAAGGTCGGGCCATATATCACTGAGACCTCGGGCATATATGCCACGATAGTGACATAGCCTCTAAATATAGATTAGTCATAACCACGTCTGATAAAAATTTATTTGTTCATTGATTTGACCTTTGAAAATTGATCATATAGATTAATCATTTTTCATGATGACTGTTTTCAATAGCTTTTATTTCTTCGGGCAGCAATACAATATTTATAAACAATTTTGCTGTTACATAAAGAGTAATTTCTTTGTGATTTTATAACATATTTAATGTAGAATTAGATCCCATGCTTTAACATGCTTCTTATTAGTAACATTGAGAGAACATATCAAAGAATTGACTTTTCACATATATCAAAATTCAGACAACATTTAAAATTGAATCATCCTATTTGCAAGATCACCTATCATTTTCAGCAGTTTTGCTTAGCTACCCTATTTGATAAAGATTAGCAATGATTTGAACTTTATTTAAACAAGTGTAAAAATGAACATGATATCATTATAGAATTGGTAGCTTAATAACAAGATACACAAGATTGAATCATTTGATACCATATTTATTAAAAAAGATAGAGACATGTTTATTGATACTATTTTACACATAATTTTAGGATATCTGTATCTCTGCTGTCAAAGAGAAAGATATTGAGGCCAAGTTGAAACAGGTGATAGCTGAATGGAATGGGCAGATCCTTAGTTTTAGCAACTTTAAGTCCAGGGGTGAACTACTATTAAAGGGGACTGAGACATCAGAGATTGTGGCTCTTATGGAAGACAGTCTCATGGTCCTTAGTTCTCTACTGAGCAACAGGTAACCTTGGGACTTATACACAGTTGTTTTACAGAAAAATGTTATCTGCAAAAATGATGTTCCGTAGTAGTAAAGTTTCCTCTTTGGCTTTAAGTTTTGCCTAATCTCTACTGAGCAACAGGTAACCCTGGGACTTATACACAGTTGTTTTACAGAAAAATGGTATCTGCAAAAATGATGTTCCATAGTGTAGTAAAGTTTCCTCTTTGGCTTCAAGTTTTGCCTAATCTATTCTTGAATCCTGTCTATTCATTTAGAGTAGGAACGCAATATTAGTCAGTATCATTATTCTTTTAATATTTGAAAAATCGTAAGCTTTTCTTAACATTGGTGTCTGTAATGCAGTTTCACTTTCAGAAGTTCCCCACAAATGGTCTGAATGCCCCAAAAATCACCCTAGAATATTTAGCAGTACTTTATATATATAAATAAAATTGCAAAGGATATTAGAATTTTAGTTTCCCTTTAATGCATGGTGTATCAATATATTTTTAACAGTGATTTTTCAATGATCCATTCAGGTACAATGCCCCATTTAAGAAAACCATCCAAGACTGGGTTCAGAAGTTGTCTAACACAAGTGACATCATAGAGAACTGGATGATTGTGCAGAACCTCTGGGTCTACCTTGAAGCTGTCTTTGTAGGTGGAGACATTGCTAAACAGCTACCTCAAGTAAGCATGATGCCATTTCATTTGCATACTTTTTTATTTTTAATTATGTAAAATAAACTGTGCACAATTGTGAGTGCCAGTGTGCCATTTTTGGCAGTAATACAACTTGTTTATTTGGGATATTTCTGTAAAACTGAGTATTCCTGAAGGAGTGGTTTACACTGTTACCTAAAATGAGTTCTCGCAAAATGTTTTTTGACTTAGATTTTTGCTATTTTCTGTTCTCAATGCTTGATTGATAAATTGCAACTCCTTGCTGGAACACCATTGTACCTAGTGGTCTGAGTAAAAGCTATCAATTGTTTACAGTAAAACTTGTCTTAGTGGAACACTTTTGGTAACTCTAAAGTGTTCCACTTGGAAAGTGTTCCACTTATTGAGGTTCATTCAACATTAAGTCAGTTGGTCTTGGGACTCTAAAAGGTGTTCCACTTCTAGAGGTGTTCATCTTTACAGGTCTCACTGTACTTCAATTTTAATGTTTTACTTCTAGGAAGCCAAACGGTTCCAGAACATAGACAAGTCCTGGGTTAAGATAATGACAAGGGCTCATGAGGTGAAAAATCTGCTGGAACGCCATTGTACCAACCCATTATACTTTCATTTCAATGCTTATAGGAAGCCAAGAGGTTCCAGAACATAGACAAGTCCTGGGTTAAGATAATGACAAGGGCTCACGAGGTGACCAATGTTGTGCAGTGTTGTGTGGGGGATGAGACTCTGGGTCAGCTACTGCCTCATCTTCTAGAACAGCTGGAGGTCTGTCAGAAATCACTCACTGGGTAGGTACAACTCTACATGCATTATAGATACTTGTTTCCTTTCTCATCGGTTAGTTTTTCCTCTATTCTGCAATCTGCCTTTGTGCTTCTCATTTTCTTATACATTCATTCTTCTGCATTAATTACACTCTGTTCCGGCCCTGGAGAAAGATGCATTGCAAAGCTCTCAGACATGAGATGTGATGGTACAATCTTTTGTAATATGAAATTATAAAAGTTTTAAAAGACACTTATCAAAAAACTGAGTTGAGCAAAGTATGTTGTTGCACACAGCAATCTGACTTTCTCCTGGATCAATTATAGCTTTTGAAGCTAACTTGTATTAAATGACTTGTCAGCTACACATGGACCATAAGTAACTTGAATTAACTTTAATATCTTGATAATAGCATGTTTTCACTTTTCCTCCCCTCTGTTGTGCATTCCATTACATGCCTGTTCATATTATTTCAACAAATTGTATATTGGATGTACGTTTGGCCTAAAAGGGCATCAGTACTAATAAAATCCTATTATTACTATTAGAGGTGGGCCAGTTTTTCAAAAGGTTTGGTAACCACGCATTGTTATCTATTATTTACTCGAGTCAAGCTACTCCCACAGAGTCCCTGGACTGAGTGCAGAATGGGTCCTTTTGCCCAATATAATGGGAATCAATCTTGACCCTTGGATGGTCAATTTCCCTCATATTGACATAACCTCAAATGGCTTGCCCCACAATCGGCTTACTTCTTGCACATAATCTACGTTTGCACCTGCATGTTGCACACCTCTACCATCCTGCTTGCACACCTCTACCCTCCTGCTTGCACACCTCCTTGCATGATTACCACCTGTTTCAGCTACCTTGAAGGCAAGCGTCTTATCTTTCCTCGCTTCTTCTTTATCTCTGACCCTGCTTTACTGGAGATTCTTGGGCAGGCTAGTGACTCACACACAATTCAGGTACTCACACTGTATTGTACTCAAATTCTATTCATATTGAAAATTGTAATCACGGGGTAAATTGGTACCCATAGTGTAAATGGACACATAATAAAGTGTACTCCTGACTTTAAAATGATTCCTAAATTCATATGTAGTGGTAACTATGAAAATCTTGACATCAAAGAGAACCAAAGACTTTCCTAAAACTGTTAATGTAATGTACCCCTGACTATTTCTGTTTAACATATGAGTGTTGATTTTATAGTCCCATCTGCTTGGAGTATTTGAGAATGTCAATGAGGTTGAATTCCATGAGAAAGACTATGACAGGATCCTAGCTGTTATATCAAGAGAAGGCGAGAAAGTTAATGTGAGTTGTTTGCTTCTGCGTGTTATATCTTGATGGATTAATTAAGTTGCTTTATTTGAAATGTTTTTGATTAATAATTTAAGTCAATATCTATTTTAGAACTAGAATTTACTCTATAGAAGCTGCAGCTTGCTTTGTTACATGCTTCATCATTCACAAATACATGCCCATCAATTTCTTCAATTCTGAGAATGCTCACTTGTGTCTCTTTATTCACATTCTAGTTAGAGAATGATGTAATGGCCAAGGGCAATGTGGAGGCTTGGTTAGGAGAGCTACTAGTTGAACAGATGAGATCACTACATGGTGTCATCAGAGATGCCTCAAGACTCATAAATGAAGCAACCTTTGATTTCCTTAACTTTCTCAACAACTACCAAGCACAGGTTAGTAAGGCAGGACTCAGTATTACTACTGACCATATTGATTTCAAAAAATTTTTAAAAATTAGATAATGAATCAGAATTACAGAGAATATAAGTAGAAATATGAAAGAACAATTGAATTGTTGTTGATATTTTTATGGCAATATATTCCAATCCAAGTAAAGGAAAAGGAAAGATTTTGGTATATCCTTCCCAAAGGACTTTTTCATATCAATTTCTTTACAGGTTTCTTACTGTACAAGAGAGTAACCGACAATGTATTTATATTTTAGACACTGTGATTTAAAAATTCTGATCAGGTGCATGTTTCCATATAGGTTGGTTTGCTAGGTATCCAGATGATCTGGACCAGAGATGCCGAGGAAGCATTGTCAAATGCTCGCCATGATAAGAAGATCATGCCTACTACCAATCAGAGGTTTTTAGATATGCTCAACAAACTGATTGATCAAACCACTCTAGATCTGACAAAGTTTGAAAGAATCAAATATGAGACACTTGTCACCATTCATGTTCATCAGAGAGATATCTTTGATGATTTGGTAAGTCTATTTTATTACACGTTCTCCAATAGTTTCTCAAATAACTTGGTACTTTCTAGTATATTCATAGTACTACACACAGCCACATTGTCTTGAATGTTCCAAAGAGGCTCATGCAAAAGGTAAATAGAGGTGTCTGTTAACTTATGATTCCTAGATAACCATTAATAAAGGCAACAGGGGGTTCAGGGGCGTAGCCAGCTTTCAGTCAGGGGGGTGCAGTCACCAAAAAATATTGTTTTTCAGTCGGGGGGTGTGATTGTGGCTTAAACAAGCCAAAAATAGGATTTATTTTGTTTAAAATTGATAAAACTTCCTCCAAAATTGAGCTAAAAGCTTAAAATATAAAGCATTTTAAAGCTCATTTTTATTGGTTATGGGGGGGGGGTGCACCCATTGTACCCCCCTCTGACTATGGGGTTGATGCAAGACTATGAATTGTAATTTGATTAACACAATTTGAATTATAGACCCTGTATAAAGGAAGCCTACTTCAAAAATATTCTATAGATCATCATTCTCACAGGCTGGTATCGAAAGATTTGTCCGCTGTGACGGAGCATGCTATTTTTCATAAAAACACTAGAACGCTTCATGATTTATTTTTTAACTCATATGTTTCGTTATATCAAAGATAATTACTTACTCCATGCAATGGATATATCATTTGCGTGTAACCTTCACTTCTGTTTGAAGTCCAATAACGATAGGAGTAAAATCTATTGAAAACGGGGCCAGAGTATCAAACTCTAAAATGTACCATTTCTTTTTAAACTTTTTAATGGCATGATATAGTGACACGATAATATTAACATATGTTTTCAGCATAACTCTGAATGTATTAATGAGATATTAATGCATTGGTTTTTTTTAAATTTTTTTATAAAAAATAATATTAATATTTTTTGTCCGCTGTGACGGAGCATTTTCACAGTTCACATTTGCAACTGCTCCGTCACAGCGGACAAAAAAATTAAACATTATTTTTTATAAAAGAATTAAAAAGACCAAATACATCAACATCTCATTTATACCTTCATAGTTATGCTGAAACCATGTGTAAATATTATCGTGTCACTATATCGTGCCATTAGAAAGTTAAACAAGAAATGGTACATTTTGAAGTATGATACTCCGGCGCCATTTTCATTAGCTTTTCTTCCCAGCGTAATCGGACTTCAAACAGAAGTGAAAGTTTCCCGCAAATGATATATCCATTGCATGGAGTAAGTTATTTTGTATGGTATAATGAAACATATGAGTTAAAAAATAAATCGTGAAGTATTCTTAGTGTTTTTATGAAAAATAGCATGCTCCGTCAAAGCGGACAAATATTTCGATACCAGCCTGTGATTCTGTCATACTTCTACTTTCCATCCTCCTTTGTGTGATACTTTAATTATTTAAAATGGAATTGTTAAATTTTGATTGTTTTACAGGTTAGAATGCACATAAAGACTCCCAATGACTTTGAGTGGCTGAAACAGGCCAGATTCTACTTCAAAGAGGATCTCAATCAGGAGATTGTGTCCATCACTGATGTTGACTTCATCTATCAGAATGAGTTCCTTGGTTGTACAGACAGGCTTGTCATCACACCATTGACTGACAGGTGAGTTTTTTTTATTTTATATGTAGATTTGTTGTTCAATTTGATAAGTTTCTTGTATGTACAGGCAGGCTTGTCGCATCAATTTTTTGTGGACAATGTTCGGCAATCAGTGTCTAGCAAATGGCAGGTTGTGATAATTTGCATGTTAATGCCTTGTTTCTGTATTTAGGTGCTACATCACTCTGGCTCAGGCCTTGGGCATGTCTATGGGTGGTGCTCCAGCAGGACCTGCAGGAACAGGCAAGACAGAAACCACAAAGGACATGGGGAAAGCACTTGGAAAATATGTAGTTGTCTTCAACTGTTCAGATCAGATGGATTTCAGAGGTCTTGGGCGTATTTACAAAGGTACATGTATTTATCATTATCCCATTAAACAGTTTGTTCAAAAAACCTGAAGTGACTTGACTTATGATGAATTTTTGCTACCTGAAGATTCCATTTTAAATAAACTTAGAATTGAATTAGAACTGATTTTCCTAGTTGCCTCTCTAAAAGTGTTGATGCACTTGGATGGTGATGCAGTGTAGCAGTCTTTGTTTAAGGTTTGCACTAGATATAAAAAATCATGAATACATAGTGATAGTGAATGTATTTTTTCTCTGAGTTAAGACATTATATATCAATCATCATTGAAATATTGTGTATTTTTGTAGGTCTTGCCCAGTCTGGTTCATGGGGTTGCTTTGATGAGTTCAATCGTATAGAACTGCCAGTGTTGTCAGTGGCTGCTCAGCAGATTCACATTGTGCTCACAGCAAAGAAGGAGCGCAAGAAGGAGTTTGTTTTCTCAGATGGGGATATTGTATCACTCAATCCTGAGTTTGGCCTTTTCTTGACAATGGTAATTGAAACACTCTGATTAGCTAGAAAGCATATTTCAATTTGTTATATTTTGCCTCAGGCAGAAAGAAAGATATCATCCCAAGATCATGCATGATGATTGGTTCCCAGTCTAACATTATAATGTGATTCACATAGACTAATGTGTCATGTTTTGATACAATTGTCAATAAAAGAAATATAATGTACATTACTTAATTTAATTTATATTCCATTATCTTTCAGAATCCTGGTTATGCAGGTAGGCAAGAGTTGCCAGAAAACCTGAAGATTATGTTCCGTTCTGTGGCAATGATGGTGCCTGATAGACAGGTATGACCATCAATCTTTTCATGATACAAATTCATTTACTTCTTTAATTTGTTGTCATATCTACAAAGTTCCAATAGATCTGTTTAGTAATGTTAGTGTTACACTCTCAATTTGTGGCTGTACTGTATTTGATTTGACTTGTTTTTGTGTTTTCTAGATCATAATGCGTGTGAAGCTAGCTGCTTGTGGTTTTCAAGACAATGTATTGCTGGCACAGAAGTTTTACACACTGTACAAACTATGTGAAGAACAACTGTCAAAACAGGTACTACAGATAGGAATACACTGTATAAGTGGTATTTAATCTGAGTGGTTAATTTGCCGAATGGTCAAATTTTATCAATTTCCTAATTTTAATTTTCCTAATGACAAGAAACTTCCCATTGGATAACATTATGAAGGCAATATCTCCGACATTTAATTTTCTGAGCCTGTTAAAAATTAGGCAATAGGCAAATTAAATGATTAGGCAAAATTACCACTTACACAGTAAAGTATCTCTCATTTGATTATGATTTTCTAAGTTGTGCTGTTGTTTCCTGCCAAGAATTCACAATGGGAGGTTTATCCAATGAATTTTGGAAATTGACTGTTCCCCTCTAATTTCAAAATTTAAGTCAATAGGTTTGAAAACAGCCATTCAAAAGGTTTTTCACACGGGAGGTGTTCAACTTAAAAGAGATGTTCCTCTGTCATGTTTTCAGAATTTTCATTCTTATGTTTGTTTGAAATCCTTCAGTTTTCATCTTTTTAATAATTCAATAGATCAAGTTATATGTACTTGTTGACTTGTAGGTGCATTATGACTTTGGACTAAGGAACATCTTGTCTGTCTTGAGGACTCTAGGAGCACAGAAGAGAGCCAATCCAGAGCAGACTGAGTTGACAGTTGTCATGAGAGTACTTAGAGATATGAACCTCTCCAAACTGGTAACATTTATTATATGATCTTTAATTTTTATTGTATGATGGATTAACAAACATAAATTTTCTTTTGCCCACATACATCTGTCCTTGAATTCACGCCTTTACAGTTATAGTGAGACAAAATATAGTTATTGTCCATTATTAATGTATTTTAAGAATTCTCTTATTTCAACCATAGATTGTTGATTTTCAATACATATGGTCATTTACTGAATGTACTAAGTGCATCTATTATCATTGTAGGTGGATGATGATGAACCCTTGTTCCTGAGTCTGATTTCTGATCTCTTCCCAGGCATAGTGCTTGATAATGCTACATATGAGGAACTCCAGGTTGCTATTGATAACCAGGTGGAAGCTGCTGGTCTCATCAACCATCCATCTTGGAACCTTAAGCTTGTACAGGTACCCAACAGTAGTAATGAGTTTAGAGTCTAGAGTTTAGAGGACAATGTATGCTGCTACAGGAGCCTCTCTCTCTCTGATGAAATAACTATTAACACATTTATTTTTCCAGTGTAATATCTCCTCAAAATATGACATAATTTCCATTGTTTTTTTAGCTCTTTCTGTTTAACTCTCATATGACAGTCTTTGTTTAACTTAAAGAGAGAATCAGATCTAGCGAGCAAGGCAACAAAAAATTGTTTCACTTTTAGAGTATTTCTGGCCCATATCATTCCTTATCATGTCTATTTTCTAAAAATCCCAAAAGTGCACTCTTAATTTCAGGAAAACAGGATTTTTACAATAATGTATAATTTTTCTATAAGAATGGTTACCATTCTTATTATTTGGGAGAATTTAAACATTTTACACCCATTTTTGCACTCTGAATCCATGATAACTTCATCAATTTATAACATATCACGAATCTTTTGGGGGATATTGTATTTGAGATTGTAAGGAATAGATTGGTAGGTCAATTGTACATGTTGCTTGTAATTTTGTCACTCCTGTAGATCTGATTCTACCTTAAACGCAATTTGTCACACTCAAATTATTGAACTTTTTCAAGATTGAAGTTGCAATCGTCTTGGATGTTTTCCACATATAGCATATCAAAGTATATGACAAAAATGTCCATAGAGAACTATGATTCTACCTAATGTACATATTTTCTTTAGTTGTATGAGACCCAGAGAGTGAGGCATGGGATGATGACCTTGGGTCCAAGTGGTGCTGGGAAGACATGTTGTATCAATGTACTAATGAAGGCAATGACAGACTGTGATGCTCCTCGTAAGGAGATGAGGATGAATCCAAAGGCTATTACAGCACCTCAGATGTTTGGCAGACTGGATGTTGCCACCAATGACTGGACTGATGGCATTTTCTCAACTCTATGGAGGAGAACATTGAAAGCTAAGAAAAGTAGGTGGTAGCACTTAGTTGGTATAGGCTATCATTGTAAATATATTTAGATGGAGAATGAATTGATTCAGCATTTCTATTATTATTATTTATACATGTACCTAGTATAAGATAGGCTTTGAGGCTTTCACATGAGAAAATTAAGAAATTTGATATTGAACATTTTGGACAAAAATGTTTGTGAACAGAAGCTTAATAGTTCAGTCTCATGTACAGCTCAAGCAATCCGCTATCAGTCCATTGTTACACATGGATCAGTTATCTGGCCAATCATATTTTCTCAAGTCTGTGCACTTCACTGAGTTTTGTTCTGTGTTGTTTAGCTGACCATATCTGGTTGGTGCTAGATGGACCTGTAGATGCGATCTGGATTGAGAACTTAAACTCTGTGCTAGATGACAACAAGACACTAACACTAGCTAATGGTGATAGGATTGTTATGGCCCCTAACTGTAAGATCGTGTTTGAGGTACATAACATTGACAATGCCTCCCCTGCCACTGTATCAAGGAATGGTATGGTCTACATGAGTAGTTCAGCTCTAGACTGGAACCCAATCATGCAGGTGAGGGAACTAAGTTTTTTATATTTCTGATATCTAAATCAGGGGTGTGGCCAGGAAATGTCAAGGGGAGGGCTGAATTTTTGGTGTTTGCATCACTGCGAGCGAAGCGACCCCTGTTAGAGGGAGATACAGGGGAATTCCTAAAAATATATTATACCCAACCCATCCCTGGCTACATCCATGTAAATTGAGGATAACTTTTATGATAATCTCCCCAGCATTAGAACAGCCAGATGCTGCCCCTTGTTGAATAAATAGAGGTTATTTAATGGGAGGGATTAATGATATTGGCATGATATTGGCCAAGGAAAATATCATATTGTCTGAGGGCGATAGCCCGAGTGTCAATATGATATTTTCTGAGGCCAATATAATATTTTCTCAAGGAAAAATTCATATAGAAAAAGTCTGGGGAGATCAGTATGATGTTTGATACTGCACAAATGGTTTTTAATTAAAGACAATTTAAACGTGCATTCTATATGTCCCAAGAAATACTAAAAGTCATGATTATTCTGGTTATTTAGGGCTGGTTAAAGAGAACCTGCTCTCCTCAGGAATCTGATATCCTGGCCCAACTGTTTGATGTTATATTTGATGACCTATACAATTATTGCCTAAACAATCTCAACACAAAGATGGTTGTGCTACAATGTAACCAGATAGCTCAGGTAAATTATTAGAGTTAGTGTTCACAGAATGTTGTATGTTGAGGACTGCTCCATAAACTGTGATGGCTACCAACTCAAATTGTCTATACACCTCTGTCTGAACTGACTTTTGTAGCTGAATTAGGAAATATATCCGACTCAGTTGGCAGTTCTCCTCCCATTTAGAATGTACAATTGTTTCAAAGCATTTACAGCTAATCTGCAACTGCAAAAATATGTTTTCATTCAGTCTATTCATTGAAGTGTGGTCACTTCAGAGCTTTAAGCAGTCATTTTATACATAGACCACACAATTGAAATACTGTACATGTACTTGTTCTCATTTCAGTTTCAGTATCACTATCAATGCAGCTCATAACAAAAATGAAAAAATGAAACAACATATTCAAACATAAAAGTAATGAATCCATAAGAAGAGACCATATATTCATGTTAACTGTTTCTTGTAGGCCTGTGACTTGCTCCAAGGTCTCATACCTAACAAGGAAGAGAAGGGTCACCTGAGTGCTATACACCTGCAGAGACTGTTTGTGTTTGCCCTCATGTGGAGCCTGGGGGCTTTGATGGAGCTAGATGACAGGGCAGCTATGGAGAAGTACATGAAGGAGCATGAGAGCAAATTGGATCTCCCTCCAACCAAGGAAGATGAGACTATCTTTGAATATGTAGTTGATGAACATGGTGATTTTTTTTATGTTATGTTGATTAGTAGAAGTACTTTCCTGCATTCTGAGTGTGGGAAACAATTGTTAATAAAATGTTTAATTTTCGTACATGTACTTCTTTGTGGTAATAGTACCCAATCATTTTGTGAAGGTTGATAAGTAGTTCAAAGTTCGCATTTAGAATATTGTTAGAAAAATAAATACTGTAATGAATATTTGAAGAGAATTGATGTATCGTACAGAAACTGATATTTCTAGGTGAGTGGGAGCATTGGTTGAACAGAGTGGAGATGTACAACTACCCAAAAGATAGTGTACCAGAGTTCTCATCTATCCTTGTGCCAAATGTGGACAATGTCAGAACCAACTTCCTTATTGATACCATAGCCAAACAGAACAAGGTATTCAAATATATATTCATTTGCATGCACTTAATTACAGGTGTCATATATCAATTATCACATACTATGTAAAATTCCAGTAATCTGATTGGTTGGTTACCGTGTGACTTTTCCCATCTCAAACGGCCGTCTCAAACGTTACTAGAGGCAACCAGTGATGACGTTTCATATTTTTAAAGAAAATAGTATGATGTCATATAATTTCACAAGGAAGAACGAATGCAAAGAAATGATGTCATATTATTTCAAAGCGAAATTTCAAAAGACACAAAAATCGTAATATAGTTACCGGGAGTACTGCACTGAATCATAACATATCAAAATGCTTTAAAATTCCTTGACATGTGATTAAATCGTCATCACACGCTTCAGCTTATTTTCAATATTCCACTCGGGTAACAATGTATCATCACTCAAGCTTTACTTTCATGGATGATGCAGTGTTACCTTTGTGGAATATTTCCTGTATCGCATGCTGAAATGTGTGATACCTGATAGTATTACATGTTCATCAAAGGAGATGTTATCTACATTTTTAGAAATTCTCCAGATAATTTTGCTATTTTAAAATTATAACAATGTTTTGTTTTTAATTTGTGACCACTGGACAGTGTTCTGTAGTTGAAGTTTGCCATTTTTTGAGTCTGTGACAAATGACAGCTGATGTCATTTTGCATGTTGATGCCTTTTTTGTTTTTACTGTTGTCAGTAATTGTAATGAGATCCCTATAAGGATCGACTGTTATCAGGGAACCTGGGTTCAACCATTACAGCGATAATCCACACTTGAGCCACCCTTGGTTCAAGATCTACTGATTTCAACCCTTGTTATATCTTGCAGGCTGTATTGCTGATTGGTGAACAAGGTACAGCTAAGACTGTCATGATAAAGGGATACATGGCCTTGTCTGACCCAGAACTTCATCTTGGGAAAAGTTTTAACTTCTCATCTGCCTCTACTCCAAACATGTTCCAGGTACATACATGTGCCAGTGATCTTCCCAGTATTAAAGCAAATGGGCGCAGCACCCGCCTGTGATTTTGAAAATAGGCTTGCACCCACCTGAAAATCCATTGGCATATTTTGACCAATTTTTGTCTGAATTGTGAAAATGAAAATTTTGAACCCACCTGAGAAAAAATCCTGAGGAGATCACTGTGTGCTGTACTTAATGGCCTTGTAACTACATGACTGATTTCTGAAGGCCCTATTTTTGGGCAAGAATCAAGGCATGATTCACATCATACTTACATGATATGAATATCATGACGTTACACCTCTATTCATATGACAAGTTTGGTCACAATGTTGTGTTAATAAATGAAAGCAGGCTACATAGTCCTATCAAGCTCACCGGGTTTTCCACTGAATCCAAGTAATATCGATTGCATGTTGTACATTTTAAGCTATTCTTACTGAAACAAAATTATATTCATTGTTTTGTTTCTAGCGTACAGTTGAGAGCTTTGTAGACAAAAGAATGGGGAGTACATATGGACCTCCAGGGGGCAGGAAAATGACAGTGTTTGTGGATGATATCAACATGCCTGTTATCAATGAGTGGGGAGATCAGGTTAGTACAGTATTATGTCACCTCCCAGAAGTGGTGACATGTTATAATCTCCAACTTTTATTTTGGATGGTATTAAGTGGTTGGTGTTTGTTTTCAGCATTCATTTTCCATGTTAATGCCTTCTAATTTTAATGTTATATCCCTCATAAGTAAACAAATCCATGTAAATAATGCAAAGAATATTTTGTTTATTTATTTTATTTTATTTATGTGATATATTTAGGTGACCAATGAGATAACACGTCAGATGATGGAGATGAATGGGATGTACAGTCTCGAGAAGCCTGGTGACTTTACCCACATAGTGGACCTTCAGTTCATAGCAGCCATGATCCAGCCTGGTGGAGGCAGGAATGACATACCAGAAAGGCTCAAGAGACAGTTCTCTATCTTCAACTGCACATTGCCCTCAAATAATTCCATCGATAAAATCTTTGGTTAGTTGTTTTCACTACTAGAGATTTAAATCGTTAATTTCTAGTTAGGTGTTTTTTCTTCGACCCTCATCAGCTTTCGGATGATATCTATGATTACCAAACCATCCATAAACAATTATGGTGGTGACCTTTTAGTATAGTCTCCAACTTTTTATGGACAGTGTTTGACAGTCATTGTTCGGTGTTTGAAAGTCAGCGTTTGGGGTTCAGCCGTCGACATCTGTAACAAATGACAGGTGATGACAGTTTACATGTTATGCCTTGTTTACAGCCATGTCAAAGATCAGAGATTGGGCATTGGCCACAATTATGAAGTGACCACACTTGGACTCTTGACTGAAAGTACAATTAGACATTATTGTGTTTTCAGGTATCATTGGTGAGGGCTACTTCTGTGATACCAGGTTCACTGACGCAGTTGTGGAACTCACTAAGAAATTAGTCCCTGCCACCAGGATTCTCTGGCAGCTAACCAAGGTATGGTGGTTGCTTGTCTGTTGTTTTCTTAAGGTATGAGGTTCCATATCCATCCGCCAAAAGGTATGACCCCTATATAGTCCATTTAAAAACCTGTGGTATTGTTCTAAATAACGCCATAGTTGGCTTCTAGGGTACCTAGTATGCCACTATTTGGTATCAAAATAAAGAGGAGGAGTTCAACTTTCATTTGAATTACGAAAATAGTGATTTAGGTCAAAAATAGTTTCGAGCTGAGCATGTTTACTACGCGTTTGCCTGTCATATCAGAATTGAGGAAGTGGTGGCAAACGCGAGTTACAATAAATGGACGCTGATATCTCAAAAAGTAACCTGACTCCCTATAATTTGATGTAGATCAATCGAACCCCTATATGAACAGGTACATTTTGATATATAACACTATGGGGGGTAAGCGTTTTATAGTTGGTCACGAACGCCATATGTGCAAAGTATTGTTATGAATTTTCGAATTTGGTGTTGGATTACGGTACTCATACCTTAATATGAGGCCTAAAATTGTCTGCTAGTTGGCCAGAGACCAATATTCTAACAGGATTTGAGAGCAGAATCGATTTTTTTGTTCTGCGTAGGGCAGCCAATGATTTGAAATCACTTTCAACCCTTCTGTGAGTATAAGAATGGTCAAAAGAGGCCCTAGGAGGGTCATGAATGAAAGAAAGCCTTCTGAAATTCCGTCAAAATTGCAGGTTATTTCTTAATTTTTTGCTAAAATTACATGATTTTCAGGGCCCATATCTCAGTGAAATTGCTACAATGTAGTGACTTTTCATTTTTACAGGCTAGATACACGTGCCAGGTCGACAGAAACAGTAAGCCTGTATGGTTTTTAAATTGCTACATTGTAGCAATATTTATTTCAAAATACAGGTGTGAGAGAAACTGCAATTTAGTTAGATTTGGGCGAAAATGGCCAAATTTCAGTCAAAATCCTCGGGACACAGGGCCTTGTCTTAGATTTAGTCAATGATGCAACTCTTAGTAGAAGGTGTGCCATATAGGGAATGAAAGCTGTTTGTCAGACGTATCATTTTCTTCAATAAACTCAGAGATAGTCAGGTTAGATTTGTGACGTCACAGTGGCAAAGTTAGACTAGCATATTTAGACGTATTTGGGGTAGGGCAAATTAACCCTTTCTAGCCTAAATGGATAAATTTTTCACATATTCAGCCAGTTCTGACGTTTTTATGCATTTTTCAACTAAAAATGATATTTTCTGCCAAAAAAAGTTGCAGAGACAAAAATCAGTGTGATGTCATAATACATTAAGGTATGAGGTTCCATATCCATCCGCCAAAAGGTATGACCCCTATATAGTCCATTTAAAAACCTGTGGTATTGTTCTAAATAACGCCATAGTTGGCTTCTAGGGTACCTAGTATGCCACTATTTGGTATCAAAATAAAGAGGAGGAGTTCAACTTTCATTTGAATTACGAAAATAGCGATTTAGGTCAAAAATAGTTCCGAGCTGAGCATGTTTACTACGCGTTTGCCTGTCATATCAGAATTGAGGAAGTGGTGGCAAACGCGAGTTACAATAAATGGACGCTGATATCTCAAAAAGTAACCTGACTCCCTATAATTTGATGTAGATCAATCGAACCCCTATATGAACAGGTACATTTTGATATATAACACTATGGGGGGTAAGCATTTTATAGTTGGTCACGAACGCCATATGTGCAAAGTATTGTTATGAATTTTCGAATTTGGTGTTGGATTACGGTACTCATACCTTAAGATGTAATTTATAAGAAAACATCTTGAAGACAAAAACAATGACCTGTAAAGACTAAAGTACATTCTATTTATTACATTATGTAGTATGTAAAGAGTGAATGCAAGCCTGTTTTGCCAGTGGCACTTGATTTCTATGTGATGTATTTTAAATGCATAAAAAAGGAAACTAAATCTGAATTTTGTTGCATTATTCCAACGTTAATGTTTCAGATCAAAATGTTGCCGACACCAGCAAAGTTTCATTACATATTCAACTTGAGAGATTTGTCTAGAATCTGGGAGGGCATGTTGACCATCAAAGGTAATGAGTGTCAGAATGCTGAGGTCCTTCTAGGAGTGTGGAAACATGAGTGTACAAGATCCATAGCAGACAGGTTAGATTAGTCATCTACAACACTAGTCTCACAACTTTCTACAATCAAATTTGGGTAACCATTACAATAACTAGCATAGGTTCCAATTAACTTTCAGTTTTCCATGGTTGCTAAAAGGTTTGTTTGATTAAAAGTTATTGAGATCATGATCATGGTGCTTGCTTTATGAGATCATCAAAATCAAATTAATGACAAGTTTTAATTATATTGTTTTATATGTACTAAATAAGTGTGAATTTTTCCAAACATTGTAAAGTTACAGATCCATAATTTTCTGACGTTTAGAGATATTTCTTTGTGATTTCTTTGTGATGTTACTGAACCGTTGTATTGCAACATTGAGAGAAATGGACCTGGTCAATCTTGATTTAGATGACTTATTCCATTTTACAGGTTCACTAACCCTGAAGACAAGAAATGGTTCGAGAACTGTCTAGGAAGAGTTCTGAATGAACACATAGGAGAGGAGTATATGAGTGTATGCCCTGAAGAACCATACTTTGTTGACTTCTTACAAGATGCCCCCGAACCTACTGGGGAGGAACCCGATGATGCTGACCTGGATGCACCAAAAATATATGAAATGGTATTTAATTCATAATTCAATAACTAACTACAAATATCTGATGTCCTCAGTAAATCATATAACCTTTTGGATAATGTTATTACAGTTTTAATGTCATCTTCAGAAGTGGTGACATATTGTTATAGTCTTCAGCTTTTTTGTGGCAGGGGTTGGTGATGAGTGGTTGGTGCTCAGTGTTCTGTGTCTGTAACAAATGGCAGGTCGTGACATTTTGCATGTTACTGCCTTTTAAAAAGCATGTGATTTCATGAAAACTGATTTCACTTTGTAGATCCCTAGCTATGACTTCTTAAATGACAGGCTGAAGATGTACATGGCAATGTACAATGAGACAGTGAGAGGAGCACACATGGACTTGGTCTTCTTCAAGGATGCCATGGTCCATCTTGTCAAGGTAATCTTATAGACATCTGTAGTTGGCCTTTCTAGTTGTTCATAAGTGGTTCCATATATTGGGTATCATTACATAGAAGCAGTTGCAAAATTCCTCAAAACAACAGCCATTTTTGGTGAAAATAACTGCCTTTTGCCAATACAACTTTTGACATATGCATGTATATTTGTGAAATAAATTTTTTACTTTTTGCACCAAATTCAATAGATGGGTTGAGATTGTCAATGACAGTAAATTAGTTGAGAAATCCCTTTATACTCCTTGAAATTCATTATGGTAAAGATGCATTAAGTGTACAGCTGTACATGTATGTTCCAGATATCACGTATAATCCGTACACCGCGTGGCAATGCACTTCTAGTAGGTGTAGGTGGCTCTGGTAAGCAGTCCCTGACCCGCCTAGCATCATTTATAGCAGGCTACAAGATCTTCCAGATCACTCTCACCAGGACATACAATGTCAGTAACCTGATGGATGATCTCAAGTACCTGTATAGAGTGGCTGGTGGCGAAGGAAAGGGAATCACATTCATATTCACAGATAATGAGATCAAAGATGACGCCTTCTTGGAGTATATGAATAATGTACTCAGTTCTGGAGAGGTAATTTATTTTTGCAATTACGTGTAAAATTTCATTTCAGCGATTGTATGATTGAGAAGTAAACAGGACTTTTGAAGTACATCTACATGCATATTATAAACCGAATATCAAAGAGAGTTGATATCTTCAAAGTACATATAATTTGCAGGTATCTAATCTATTCGCCCGTGATGAGTTGGATGAGATAACCAATGAACTGATTCCTGTCATGAAGAAAGAGTTTCCACGCCTTCCTCCCACCCAGGAGACACTCTATGATTATTTCATCTCTAGAGCAAGGAACAACCTTCATGTTGTGCTCTGCTTCTCCCCTGTAAGTATAGTCATCTATGGGAACATTCTCAAAGTGGTTTATGTTTGGTGAAAAAGTTCAGTGCAGTAGTAGGCGGGCGGAATTGGAGGTCCAAAAAAAAGTTTAATGTACAGTTGCAACATATTCTCGTATTTGGTACCGTTGGAAAGCTTGTGGTGCCTAGATCTGAGATCCACTTGTTAGCAATTACGAAATGTGGGCCGAATGTGTCTAAAACTACCGTTTCCATGGTAACCACAAAAATATGGTGTTAATAAGCAGAAAATTGTTTTTATGCATAACTTCACTAATATTGCTCTGATTTTAATGAAATTGGTATCAAATTAAAGAGAATTAAAAGTTCGATTTTTGAAAATAACATTTATGCAAATTAGCTCATTTGCATATTGATTGTGACGTCATCACTGCATTATTTTGCGTATTTTTGATAAACGAGTATATTTATTTCAGTACAGTAATGTACAGTTGCAACATATTCATGAATTTGGTACCGTTGGAAAGCTTGTGGTGCCTAGATTTGAGATCCACTTGTGAGCAATTACGAAATGTGGGCCGAATGTGTCTAAAATGCCTGTTTTCATGGTAACCACAAAAATATGGTGTTAATAAGCAGAAAATTGTTTTATGCATAACTTTACTGAAATTGCTCCGATTTTGATGATTTTGGTATCAAATTAAAGAGAATGGAAACTTCCATTTTTGAAAATAACATTTATGCAAATGAGCTTATTTGCATATTGATTGTGACGTCATAACTGCATTATTTTGCATATTTTTAGATAAACGAGTATATTTATTTCAGTACGGTAATTTGAAGTAACAACATATGAATGAATTTGGTACAGTCAGAAAGCTCATGATTCCTAGTTTTAAGATCTGCTTAATAGCAATTCTGAAAAGTGGACTGAATGCGTCTAAAATGCCAATTTCCATAGTAACCACAAAATATGGTGTTAATAAGCAGAAAATGTTTTCTCATGCATAACTTTACTAATATTGCTCCGATTTTGATGAAATTGGTATTAAATTAAAGAGAATTAAAAGTTCTAATTTTGGAACTTACTTCTATGCAAATTAGCTAATTTGCATATTGATTGTGACGCCATCACTCCATTATTTTGTATATATTTTCGAATACATGAGTATATTTGATTCAGAATTTCTGATTGCAAATCCAAGAAAACGAAACACTACATGTACGTTCATTTTGGCATCGCTAAAAATGGGCATAACTTTGATGTTCTTTGCTGCAGTCAACTTACAAATCAGAAAAAGGGACTCATTTGGAAAAACCCAAGCATCTATCTCGAAGTGGTGGGAGAGGTGTCCACTATTATGTCAAGGTCACTGTTCTACAGCTGGATGACTCTAACTGCCGTTAGCTTCATTCAAGATGGTTGCCGAAATTCTTTCGTTTTCAATAAACCCCCGTTTCAGCTAAACTAAGTTGAACCTGGATTCCAAATGTTTCGCCGTGCAAAGTAATAAAGCTACGACAGTTAATAACCACAAATAAATGCTCAAACAACGGCCATATTGGAGAATTTTAAAGAAATGGCTTCACTTAGAATGACTCTAACTGAGTTAGAATGACTCTAACTGAAGTTGATGATGATGTAATGATGACGTCACTGGCGGATTAGGGGGGGGGGCCTGGGGGCCCGGCCCCCCCCTTGGGTGGGCCCAGAAAAAAAAATTGGGCCCAAAAAAAATTTCGGGCCAAAAAAGGCCTAAAGCCCCCAAAAAGTGGGCCTTTTTGATCATTACTGGGTCTTTTAAGGCCTTATTTTTTAATTTCAAGCCAAATTTTGAAGAAAATGGGCCTCAAAATTTCAAGATTTGGGCCAACTTTTGGGTTTTAGGGGCCCAAAATTTTTTCACGCGCAAGCGCGGACGTTTTTTTCTCTGACCTGAAATTTGGCCCCCCCCCTTCTTGGTTCCCAGATCCGCCCCTGGACGTAGATCATCAACTTCAGTTAGAGTCATTCTAAGGATAGCCGTTTTCTCTAAAATTCTCTAATATTGCTGGTATTTGGGCATTCATTTGTGGATAAATACAATTGTAGTTTTATTAATTTGCATTGCGAAACTTTTGGAATCAAGATTCAACGTAGTTTAGCTGAAATCGGGGGTTTATCGAAAACGAAAGAATCTTGGCAACCATCTTGAATGAAGCTAACGGCAGTTAGAGTCATCGTGCTGTGGAACAGTGACCTTGACATGATAGGATCTCCAAACATTAATTTCTGTTTCTTTCGAAATACTGGCAAAGATGGCTGTTTAAATATGGGTTCACACAATGTTTACCATCAAAATAATATCAAACTTTATTATTAGGTGAAATTTAGTGTATGGAACACATGGCAGAAAATTTGGAGCAGGACATTGACAAAATGTATCTATGTGTGCAATTAATTTATGCATATCTGGAAAATAATAGGTTGTTCATTAAATCAACTTCAAAATGACAGTTTAATTTATGAAAATGAAAAGGCTAATCCTGTGGCCGACAGCCAATAGTTGCACAAGTGAACACAAGCTAAGATTGCAATTTTAAAGTTTCCTTTGTCATTTCAAATCTATTAAGTATAGTGTAAATGGGGATTTTTGGTTTGTTTTCTGAAAAGAACAGTGACATTGTCTATTGGTATGTTTATATCTTAATCAAATATAAAGATTTGAATGGCCTAAGTGCTTTAACCCTCGTGTGTACATTGGGGGTCGGATTTTCCCCGGTATTTCTCTGACAAGAAAAAAACATTTTTATTGCCGTAGTACCTATAGCTATAGAAAAGATATCATTTTTGGTGCAAAATTCGAGGTGATTGGGGGTAATTTGGCTTTTACTTTCTTTTTGATAAAGACCATATAGTATACTAAATACCTTTACAAATAAGGCATATTACAAGGTAATCTGACTTTTATTGACTGAGATATGAAGTTTTCAATATAATATTGTGTGGGTTAGAAGGATGTAGAAGAGAGATGTTGGGAGCCCCCCCCCCCTTCGAAAATTTTGATATGATCATGTTACATAGCATGTATTATATTGCACAGTATATAGCATGGTAGCATAGCATGTACCAAGATAGCATAGTAGCATAACATATAGTAGCATAACATGTAACATAGCATGAAGCATGGTAGCATAACATGTAGCATAGCTGGAAGCATAGAAGCTTAACATGTAGCATAGCATGTAGCATAGTAGCATAACGTGTTGCATAGCATGTAGCATTGTAGCATTACTTATTGCATAACATGTAGCATGGTAGCATTACTTGTTGTATAACATGTAGCATGGTAGCATAACATGCAGCATAACTAGTAGCATAGTAGCACAACATGTAGCATAGAATGTAGCATCGAAGCATAACTTGTAGTATAGCATGTAGCATAGCTAATACCATAGTAGCATAACATGTAGCATAACGTGTAGCATTGTAGCATAACATGTAGCATAGTAGCATATTTTGTAGCATAGTTGATAGCATGGTAGCATAGCATGTGGCATAACAAGTAGCATAGCATGTAGCATAACATGTAGCATAGTAACATAGCATGTTGCATGGTAGCATAATGTGTAGCATAGCGTGTAGTATAGAACCCTAACATGTAGCATAGCATGTATCATAGTAGCATAACATATGTAGCATAGCGTGCACCATAGTAGCAAAACATTTAGCATAGCATGTGGCATTACTTGTAGGATTGTATGTAGCATAGTAGCATAACATGTAGCCGGTATCATTACTTGTAGCATAGCATGTAGCATGGTACCATAACATGTAGCATAGCATGTAGCATAGTAGAATAACATATAGCATAGAATGTAGCATGGTAGCATAACATGTGGCATAGCTAGTAGCATTGTACCATAACATGTAGCATAGTAGAATAACATATAGCATAGCATAACTTGTAGCATAGCATGTAGCATGGTACCATAACATGCGGCATAGTAGCATAACATGTAGCATGATAGCATAGCATGTAGCATGGTACCATAACTTGTAGCATAGCATGTAGCATGGTGGCATAACAGGTAGCATAGCTAGTAGCATAACTTGTAGCATAGCATGGTAGCTTAACATGTAGCCTAGTGAACATGCTAGTGAACAATAGTAAACATGCTAGTGAACATTAGTGAACACGCTAGTGTGCAATAGTGAACATGCTAATGAACATAGTGAACATATGCTAGTGAACAATGGTGAAGATAAGTGAACATGCTTGTGAACATGCTAGTGAACATAAGTGAACATGCTAGTGAACATAAGTGAACATGCTAGTGAACATGCTAGTGGACATAATTTAACATGCTAGTGAACAATAGTAAACACCTAGTTAACAATAGTGAACATGCTAATAAACAACAGTGAACGTGCTACTCAACAATAGGTGACATGCTAATGAACAATAGTATACATTACATAATCTTAAACAATAGTGAACAGGCTTCCCAAAATATTAAGAACTTAGGATAAAAAATTTGCAAGGGACTTAACTTTTTTGCAAGTCCTGGGTCGACAAGTATTTAAAAATGGTTATTCTTTACACTATGACCCTTTGTTTGATATACTATATGTCTTTATTTCTAAATATTCAATTTCAAACCCGATTTGATTTGCGAGGGCTAACATTTTATGCTAGGGTCGTGGATTGACAAGTAATAATAAATATCTAATCTATGAACGATGCGCTTTCGTTTGATATACAACACGACTATATTTATTTATCTTCAATTTTTAACCTATTCCAAACCCCGACCCACGGGCCGTCCATAGATATGGAAATAAGCTCATCTGGGTACCTTTCCTACGTCTTCTATTCACAATTCCAGTTCATTTGAAATGCTACACAGCCATACTCGAGGCTATGATGCTCGGATGGGCCTTGTTGACAGCAACAACAACAGATTTAAGATGAAGTTTTAATTTCTGTTTATTACATTAGCCTAAACCGGAAAGCATGGAGTTTTCACTGTCTTACAAACTCGAGACTGTTTTCGATGGCAAACGAAAACGAAATCATTATATTATAATAATACATAATATGACAGAGGCAACTTAATTTTTCAAGATTTTTCAAATGTGCCTCTTCCCCGGGCGCTGTCGGGTGACATTACCATCCCCATACATATCACTCATGTTTGAATGGGTCTGGGGATTCCGGAAGTCGTCAACACAGTCAGAATGAGACAATAATGACCTCAGAATACAGATAGACAACCGATAAACGTGTAGACGCGAACACCTTTTCACAATGTATGGGGAGGGGGCACGATCGAGGGTGTTCCATAGATGGCGCATTCTCAGCCATCTCGTAATGTTAGTACACCTTTGGTACAGTCAAACCTACATTTAGGCACTGGTTACCTCTCGGTATTTTCCGTAATTCTACAAGAAAAGCCCTATACTACTTTCTCGCTAGAAAATGTCAACTTAAGGATAACAACAAGTTCTGGTTGATACAAAAGGAGCTGATAACTTACAGACTTTGAAAATTGACTTATAATACTGTGACCCAAAAGCAGAACCCTCCAAAAATATCCTTTATTATAACATATGTAATCAGCTCAATTTTTATTTCAAAATACCCTCATGAACGTTTATTACGAGGGAAAGAATCCATTCAAATTGACCTTGTCCAAGTGTGTCATTAAGTGAAACTCCTATATGTTATATACATAAGAGTATTTGTTACTTATTACAGATCTCTACAATACTTGTAATGCCTTGAAATAGAAAAACCTTGATTCACTGAAGTCAGTGCCTATCGAAAATTACAATATACTATACCTTCACAGTTCCACTATGCAAGTTAATAAAATACGATTGTATTCATCTACAAATGAATGCCCAAACACCTGCAATATTAGAGAATTTTAGAGAAAACAGCTTCACTTAGAATGACTCTAACCACGGGCTTTCAATTTCGGCAACCAGCTGTAGAACAGTGACCTTGACATAATAGTGGGGTTATTCCAAATGAGTCCCTATTTGTCATTCGTAAGTTAACTGGGGCAAAGAACATCAAAGTTATGTCCATTTTTAGCGATGCCAAAATGAACATACACGTAGTATTTCGTTTTCTTGGATTTGCAATCAGATTGATTGAAGCACTTTCAAAAAATATAAACTTACTTTTTATTACACGTCACCTTAAGAAAAGAATATACTAACGCAATCAATAAAGAAACTCTTAGATTGACACATTTGAAATAGATAACAATTGTCTTAAAGATGAGTGATATTTGCGATTGATTTGCGGCAGGGTAAGAGCTATCGCAACTATTTGGCCAGTTTTGATTGGAACATCTTTCAAATTTGCGATTGTGTTGCGCATACAGCTAGGCTTAGAGGATGATACAAATCCTGATTGTGATTCTCAAAAATTGCGTTGCGTTGTGTTGCGAATCTGCATTGCGACGAGCGGGTGGGGAGGCATTATAAGTTTTCTAACGGTACAAAATTAATTCATATATCGTAACTGTAGAGTACCATACTGAATCAATATACTCATTTATTTGAATATATGCAAAATAATGGAGTGATGACGTCACGATCAATATGCAAATAAGCTAATTTGCATAAAAGTTAGTTTCAAAACTAGAACTTTTAATTCTCTTTAATTTAATACTAATTTAATCAAAATCGGAGCAATATTAGTAAAGTTATGCATGATAAAACATTTTCTGCTTATGAACACCATATTTTTGTGGTTACTATGGAAATGGGCATTTTAGACACATTCGGTCCAATTTTCATAATTGCTTACAAGTGGATCTCACATCTAGGCACCACAAGCTTTCCAACGGTACCAAATTCATGAATATGTTGCAACTGTACATTACTGTACTGAAATAAATATACTCGTTTATCAAAAAATATGTATAATAATGCATTGATGACGTCACAATCAATATGCAAATGAGCTAATTTGCATAAATGCTATTTTCAAAAATGGGACTTTCAATTTTCTTTAATTTGATACCAATTTTATTAAAATCAGAGCAGTATTAGTAAAGTTATGCATAAAACAATTTTCTGCTTATTAACACCATATTTTTGTGGTTACCATGGAAACAGGCGTTTTAGACACATTCGGCCCACATTTCATAATTGCTAACAAGTGGATCTCAAATCTAGGCACCACAAGCTTTCCAATGGTACCAAATTCATGAATATGTTGCAACTGTACATTACTCTACTGAAATAAATATACTCGTTTATCAAAAAATACGCAAAATAATGCAGTGATGACGTCACAATCAATATGCAAATGAGCTTATTTGCATAAATGTTATTTTCAAAAATCGAACTTTTAATTCTCTTTAATTTGATACCAATTTCATTAAAATCAGAGCAATATTAGTAAAGTTATGCATAAAAACAATTTTCTACTTATTAACACCATATTTTTGTGGTTACCATGGAAACTGGCGTTTTAGACACATTCGGCCCACATTTTGTAATTGCTAACAAGTGGATCTCAAATCTAGGCACTACAAGCTTTCCAACGGTACCAAATTCGAGAATATGTTGCAACTGTACATTAAAAAGTACTTTCCTGGCACTTTTGAGCCATCATTCCGACTACCTATAGTGCTATCAAAGAATAGAATAAACAGGAAAGCAGTCCAGGCCCGTAGCTAGCCAAGGGGGTCCACTTTTTAGCTCACATAGTGAGCTTTTGCAATCACTCACTTGTTTAAAAATTCCAGAGGGGTGTTCATTTTTGACAATTTTGTTCCAAAAATGGCCAAAATAACTTAATAAAAAGTGCACCAAATGGTGAAAAACTGCAAGATTTTAAAATATTTATTTGCCAGAAAGCCCTGGCTACTGGCCTGCAGTCATACAACCCAGCCCAACGGCTGTTTGTTTTAAACAAGTTGTATATGTGGCCCACCACATTGTTCCATAAGATAGTTCTTATGGATGGGTAGTAAACAGCATGAGGTGCTTACTCAGTCTATCCCGACCTCACACCTATATTCAAGCATAACCTAGTTTCCTCCTTTGAGATGCTATATCTGTCCCTACCCTAGTTGAACACAAGTCATGTAACGAAGTATAATGTATGTTTTATGAATGAACTCAATGTAGGCTTTGTGATATGAGAAAGCAGGTGTCAATTAGGTTTGCAATATCCTGTTTTATTAAATAACATTTTAAATATAACTCCAATAATACTTAGTAGTGTGACATTCCAATAATTGATACTTGTAGCATACTTATAAATTCTAGGAGTTGTAAAAGTAAATAATATTGGCAATTTGGCAAAGACAATAATATGGAAATGTAAGACTGTTCCTATTTGTAGGTTGGTGAGAAGTTCCGGAATAGAGCATTGAAGTTCCCTGGTTTGATCTCTGGGTGTACCATGGATTGGTTCCAGCGCTGGCCTAAGGATGCTTTGGTAGCTGTGTCTAATCACTTCCTTTCCAAGTTTGATATTGTATGTACCCCTGAAACCAAGCAACAGCTTGTGGAGACCATGGGAGTTGTTCATGATAATGTAGCCACCATCTGCATTGATTACTTCCAAAGGTTTGTTGATTTTGACCATTTGAAAGGCGAGGAAGATAAAATGTTTCAAAATAGGATGATCACAACAAAATGAATGTATCCACTAAATAAATCTACACGTTATCAAATCACAACTAATGCATTAATCGTTCAACCTATAACCTGTAATCTTAAATGTTCGTATTTGAAATATTTTTTAGATTCCGACGTCAGACTCATGTTACCCCAAAGTCGTATCTTTCCTTCATCGATGGATACCAGGCAATATATAGTGAGAATTATGGTCACGTGGGTGATCTAGCATTTAGGATGAACACTGGTCTAGAGAAACTCTTGGAGGCCACTGAGTCCGTCAATCTTCTCTCTATAGAGCTAAAAGCAAAGGAGAAAGATCTTGGTGTGGCTAATGCCAAAGCTGATAAGGTATAAGAGCTCTGAATAATACACAAATACATAATTTATAGGTCACCGCCAAAAGTGATGACATATTGTTATAGTCTCCTACTTTTTTTTGTGGTTAGTGTTTGGAGGTCGAGGGTTCGGAGTTCGATGGTCAGTGTCTGTAACAAATGGCATATAATGTATAATGTTTGATATGGTTATTGTACATTTGCAGTATAATGTGAGTTGTACAGTTATATAAAAGATTTACTGGTATGATTTTTTGGAGTACAATAAACAACAATAACTTTATGAAATTATACTTCAGGTGTTACAAGAGGTGACTGTTAGTGCCCAAGCTGCAGAGAAAGTAAAAGCATCTGTCCAGATAGTTAAAGACAGAGCCCAGAAACTCGTAGATGAGATCAATGTTGAGAAGGAGTATGCTGAAGGCAAACTTGAAGCTGCAAGACCAGCTCTGGAAGAAGCAGAGGCGGCCTTGCAGGTCTGTAGAGTCTATTCAATTTTAGTTTCTTTATATGCTCCATTGACTCCTGGGCATTGACTATCCACTGAAAATTTGATGAACTGTTATATTTGACAACAAAGACAATTTTGCATATTATGATAGATGAAAAACAAGTTTTCTTGTGTTAGGTCTGTCAATTTAAGGTATTAGTTTAAATTATGTAATCTTTATAAACTGATGGTATTAGTAACAAAGATAATGATGGCTTGATTAACGATGTCAATTGTGTCCCAGTCCCACGTTAGAAGTTTTGAACTTTTTAAACCACTTTGAAGACCCTGAAGTATTGATCAATTGACTCTGTTTGTTTTCAGACCATTAAAGCAGCTCATATCTCCACTGTAAAGAAACTTGGCAAGCCTCCCCATCTTGTTATGAGGATCATGGACTGCTGTTTGATCCTCTTCCAGAAGAGGCTTGATCCTACCACATTGGACCCAGAGAAACCAAGTCCTAAACCATCTTGGGGTGAATCTCTCAAGGTGACTCATGATGTCTTATGTCATAATGGTACATATTGACAAATGGACCTTCATGTACATTAAAGTCCCCATCATAAAATCAGACTGTGTATATCAACTGTTTGGCATATTTTCATTTAAATACTAATTCTGAGTATTAAATATCTCATCTACTTTTCAATGTTAATACAGCTAAATATGCATATATACATCCAGTCCTACTGTCATCTCTTTTACAGCTCATGAGTAGTTCAACGTTTCTGTCAAACTTGATGTCATTCAACAAGGACCTCATCAATGGTGAGATGGTTGAACTCCTGGCTCCCTATCTTGAGATGGAGGATTATACATTTGAAAAGGCTAAGAGTACTTGTGGTGATGTGGCTGGTCTGCTTTCATGGACCAAAGCTATGTCTTTCTTCTTTGGCATCAACAAGGAGGTCCTTCCACTCAAGGTCAGTCACAGCTTATTTCCGTTAAAGTTGAAATTAGAATATTTAGTCAGTTTATCTTTTATTAACAATTTATGTTATGTCACAACCACAAGTGGGGACATATTGTTTTAGTCTTCAACCTTTTTGTGGATGGTGTTCAGGGGTTGGCGTTTGGCAATCGATGGCATTATAACAAATGGTAGGTGGTAACATTTTGTATGTTAATGCCTTGTTTTATAATATTTTAGGCCAACTTGGCTATTCAAGCCAACAAGTTAGATAGTGCAACTAAGGAGTTGGCTCTGGCCCAGCATCAACTAGATGAGAAACAGAAAGAACTTGATGCAGTGCAAGCTTTGTATGATGGTGCCATGGCTGAGAAACAGGTAATTTCTCAGTATTATAAGAATTGCACTTTCACTTCTAAAGCTCACTTAATAGTGCATCTATCACAAGTGCTTATATCTGGAATATGTTTTTTTTTATTTTATCTTGGCCAGCTGATTTTGATCCCACCAAACAAAATTTGAGTAGGGATATAGAGAAGCCATCCATCTGCCTCTATGCCCCTTCTGACCTCTTTCTAGGTAACATATAGGCATGCTCATACATTTTGTCCCTCTTGGTCCTGTATGTCTTCTCACAGTGTCTTTGCATGCATCAAATAGTGTTAATGTCTTTATAGAGGAAATATAATTTCCGTTAATAATGCAAATACTTGTTATTGAATTTGGTCCAATTTCTATTGTCTAATTAATGCCTTATGGGCACGGAATCTGCTCAACAAGAAATTTTAAAGATGGCTGGTGAATTCAATATGGCCACCATTTATATTATAAACATCACAAGAATACCTTATCTTAAAACTCATTCAAGTTGATTTATTTAAAAGTTACATAAAATGGTTTTTAACCTTCCTAAAAATGCCTTACAATCTTGCACAAATTGTTTGCATATAAATGAATATAATATTGGATTAATGGCATTATTCAAAAATATTAAATGGATCAATAGTTGCTCTACTGCCATTTCAGATTTAGACTTATTGTCCCAGAATTGACCATCAGCCAGATTTCCAATTGATACAATCCATAATGGAAGCCAAGAAAGTAAAAATAATGCAGTTATTAGGAACAATACTTTTGTTGCTTTCAACCTATCTGTGTTCTTTTTTGCCTTGTCTTGTTGATGCATGGATAGATGTGGTATTCACATTAACAAGATGAGGCTCAATAACTGAGCCAGTACATCTGCAATATCTACTGCCTGGAGTTTATATCTGAACTTAAAGCAGAATATGAAATGATATTTTTAACCTCAAATGAATCAATATAATTTTAAAGTGGTACTACACTAGAGGTTCGAGTGTAGTTCTATAATAATGGCCCATCTTAAAATTGTAATGTTTTTCCACTAGGCACTTGCTGATGATGCTGAAACATGTAAGAGGAAAATGGTAGCTGCATCAGCTTTAATCAATGGACTCTCTGGGGAGAAAATCAGATGGACTGAACAGAGCAAAGAATTTCAGGCCCAGATTAATAGGTAAATTTATTAGTAATACCATTGGCCGAATTAAGGTATAACAATATAATTTCTGAAGTTGACCACTGAATATTGAATTTAATCAAAATTTGAATTATAATTGACTTTGAATTATGAAATGGCTTCGTCTTCATCAAAGCAGATTCTCCAAACTTCTGTGTAAATCATGAAATTACTAAATACTTTATTTTCCTTTTGTAACAGAGAAAATATGCAGCACTGTGTTTTTTAATTGACTGTTATTGTCAGGTTGGTAGGGGATGTACTATTGTTGACTGGCTTCCTCTCCTACTCGGGTCCCTTCAACCAGGAGTATCGTACCAGGCTACTAGGTGACTGGCAGAGTGAGATGGCTCGACGTAAAATACCATACTCTAAAGATCTCAACTTGATACAATCTTTAGTCGACAATGCAACTGTGAGTGATTTATAAAAAATCGTGATTTAGCTTTTGAAACATAGTACATGTAGTTTCATCATTGCTTCGCCAGAAGACAGCCAGCCATATATTGTAGAATATTAAACAAGATGTGGTTGTTTTCAAGTATCTTTTCAATACTGAAATCATTGATATGAAAATTGATGTTTGGTGGTTACTTTTCAAATCATCTTTATTTTTACATTTCCATTTTAGATCATATTTTTATAGAGGTCACCATTTTTAGAACACAAATCAGTTGCTTTTATTTTGATCTCATAGCATTGCTCACTATTGTGTTCTATACTTAGATTGGAGAGTGGAACCTACAAGGGTTGCCCAATGATGAGCTGTCTGTGCAGAATGGCATTATTGTGACAAAGGCCACAAGGTTCCCACTGTTAATAGACCCCCAGGGACAGGGCAAGGCTTGGATAAAGAACAGAGAGAGTGACAGAGAGTTACAGGTGAAATACAATTTGCATTCCTCACTTGAGAAAATTAACTTACATTTTATCACACCCCTTTAAGTGCTTGTATTGCTACTCAAGGGTTCAGTATTGTTCACTCTATGCCTTGTTAAGCATTACAAAAACTATTTTAAAGATTTTTTTTTTCTGTTCAAAAATTAAAGATTGTATGTACTATACTAAGGTTATTATGGTTACACTATTTGGTTGTTCACATAGTCTGTGAATTTATGTGCATTTTAGTGGGTTAATACAGCAATTGTATGGTACAATTTACTTGAAAGATCATATTCTATCTTATAGACATTATTTTGGCATTGCAATGAACTTGTAGGTGACATCACTGAATCACAAATATTTCCGTACGCATCTTGAGGACTCCTTGTCTCTAGGCAGACCCTTGCTTATTGAGGATGTTGAAGAGGAGCTGGATCCGGCCCTTGACAATGTACTGGAGAAGAATTTCATCAAATCTGGCAGCACATATAAAGTCAAGGTATGTATGATATACAAGAATAGAAATCGTTATATTGGATGTTGATGGATGATCAATCTGGTTAATTCAGGGGCGTAGGAAGGTGTAAATTCAACACTACGCCAAAAATCCCGCCAAAAATATGAAACAATTGTGTCAATATTCTATATCAAAACGCCTATTTTATGCTCGTAAAATGTCATTTTATGAAAACAGAGATTTTAAGCTTGCAATGTTTTTCACAACCTAAATGTGAACGGAAATACTAAAGCGATGCATTTGTATGAGCGATTGGTCATACGTATAGGTTGGCGTTTCGATTTTATATGCAAGCTTTAAATCCCTGATACCTTTTTAATGTGCTTTAAAATGTTTGAATGATTTTCATCATTTAAAATCACCTTGGAAAGCCTATCTTTTAAATCTCGACACAAATCATTCTCACTTTGCTAATGTCTCGAACGATTGAGACGACCAATTTCCAAAACAATAAGAGATTTTTTAATAATTTTCGAATAATTGAATTTAGATATATAGTATTGTCTGATTCCATCGTGTACCGTGCAATACAATACGTACAGATTAAAGAAACTAGTTTGATCAATTGATATGAAGAAACGCATTCGTGATCAATGAAACAAAAAAACACCCCCACAACAAAGGTCAAATCGAGATCAACGTGACTTAGGGGGTGCCAAAAATGTTATAAAGCAAGAATCTATTATTTTTCAAATGGAAAAAAACTAGGTAATCGCTTTTCTAGAACTGAAATCAATGAAACGTGTTATTGAATAATCAGCATTTTCAAGTTGTTTTTGTCTTTAACATTCATATTTCAAGAAGTACTACTAATAACAATTAGTGATTTAGTAAGAAAATAGATAATTGCGGACTTAACTATAATTTCTGTCTATGATTTTGCATAGCAACGGAATATAAATCGATGTAGTGAAATTGAAAAATCGGGGTAGGGGAGAATAAAAAAATATACATCTTTTAAAGAGGTTCATCATTATAATCATATAATACCATAGTTTGCATAAGCATTACGGAACATGCAGAAAAAATGAAAAAACAGTTTTTCTCTCAAATTCGTGAAGAGAACGCGATTCACGAATATTTGGCGAAATTGTATTTTACTTTTAAAATTCATAAGATAGTCTCGATTTTCATGAAATAAAGCATGTTGGTAAGGGAATTCAATCTGTTAAACGATATTTGCCAGACAGACCAATAATGATATGGTATCCACAAAACATTTCTTTAGGCTAGTGTGCTCGAGATTACTTTTACAATTTATGAACAATGAGAAAATATGACTAAAGAACATAGGAAAATTTTTATTCTCACTTTTCAACACTACGCACTGGCGTTTTGGCGTACATTGTTCCTACGCCACTGTAATTTGTAAGGATATCGACAGTATTAATGAAGTGTTTCATATTTTATCAAGTGATCCATTACCGATCTTTAATGTTTACATTGTGATATCTGACGAAGATGCCGAAATAATCATTTCTTGATCAGATTTGATTAACAAGCCTCCAAAATTGGTCTAAGGAAATTAAGGCACATATTTGCAAAGTTCCAAAATCTGAAAAAGTCCTTAAAATGTATAGAATGCATGACAGCTATCAACCAATCAGAATGCTATATATAAATGAAGAGGTGGACAATCCTGACTGTTGTATGTTTATAGGTTGGAGACAAAGAGTGTGATGTGATGACTGGCTTCTACCTGTATATAACCACCAAGCTCCCCAACCCAGCATACACACCAGAGATCAGTGCAAGGACATCTATCATTGACTTCACTGTCACCATGCGGGTAAGATTCCACATTTCAATTGTCTCAGTAGATGTACAAGATAGACCTGATAACTTTTTGTTGTTTTTATGTCACCACCAAACACTGTAATGATCCCCGTTTTTGTGATGGCGGTTGTCGATCTGCGGTTGGGATCTGTAACAAATGGTGGTGACATTTTGCATGTTAATGCCTTGTTCTACACTCCTTCTGTCATACTATTTTTGTGATCAATAATAACATGTGTCATGTAGGGACTGGAAGACCAGCTGTTGGGTCGTGTCATCCTCACTGAAAAGCATGAGCTAGAGGAAGAGAGGACCAAGCTGATGGAAGATGTTACTGCCAATAAGCGAAAGATGAAAGAACTTGAAGACAATCTCCTATATAAACTTACCAGTACAAAGGTAAACATTTTGGGATATGACATAGATTCTCAAAACCTCTAAAATCAATGATACTCAACATTCAGTCATATATTAACAACTTGGAGATGAGAAAACACAAGTTATTGAAGCTGGGAGGACATTGGAAAGCAGTTCAAAATTAACAAGAAAACTGAAATTCATTGACAGCTGCATTTTAGGTTGAAACATTTGGAAAAACTTGAAAACCATGAATATGATTTCTATTCAAGTGTCTGTAACAACAAACATTTTTACATAACAAACAAACATTGGGATCATGTTATATATGTTAAACATACATTGATAGAAGATGAATGCAAAATGCCTTTATATAATATAAAAATTTACAGGGTTCCCTTGTTGATGATGAGTCACTGATCAGTGTATTAGCTACCACTAAAGAGACAGCTGCTGAGGTGAATGAGAAACTTGTTGTAGCTGCTGAGACTGAGATTAAGATCAATGATGCCAGGGAGGAATTCAGACCAGGTATAAAAATTAGAGGTGTCATGAATAAAAGTTTTGTTCCGAATCCCGGGTTGGAACATAGAACAAAAATTCAACATTTTGGTTTGGTTTGGTTTGGGCCTCAAATCACCACAAAACAGCATTTCTCTTTCACTGAGGGTTTATCACTCTTTTGGTAACAGTTTCAAAATTTTCCGTTCTGAAGACAAATACTGGGAGTAGACTAGACCTCTACTTGAGAAGGGATTTCTAATATGGTGTCACACACGTCAGTGGTGTAGATTTCTTTTGTTAAAAAGCTGACTTTTTTTTTTATTAAAACTTGTGCTCCTTTTCAATTGGTCTCGCCTGGAATAAACACTTTGGTCAATGTCGGTTGAATTCAGACACACTTTAAACCAGCATATTTCATTTCAGTTGCCACTAGAGGCAGTATCCTGTATTTCCTGATTTGTGAGATGAGCATGGTGAACTGTATGTACCAGACATCTCTCAACCAGTTCCTGGGGATCTTTGACAAATCTATGGCCAGGTAGGGAGCTTTAAGTGTTGCTTTAAGTGTTTTATCTCGTGTTTATTTTAATTAAAAAATGTTGTCTTCTTGTCCTGATCGCCCTTGTATAGGCAGCTCAAGAAATGTTGTCATCAATTTAGAAAAAAAGAAATTAATCCATTTAACATGATATTCATGCAGATGCAACAATTTTGCCTTATGATGCGCACTAGTATTGTATGGCTGTATTTCCTTATTATATAGGTCAGAGAAGTCTCCAATCCCAAGCAAGCGTATAGCGAACATTATAGAGTTCCTGACATATTTAGTGTTCTGCTACTCATGTAGAGGACTGTATGAGAGCCATAAGTTCCTCTTCACCATGCTACTCACTCTCAAGATTGACATACAGAATACTGAAGTGAAACATGCTGAGTTCCAGGTTCTCATCAAAGGTATGTATTCTATTTAGTTTGAAAATTTAGGCATTATGCAGAGATGGAAAGTTCAAGAGTGTCAAAAATTGTGATCTCAGTGTTGTTGTCCAAAATATGACACATAAAAAACAATTGAGTTGAGTATGATACACCCTTTTCATACAAAATGTGCTAACTAGAAATTGATTAAGCTTCTAAACTTTGAAATTAAGTTTCTAAACCTTGGAATAATCCCACATGTGACAGTGTGTCCCTACATTGTTTACTAAGGAATAAAGAAAGATTCTTTGATTTATGGTATTATATATTTCCAAAGATTGCATGAGACTGTTCATTGTTAAATGATTGAAATGGTAAAGCTTCTAATTGATTACAATAATAAAGTCTCATATAAAACTACATTCTACAAATGCATGCTATAAATTAGATAAGTGGACACTGAGCTGTATTCCTTAAAGTAATCTCATTTAAAGGTCTAAGCTTTATATGGGGCCTTTAATAGTATCTAAGCATATTGATGTATGTGAATTTTGCTTTATTATGAATATGTCCTGCTGTTTATCGATACATTCAGGGTTTGGCAGAAGTGGGAGTCTGTAGGCCCGGGACACCCTGATTTCGTTCCGGACACCTTACGTTGCCATAAATGTATCATACAACATTGCATATTAGCTTGTGTCAATTGGGCACAATCCCCATGCATCCCTGTGGCAATACCAGACACCATCTATTTTCTTCCACACACAATGTGTCCTGAAATAATCAGATTTTCTATATCCATAACTCATTTCAATTTCAAATGAATGAAAACATAAATTATGTAACTATGTTTTAAATTAAAGTTGCATTATGTACATGACACATTTTGTAAAATCATTAGGGGTCATCCAGTCAGCATCTGTAACAAATCGTTACAGTCTTCCAATAACTTAACAAATACCGTTTAGACTGACTTCAATTTTTTGGAAAATTATCTACAAGTTTTCAGAAGTTCAAATCTAGTTTTATTATGTCTCCACCAAAAAGTGGTGACATATTGTTATGGTTGATTCTTGATTGCTGATCGGCGTCTCTAACAATTTCTTACAACTTCCAATAACTTGACAAATACTGTTTAGACTGACTTTAATTTTTTCAAAATCATCTACAAGTTTTCAAAGGTTCAAATCTGACTCTAGAATTAAGATTTGACCGTCGATGACCTTTTCAAGGTAAAAAAGGTCTTTTTTTCAACTTACTTTAAATTGACCAATTTTTGGGGAAATTCATTTACAAGCTCTCGGAAGTTCAAATCTGACGCTAGATTTTAGATTTCACCTTCAATGACTTTCTTAAGGTCAAAAAGGATTTTTTTCAACTTGCTTTAAATTGTCCAATTTTTTTCAAAATCATCTCGTGTTCTCAAAATTTCAAATCTGACTATAAATTTGACCCTCAGTGAGCTTCTTTGGGTCAAAAAAGATTTGACCTTCAACGACCTTCTCAAGGTCAAAAAAGGTCAAAAAGGCATTTTCATTTTTCAACTTGCTTCAAATTGACCAATTTTTTTTCCAAAAGCATGTACAAGTTCTCAAAAGTTTAAATCTGAGTCAACTATATAGTCTTGAGGTAAAAAAAGATTCAAAATATTGTGAGCACCTAGGTGGTGACATTTTGTCATGTTAATGCCTTATTAATTTATGCTATATAAATACTAGAAAAAAACTTGATTTGGCTGGAATTCTGAGATATCACCAATATATGCCTTTTTAAGTGTTTATCGAGGTTTCTAACAATTAAGCATATTACATTGAGATTTGCTATTTTGTGGAGTTGCCATTTTTCAGTTGTATACCTTCCTGTTCCTATAATTTCTCCATCTGCATTCTCAACATGGTAGTTAGTCACATCTGTGCCCAGGTTGCCATTTGTTTCTATAGAAATATGCTTCCCATTTATATATTTCAATCCAGAGTCTATCAGCGTCTGCATATGTTTGCGGACAGCTAGGGTGAAACAACATATACTTTAAATGAAGAAATCATGATTATTAGTAAAATTTAATTACAAATCCATAAATCATTTGCTATTTCTCAGACATGTAATTTTCAAAATAGTCAATTGATTGCAGATCTGTTGCTGTACAATATTTGGAGAGATCAGAGCCAGTTTGTCAAAAATGCTGATTCCTTTCACAAGATTATGGAATACAGTGTACTTTATATTAGCAGGCCTGTCAACTGTCCCGCAATTCGCGTATTTGTCACGCATTTGCTGAAGAATTTGAAGTCACGCCAGTTATTTTTGCGTGACAGAAAATGTCACGCAAATACGCATTTTACCTGGTAATTGTCAAGCAAAAATATTTCTGTAGAAAAATTTCTAAAAAAGATCGTCTACACAGCAAAAATACGAACGCCGGAAAAAAAAATGTACGCATTTCGTTCGGACTTTTCACGCGAATTACGTATATGTCACGCATTCCGTTTGAAAATTTTCGTACCTACTAATTACTACAGGTGCTAAAATTTTCTCATATTCATTGAAAGATGACATCAAGTTCAAAGCAGCACAGCAAAAGGTTGACAGGAAAATATAGTCCCTTCCTAAATAGGTGGAATGCCCTGCAGATTACATGACACTTGGATTGCTAGACATGAAATACAAGAATGACAGAGCCAAACTATAGTTCATATGGATGCTGTACCAAGACTGCCTTTAAACATGCTGATTCTACACATGACACTCATGGCATTGGACTTTAAAGGAATAAAATTTTCCTTGCACACATGTTATGGGCTTAGCACTATTTTCATGAGTAGTGCACCAACACAACAACATTAGTTGAGCGCAATGAAAAAAATGAGCGTTCAGAAAATTTTGAAGTTTGGTTGTATTCGGAGTGTATTTGCATCCATTGGTTAAGCCTGTGCATACTAGGCGTACCAGGCACTACAGCCATGCATGTGGTGCACTGCCAGGAAATACAATCTATTGGCAGTGTAATAAATGCTTAATGGTCAAATTATCTGTAACAGTAATTATCCAAATGAACAAACACTGAACGACGTTCAAGGGGGATATAGGAAAGACGTCCATCCGTCTGTCCGGGCAATAACTCAAATACCGGTTGATGGATTTGATTCAAATTTTATAGGCTTATGCCTTATGTGGGTAGGACCTCTGTTCGAGAAAGAATTTTCAATATGGTGGCTTAATTAAAAAGTGAGGCCATTTTTTGGAAAAACGTTATCATTAATAACCCAAATACCAGTACATTGTAGATGGATTTGGTTCCAATTTTTTATGCTGATGTCTAGGGAAAAAGGAGATCTGCGTCAGCTGAATTTCAAAATGGCTGCCATTTTTCATAAAAAAGGGTAATCTTTGATAGCTCAAATACCAGTGGACAGATTTACTTCAAATTTTATAAACTGATTCCTAGAGATAAAGGAGCTCTGCTTGAGAAAAAGTTTTCAAGATGGCTGCTATTTATCGAAATTTCTGCCATTTTTCATGTAATCCTTGATAACTCAAGTACCAGTTGACGACTTTGGATTAAATTTTAAATGCTGATGCTTTGGGACATTTGAGCTGAATTTCAAAATGGCAACCATGTTTCATAAAAATATTATCTTTGATAACTCAAATACTAGTGGATGAATTTGGCTAAAATTTTATATGGCCGCCATTTATCAAAATATGTTTTGTTCGATGGGATTTGCTACTTCATGGAGTTGCTGTTTTTCTAGTATATGTCATGATATAAGGATGAAAAATTGGGCATTCAGAGTTGCGAACTTTTGATAGAGACATTTTCATTCTAGACACCTTACTTTAAGCCTATTTCCCTTCTTTTAAAGTCTCAGAATTTCAAATACCTTCTCTGCCAAATTTGTTTGGCATGTTTGGTCCCAAAAGCATGCAATCCTCTGTGTAACTGGCAGCTACCTTTGCAGCATCCTTCTTGTCATTTATGAGTATCACCCAATTTGCCAACCATTGTTTAATTGCATCTGTAAAATTAATAAATTATATCCTGTAAAATCATGTTATCCTTGATATAAAATAAAATAATCTCAATCATCAAGATCACAGTTTATTATGTCACCACCAAGAAGTGGTGACATATTGTTATGGTCTCCAATTTTTTGGCGGTCGGTTGGTAGTTTGCGATCGGCGGGTGGCGGTTGGCATCTGGAACAAATTCTTAAAACTTTAAATAACTTAACAAATAGTTTAGACTGACTTCAATTTTTTTCTAAATCATTTACAAGTTTTCAGAAGTTCAAATCTGACTTTACATTTAAGATTTGACCTTCAATGACCTTAAGGTCAAAAACAAATTGAACAATTTTTTTCAAAATCATCTACAAGTTACCAGGGGGTCAATAACAGAACTTTCGCAAACTTACGAATTCGTATTTCGTAACTTTATGAAATTCGTAAATATCTAAAAAGTTACGAATGACTTACGAATTTGTAAAGTTACGAAACGGCCATTAACAGAACACTTTCGTAAGTCATTCATAAGTTTTATCGTTCGTAAACGAATTTCAAATTGTGACGTCATCTTATATCATTATTTAGCACAAATAAAAATATGATGTCATTTTATATCATTGCGCGTTGTGATTAAACCTGTCTCCGCGATGTCAAAGATTCCCAGCTCAGGAACATATTTGCTTATCATGTAAGAATACATGTAGGTGGATATTTTAGCTTGAAACTTAGCATGCATATAAAGAATAATTTCTTTTTGCCAACCTGTATACCTTACATAAGAACTGGATGAGAAATATGCCATTCTAAGGCGAGAATGTCATTGAAGGTCAAACCTATAGTCAGATTTGAACCTTTGAGAACTTAATTGTAAATGTTTTTGAAAAAAATTGGTCAATTTGATGCAAGTTTAAAAAAGACCTATTTGACTTTTCTATGACCTCGAGAAGGTCAATGAAGGTGAAATCTTAAATCTCAAGTCAGATTTGAACTCCTGGGGGTCATTAACAGAACTTTCGCAAAGTTACGAATTCGCAAGTCAATTGTTAATTTTACGAATTTGGTAAATGTGCATTAACAGAACTTTCGTAAAGTTACGAACGATTCGCAAAGTTACAAAGAAATGACGTCACGTATGCTTTCGTTCGTAACCTTAATAGCACCTCAGACCCTTTCATAACTAAGTTGACACAGTAAATGACCACTGATATTGTGTTAGTCCATGCACACAGCGTATTCTGCTAAGGCCATAAGAAGTACATTCTCTGTTTTTGCGTCCCCTTGCTTGCACGATTTTGAGCAAATCAGAAAAAAACAAACACATCCAAATAGCAATTACAAGGGTTTGAAAGTACCATCGCATTTCATTCAATCAGAATCGGACGAAATGGCAGATCATTTGATGTGCGTCAAAATTGACAGTGTTATTGATTACTTTAGCATACATTGTGTATTTTCTTATTTTGTACCCTTGAATAATAGCTATGCTTACATATATTGTATAGGATGTATAGATATGTGTTTGTAATCACTGCAAATTGGCATGTCATTCCTTTATATGCCCATAAACAATTATGGGCATAATAAGTTTGTGTTTTTTCTTGAGTTTGTGTTTGTTTTCCTTGTACCCTTGCATGATTTGGATTTTGCCATGACGCAAAACAAATAACCTACTTCTTATGGCCTAATACACATTTTTGCTAACACCCCTCACTTTCATAGTGAAGTGACTAATTGGTTTATGTTTACGTTTTAATGTGTTTTGGGTTCCTTGTTACAGCAAGGGGGTCAGTAAAGTAGACTAACATGTTTGCATGGCAAGTTTTGATCGAATATGTGAGACACTTTAAGATTGAACTAATTATATTGTGAGCAACTAAGTGGTGTCATTTTGTCATGTTAATGCCTTGTAAGTATTTACTGGTCTATTACTCAACATGAACGATACATATACTATTTTTGCACAACTTAAATCAGGTTTTTGTGATGTGACCGTGATCTAGACATACAAATCCAGTCATCAATAATGACATCATTCTCAGACCATGCCAATCTCAAAGTAATGGTACATGTATTTTCAAAATTGATCAAGTGTATGTAGTTCTATCGTATGTTCATATTTTTTCCAATTTTGATATTCGAAACCAAATAGTTCAGTTACAACACTGAATAGCCTTGCCCAAGTCGGTCTCTTTTACTATCTGATTTCTATTATGACCGCCTTGTACAAAAGAGAAAGCCACGTGCTTTACCGACTCAATGTTTATGTCGGTAAAATTTGACCAATCAACGACGGCCCTGCAGCGCTAGCTCATTATTATGCACGGTCAAAAACAAGTACACTTTTCGTCGGGACGTTTCACGAACAAATCTTGCATGAATTCATCATGAAAATACAAATATTTTATCAGATAAATATCAATCAGAGTTAAGTGGATGCTAGACATCGATCGGTAACCGGAGGTTAGAAGATTTCAACAATAAACGTTGAAACGATTGCTGAATTCAAATGAACATGTAGGCTGAGATTCAATCACTGATCGACGACTACATGACCCGCTACATTGGACTAGGTCTTGCATTTTCATCACTAGATCAGTTTTAAATCTATTGCATGATTTAATTTATATTAATGACTCTTACATTCCCTATGTACATTTAATTACATAATATATTGTAACTAAGAAACGATCGATCAGATCATTGAATTTCAAGTCGAAGACGGGAAGATTGCTTTGCTGTGCAGCTCAACCTGATAACGTTTTGATTGGTCAATCAGCCTGAAGTCACACGTCGTGTCCACGCGTATATCTGTTAATCAATAAGGTTTCGCAATACTCCTGATAGCGTAGGTATCATGGAAATCTCGAAACCGTTGAATATCTCAGCATAATAGCAGCGGAGATGTATTGGATTGTACAAGGCAGTAATAATTCAAGATCAGATAAGTAAAAAATACCGACTTGGGCAAGGCTAAACACTGAATTAAAAATGGAGATTCATGTTGCAATCGTCTGATCTACATTTTGTCTAATAATGATCCTGGACACTGATCAATCCCACCCACCGGACGAAGTTCGAGGGGGATATAGAAAAGCCGTCAGTCTGTCCATCCGGGCAATAACTCAAATACTGTTTGACGGATTTGATTGAAATTTTATAGGCTTATGCCCTATATGTGTAGAACCTCTGCTGGAGAAGGAATTTTGATTATGGCTGCTAAATTCAAAATGGCCATCATTTTTTGTAAAAATATAACCTTTGATAACTCATATACTAGTTTAAGGATTTGGTTCAAATTTTATATGCTGATGCCTAGGGACAAAGGAACTTTGCTATAGAAGATATTTTCAAGATGGTGGCTGAATATCAAATTGGCGGCCATTTTTGTAAAAAAACGTAATCTTTGATAACTCAAACACCAGTGAACGGATTTGGTTCAAATTTTATATGATGATGCTAAAGAACAAAAGAGCTCTGCTAAAGAAGACATTTTTAAGATGACCACTGAATTCCAAAATGGCCACCATTTTTCATAAAAAATGGGGTCTTTGATATCTCAAATACTTAGAGGACAGATATGGTCCAAATTTTGCCTCGGGACACATACAAGCTCAGCTCAAGAAAGAATTTTTAAGATGGAATTTGAATTTCAGAACGGCTGCCATTTTTTGTTAAAAAACATAATCTTTGATAAATCAAATATCGATGTATGGATTTGGTGGCTTTTTGAAAATACATAATTTTTGATTACTCAAATTTCAGTGGATGGATTTGGTTATATGCTGATATGCTCTGTTGGAGAAGAAATTTTCAAGATGGCGACTAATTATCAAAAAAATGTTTTGTTTTGTGGGATTTGCTATTCTGTGGAGTTGCTGTTTTTCTAGTTGGCTCACACAGTGAGCCTATGGGATAGACCAGGCATCCGTCTGTTGGTCCGTCCGTCCCTCCGTCCATCCATCCGTCCATTGATCCGTTGGTCCGTCCGTCCGTCAACATTGGCTTCACAAATTAAAACTGCTATTCAGATTGAGTCATATCCACATTTATTTTATGCATATCCATAATGCCTATTTTTTGACCTATCATCGCCGTTTCCCAAGTTCGCCCGGTTTCAGTGTATAATATTGGATTTTTTTAATACTAGACTTTTTGTCTAGTGTCCAAAAATCAGCACAAATTTTCACTGGACAACTTTTGGCTAGTGTGCTCTTCTTAATCACAAAAGACCTTACTGAGCTCTGAATAAGTAAAATTTTCAAGGTCAAAGGTCATCAAACTAGGTCACACAACTGTACTATCTAAGTTTCTCAAAGTTCGAAACTACAAATCCAAATCAATATTTTTGTTTGAAAGTCAGGATATACATTCCTCTGAAGGTTCCAAACTGTGTGAGCACAGGACCATGGGTCCTTTATTTTAGTTTAATCTCTACATATTAGTTCTTCCTCTTTGAATAAGGGAAAAGACGAAATATGAAGAAACAAGACTCACCTATATCCTCTTGTGCATTCATTGCTGAGATATATTTGTACAGTACATGTATTTGCAATTTAGAGCAGTCTAAGGTTAATTCGACAGCTACCCTCAAATGAACCTCAAGTATAGATGCTTTAATTATCCCATCGAACGAAGTTCGGAGGGATATAGGGAACGCCTCCGTCCGTCCGTCCGTCTGTCTGTCCGTCCGTCCGGGCAATAACTCAAATACCGTTGGCCCGATTTTGTTCATATTTCGTACACATATACCCTATGGGGGTAGAAGTTCTGCTCGAAAGCCGATTTTCAAAATGGCCGCTCATTGCAAAATGGCGGCCATTTTAGTGACGATTTTACAGTAATTTAGGTGCAATATGTAAAACTGTAATAGCAATATGTTTTAAATGTAAAAAAATTATAAAGGACATTAATAATGCTACAAATGTAGATATTAAAAAGCACATGGCAGCCATCTTGAAAAATGGCGGCCTTTACTCGTCATTTTACGATTTTTGCTGTAACTCAAAAAATAGTGGAGCGATTTTGTTCATATTTGGTGTGTGAATACTATAAGCATTGCACACTGTCTAAAGACACTTTTGTAGAAGGCGGCCATTTTGAAAAATGGCCGCCACTTTATAATGTATTTTACTATAACTCGAAAAGTAGTGGAGCGATTTTGTTCATATTTGGTATGTGAATACTATAAGCATGGCACACTGTCCTATGACACTTTTGGTAGAAGGCGGCCATTTTGAAAACAATTTTGAAAAATGGCCGCCATTTTAACGTATTTTACTAATACTCGAAAAGTAGTCGAGCGATTTTGTTCATATTTGGTATGTGAATACTATAAGCATGGAACACCGTCTATTTTTAATGACGCTTTTGGTAGAAGGTGGCCATTTTGAAAAATGGCCGCCATTTTAACGTATTCTACTATAACTCGAAAAGTAGTGGAGCGATTTTGTTCATATTTGATATGTGAATACTTTTAGCATGGCACATTGTCTTATAAAACTTTGGGGAGTAGTCAGCCATTTTGAAAAATGGCCACCATTTTTACGTGTGTTATTTTACAAGTACGTGTGCGATTTTTCAAAAAATTTTAGAGGTGGCTACTTAAAAGCATATTATTTCTTCTGATGACAACTTGGCTAGTGAGCAACCATTTTGAAAATGGTGGCCTTTCTGGTGTGTTGTTTTATGATATTTGCGCTTCGTTTGTAAAAATGCCAGCCATTTCTGTTCGATGGGATTCGCTACGCTTTGGCGTTGCCGTTGTTCTGGTTTACAATTTTATCACATCTTTTTATGTTATTCAGTCTTTATAGTTAAGGTGAGTTTACAAATACAGGACAGGTATTTGAATAAATGATAAAATAGACAAGGCCAACAGTTTTGAGTCTGATATATTAAAAAAAGTGCATCCCAAAAACATAAAATATGTTTTTGTAAGGTTATGTGTTACCATATTTTCCCTAAAAATGCACAGTACACTCCAAAAATTAACATGGAAAGTAGTGAAATATTGGAAAATTCTTAAAATATTTTTAAAACTATGTTTATCTAAAAAATTGTTTGAAAATACTTATGTTTTGAATACTTGATGTTAAGTTATGAAACACTATGCAAAATGCTTATTAAACTATTTTCTGAGTCTCTCTATCATCCTTCAAATGCAGGGTTCCAGTGCAATGTCCAATGTAATTTTATTGTAGCCTATTTCCAACTGTATCAATGAGGGCATGGGCTCCAGGCGTCCCTATGACAGTACCAAACACCATCTATCTTCTTCCACACACAATGTGACCTGAAATTAATTGCCCCATAAAATTGCAAGGGAAACTTTATAAATGATTCAAAAACAGTTTTTACAAAATGCACTTGTAATTTCAAAATAAAATTTTTCCCAAAATGCTCAAATTGTAAGACAAAGTATGGTTGTATAAAAAATGAGACACATATTGATTTAGAAGGGTAAGTTACTCTTTGTATTAACTATCAAGTAGAATGAGCACCTTCCCGTTTCTACAATTTTTCCATCAGCAGTCTCAGTATGGATGTAAGTCAGATCTGTGCCTAGGTTACCATCAGTTTCTATTATACGTTTGCCATGTTTGTATTTCAATCCACTGTCTATGATACCTTGCATGGCTTCACGAGCAGCTAGAGTGAGAAAATTTCTTCATATTAAGTGGTTAGGTGGCCATCATTTTAAAAATGGCAGGATTTGTTTTGAAAAGTTTTTTCCTTTTCATCAAAGTGTAAAATTTTGGTAGCATGCACATTTATGTTGAATTAGCAATCTCTGAAGTATGGCTACTATACTAAACTCATCTAAGGTATCTTATAAGGGAAGGTTATAATTATTGTATAATCTTTTCATAATTTGACCCAATAAACACTGAAATTGTCAGATTTTTTGTTAATCTGACTCTTTTTTAAGCCTGCTAGAAATATTGGTAACCTCGTTTCCTGACAACAAAATCATTTAAACGTTTAAAGGTTGGCAATCAGCGTCTCACAATATTTTATCTTTTAATGATATTTTCCTATTTAGCAATCTAAGATAAGTAACATTAAAAATACTTTCTTCCGTAAACAAATGTTATAGTGGTACCTGCCCTGCCAAATCTGTTTGGCATGTTTGGTACCATAATAATACAGTCCTCTGTGTAACCATCAGCTATCTTGGCAGCATCTTTCTCATCATTTATCAATCTCACCCAGTTGTCCAACCATTCAGTAATGGCATCTGCAAAGTACCTGGTTGTGAGGCAGTATTTTTTATTGAAATTAAAATTATTCATATCCATCTGTAATTAATAAGTAAGACATAATCTAAAAAGCCGTTAAACTCACCAATATCCTCTTTATTATTCATTGCTACAGTAAGTTCAAGTGTGAATTGATGTCTGCATTTAATTTGTGGGGCTCCTAACGTATATACACAGTATGAACCTGTTGAGTTGCTAATAATATGTTTGAAGCTGTTGGTCAAAAGGTGATGTTTTAAAGTATCAGATATGCTCTTTAAAATTCCAGAAATTAAAGGAAATCACAATCTATTTACAAATAATCAGTATTAAAATTTTGCAAAAAACAACAAACTGCTTTCAGGGTACCCCATTTTACAGCCTGTTCTCTTTTTACTGTGAATACAGTAAATTATTATGTTGTTTAGAATGACCTTGTCTTGTATTAACATCACTGTAACTTATATCTGCTATTCACTGCTTTAGGTATCATTAAACTTTGGACTAAGTCAAGCTGGCTAACAGACTATTTTCTAAGTAGATAGATAGATGGCAGTAGTGTTTTTGTTCAAGTAGGAATTGACAGTATATACAAAAGTCACTTAATTTATTCTTCATTTATCATCACTACAGGTATTCTAACTGCACTGATGTGAGCAAATTACTGGATGGATTTGCCGGCATGCTCAATGTGGTTAACTCATAAGATTTGTGATTGTGAAGAACATTTTTTCAGATTTTTAACATTGTGTCAATGGAATTTAGCATAATCGAAATTTTGGGAAAATGAGTGAAAATAATGGTAGATTATAGTATAATGTCTGTTGGAGCATAGCTTTTTAATTGCAACCTAAATGAAACTGTCTAATTTTTATTACTTTTTGCCGAAACCTTGAATACCACTTAGCATATTTTGTATGTGAAGGATGTTTGCCTTAAAATATGATTATTTTCAATGGAATTCACTACTCCATGTAAATGTCTTGTTAGGTGGTGCTGCCCTGGATCTAAATGCTGTGACCCCTAAGCGAGCTAAGCGTAATTACATCTGCCTATTTGTGCCTTGTTTTAGGTGGTGCTGCCTTGGATCTGAATGCTGTGACCCCTAAGCGAGCTAAGCGTAATTACATCTGCCTATTTGTGCCTTGTTTTAGGTGGTGCTGCCCTGGATCTGAATGCTGTGACTCCCAAGCCAGCTAAGTGTAGTGGCATTTTCCTATTTGTGCCTTGTTGGTACTGCCTTTGGTCTGAATGCTTTGACCCCAAGCCCCTTTGACCCCTAAGTGTAACTACATCTGCCTATTTGTGCCTTGTTTTAGGTGGTGCTGCCCTGGATCTGAATGCTGTGACCCCTAAGCCAGCCAAGTGGATCATGGACTCTACATGGCTAAACCTGGTAGAGCTGAGCAAGCTGGCTCAGTTCAGGGAAATTCTTAACCAAGTGTCCCGCAATGACAAGGGATGGAAGAGTTGGTTTGACAAGGATGCTCCAGAAGAGGAACAGATCCCAGATGGCTACCATACATCTCTAGATACATTCAGAAAACTATTACTTATCAGGTATTTCAGCTGGGATGATCCTAAATATGGATTAAGGATTTAAGCTCTGTACTCTGTGCATTGTGTGCTGAATCATTCCATTGAAGGTGTTGTTTCCAAATCTTTGCATGACCATGCAGTGGGAATGCAAAGTTTAGGAAACAATGCCTGAGTGGAATGAAGCAGCCACAATGCATTGAGTCTTGGGCTTCAATTCTTTTCACACATAGCAAATATTTTCTACAAAATCATCTTAAAGATATAAACACTAAAAGAACATATTTTCAACTTTTGCAAGGGTCAAGTTGGTAAAGTATCAATTTCAATCTGGAGAGTCAAGTTGTCACCTTGACAACTGTTTAACAAGCGACCTTGGATGCAGTGATTAGTGATATAATGCGCTGCAGTTATATGAAAAGCTGTGTTCATATTGGTACCTTGCCTAGCTATGTGTGAATAGTATTTTACTTTATGCATAAAATATGCAATTCATTTGTTTAACTTTCTAAGGTTGTCTTGAAATTCTCTGTACCTCCACTTTAAATTGAGATTTCCATGTTGAATGAGGCTATTGATCAATGTGATATTGACCTTACTACTAGTGAAGTTAAACAATGTACTTTGTTAAGCTAATGTTTGTCAGTTTGTGTCAGCCTCTTCAATATTCATATGATTCACTACCTGAAAATTACTTTCAAATTCTGTTGATGGTACTGGTTTAGGTTCATTTTGTTATTTATAGGATCAGAGTAGGAAGCTGAATCAAATTATAAATATAGATATGAGTAAGCCACAGTCAAAATTGCTCAAATCTAAGTAAGCATTTGTGAATGATTTGGATCATTAGATGCCAGAATGATCAAAATAATATCATGGTTTTAATGAGTAATCTACATAGTACTGCTCATTAGAAAACGAAATCTATGTAAAGTGTAAAGAGACTCTGTGGACACCCTGTATATAGGGTATATTTTGTGCCTTTTATCATCCAAGCACTGATTGAATTGTTATTATTTCTATTAGATGCTGGTTACCTGACAGAACAGTGGCCCAGGCCAGGAAGTACATCTCTGACTCCATGGGACGCAAGTATGCAGACCCTGTCATCCTGAACTTAGAGGCAACCTGGGCAGAGAGCAATCCTCGGGAACCACTTATTTGTCTGCTATCAATGGGCTCTGATCCAACAAACCAGATTGAGGCTTTAGCCAAGAAACTGCATTGTGGTGAGTAATGTTTTGATACATATATGTACTTATATGTATTTGTTGTACAACAGAAATCTTTGACGGAAATCGCTCGTTATTTTTCATCATAACTAGCAATTGGACTCTCCTCATTAGTGAAAGTTGAGGTCAAAAACATTAAAATTAGATGGCTATCTTTTTCCGGCAGAAAAATTGCTTTTGTTGTCTTATGAATAAAAAAGAAATGGCGGTGACAATTTTATGTGTAACAACATTGTCTATACAAGCAGATAAGAATTATAACTTCAATTTATATCATTTGTTTTATTTTACGTGTTAATTTATTTCTAATCAACTGCAATCATCATAATATGATCAATTATCATGTGGTCCAGATGCACATTTTACTTTTTATTTCATAGAACACTGTAATCTTGCTCCAAGACTGTGTCCATCCCCTATGACTATGTTAGTATGTACTTCACCTGACCTGTGAGTGAAGTTGATTGGGGGGGGGAGTCCAGGGTCTTAAGCAAGACTAAGAACACTGCATCTATTCAAAGCCTGTTCCTATTGTAGAATGTAGGTCTATATCAATGGGTCAAGGCCAGGAGGTACATGCCAGAAAGCTGCTATCTAATTGCATACATGCTGGTGGTTGGGTGCTGCTACAGAACTGTCATCTGGGGCTTGGGTACATGGATGAACTGCTAGAAACAGTCACCACCACTGAGAACATCAATGAGAACATGAGAGTATGGATCACAACTGAGGTTCACCCACACTTCCCCATCAGCTTACTGCAGGTAATGTACATATTGTGCAACCGTATTTGTATTTGATGCCTAAGCATTATGGGTCGAGCCACAAGGGTCCCATTGTCTAGAACAGGCAGCAAAAATGAGAGGGTTTTGCGGTTGTTGATTTTTGATTAAATTGTATCACATTCTTGTAATGGGTCAGATGGAAACCATAAACTAATCCTGTTTTTCCGGTACTAGAGAAAAAAAATATTATGGAAAACTTTGCTCATTTTTTCACTTCATCTTTCCTGTGATGGATATAATAGGGTCTGATGAATAAGAGCTGAGAAAAAGTATTGTGTTCTTACATTGTATTTCAATTGTTGTTTTTTGTTTTGATGTATCTCTTCATATCTGTTTTGTAGGCATCATATACGATTTGATAATGCTATATATAATACTATATGTATGTGGTGTTTCAGGCCTCAATCAAGTTCACCAATGAGCCTCCACAAGGCATCAAGGCTGGTCTGAAGAGAACATATGCAGGTATTACCCAGGATATGCTAGATATTACCAACATGCCCCAGTGGAAACCTATTCTCTATGCCGTCTCATTCATGCACAGTGTTGTACAGGTAAACTTTCCGTTCTGAAGTAATAGAAATGATATGAGCCAAAATTATTCTGAAATTGAAATTCAGGGAAATAACTAGTATTTACAATTCACATTTGTGTAGTTTAGTGAATGTGCTACATGAGAACACAAGATACATTTCTTTCTCCAGGAGCGTCGTATGTTTGGTCCACTTGGGTGGAATATTCCGTATGAGTTCAACTCTGCTGATTGGTCATCTAGTGTGCAATTTTGCCAGAACCATCTTGATGACTTAGATCCCAAAAAGGGTGTGTCATGGAATACAGTACGCTACATGCTTGGTGAGGTCCAGTATGGGGGAAGAGTTACAGATGATTATGATAAACGTCTCCTCAACACTTTTGCAAAGGTATGTCTTCAATTAACCATAATTGTAAACTTGATTCGAAAAACTCAAAAATGGATATTTCATTGACAAGTTGGCTCTGTTGGTGTATATACAGTGTGATTAATACGATGATGTCACATGTATTTGTTCTGTATCTGCAGGTTTGGTTTGGAGATAATATGTTCCAAGAAAGCTTCCAATTCTACACTGGCTACAAGATCCCTAAAGTGAAGAAAATTGAAGAAGTCATGGCATTTATAGAAGAACTTCCCCTGGTGGACTCACCTGAGGCTTTTGGACTCCACCCCAATGCTGACATCACATACCAGAGCAACATGGCCAAGGAGGTACTGGAGACAATTATGAGTATACAGCCTAAGGACAGTGGAGGCTCTGGAGGCGAGACCAGGGAAACAGTGGTCTATAGACAAGCAGGGGACATGCTCGAGAAACTCCCACCAGACTATGTCCCTCATCAGGTGAAAGATCGACTCCGACGTATGGGACAACTGCAACCATTGAACATCTTCCTGAAGCAGGAGCTTGACCGCATGCAGAAAGTCATCACCATTGTCAGAGAGACTTGCACTGATCTGAAACTTGCTATTGATGGTACAATTATTATGAGTGAGAATCTCAGAGATGCTCTGGACAACATGTATGATGCTAAGGTGCCTAATGCCTGGTTGAAAATATCCTGGCAGTCATCCACCATAGGGTTCTGGTTTACAGAGCTGTTGGAGAGAAATGATCAGTTCTTTAAGTGGATATTCGAGGGTAGACCACTGGTCTTCTGGATGACAGGATTCTTCAATCCACAAGGTATGTTTCAATATTTCGCTATTCAAATATGACGAGTACAATAATTAAAAACACTTCAGCTATTTTTCACACCACCTCCATTCATTCAGACATTTGCAACATACTTTTAAGTTCTGGTACATATAAAAACATATTTTTTTCAAATTGTTTCTCATCCAAATTGTGATTCACTTCATCTCTCTTTTGTATAAATATAATATTTAATCGCAAGGGTAAGTCTTTTTTGGTAACATATTTTTCTTATTAACTTGCCTCCCAAAAACCATGTCATGGGCATTAAAATCAAAATCAACTTTAAATAAACGTTTTAAATTCCCTTTGATTGTTTTCAAAAAGATTTGAATCCTTTTGCACTCCCAGAATTTGTGTTTTAGCGTATCTCGAAGGGCACAATAGTTACATTTAGAGTCATTTTTATGCCTATCTGTGCTAAGAAGACATTTATTGTTCAGATACCATGAAGTATTTTGATTGAAGTTGTTGTGTTTTATTCTGTTTCGTACACATATGAGGCAATTTCAAATAATAGGTTCTCTTTAATTCACGATCATGTTTGTCTTTATATAACGGTTCCAATAATTTTTTCCATTTAATATGATTTGGATTGATTTTACCGTTATACTGGAGATGTCAGCGGTTTTTCACCAAGTTTCAAAGGTAGAATTTAAATCTGATTTCAATAAATGTTTCCAATCTTTCGGTATAGCTGATATGATTGAAAAATACTCTAGGAAGTTGATATTAATGTTATATTTACTCTTAAACTCATTGTGCTTTAAAAATCCATTCTTGTTAAGGTCATTAATATAAATGACTCCCTTTTCCATGACATGTTTGTGCATTACCTCCTTATCATTAATTATCCCAACGAACGAAGTTCTGTAGGGATATAGTGAAGCCCTCCGTCCGTCAGTCTGTCAGTCCGTCAGTCAGTCCGTCTGTCTGTCCGGAAGATAACTCGAATACTAGTTGACAGATTTTTTTCATATTTGGTGTAAAGATGTATATTGGTGAACAGTTTTACGCAAAAAATTTTTTTCAAGATGGCTGCCAGTTTAGAAATGGCGGGAATTTTTCGCAAAAATCTTATGTTCTTCATTTTAAACCAAAATAATAAATATTATTATTTTAAAGTTTGGTAGTATATTAACAACATCTATCTATTTCACATATATCCCGGGTTTTTCACCCTGACCCCCAGGGGCCGTAAATGGGGGATCGGGAAAACAGGAATTTGCGTTAATTTTGAGATGCTTTTGAAGTATAGCTTTATTATACTTAAATGAAAGGCAATTTAGAGTAGATTGCAAATATTGTAACGTTTTTCTGATTCGGGCCTCAAAAAATTCAAAATGGCCGCCTAATGCTGGATTTTGCAATTGTTTTCTGATCTCTTAAAAGTATGGCTATATTATACTCAAATTGAAGGAATTTCAGAGTAGATCACAATTATGGCATTGTTTTTCTGATTTGTGCCTCTGAAAATTCAAAATGGCTGACTAGAGCAGAAATTCGCCATTACTTAGAGTTATCTTGAAAGTATGGTTACATGATACTACAATGATTTAAAATATTTATTGAAGGTAAGAGTAGATGGTAAATATTCCATTGTGACTGTACAGATTGATGATTTCGTGTTCGTTGGGATTTGCTACTCCGTGGAGTTGCCATTTTCTAGTTCGAATTGATTTGTTATTCCAAATTATTTCGCCTTTAACCTCTGAACTGGTTCTAGGCGGTGACATATTTCTTAATTCTGAATAGTTACATTCAGCAAATTCATATAAAATGAAGGAACATTGTGTGTCAGTGTTTTAATATCATAATTACTTAAAAATTAAGTCCTCCAAGATGCTTGAAATAAACTTGAGGAATAAGCTTAAAGTGACGAGTTCGCGTTTTTCCTTCCCATAAAAAAGAATAGGCTATTCATATTCATTGAGCCTACATCAAGATATCATCAGGCGTATTGTTCATTGTCATCGAGTATGTTAGGTTCCAAACTGCCTGGGACTTAATTATGAGTATGTTTTGACCACAATTTAAGAACCTTTTCAGGCATATTTAACTTTCTCTCAAAATTATCTGTGTTATTTGCATTTGTGTCACATGATATTTTTATCCCTAAAAGTCTACTAAGTATCTTTACCCATTTCAGACCAAAAAGGTTAATTCAATTCTAAAATTCAGTTTGGAATTTAAGCAGTCAAATGATATGTAATAATTAGAATATCTTGCTCTTGAATATATGTTTTACCCATCTTATATAATTTTGTTTTAAGATTTTTAAAAGTACATAGTACAGCATTTTTTACGGCATAATAGGATTCTATGATATGGCATACCCACTTACAGTGCCATCCGAATGGTTTCCAAATGTAGAAGTGACATCTTAAAACGATTGCATTGTATTTTTCTAGGTTTCTTAACTGCTATGAGACAGGAAGTGACGAGGGCACACAAGGGTTGGGCTCTTGACTCTGTCACACTACACAATGATATCATCAAGGCATCTAAAGAGGATATTACAACACCACCACAGGTATAGGCTTCTCAAGTCAAAGATGTAATCTTAGAAACATTTATAAGAAATACAGGGTTTCCCAAAAATAGGCCTGTCCTAAAATAAGTGTAATTTTTGTCTATATGGAATCAATCATTTACAAACACATTTTGGGGTGAATGTAAAATTTACTTGGAATTCATCTCCTCCAATAAATATTTCACATTGAAGTTATTCTTAAAATCTGTAATTTGAATGCGAGTCATTTCCTCTCAAAAAGTGCTTTCTCTTGTTAATCTTGTATGAATGTCCTAATTAAGTTTTCTTTGACTCTTATTTTTCATTTTATTGTCTGGTTGCTTACAGGAGGGTGTATACATCCATGGCTTGTTCCTTGATGGGGCAGGTTGGGACAAACGCAACTGTCGGTTGATGGAACCAACCCCCAAGGTTCTCTTCACTACCCTACCTGTTGTTCACATGTTCGCCATCAATTCAACAGCTCCCAAGGACCCCAAGTATTACCAGTGTCCCGTTTACAAGAAACCTCATCGTACTGATCTCACCTACATTACATTCATCATTATGAAGACTGTACAAAGCCCAGACCACTGGACACTACGTGGTGTGGCTGCACTATGTGATATCTCATAGACTCTCTCATTCTTTAGGATCTGCATTCACTAGATTTTACATTTTTATTATATTATATTATATGGACACTGGGATATGAAATATAAGATTTAACAGACCGCATAGATTTATAATTTGGCAAATAAGTGGATGTTTGTTGCATAATCAAAAATCTCAAGAACAATGTGACAAAATATTCAAGTATTGTCTTAACAATATTTTTCTCAAATACCAGTGTATAAGGCCATCTATTGGAATTTTGACATTTTTATTTTGTGGGAAATTATCGTTCATAACATGACTCCACAATGAAAATGAGTTGTCATAATGCAATAATAAATTATTCCAAAACAATCTACCAGTGGGCCTTAATTATGAGAAAATGTAGTCTACATATCTCTTTTTATAAAACATGTTTGAAATAATTGTTGTTTATAAATCAAAGGTGGTGCTAAATTATATTTATTTAAAAAAAATGTATGTCTTTATTTTACCATTGTTATTTGTTGACTTTAAAAGAAATAAAACACTATATATTACGTAATATTATTTTGATTTCAATTTATTCTTTATTCAATAAATTTAAATTACTGTAATTCACAAATTGGTCAATGGCCATATATCAATATCTTGCAAGTTTTCTTAAAATACCTTGGCATACGGGACAATGGAGGAGCACATGAAAAAACAATATTCAAGTAACATTTTCCCTATAGCCCTACCTAGCTATTTTTTGCATTTGTGTTCCCCCTATTGCACTGTCCTCTCACAGATAGCTGTGCAATGGGAAAAATTCACACACATGGACACTAACTGTAGTGGCAACATGGGGACAGCATATCACTGAGACAGTCCCCATCTTAAAAGTTTTCATAATGGTATCTTCTATTCCATTTCAATTCTCTCACATTATGCATAATATTATGATCTTGTATGGGATAATCAAGCACATAGCCATATTCAATGTATGGTAAATAGTTAATCCAAAGAATAATTAAATCAGTTTTGTTCATTGTGTGTGAAAGTCTCCCCTGATTTGTGTATGCGTTGATGAATAATAAAACTTGCAAAATATCTGTACCTTTTATACATTAATTGAAATATTACTTACAGATATAAACTGTATAAAAATACAAATAACATGAAATACATTTAAATGTACGCCATAACATTCTTAACAATTTTAAGGCACTATATAGTCAATTGCATATCAATTTTATATTGTTATATTCTTTGAAAAAAAATCACAGAGCGGACATTAATCTAAATTAGGAGAACTAAAATTAAAAATTATTGACATATAATTTCTAAAACAATTAAAATGAAAAAATCATATTACTAAAATGATCGCAAAAACACATTTTTGTTAGAAACCCTTTACAGACATGTTAAAATACACAATCTAAAACAAACTCTTTAGAATACATGAAAAAAAGAATATCATGTGAACAAACATATTCACTGCTTCTTATATGATTTCAACAATTCTAAATGCAATGTTAAATAAAGTTGATAAACAAATAAATGACATATTTCACGTAAATAAACTAACATAGAAGGAATGTAATTTTACATTCAAACTGATAATCAATTTTGCCTTCTGCATATCATCCACTGTTTAGTGTTTATAGCATAAAGTTCCACTGTTAATACTAATAGAGCTTCGGATCAACTGACCCATACAACATGAACATTTTTATATACATTTTTAATGTACATGATCTTGTTGAATTTTATTTGATGTACAGTATCACCCTTAAATCTCCTAAATAAATTTCGTCCTTTGTTTAAGTTCATATTAAAGACAGTAAAACCTGTGTAAGTGGAACACTTATGTTACCTTAAGTGGAACACTTGATAGGTGTTCTCAATAGAGTAACTCATTTTACATTTACAAGTTAATGGATTGACTTTCAAGTGTTCCACTTTACAAGTTTTACTGTTTTTCTGCCATAATTTGTTACTGTGTACAGTCTACAGCTATCATTGTAGGGTTTCTAGTATCTTATCAATCTGTGGTAAACAAAGTCCTATTTCTGCATATATTTTAGAAGCTGATTCTATCCTGAAAAGATGAAAGAAAGAATATAAAATGATTGCTTTCAAAAAAGATGGTGATTATGAAACAGAGGTTTCATCTCAAAAAATAAAAACAAAACCTCTGAATTAATATGCAGAATTATCATTATTTTCAATAATAATAATGATAATTTTGCATATTAATTCATGTAAATTATTGTCTCTGAAATTATTATAGCATTGTACACTTAGCATCAGAGTCTACAGATGGCACAATTTGCTGGCTATTACAGATTTTAAAACATGGGATATTTTAGTGACCTGAAGCTTCATTAAGAATAAATATGTTCAGCCAAACATCAGGTATGAGTATCAATAAACAGCACAAATAGAATGGATGGACTCTTCACAAGTTAATAAGCAAGTGTCAGATTATAGCAATATTCCAGCCACTGATACCTGAACAAGCCCTATTTCTTGTAATTGTATGCTGCTAGATTTGTAAGGGGGACATCTCAAAAGTGCACTAAATTGTACACACTACATTACTATTCATCCTTGTTATGTCAAAGAAGGTCTCTAAGAGCCACTTACGTCACACTTGAGAGGGACGAAATGATGGTAATGCCAGATATAGGAATTTTCTTTGATGGAAAGTGTACTCAAAAATAATATTTACACTTTTTAGTCTAACCCCTTTTAAATCAATTATGGAAAGAATATAGTCAGACCATGAAAGAGCGCTTGCACTATATTATTATAAGACTTACTTAGGTTTGATTGAGTGATAATATTCCTTTTCTAGGGTGCTTTTCTTCAAGGCTGACATACATTGAGCTGCCATGTTCTTATAACATTGGATCTTAATCTGCTTATGGCTTTCATAATCCCAGTCTGGTAGTTCAGAGACATATTTCCAAGCGAGCAGGGAGTAATCTATACTCGCTTCCCACTGTTGAGCATGTAGTAGTTCTTTTCCTTGGTCTGTTAAAGTCCTCTGAAAAATCATATGAATTTTTTGTTTAAATCATTCTTTTAGTTTAACATGCAAGTTATATGCCTAGGTAATAAAACTAAAATTACCTTAGGTTTTGTAATTAAATTACTGTAGATTGGGTTAATTCGGCGCCCGCTTTAATTTGGCGAATTTGGCGATATTGAAAAATTCGCCAAAATTTAGAATGAATCCCCGGAAATTATCTAGGGTATTTCGTCCAGTGTATTTAAAACTCGGGGAAAACTAGAAAGGAAAAGCGCTGAATAGTAGCAGAATCGATCGAGGGGCAAAATGTAAAGGATGATCTCACAAAAATGTACAACCGTGGTGAATATCGCAAGTGCTTATCCGCCAAATTAAATAGCCGCCAATATGCCAAAAATGGCAAAATCGCCAAATTAACCCAATCTACAGTACATATTAATTTACAATGATTTGAAACTAGACCACAAAATTACAGGTTATTTTACTATAATTGGGAAAATGTTCAAGTTAAAAGTCAAATTCCATTTGAATGTATAAGTAGCAAGCAATGTACTTTCATTTGGCTGTTACAATATGAGGCATAAATTCCATGCTTACTTTGAAGGTTTCCAGGTGAGTTTTGACACGTTTAAAACTAGGTGAATCGCGAGACATTGAACCAAACTTCCTATCTGGAATAGCTTTATAGATGTTTTTCCTGAGATAGCGGAGATTCTCCTCCAGAGGGCGCAAGTCAGGAGCTGGCAGCAAATCTCGTACTTCCTAAAATAAACAGAAAATTGCTTCAACATGTTTGAAAATTGTTTCAACACATACGTTTCCATTTATTGTACATTTGTACATTTCTACACACAAAATACTTGAGGTGTTGAGGTAAACTGAAATTAATTTTTAAGAATTTTAGGTGAATGAGACACTGCACTGTTCAGTATTAACTTCTGATATCTTCATTGTATGGATATTAGATACATGTAATAATTATTATTATATCTTGGTTACCGCCATATTTGGCGAGCAATACCTCATTGGTATATTCCGTATTTTACACTCGAAGATAGAGCCAGAAACCCCTCCTTGGAGGAGCCCTGTGTTCTTTTGTGTGCACAGGTACACAGACATACAGGTACACACAGCCTTTTATACGAGTCGTGAACCACTCAGTCAAACTGTTTTTATATAAATAATGTTACACCATGATTTAGGTCTACTTATGATTCAACCCAGTCAATGTCACACAGGCTTTCATTTGATATATAACACATCCCCTTGATATATGAACTGCTTCTTGCTTATCATATGTGATATCATGAGGGTTCAGTTCTGACGATTATCACCCATGGTTGAACATATTATAAAGCAGCTTGAGATAAACTATGATGGCCATGCTAAAAGCATCATTACCTCCTCCAATTCAGGGTGACTTGAGACTATGGTGCCTAGAAGAAAGACAACCTGATCTTTGCTCAGTCCACTCAGTTCTGTAGTAAGGGGGATGCCTCGCTTCTTTCTGATCATTCGCTGTCTCTTAGGGGTACATGCTATACACTGGAATGAATAAACGAGTGTAAAACAACTAACATATACTATTATATATACAGAACAATTCCAATATTAATTTCTGCTCTGATAACAGTGTTTTTGCTTGTGGTGGAATGCATGTTATCTTAATGCATGTACATTATACAAAGTGTTCTTTCTTTCAGACTCATTAATAAAATGTACTCATATTTCACTGGTAGACCCTAAGTTGGCTATATCCCCAGCACTGGAAAATCGAATTCCATTTGACAAATAAATTAAAACTATTTAATGAATGACACATGACTCTAAAAATGCATATCATCTGTAATAAGTGGAAGTAAGTAATACCTTAGCTGGTGAGTTGGGGTTCGATTTAGTAGGGGTGAGGACGAGACGTTTCCTTGGCGACATCTTTGGTGTCTTCGGAGGCGTGTCAGTAACTACCTCATTGTCTGAAAAAAGAAAATCATTTTTGAAAAATAAATAAAGAAATATAAATGCTGCATGGTTTATGTTTTTGAAAATACAATGTATAAGTGTAAAATTTGCTTAGTATTTTATTCACTAAACCCATGCCTTACTTTAAATTGAATGTTTCCTAATTCAGAAGGCAATGTAATACCATCAAAAATCAAGTCTATGCAAGGTTTTTGATTCTGAATGATAACAAACTTAGTTTTAATTTCATAAAAATGTGTTCATACCATCAAACACGAGCCTTTGTGTGACATCAGCAGGTGTTTTGTTCCCGAGTCGTGAACTGCGACGTTGGATTATTTCCTCGTCTGGGGAGGGGGTGAGGAATTGTTCATGGAGGAACATCTGGTTACCATAGGAATCTGGACCTAAACAGAAAACATGCTACACGTATACATTTAACTCACAAAGACATCATAAAGTCTGTTCCAATGATTCAACAAATGTACCCACGTATATCAACTAAATTGCAAAAACTTACGATGAATACTGCGCTCAAACGAGGGCTCATATTTTTGATATATTTACTCATTTGCTGCGTTCAATGTTTGCACAATGTACAATAATGTTCAATGTTTAAAAATATTCCAACATCATTGTCCATCCTAAATATGCACACAACAGTCTTGTTTATTATAGTGATGATATACAAAGTCATTATTCCTAAACCTTGACAGTTCACACACACATCATCCACCATTCAAGCTTAGAAGAATTGTTTCAAACTACTCTTTCAATCCTTACTTACCTCCACAAGCCTTCCCCACCCCTCATCCACCAAACTTTCAAGTAACAATCAACTGAATATTGCATATATCATATTTAACAGTCATTTTAAATATTAAATACACCTGATCTCTTTAAATTTGCCTTACTTTCAAAATAAATTCATTAAATGCCTTCTCTTACAAATTTTAAGACCAGTAATGCAATATATTTTCATAATGACAATGTGAATCTGATCCCAATAACTGAAAGCATTCATAATTAACTCAGGAGATTTACAAACAAGCATATTAAAATGTCACCTGGGATTATTTAAGAAAGGGATAAGCGCCATCGATCAAGGAAATGTAGTTCAATTTTCTTATAAACCAATTTAGGTTAAAGCTGAATTTAAGGAATGGACCTACTTTATTAATCTGTGATAAGATCCCTATTGAGGGTGGGTTATCATGATGATTTATATTAAATATGTTTCAGTTTCTTTGATTATTTAAATAGTTTTATTTTCAATGAAAGAAAACAGATGTTAATCACATTAGCCTCCTCCAACTGAGTGCACCCCAGTGCAAATACATGTCTGAAAATAATGAAAAAGCAATGTTTTCCATATGATTGGTAGGTAAGCTTGGTAGGTAAGCTTGCATACAAAAATATCATCAACTGGCTACTTGGTTGTGAAAACAAAAGTAGCAATTTGATTAGACTCTGAATCCTGGCACAAATCACAAACAACACAAAGAGTGATAAAAATTGAATTTGAAATCTAAAATGGCCATCATATGAATTACCAGCATTTCCAAAACCTCATCAAACCATCCTACTTGTCTGCTTTTACATGTTAAAAGTTTAAAAATAAAGGAATGAACAGTTTTCTATTGGAACCAACATTAAAGCATACCTGCCTGCATACCTGCTTACATAACCCATTCAATCGTACAAGTTCTTCCAAATTCACATGCATTCTATTGATCTTATGAACATGGCTGTACCAATCAATGTTAATCATGCGATGATTGATCCAGGAGATGAGCTAGCCAATAAAAGAGTTAACAAGAAGATGAGTTACCCGAGAAATGAGTTATCCAGGAATGAGTCGACAACAAGAGTTATGCAAAAAATAAATTAACAAGATGAACCAGAACAACGGCAACGCCAAAGCGTAGCGAATCCCATCGAACAGAAATGGCTGGTATTTTTACAAACGAAATATATAGCAAATATCATAAAACAACACACCAGAGAGGCCACCATTTCCAAAATGGTTGCTCACTAGCCAAGTTGTCATCAGAAGAAATAATATCCTTTTTAGTAGCCACCTATAAAATTTTTGAAAAATCACACACATGTACTTGTAAAATAACACACATTAAAATGGTGGCCATTTTTCAAAATGGCCGACTACTCCCCAAAGTTTTATGAGACAATGTGCCATGCTTAAAGTATTCACATATCAAATATGAACAAAATCGCTCCACTTATACTTTTCGAGTTATAGTAAAAAATGTAAAAATGACAGCCATTTTTTAAAATGGCCGCCTACTATCTGCAGTGTCATGAGACAGTGTGCAAGGCTCATGAGTATTCACATATCAAATATGAACAAAATCGATTCACTACATTTCAAGTTATAGTAAAAACGTAAAAATGGTGGCCATTTTTCAAAATGGCTGCCTACTACCCAAAGTGTCATTAGACAGTGTGCCATGCTTATAGTATTCACATATAAAATATGAAACATACCAAATATGAACAAAATCGCTCCACTACTTTTCAAGTTATAGTAAAATACGTTAAAATGGGGCCATTTTTCAAAATGGCCACCTTCTACCAAAAGTGTCATTAGACAGTGTACCATGCTTTTAGTATTCACATACCAAATATAAATAAAATCGCTCCACTACTTTTCGAGTTATAGTAAAATATGTTAAAATGGCCACCATTTTTCAAAATGGCCACCTTCTACCAAAAGTGTCATTGGACAGTGTGCCATGCTTATAGTATTCACATACCAAATATAAACAAAATCGCTTCACTACTTTTCGAGTTATAGTAAAATACGTTAAAATGACGGCCATTTTTCAAAATTTTTTTCAAAATGGCCGCATTCTACCAAAAGTGTCATAGGACAGTGTGCCGTGCTTATAGTATACACATACCAAATATGAACAAATTGCTCCACTTCTTTTCGAGTTATAGTAAAATACGTTAAAATGGCGGCCATTTATGTCTTTAGACAGTTTCCAATGCTTATAGTATTCACATACCAAATATGAACAAAATCGCTCCACTACTTTTCGAGTTACAGCAAAAATCGTAAAATAACGAGTAAAGGCCGCCATTTTTCAAGATGGCTGCCATATGCTTCTTTAATATCTACATTTGTAGCTTTATTAATGTCCTTTATAATTTTTTTACATTTAAAACATATTGCTATTACAGTTTTACATATTGCACCTAAATTACTGTAAAATCGGCACTAAAATGGCTGCCATTTTGAAATGAGCGGCCATTTTGAAAATCGGCTTTCGAGCAGAACTTCTAGCATTATAGGGTATATGTGTACAAAATATGAACAAAATCGGGCCAACGGTATTTGAGTTATTGCCCGGACGGATGGACGGACAGACGGACGGACGGACGGACGTAAGGACGTACGTACGTACGGACGGACGGAGGCATTCCCTATATTCCTCCGAACTTCGTTCGATGGGATAATTATCAAGGGATGCGTTATGGAGTTTTATAAGTTATGTACTAGAGCCATTCCGAAAAACTTGATCACAATTGGTAACACAATAAAAGTTAATATGATCATGGCCTTTCAATAAGAGTTGAAAGCCCATGATATGATTTAATTTAATTTGATTACTGCTGCAGTCAGATGTAAGCATAGTGAGCGTCACAACGAAACTCACTGCTGAGAAAATAGCGATGATGCAACACAACGATACTATACCGTTTAGTCTCGTAATTTCTGATATTTTCTCTCACATACTTCTGCATATAGCCATGGGCTTTCAATTAGAGTAGTTGATAGCCCATGATGTAGCCTACAGTATGATTCTGAAAATGTGCATGAAGCTGAGACTTCGACCAATGGGCAATGGTCCTCAATCAACAAACTTCCTGTGGATGTGGGAATCACATTTTGTAAAATACAGGTTTGAACATGAAAGAATGAGATATACCTCTCCCCATTCTCGGCGTTGTACTGATGTTCATCAATGCACCTCGCAGTGTTCCTCTTCTTCTCGGAGAGTTCATCCTACTCACTCTCCCCGGATGCCAGGACATTTCGAATGGAAATGAACCGAGTGAAAAATCAGATTTTATTTTTCAGAAATTTTTCCTTTTTATCTTCAGATGGATCTACTTATATCATACCGATCGCTCCATGGATTTAGTAAAAACTTGGCTATTATATTTCTTCAGTAAAGCTCTATTTGGCGCGATTTTATGTGACCTGATTTCTGATTGGTCAAAAGTTTAAAGGGCCAAAGCTGGGAGCATTTCGTTTAGTGTGTAGGCTGCGGGCAAACAATGCCCGGGTAACTACGCCTATTATTTACAGAGTGGTGCAAAAAAGTGAACCCTGGCAACAATCTATTTCTAAGTTAAATTTATAACACGCATTAATGGGGTAATATTCTGAAATATTTCAGAAGAAGGTCTAGCCTACCATAAAGGAGGTCACTCAGTGAGTCTACTCTTGAATCTTTCAGAAGTTACATGGCATCAACAGACATGCCTGATGTTTGGATGATCCAGAGACATACACTGTATAAAATGTTTTATAATTTATATGTCTCTAGATGATCAGCTCATCCTCACTACATGATTCTGGATTACTGTTACAATGTGAATGTTGAAGTTGGTTACTGCTCTATCAAGCGTATCTGGGGGTATTTTGTATTTCTAATCCATTTTCCTTTATTTTTAATAAGAAAATAAAGTTGTATCTGATCTCAAGTTTTTTTGAGCTGTGAACAACTTCAACATTGAGCACATCATTCATTAATCAGGCATGTCAAAAAAAGATCTGGATTATACAGGACTATCCTTCTTCCAGAATTATAGATATAGATATGTCTGTTCGCGTCATTTAACTTCTACAAGATTTAAGACTAGGTTACTTTTATGGTGTTCACAAAAACATTAGGACCTCCCTCTAAAACATGTGAGAATATTAATTAGCCCATATAATTAATGCGGGTAATAACTGAGATATAGCTTGTTGCAAAGATCAACATTTTTAGGACCACTGTATGTCCAATCTATTGCATGTTATTGCCACATTGGAAAAAGATGTATGTATGTATGAATCAATAACCCAGTAACCAGGTATACTGTAGTGATATCTCAGTGATCTCCCCAGCATTAACGCAAGTGGGCGCAGCACCCATCTGAGATATTGAAAATAAGCTTGCACCAACCTGAAAATCCATTTGCCCCCACTTGAAAATGAGGAAAATCATGAAAATATGGCATACTTTGACCAATTTTGGTCTGAATTGTGAAAATTAGAATTTGGCACCCACCTGAGAAAGATCCTGGGGAGATCACTTTATCTAACAAATTATTGAACAAAACATGCATTTCATCTTGACAACTTTATTACTTCATTGACAATGAAACAAAGCATTTTACAATTCTTTTAAATTGAACAATCCCTTACATATTGCCAAAAAATATATTTATTTCTATAATACACCTGTATCCATTTACTTCTTTTAATTTGAACAATTCTTAACCTATTTGTAATAAGGTTTTGTGCTTAAACCTTTGTCCTCTGCTGGGCATTTATTTCAAAGTTCTCAAAATGAATGCCCATCATGGGCCTTTATGGAAAACATGATAAAATTGGCATCTTGGGACCTAATTATTACAATACAGCAGTATCATGAATGTTGAATTATATGTACTGTATACTGTAATACCATCATGACATTAGATGCGTTTATAAATTTGGTAGGCCTACTTCATTTCAATTTTATCCTTATTCTCTCATTTACCAGATCTGTCAAATGTTTGTATTCACTATGGTTGCTGCCAACAATGGAGAATTGCCCAAATAAATGCCCATGTATAAAGGGCAATGGGAGCCAGGACTCATATAGATGGCAGTTAACTACTCGGTTGTTCTTCACATCTTGCCCATTGGTTTATGTGTAAATATTGCTGTTTTAAAACTTCAAATTCACTACACATATCAAATAAATATCATATTTTCCTTCATTATCATTTACAAACATGTGTTAAGATTCAAAATCAAAGGGTTTTGGATATTTTCAATAAAATTTATCTTGGGACATTTTTTGAGCAATTTTTACATGTTAAAGTATGCTATTAAACCCACTGTATTTTTCGCCATCTATTGACACTCCTGGAAAGCCATTGTCTTGTACAAAGGTTCTGTTTAACATACAAGTAAAGGCAATCCCATTGCATGAGAATCCTTTCCTTGAATGATTTCCCAATGGACAATATTCATTTAGAAGTATTGGGAAAGAGTGCCCATGGGCTTTTATGTTTTTTCATTAATTTCAAATAAATACCCATGGGATGGGACAAGAAACTGTGGTATTAACATGATGTACATTCATAAACAGATTTGATGCACAATTCGAATACTGTACTCTATGTACTCCAATGCTCCATAGGCATTGCCAGGGGGTGGTGCGATAGGTGAGATCGCACCCCCCCCCATAACCAATAAAAATACAAGAAGAAATCTTTCAAAATGCTTTTTATTTGAAGCTTCTTCTCAGTTTTGAAGGGAGTTGCATCAATTTTTGTAATATTCATAACAAATGCTTATGCCACGATCGCACCCCCTGACTGAAAGCAGGCTACACCCCTATGCTCCTAATATTTCTCTCAAAATTTGCTAAATCATAACTTGCAAAAAAAACGGTAGTACAGTATATACAATGCCTGAATACAATTAAAATGTATTAACACTTTCAGTCAAACCTTTTTTCTTGGGAAGATTCTTTTTAAACTTTCTTCTAGTCCAGCATGGGGATAGACAAAACGTTTAGAGAATACAAACTGGTAAGCTTGATCATATGTGAACCCTGGGGTGGTGGCATAGACGTATCCTACCACCACAGACCCTGCCCTCCCTATTCCCGCCCTACAGTTAACAAGTAGTGTATTACCCTCACTGTTATGTTTCATCAACCAGGATATAGCCCTGTGGAGGTCCTTGTCACTGATTGGATTTCCAGCGCCATCTTTCAAAGGCACCTTTAGATAATTAACAGATTTACTTTGGTAGACCATATCCAGGTTGTCAGCAACATTTAACACATGGGTGAATCCACATTCTGCAGCATTAGTAGCAGCTATAAAGTTACCCAAATGTACACTGTCACAGATGTGATTATAATCTACACCCAAGGTCCATTTATCACCATCTCTAGGTGGCTCCACATGAGCATACCCATTCTCCCCATAATTATGGGACCAAATCCAATCTTCAACACCATCATATTTCATCCGAAATGTAAATGAAAAGTCACTCGCATTGGTTATGACAATAGATTTTCCATATGTGAAATACTGATCATTGTCTTGGTTCTTCAAAAGGTTAAGATCCACACTGTGCCAAGATCCAGTGGCGCAAGACATATCATAACAGTTTGTCCAAACTTGAACTTTCACATCTGATGGTTTTATCGATGCATTGTCAATAATTTCTAGTTTTGCTTTATAAGTCATGGCTTCAAGCATAAACATGTAGTTGTATGATGGCACATTAGGAGCAAACTCAACAAACTTTACTTGCGCCATTATGTCATCTGTTTTACTTCGAACTTTCAAAAAATTATCCAGAAGAACATAGCTCACTGATTAATAGGTTATCTCTGGCTCAATGATCAAATCAAAAAATTTCTAAATATTTCATTAACCAATATGCTAAACCAAATAGCACAATGTTTCACGTCTATTTATTCTCAAGAGATTGTTCTCTATTTGCCTGCTGTTTGCGCCATTCCAGCAGTGCCATTGGCACAATTATTCATGTCTATTTATTCTCAAGAGATGGTTCTCTATTTGCCTGCTGTTTGCGCCACTCCAGCAGTGCCATTGCTTCACTTTTGTTCTTTTCCATCTTACGTCTTTTGATTAGAGGTTTGGCAGAGAAAGTCAGTGCAACTATGCCAATTGTAACACCGGCAAATCCAACGATTTTTAGCATTTTTGCCTGCATTTTGCCTGTAAATTTAAGTGAACTGCTAACAGTTTAATTGTAATACATGTAATTCCAAAGGTGAAACTGTCACTTGCAGAATTCTGAGGTAATTGTCTATTTAAATTGAACACTTGTGAAGTGATGTTTGTATGTATGATCTGCTGTAATCAAAAAGTACATACACGTATGTCTTGACTTTTAATAAAACAAGAACTACTATCTATAGTATTCCTCTGTATTCCTCTGTTCTATTTATTCAGAGCTTGCAGTGCTCTTTGCTTCTACAGGTTTTTGAATCTTGTCAAGTCCATGATATTTTTGAAAGAGAGGCATCCAGATATAAGCGCCACCTATAACTCCAATGATGCCGACTACAAGCATCTGCAACCTGGTGATACCACCTCTACGAGTTCTGTGAATTGTCATACTTCATCTGGAAAGAGAATAAATAGTACAGTAAATATTAATGATGAAATGAAATGGTTTAAACCTGATAAATGGCAATGTAAGATGGTGCCTTAATTGGTTCATGGAGATGTACTATGAGGTTATACAATGGTTCCCCTACAAGGTGACCTAATAAAAATGAAATCGAATTCAATGATTAAAGCAATTGACAGAGGTTACAAAACCAGCTGGAACCAAGAAAATTGGTGATACTGTCTTTCTAATTCGGAGCTGTTAGTTCAAAATTCTTAAGAGATTGATGAAGATCAAAACTGAGATGAGGGATAGCCAACAATGAGAAACTGACACTTTTCGATTTTATGGAGAAATTTTTAAAAAAAAAACGCAAATTTATTTTATATCTTAGGTGATACAATTGGGCTATCAACTCAATTTGGCAGACATTTATATATCTTGGATTGCTTGTGAATTGAGAGCAAAGGGTAATTTCATGTTATTCATGAGCAATATGAATATTTTCTTTATTTTATTGCACAATAGTCTTTAGATTTCTTATTTTTCAGGCTCAACTGCTTAGCAGCAGTGCAACAGACACAATTGTAAGCTAAAGTGGGGGACAAAACTAAACCTCAACCATCAAAAGTTGTCACAATGAGCTAAATTCTAAGTTTTGTGTCTCAAACTCTCCCAAGTGGTAGAAAAATAATTCCTGTTCACGTCTTTAAGTAGCACAATGAATGAATCCAAAGCTTCATACCTGCAAATGATGGATAAATCTTACCAAATCGAACGAATGTTTTTATGAATCGCCATGTTTGTGATCCAAGGAGGATTGACTCCCACAATGCAACATCAGTTAACCTTATTTACTTGTGACAGGTTTCAGGTGACAGGTTTGTCATGTTGCATTCTGGGAGCCTATCCTCCCTTGCAGCGTAATCTGGCTCCAAAATCACCTCAACATTTGAAGAGTCAGCATTAACATGTGAATATCCACTACTTTTTAGTTCTTATTCGTCATTATGGACACAAATTCCACTATATTTTGGACTTACTAATACGGAGAAAATAGAGCACCGAATACACTGAGGTAAGAATTTATTACATGTGCGACAGCATGTAATTTTCATAGCTATAGCAATTCTTTACACATGCTATCTATTGCAAGACTTACGCCTGCCACAAACATCACCATGTTATTCAGTGTTTTTAAGTTCCGCAAGGATTCTGCCATGACCGTGGTAGCATTATCTCGTAAGCCTGGTATAACCGTGACAGCCTGGTATAACCGTGACAATGCTGTATGCAACGCCTGTCGTGACCGTGGAAGTGTTATCGTGGAAGTCTGGCGCGACCGTAGCCTTTATGTTAATTTATGACTAATTTATTATTGTTAATAAAGCGAATGTTTATTATGTTTATTATATTTTTTTATTTTAGGTCTCTGTCTAAATTGTTTGTCTTGCAACAGATAGGGTCTCATTCTTTATGTCCCCCACTGTAAGAATGAAACTGAAAGTGAATTTTTTTAGAAAAAAATTCAGTGACAAGCCTTAAGGTAAGGGTGCATGATGGGAAATTTTCTACATCCCTCAATTGAGTCACATGTTATTTTTCAAACAAGAATCACTCCTTCCCCACATTGTTTATATCTTCCAGTTTTGCACAAAGAGTGCACTTATGTGCCAAGAAAAGACTTGTGAGAAGAATGTTTTGATAAAGTGTATAAAAAACAAGAAAATTCAGTGAAAAATTTCAGAAATTTTTTCCACTGAATTTTCTCGTTTTGTGTAAATTTTAGAAAACAAATCTCCTCACAAGTCTTCTCTAGGCACATAAGTGCACTCTTTGTGCAAACCTCGAAGATGTAGACAATGTGGGGAAGGAGTGATTCTTGTTTGAAAAATAACATGTGACTCAATTGAGGGATGCAGAAAATTTCCCATCATGCACCCTGACCTTAAGTCACAAGTTTTCAATGACAAAAGTCAAATGTGTCACAACAATACATCTAAGTTATCATGCCTTAAATACATACATACCACACGAGTAGAAGCTATAGAAATGGTACAATAATCACGCAAGACGCAACCTTCTTCTTCTTCTTTCGTGCTTTTTAGAATTTTTCTAGTCTAGGTCAAGGTCACCGGAACCGGAAATAAGATCTCATCAAGAAATGAAAATTAAAAAACAAATATTCGCTTATTCCCAACATAATTGTCATCAAATGGTATATATCAAGAACCTGTATGCAATATAATTACCTCATTTTCATTTTGGTATGTATAGCTGATTGAATAATGTCTGTTTTGTGTGAAAAACTAGACTCAAAGATTCACATGAATATCTGGGAAATGAAAGTGAAACTTCAAGGGCAAACAACATATTGAAACTGAAACTGGGAGTGATTTTCATATATTTATACCTGCATTTTGTCAACCTCTCACTCTCTTTCAACATGCATCTTCACCAATAATATCTGGTGACATTGTATTTTATACCCAGCTTTGGGTTGTCAAGCAGACCAACATCTGCACACCTTTTTGGGTTTCCCAGTTCTAGAGATGAGTCATACACTATCGTGGCATGCACTGTTCTGTAATTTACACTTTGCAGGAAATACATTTTTTGTTCACCTTAGAATACGTTTTAAATCTCTGAATAGAAGGTCAAAAAAGTTCAAATGTTGTTATTTTTAGTTTCACTTCCTTGTCTGAGTGTTCTATTTATTTCAGTTCAGTTTCCTTTTACCAGCAATAATTGAATAAACAAGTGCAAAGTTCAGCCATATACAAGCTAACAACCATAAGATTGTGAATCAATTTCTAACTCTGATGTAAAGTTACACCACTACATTTCTGCTGAAATTAACCAGTGATTACTACAAAACCAAAAATGTGTATCAGAGGAATATTAAATGGAATTTTGTCTCCTTTTCAGTTTATTGGACAAAGAATACGAAAGATGCACTCGGGTAAGGAACAAATTTACTCTTTGGTGTTATGATAATCGGGATTGTAGTAAGACTCAGTATGTTACAGATATATGTTGTCAGTTTGTATTTGAATGTTACATGTACAGTAGCAAACTTAAATTGCACATGTACATGTACAGTATTAATGTACAATTTGCATTATGATCAAAATCAGGCCTGTAGCAAGGATTTCCCAAGGGGCGTTCACTTTTTGAAAAAATCAAGGGGGGTTCACTTGTGACAATTTTGGTCCAAAAATGGCCAAAATCACTTAAAAAGTGCTCAGAATGGTGAAAAACTGCATGCTTTTGAAAGATTTTTCAGCCAGGGGGGGGATTGAACTTTTGGTAAGCCTGGTAATTCTGTAGATCATAATATGCTTAATGAATGAAAACATTTTTTTCAGATGGTTCAGATGAAGAAACCGACTTCATATTTCCAGATACAATAGCTGGGTTTGGTTATGAATTTAACGAAGGTGAGATATTGCAACATATGATTAGGATATATATTGTATAGGCACATATATGTACATTTGGAGTTAATAATTTCTCTAGCAGTGAAATATAATGCAGTGATCTTCTCTGCATCAAAGAAACTGGATAACCAGCCTCCTGAAAATCTCAAAATTACATATCATCTTGTTAAAAATCTGTTTGCACCCTGCCAAAATGGTTTAATAAACCCTGTTGAAGAAAAAACTCTGGGGAAACCTTTCCAATGGTAAACTATTAAAGAAATAAACAACAGAATACAACTTCATAGCAAGTACATTCACTTCTTGTATTTTGAATATTAGTTTCAACTGTTGTACTTCTTGATTTATGTGAACTTCATATTATTTCAGTTATTTCAATTTTTCGATGCTTTATAATAATAAAGAAAAATTATTTTAATTGTTGAAATCCCAAGTTTCAGTGTTTGATCCCTCTACTGTTAAGCAATGCGGTTTTCTACTTCTATGTGTCTGGTTTTTATAGAGCTGTTAATAAATCATTTCATCTATTTCTGAACTAAAGAAGTAAGAGAATATTGTCTAGACTGTAATGTCAAACTGTTCCTAACTATATTCAAAGAAGTCTTCAAAATAAAGTGAGGTAATCACATATGTTTGCTGTTAAATTGTACCAGTGATGTCATATCCATTAATAGAATGTAGAATTCAGTTGGTCTATTCCACATATTTTCACAGTTTTAACATCTTCTGAAATTACTAACTACCCGTCTTCCACACATGCAAGGTATGTTCCCAAATAAAGTTTGAACCGATGCTTTATAAAGTCTACACTGCACTGTGCGGCAAGTTGCTCGCCTAGCTTCACTGTAGATTCTCTCTTCACAATGGCAGTAACGCAAAATACTCTTTCCAGCAATGTCTGAACAGTGTGCGCAAAAGTCATGATTTACACAGGCAGCATCTAAGCCATCTTTTGGTGGATATCTCCGCCTGAAAGTTATTCAAAAAACATTTAGAATTTTAATTAAATTTTAATTTACTCAAGAAAGCCGATGATTATTTTTTATCACTGTTGGAAAATATGAGTCCCCTCCCCTCCTAGAAAGTACTGTAATATTCAATCCCCTTAACATCCTTTATGTTCATGTATTGTGCCTTGTCTCACCTGCATGTCTGTTTGCCTGTACTACATGAACATCCACGGTTGCCTATAGGGGTATTTGCAGGACCACACCACCTGCCATAGTCTACTAAAGATCTCTTCTGCCTTAGCGCATGTTCTACCTTCTTTGAGATGTCATCAGCCTGAAATCAAACAAATGAACTGTCTGAAACACTTCTTGCATTGTTATTACCTAAATACAAGGGTTTTTGGAAAAGACCGACCCTACCGACCACCGACTGGTCGGTGTTTTCCACTGGTAGCCTCAAAACAGGGTTTGAAGAAAATGTGTAAAAGACCGACCATATCATGTAAAAGACCGAACATATTTATAGCCTTAGAATATTAATAATTTGATTTTGAATGTCAATCGTTGGACTAGGCAACGTTTTTTACCGATTTTGTGCCTTGCAACGAATGGCAAGCAAACAAATTGGTCATGACCGTCTCCTCTCGATTAATTGCCCTGGCTTAGGTCCTAACCTATCATTAACCAACCTATCGTTTCTACGGGAATCTATCCTAATTTTTTACTGAAATTTAACAATTTCGAAACAAAAATGATTTGTTATCGTCATAGCCTACTGAATACTGAACACGATATAATGTTACATGCGTTCTCTTATCGGGATTAAAAGTGACTTACCATTTCAGTACACCATTAGAAAGCTTTTTTTTGTCATATCAAATGTAGTTTTTACCAGTTGACGTTTAACAACTGAGAAATCAAACATAACGTTACGACGTCAACATCGACGATGTTTGTGTGTTTTTGTTATTGCGTTTCATATGAATGAAGAATGAACTTAATGCAATGTTACGTGCGTTTTTTTCCAAAGTGACTAACCAGGATGAAATTGGTCTTCTAACGAAACATCACTTAAAAATATGACATTACACACCAAGACGATGTAACGTTTTCATCGTGATTTGAAATGATAATTATACGTTTTTAAATCACGACCTAGTAAAGGTACTATAGTCATTGGATTCCCAGTTTTAGTTTTACTTCTAATTTTGCATTTTTTCATCTTTATGTAAAAGACCGTCAGCCGACCACCGACCACATGTACCCAACTGTGGAGAGTGACTGGTCGGTGGTCGGTGGTCGGTGGTCGGCGGTCGGTGTTTTACGAAAACCCTAAATACAAAATCTACCAATAATTAATTTTTAATTAAAAAAGTTTTTTATTACCTTGGAGAAGCTTATGACTGCACATGCTATGACAGCAATGAAGAGTATTTTCTCCATGATGATTAATTTCTTGATGATTTAGATTTCTTGATCTTTTAAAAATCGTTTTCTTTAAATGAGGTATTCTCTCAACTGTGCCCTATTTATAGAGTTCTTATTTTGTACTTTAGTATAGACTGGTCAAATGTCAATATTTTGTTGAAAATTAGAGAAGTTGAAGTTATGGAATTTAGGAAGACTTTCTGAGTGAAGTAAACGATAAACACTTGTTTGTCTATTTTTTTCTAAGAATACAAGCATTTATTTTGACATTGATAAGTACTTTTGAAAGAAAATACTTAAAAAACAAAATTTGTACATGATCCAAGTCACGTTTGGGTAATTTTATAGTAAATATGAGTGAAGTAAAAATACATTGACCCCAGTTAAGTTAACTCCAGTGCTCAAATCCCTTAACAAATGGGAGTTTGTAGGATGTAATGATGCAGAGTTGAGCAGAGTTTCAGTCTTTTTTGTGGATGGCAGTTGGTGTTCAATGTCCTGTAACAAATGGCAGGTGGTGATATTTTGCGTGTTAATGCATTGTTTATCTGGAAGTAATTTCAGACAAATTCAGGCAATATCTCCAAATAAAAGTGGATAATTTTGGCTCTAGAAAAAGTTACTTGAAACATTATAGAGTGATTTTGTTGATATCTTTCATGTTAATAATGTAAGTGTGACACATATCTGTATTTGCTAACATATTGAACTGTGAGACAATGCTTTTTTATAATTTTGAAAAATGACCGCCATTATGTACATGTGCTATTTATTTTATGTTTTAATGTTTTTCGATATGGCAGTGACCTTGCCAATTAAAAAGCTATGTAGTAATACGTATTTTCACACATACATCTCTGCTGTTTAATGAACCATGGCCTTGAGAACCGTAGACTAGTATTGCCATTGTTCAGTTTTCAAGCCGATATCTGATGCCAGAAGTCAACATAATCTTTCAAAGTTGACCTTAATTGTGGTCTATAATGAATCAGGACCCAAGCAAGATCTTTTACATTCCAGTTTTTCATTTATCGTGTGATCTGTAAAATGAAGCCTTCTGATTGGTCAGTTCTTGTGCTGTACCAATCTGTATTGCTACTGAGACTGTCCCCATTGATCATCTCCGTCTCAATACAGAAAATATTGGTACGGATCAGAGGGGACATTCTCAGTAGCAATACAAAGGATCACACAATAAAAAGGGTAGAGAATGATTTGAAGTGCAATACAGGATATATTCTGCTCTCAATATGTCGTATTGGCACTCGACTTTGTCTTGTTCCAATACGGAATTTCTCAAGCAGAATATATTCTGTATTGCACTTCAAATCATTCAATAACTTATAGTGTTGATTATATTCAATCATCTTACCACACAATCTTTGTAACAAGTCATATAACAAAAAAAGTTGAATTTATTAAATAGGCAAATAAATTATACATATAATATACAGGCATTTGACTAAATCCAATCATCATCAGTCTAGCAATCATTGAAATCATCAACCACTCGACTTCCACAAATACAAGGTATATGCTTAAATATTTTTAAAACTGCAGCTCTGTAAAGATAACAATGGAATGTCCCACATTTAGCTTGTCTAGCTTCATTGTAAATTCCACGTTCACAGTCACAATAACGTAAAATGCTCTTCCCGGCTATGTCTGAACAATGCGAGCAAATATCGTGGTTTATACAGGCAGCATCAAGGCCATCTTTTGGTGGATATTTTTGTCTGAAAATTAAACAAAATGTTTTATAAAAGTATTTTGTTATCAGTGTGAATGATAATAATTTGATTTAAGTAAGGACAATACATGTAGTTCAATTTGATTTTATATATACATGTATAGATTAAAAATCTGTAGTTCTATTTGTACAATGCTATTACATTGGGTGAACTTCTCTGTATGGTTTATTTACAAAGACATAAAAGGATTTTCTTGTCTTTTTCACAATTCCTGATATTTTAGAAATGAGAAAACACTTTCATATACCTTACTGACAATTTTAAGTCCTTTCCTCTTACAATTACACTATCAGACAGGTGGCAGAACCCCCTTCACTTTTTTTTACATTTTTATTTGTAATCTTATCTCACCTGCATGTCTGTTTGCCTGTACTACATGAGCAGCCAGGTTTGCCTATTGGAGTATTTCTTGGGCCACACCATTTACCATAATCTAGTATAGATCTCTTCTGCCTTAATGCACGTTCTCCTTTGTCAGAAATGTTGATGCACTGAAATCAAATGTACTATCTGAAACCTTTTTGTCATTCTCATGAATTGTTAATTAGGATGCTTTATTATTCCAAAAAATGAACATGGATAAATTGAAGCCCTCTGTCTGCACATTTGTCCAGATATACGAAAAAGTTTATGCAAAAATAAAGAAAATAGTGTGCCCTTGAAAAGTAGCGTGCCTCATGAAGTACAGATTTTTTGGGCACAATATTTTTCTGTAATTTTTACTCAAATCCTTGAATAACTTATATATTATATTTATGTTATATATTATATTATTTCAAAACAAATTAAAATGTCATATTTTATGATAGTGAAACTTAATGTTTGCTTTAATACAAAATGTGTAAATAATAAACAGATTTTAAATCTGAGCAAAATACATAAAAAGTAATGTCATAAGTCGTAATACTTTTTATTAATTACCTTAGAGATGTTTATGACTGCAAGAAGAACAAAAGTAACACAAAGTAACTTATTCATAGTGATTATTTTCCTGTCGTTGTAAGTTCCAATCCTTTTTAAAACAGTTTCATATAATGACTTCAACTGCTTTTATTATAATATATCTGAATGAATTGTTCCTTATATATAGCATATCATAGTGCAATAGCGTCTTCTTCTGAACTCTGATTGGCTATCTTATGGTCAAAAGTCTGTAATTAAGTGATATGGAATCTTATGAAATCAGGATATAATGATATGTATACGATGCTATGATTTGATTAAATGGCCAGAAGTCAGTATTTGTTTCAAATGATGTTTATTGGAAGTCAGGATGGAATTAGGAAGATGTTATAAAGATATGATGAAATGCTGCCCTTTGATTGGATAGAATGGTCAAAAGTTCATATTCATTTCTCTGAAGTGAGGAAGTTAAAGAAATAAGAAGCCATTTTAGGCTAGCATTTAATGGAGGTACTTCTCATTTTCTTAGAAGAACAAATTAAATAAATAATTTAAAAGTAAGATCACTCCTTGTGAATTGTCTGAGTAGAGATTTCCAAATTATTGATAAGTAACAATCTTAAGGTCCCTTTCAGTATAGATTCTCAAGCTCTTTTCAGTGTCAAAATATTATGATAATGCTTTGCTTTTTTAGTTTATTTGGCAATACTTTTGTGGACTTCTCCTTTTTATTCTAATAAAGGAGGAGGGAAAGTATTGCAACAGATTTCGGACAGTCATATGTTGGATTTTGGCTATTTTCTGAGGATTTAAACAGGTGCACATGTAAGACCAATGCATAACCGCCAGGAAAAGCACTCCTAGAGATGATAAAACAATTTCGACTTTGAGACAGGGAAGATGCAAACAACCCACCCACATGTTTTTTCTGAAATGTTTTCCCGATTTTCAATATGTTATGTTTTGACACACAATTAAGCCCTTTAAAGGAATAAGTGATTCCTTTTAGATATAGCGGAAAACAATATTTCCCATGTTATTTTCCCATAGGGAAAACTCATGCGATCCATTGCTTTCAGCTAATTTGGGTCACCCATAATGGGTATCTTTAAAACCCCCCAAGGATACTTTCCCTCCTACTTTGGACATTTCTGCACTTTAAATATTCAATATTTGATCAATATTTAAGGGGTGCTTTTTCATCATATTCTGCCATTTTTCATCTTATTCGTAATGTAATTTTAAGAAGAAAGAATCCCTTAAAAAAATCTTTTAGACATAATAATTTAACAGTCAATAGTCAATACTATCAACCACTTTCTGACCAATCTAAATCAAGTATTTATACTGAAATACAAACAATATAACAATTATATGTTTATCTATTTAGATGGAGAACTTCGTGACAAGGAAAGTGGAGAACCATTCAAGTTTAAAGTAAAGAATAAACATACATATAACCAGAAGAGATACGAGGCTTTAGGAGAGGTAATTCCACATTTAATTTAGATCACACCTATTTCCTATGAACTAATGGCGCGATCTCATATGTCATGCCCGTAGCCAGGCGGGGGGGGGGGGTGTTCGCAGGGTCCATTTGTGGACCAAAATTGTCAAATGTGAACCCCCCTGGAAATCTTTGAAAACTGAACCCCCCCTGGCAAATCCTGGCTACGGGCTTGTATGTCACTTACTAAATTTGACCACACCCATTTTTGTGTCCTCATTCGTACAATCTCATATGTCACTCATAAAATACTGCACAAAATCAGTTTTATTTACATGATAGGTGAAGAAAGGGTGTTTTTAAGATAAAGCTGTCTGAATACAATGCTTTATGAATGAACAGATGGAATATGTAGATAAGACATGGAATCTGGTCACATGTGAAGTTTGGCTACCCCTCCTCACCCTGAGTTTGAGGAATCATGAGTTAAGAAACTTGTAATGCAAAGAATCAATGATTTGTTAAATGTTGTTCCTTGTAGTAGGGGTATACTGAAATACTAATGTTCATAAAACATCAGCTGCTTGAGATGAGTTAGCTCAAGTATGTTCAGAATAACTAAAGATGACACCTTTATCAATTACAGATGGCTGTTTGTGTTCACTTAATGTCAATAGCATTCTTAATCCCAGTAGAACAAAAAGACAATGTGACCAGAGTCACATTATTATGAATCTATAGTCATGTTTGAAACATATGAGGCTATGAGCTGTATGTCATAACACATTAATGTATAACAATAGGAAATATATATCATGCCTCTCAGTTTTCCATTTCCACAGTAGACTACAAAGTGGGTGTGCTCAAAATGTACTATACATTATTTTTACCATACATGTACAGTTAAATATGTCTCAGTGAACACCTGTCTCTAATGGACACGTTCCTCTCCACAGACTCAATTTGTATAGATTACCCTCAATGCCGTGAACACATTTTTGTACAATGTACACCGTTTTCACTGTACTTATTTTAAAAAATATGTGCTTTGTATTCTTTATTATCCCAAAACATTTTTTGTAGGTTATCACAGAACATGTCTATGGCTTATTGGAATCTGATGCCAAACTCAAGAAAATAAACATCCCAGTGAGTATGATTTCACACATCTAAGTTTAAGCCATACGACACATAAGGTTACATTTTTATTATGAATGTGTTGTTAGATGTCAGCATATATGTTGACATTAATTCAAGACAAATTCATTGGTTGAAGTTTTTTCATGCATGAAATTAACACATTTTTAATGCATTAATTATAACCTACTTCATTAATTATTCAAAATTAAAATCATGAAAATTGGGCCTTCACAAAAACTTGATGTGAATCTACTCATCCTCTGAAAACAGGCATCTTGAACTCGTACCACTTTTTTCCAAGAAGTTGGAAGAAGGAAGGAATGTAGTGGATGATGTCCGGAGCACTGTGTGTGGAGGATGGGATCTACCTCAATAAAATGGATTAGGTGCAGCACATAGTGTGAAACATTTGAGTCAACCCTTCAGTGTTACAGTGATTATAAATGATGTTAATTCTACATTCCAGCTTGATGCCAAAGAAGATGAACCCCAAGGTTTCATATTTGCCAGTGAAGATGCCTCCACCAATCCCGACAAGCTGTTGGTTCTTATACATGGATCTGGTGTTGTCAGGGCGGGACAATGGGCCAGGAGGTATGATGATGAATATTATGTATTTTGCATATTTCTCTTCTGAAGCAGACTTTATTCTTAAACCTGAACATTAACATAATTTATGAGCTAATCTAGAATATATACTATTATATACACAATCTAGTTTTATGATTAAGATATTCTATCTTCCACCGGCCCAATGTTTACATAGTACTGTTTCTTTTTTACATTGCTATTTTTAATGTACAAATCTACATGTTCACATGCAAAACATATCGACAAAGGCTCAGATCAACACTCCCCCATTAATTAAAGCTTATTGAACAAGTTACATTTTCTCACACTCAGTATTTTTTACTTCCACCCCTTCATGTAGTTAGTACTTTGTAAAGTCTGATTTGAAAAACTGGTCTAATAAACACATTATGGGGTTGAATAAACTTTGTAATAGTTTCAGAAAAAGATGACAGCTTCAATGATATATGCCAGACCCCTGAAATCATGCAAGTTGTATTTATTGTATTTTCAGTTTGATTATAAATCACTCATTAGAGAAAGGAACCCAACTTCCATATATCAAAGCTGCCAAAGAAAAAGGCTATGGGGTTCTGGTACTGAACACAAACCAGAATAGCGTTATCAGAGATGGCGAAAGAGTTGATATTCGGGTAAAGCAAATTGCTCAAGCTTGTAGAAAACTGTTTAATTTGTTCACAGTAGTGGTGTCAATTAACCGCTTGAGCATTAACCAGTTAACTGGGGTTTTTTACCGGTTAAAGTCGGTTAACCGGCGGGAAATTTGAACTGATAATTTCAAATGAAATCTTCATCTTCGATCTTGAAAGTTGAAAAAATTGGAAAAATGATATATCGGCGTTTATTTTTTACGTTCGTCAAGCTTTACGCTATTCTATGTAAGTAAGCGCGGGAAAGCAATGTGGCAGGGATTAAAGTTGCTGATTGGATGTTTGTAAGGAATTATCGGACCTATCACATGTATGAGTAGCTCACATGAAACTGACGCTTGAAAAACAAACAGATTAAAATGCAAAGTAAGCGCGGGAAAGCAATGTGGCAGGGATTAAAGTTGTTGATTGGATGTTTGTAAGGAGTTATGGGACTTATGACATGTATGAGTAGCTTACGTGAAACTGACACCATAAAACCAAACGGATTAGCATGCAAAATAAGTGCGGGAAATAACAGAATTATACACGGTCAACTAACCGCCCATAAAAACTCAGACCGGTCAAGGCATTATCGGCGTTTAACCGGTTAACCGGTTAATACTTGACACCTCTAGTTCACAGTTTTGAGTATTTTATTGCCACATGTAAATTTATTAAAAAACCTTTGTTATAAGTTTACTTGAGATCAAATAATCAAATGTTACATTAACATTTGAGATCCAATAAATATAATTTTGTTGTTTTGTGATTTGAGTACTTGATTTCAATACATAATTTGAGCTTATACCAGTTGCCACTGTCAGATGATTTTGTCAAAATTATATTGTATTTATAAAAACACTTTTAACATTCAGGGTAGCGCTGGACCTGAAAGGCACACAGTTTACGTGTGGGACAACATTATATCAAAAGCAAAAGCTAAGCACATAGCAATTGTTGCCCATAGCTACGGAGGCTTGGTGACAGCTGAACTGGTAAGTTGAACATGATAAGTTTTAGTTAAATTGTCACTTAACTCATATTTAGATGGGCATTGTAATGCCAGGTGATTCGAAATATTATTTATATTTATATACATGTAAATTGTATTTAATGAATTGATCGAATAACACGACATCTTATGTATCAGCTCGTGGAAAAGTGGCAATTCACACATGCGCATCGTGTTCGTGTTCCACCCCTAACCACTTGCCCTGAAATCATTTTCCACTCCAATCATGTTTCTACAAATGTGCCAAGTTTGTTGCTTTCCTGAAAAAGCCGAACAAAAAAGGGGTTATATCTGGACATCTGACCCCGCTATACTACCAAGATGTTGTGTCATTTCAGGCCGTCCACAGAGAGGAAGAGTTTAAGAAGAGAGTATTTGCAGTTGCACTTACTGACTCTGTACATAGCTTAGAACACCAACAAGTCCCATCTAGTGTAGTAGCTTTCTACAAAAAGGTATTTTGTAATCTATTAGTGAAAAAGTAGTAGGGTCATTGTCTCATCATAAGACATAGGTGTAACAAACACTAGAGATCAGTTAAAAGTAACTTTAACTTAAACAAATGTTTAATGCTATTTTTCTCATAACTACATGTATTAGCAATGTTTTCCCAACTTTTTTTAAAAATCCAATAGATCTGATTTTTTCCAGATTTTTAGTAACTTCTTCAGCTTTTCTCAGATAATTCTCTTTTTGGACAATAAAATTTGGAATCATTAGCATGTTTTTGAAGAGATTGCTTCCATTTTACACCCTCTATTCTTTACTGCCGTTTCAACTGGCCAAAATGTACAATTAAATGTACAATGTTTTGATAAATATACGTATAAACTAATGTACATGTTCTGTTTATTCCTTTAGAATGCCCGCAACTGGGTGACAAGTTCAGATGAGGTAGATAAAGAAATACGAGAATTCCACACCAGAAATGACTGTCCAAGAGTCTCAGCAGGTAACGTGTATTGAGAAAATAAATCAGATGATAAATTTGACAGCTGCTTGAGAATCGTAGTATATCCCTGGCTATCCTTTCCCATCATTCTATTGCTCATTTTAGACCCTGTCTGGGGTGCAACGCATTATTTTTGAAATATTCATTAGGTTTTTATATTTATGGATTTTCATTTCAATTTCCAAAAATGTATTACAAATGAGAGAGCCTAGGCTGGTTCTAGCATTTCTGGCCCTGTTAAAACAAATACATGAACAAAATTGACTGAATACATCAATATTATATATGATCAGATGTGATAAAAACCTTTAACTCGTGAAAGCCCCTCAAATGTTTAGAAATAATTTAACAATTTACAAAATAATTTATATGTAATATTTATTTGCAGGTCATGAGAAACATGAGTTCACATCCTGGTCAGCCTTCAAATCAGTCATGAGGTATTTAGAAGAAAAATACAATGCCCTTTCACACGCCAAACCCATTACACCCACCAATACAAATACACCCCCCAAGAAAACTGAGGAATTACTTGTGGATTTATCTACAGATGACGATGTAAAGATATCCAATGACAATCAGGGTGCGACTTCGAAGGATGAGACATCTAATAAGGAAGAACTGTAACAGTGATGTTTCTCTTTGAAATGAATTTGCCATTTTAGGATCTGACAATTCTCGTGGAAATAGGATTTTCATAAGAAGTAACATTTTTACATTGATTGAATGTAAAGCGATATCATGGAAATAATTATATTGTATAATTATGAAAAGAATTAATATAAACTCCAAATATGATAAAATTGATGGGAGATGTAGTAACAAATGAGATCGTTATATTCATATTAAAAAAAACAATTACATGAGTATAATTGCAAAAGCCAAACACATGTTAAATTTTATAATCATGGAGTAGGAAATTACAAAGTTGCCAAAACTGTGGCCATATAATGAAGCTATGATTTACTGGTTAGTGTCACGCTGAATTCAAATTAACAGCTAATCTTGACCATACAATTTTTATAGTGTAGCTTTACCATTAAGTGCATACTATATAGTGCTTTAGTACAACACGTCTAAATAAAAGTCTGGAACCAAGTGTTCCATTTGGGAGGTGTTCCACTTATAGAGGTTCATTTAACATTAAGTCAGTTGGTCTCTTGAAACGTGTTCTACTAACAGAGGTGTTGCACTTCTAAGAGTTGTTCTACTTTACATATTTCAATGTATATCAAATTAATTCCTTTAAGGGCTAATGTACTTAAAGTCCCCGATAAATCGGGCTACGTATACCGCCGTGTTTACATTAGGGGATTAGAAGAGTTTATTTTTTATTTAGGTATGCAAGCTACGTATATCAATATTAGGCCTTCATTCATGTACTCGTGTGCATGTAATCAGCATGCCCTTCAATATTATGTAAACCAGGCTATTCAAGTACTGTATAATGTACACTATTTATGTGTGTACTACATACAATACAATTCCCTGGGAAACAAAACACAAATACTTTTTATATGTTCAAAATGAGCCATTTGATTGATGCAAACACTAAATAGCTTCATAAATAACATCTACAAAGTATATCTAATAGTAATTTTCAATTTCAATGGTGAAACTTCCCTGGTTACTATTATATGGGAAATCATCACGAGACGAAGATCGTTCGCCTTCCTGGCTTACCTCTGAATCGTGTACCCGGTAATCTCTTTATATAGTTTAGCGAGAGCGGTGCGCCTGCGCAGTTTTAAACTTTGGCGCACACTTTAAACATGCTAGATGGTGTTATATTTCATTCAGAAGGTTAGCTCTAAACTAAAACAACCAGTTTAACAAAAGTTGTGATGCAGAGTTGTTTAAATTGATAGTATACAGCTACAGTATACAGTATTACAGCTTAGTTGTACATATGAATTGTTGGGCAACTCTAGATGTTTTTACAAGTTTAAATTTTTTAAAGAATGATATGAATATATAATTGATAACAAGTGGCACCATGGGTGAAGTTATAAATGTGTATACATTACATATCATTGCAGATATATCTGTATTGTTTATTGTGTCAAATTAAAGAATTCAAAATGAATTTTTTTTATATGCTATACATACTTGTATATAGACTGTGAATAGCTTTAGAAGTTTATTTAATCAATTCTTGTTTATTGTATCTTTATTTCCCAAAGAATAATTTCTTGGAATGTAAGCATTTTTAAATAGATATGCTGAAAATATAATTAATCTTATATTAAGAGAAAAAATCTGGAAATTGTTTTTGACAACACCCAGCAGAGCTTAATGATATGCTCATCTTTTATTTCAAAATGTGAATTATTTCAAACTTTATATTATAGAAATGAAGTTTTAAGTGAGAGTCTATTGATGGTTCAAGTTATATGTTATATTAAATGTTGGGGTATTTTGGTATCAGAAGCCAGTACTGTAACTAATATATATGTACATAAAAGGTCATCTTTGAAATCTCAGAATTCCTGTAAATTCATGGTTGGGTTGCTATTTTAAATATTCAAGGGTACAAAATAGAAAGAAGATACAGTATACTTTAATCTACTGTATCACATACCTAGTGAAGCATTTGTATTGAAGGCAATGGGGCTGAAGGTCGACTATATATTTTTATATAGCCGCCAAACTTTTTACCATGACAATCTTATAATATCATGTTTCATTTTTTCCAAATTTCACTCGCATAAAGACGTGTCACGTCATTAGTATAACGTAGCCATGGAAATAAAGGTATGTAATACAACAATTATGTCCGTATCATTGAATATATGCCTTCGGTCTGTCGTAAAATAGCTCAAGCCTGCGAGACCTCAGGCATATATTCAATGATAGGGACATAATGGCTTATTAAAACACCTTCCATTTCAATATACATACACATGTCTCTACTGTTGAGTGCATATATGAATATCTTTCATGTATCTATTACATCTACATCAACAAAACCATCATGTGAATTCATCCCAATTTAAATTTATTTTTTGCTTATTACCATTCCCCAAAAATGGTGAAAATAGTACAATTAGAATATTATATTGTTGAAATGCATTATTACACTCAGAGGTAATCTATATTCAGACCAGTGATAGAATACTTCATAACTATTAATACACAATGAAAATGTCCTAATGTAAACAAATACAAAGAATTCATTCTAATATAAATGGGTATTTAGCCATTAATCATTCAGAATATTGAAATATTTCACATCAAAGTAAACCATACAATGGATAAAATCTCTAAATGTACATGTATTGTTTAAGCATCAAATAAATTAAGAATTAAAAAAATAAATTTAATACAGCTGGGATTAAGTAATCAAAATATTCAAATTTTCCAGTTTTTATGCTGAAATGTAAAGTTTTAATCACATGAAGTAAATAAAGAAGCAATCTCACAATAATGTTCTTATCAGACTCATTGTGAGGCCACTTCTTCAAGGCAAGAGTAACCAGAACAACGGCAACACCAAAGCGTAGCGAATCCCATCGAACAGAAATGGCTGGCATTTTTACAAACGAAATATATAGCAAATATCATAAAACAACACACCAGAAAGGCCACCATTTTCAAAATGGTTAGCCAAGTTGTCATCAGAAGAAATAATATGCTTTTATTAGCCACCTATAAAATTTTTGAAAAATCGAACACATGTACTTGTGAAATAAGTAAAAAATGTAAAAATGACAGCCATTTTTTAAAATGGCCGCCTACTATCCGAAGTGTCATGAGACAGTGTGCAAGGCTCGTGAGTATTCACATATCAAATATGAACAAAATCGCTTCACTACTTTTCAAGTTATAGTAAAAACGTAAAAATGGTGGTCATTTTTCAAAATTGTCGCCTACTACCCAAAGTGTCATTAGACAGTGTGCCATGCTTATATAGTATTCACATATAAAATATGAAACATACCAAATATGAACAAAATCGCTGAACTACTTTTCAAGTTATAGTAAAAACGTAAAAATGGTGGTCATTTTTCAAAATGGCCGCCTACTACCCAAAGTGTCATTAAACAGTGTGCCATGCTTATAGCATTCACATATAAAATATGAAACATACCAAATATGAACAAAATCGCTGAACTACTTTTCGAGTTATAGTAAAATACGTTAAAATGGCAGCCATTTTTCAAAATGGCCACCTTCTACCAAAAGTGTCATTAGACAATGTGACATGCTTATAGTATTCACATACCAAATATGAACAAAATTGCTTCACTACTTTTCGAGTTATTGTAAAATACGTTAAAATGGCGGCCATTTTTCAAAATTTTTTCAAAATGGCCGCCTTCTACCAAAAGTGTCATAGGACAGTGTGCCATGCTTATAGTATTCACATACCAAATATGAACAAAATTGCTTCCCTACTTTTCGAGTTATAGTAAAATATGTTAAAATGGCGGCCATTTTTCAAAATGGCCGCCTTCTACCAAAAGTGTCATAGGACAGTGTGCCATGCTTATAATATTCACATACCAAATATGAACAAAATCGCTCCACTACTTTTCGAGTTATAGTAAAATATGTTAAAATGGCGGCCATTTTTCAAAATTTTTTCAAAATGGCCGCCTTCTACCAAAAGTGTCATAGGACAGTGTGCCATGCTTATAGTATTCACATACCAAATATGAACAAAATCGCTCCACTACTTTTCGAGTTACAGCAAAAATCGTAAAATAATGAGTAAAGGCCACCATTTTTCAAGATGGCTGCCATGTGCTTTTTTAATATCTACATTTGTAGCTTTATTAATGTCCTTTATAATTTTTTTACACTTAAAACATATTGCTATTACAGTTTTACATATTGTACCTAAATTACTGTAAAATCGGCACTTAAATGAAATGAGCGGCCATTTTGAAAATCGGCTTTCGAGCAGAACTTCTACCCCCATAGGGTATATGTGTACAAAATATGAACCAAATTCGGGCCAACGGTATTTGAGTTATTGCCCGGACAGACGGACGGACAGACGGACGGACGGACGGATGTACGGACGGACGGAGGCGTTCCCTATATCCCTCCGAACTTCGTTCGATGGGATAAAAAGTCATTTGTTTACCATAACCATACTTTCTTCCATAGACAAATGAAGAGCGGGTCTTTTATCTTGTCTCATATATCTTCTAAAGGAACACATATTACTATCAGAATATATGACATATGCTAGAGTCCTGTTTTGATAAAGACAATAGTTTAAATAGACCTAATATGATGATATGGGCCTTAACATTGCACTTATATACCTGTGCCTAATGTGCATCATACAGATTATCGATTTGCTCTGATCCAACTGAAATAAGATTATGGGACTAAATACTAATACATGTCAGATTTCTCCATAAAGGAATGAACACAAAGCTAATTACAATTAAAAAAAATTATTAGATTTGTTTTGGACATACGTAAACAATAAACATGATGTCCATATGTTACATTTCACGGACTGGAAATACATTTTATTTTGGAATGTTTAAAGAGCAATGCAGTAGCAGCATCATGGTTATGCCAAATGGGTTTCCATAAATAGGAAATAGAAGCACATGATGCCAAAAAAGCACAGCATACACAAAATCACACATGAACAACTCACTGCCAATTCACCACCATATAAAATTGGGACCTTGAAATACAAAACAGATGCCTCAAATTACCATAAAACTTTGCTGCATCTTGACTGGCAATGTCCAAATCTGTATATGTTTGATCCAGAGGGATGAGATTGGCTGATTGTACCATTAATGCCTTGAAGGCTACAATAACACACATACTTAGAAACATCTCAAAGGCAACCAAGGATAATTGGGTGAATAATACTGAAACTCTGAATATTTTGTAAATTCTGGAAAATTAAACCTTAATTAATTCATGATAACAGGCATTATATATTGGCCTAACATACACTACTGTATGTTTCGAAATAACACTACACAAGTCTTAACAATAACATTCAGTCTTAGCTTGTTTCTCCTTGCCTTCCATTTTATGTCATGTTTAGAACTGTGCTATATATCTGTACCCCATTTGGAAAACAGCATTAACTTGTTGAACGCCCAAAAATGACAGGTTGTTCTCAGAACGGCAAGATGGAAGGCAGGAAACACATGAGCATTGCACGAAGGAACACAGTCACATTTAACTATTGGATATTACAGCTCTTTGGAATTCAAGATTCTTTTCGCCTTTTCGAAAAGAGGCACACGTACCTGTGTTACTTATAAAGCAGAATCGTAACCATGGCAACAGTTAACAATAACAACAGCAGGTAAAACGTTATAAAGAGATATATAGTAAAATCTTTAAATATTTACAAAATGTACATGGAAATATTCACAGTTTTGAAGACTATGTACAGTTCTTTTTATACACGAAGTCAATGACAGCCAGCACCATTGTGTGAGAAAAAATAAAATATTTGGAAAATGGATTTTTGTTCTATTCACAAATGTGAACCTCTCAGATGAGTCTCAATGCATAGCCCAAAGTGATACCTAATGGTGGTTAATAAAGTTTCCACCTTATGACACCAAAGTTAAGGTAATACATATTAAAAAGTCACTATTATGACTAAATCGCAAAATTCTAGACTGTATAATACATGGTTACATATCTATGTAATGACTAAGTAACTACTATAAATGGAAATGTTATCAAAAGACCCTTTCTTCCATAAAATCAAATCTACATTCGTTTCTAATGTAATGCAAGTATACCAGTATATATGCAAGTATATATATGCTTCTGGAAGAAAATTCTCTCTACAAATACATTATTTTTACCTTACTACTGACTACTTATGACATCTATCTAATACTTTAGAATAAAATACTGTTAAAATCTAAGAATTATAATCATGTTTATGTGCAGATAAATCACTAAAATAAAGTAGGATTGATGCTGTTGTATTTTATCAAGGAATACATAGCAATGAGATACCTAACACCTCAGGTGTTTAAATACAAAATCCCTTATAAGAGCTGAAATGCCTGTGGTTTATGTACATTACACTAGCTGTTGAATATTCTTAAGCATCAGCTGTAGGGACTAATTCTTTACCATCATCTATTGGAAATGTTTACTTTTTACCATGGATTGTAAAAACTGTGTAAAACATTCACATCAGCTGTAGAAACTAAGATTCATTAGTACATAAATAAGCAGCTGTTGTTGCCACTTCCCATGATCAGCTGTTGATACCAGCTGTTGAGACTATCACAAACAACTGCTGTTCAAACTTAATCATTCAATGATACAAGCAGTTTAATCAATATTATAAGGCGACACTTAAGAAAATGATATCTCAATATGAGATCTTTACATTTCTATCCAATTTAATTCGATATATCACTCTACCATGTCCATGTTATGTACAGAAAGGAATGTTTGTTCCCCAACTTGTAAGAACCCTGTTCAATAATTGTACCATATATGGGTATCTTGTTCAATAATCATTCCATATATGGACATATATACAGGCAAACAATGATATATCTGGGAGCATTTTGTTGACAGGTTTTCAAAGACTGAATTGTCGGGTTAGCAGGTTCAGTTTCAAATCTTGAATATGTATCTAGCACTTGACTTGCAATGGTTACGCTGCACCATACACATCCAATACTAATTGATAAGTGTTTTATATTCCACATCTTTCTTCACAAATCACTCTTATAATAATGTTTTGTTCCTAGAGCTTAAGCAAATATGTTGCACATATATATTCCACTTCTTGTACTGGTGCTTTAGGTTCCACTGCATGAAACAGTTCCTATAAAGTTGCATGTCAAACACTCACTTATGTTGTGCATTTTCTTCATATTGGATTTGTGTATCAACTCTATTAAACTGTTCAGTCTTGTATCCATATGTAAAAGCTGGACGTTTGGACCCTGGCTTCGGAGATAACTAAGAGCCATAGTCTAAAGTTATGTATTATGGCAATAGTACTGAGATTCACGACTAGATTCTTTGAGATTCATTGTTCGTTGGCAAGTGACGTCATTGACGTTTCTTCTTCCCTGTCACAATTGTTGAGTCTGGTCTTAACTCCCGAAACATGATCTAAAAGAAAGATTTCACAAAAATTACATTAATTATCAATTATCATGGATGAATATATTGGAACGAAAGTTATTACCATATGACATGTATGAAAAGCATCCATTTTAAGCAAGTTTGCATATTTAAAATTAGAGTTAAACAAGGCATTGACATGCAAAATGTCATCATTTGCCATTTATTACAGACATTAAATGCCAAACACTAACTTCCAAACACATACCATCACCACAAAAAAAGAGACTATAAAAAATCAATTTCACAAAGGTGACAGAACAGAGATATATCCATTTTGAACAAGTTTGTGTATTTAAAATTAGAATTTAACAAGGCATTGATATGCAAAATGTCACCACTTGCCATTTGTTACAGACATAGAATGCCAAACACCAACAGCCAAACATCAAACACCAACCATCACCACAAAAAGTTGGGAGATTATCAAAAATGAATCTTACCAATTCTTTATCAGAAGGCACTCTTGAAAGGAAGTCCACTAGCTCATTGTTGGGTATTGCATTGGGGGCTCGTAACTTTTTAGTGAATTTGTTTATACCTGAAATATATATAATGGGTTTACTTCATTTTATTTCATAATTGATGGTCGGGTTAATGTTGGGCATTGCCAACCATGTATACATGGACTTGTTTCAATGTTTAATTACATAAAATCAAATTCCAGGCCTATATCAACTACGTGTAAATTATTAAATCCTGATATATTACATTTATAAGACATGGTATATTTCTGAAAAAGTCCCGGCTGTAACAGGGACATTGGCTGTTTTAAACTCACCTTATACAATACATGTTTGACATGTTGGATAATAAATGGCTGTACTTACCCCAGGCCATGATGAGATATCTTAGAGGAATGTAGTAGAGAATTATCACCCCCACACCTAGGGCTATTACAGCTAGAGTAGACAACCAAGGCACTGTCCAGTTGAATGTGCTGTAAAACATGGGAAACATAAACACATGGGTAAATGCATGAAAACATTCGAGAAAACAATGAATGCTGTTTGAGCAAAGGTAAATTATACAAATTCAAAAGTTTGTCAGCCTTTATATAGAACAATTTGTTACTAGCAAGGCAATGTGTCTATTCATTAACTTGCATATTGGTGCTATTTCATAAACAGCCATGCTTTCTACATGAGATATGTTATTTAGCCACAAGTAATAAAAAATACAAATAAAAAACAAGGCATTAACATGCAAAATATCACCTCCTGCCATTTGTTACAAATGTCAACTGCCGACCACTGAACACTATCCACAAAAAAGTTGGAGACTATATCAATATGTCACCGCTTGTTGTGGTGACATAATAAAATAAAAATGAAGCTGAAATACAATATACATAACCTCTCTATTGAGGATTACATCTACAAGGCTTACTTTTTCACCCTCTCTCCCATTGAAGCAATCATGTCCATATGTTCCTGGACCTGAAGGCAGACATCTTGGACTGCCTGTAACTTTTCCTTAAAGCTCTTCTTTTCCTCCTAAAGCAGACAAATATTGACACTATACATGAAGTGGTCTCATTCAATGTTTGGAGTCATTCAATGTTTGGAATAATTCAAAAGGTTTGGACATATGCTAATATAACAAAACGCTTTATGATTGACCTCTTGACTGGATTCATAACTACTGTTACCAGGCCAATGACTATTAATTTATTAGAATAGCTGTTAAAATACTTTACTGTCATGTAACAATAGCAAATGGATTCAAACATATTGTATTTTCATTAAAGTATATAATTCAAAAACCAGTTTCTCTAATACCACACCGATAAGACAATAAAAAATCTATTTCTAACTAGTAACATATGATTTATGGCAAATAATTATATGATCGCTGATTTTATGTTTGATCATAACTGCTAGGTATAGCATGAGATTAAACATGCTAGTGGGGAAGCATCAAGGTATTTTGTAGTGGGTATAATAGTAAAATCAAAGGTCATACAATTTCCATAAATATATAACTCCCTGCAACATTTCTAATATAACATAACTATTCAAGTCTATCAATATCTGGAGTCATTCATTCTCTCGTATAAATCACATCTTGCGTGAGTAGGCATCGATTGGTTTTCCCAGAAGAAATATCATAAGAAATCTGCTCAATGCAATTCCTAAACAACAGAGTAGAGCTTATCTAATAGCTTATAGTTATCTAAGTCTTATCAAATAAAAAAATTATTAAAATAATGGCATTCAAAATGAAAGTGCTTGGTCTGCAGAAAGAAATAGTACTAGAAGAAATAGAGGCATTAAATTATGACAGAAAAATAGTAGGAGATAGTGTATTGGGAACACCAGGTAAACAGCCAAACAATCATAAGAAAAAAATCACACCATGATTAAAACATAACATGTTATATTCAATTGAAAATTGAGAAAAAAATAATTCGAAACAAAACATGATTTATAGAAAGGAAGCTATAAGAAAACACTTCTAAATCAGAATAGAAAGTAAAAATCTAATATTACTAATTTAATATTACTAATGTATACTGAAAACAACAGCCTTTAAAAAGTATTGCTTTGACAAGAGCCTTTAAGGGGTATTGCTTTGACAAGAGCCTTTAAAGGACTGCTTTATCATCATCTAACATGAATTTACCATGAAATATTCAATTCAGTATAAACTATTTGAATGAATGATTATTTGAGTGTTTTAACAATAAATTTAGAGGTCCAAAAATCAAAGACCTGATACTCTAAGATGCTTTTTTAGAAATTGAAAAAAAATAAAATAAATCATGCCATTTCGAATTAGTATCTAAATATCAAAGCAATACCTTTAAAGTGTAACAAGAACAAAACAAAGATAAAACATTACCTTTTTCTACAAATGCACATGAAACAAAAATAAGTTGAATTATACAATATTCACATAACAGTGTTGTCAATACATGGGTTGCCATGCAACAAGGTATAACACTACCTAATAAGGATATTTAGAATAAAACAAGATTTCTTTATGAAATATTTTCAAAGAGGATTTCAATCACGCTCATATTCATGCATCAACATAACATATAAAGAATATTATATGGTTAGAGAAGGAATTGGTATATTGGAGAAAGAGCCGATGCATTTAAATATTAAAGGGGCAACAAGGACTGTAGAGAGAAAATTAGAATATTTTTACTTTTTCTGAGCTATCAGGTCAATATTTGGCTTAACATCTTCTTTGACATACCTATTTTTATTTTCTTAAAATGTATGGATAAACTATCAATTTCAGCATTAAGAAGTGTAAATTCAGTTCAAAGCTTCTATAAGAGGAGTCCCACTTATAGATTTTTAAGATCCACCACGTTTCAAGAAGAATATCAGCTGAAATAATGTTCATCCAGGGGGTTTCTTTGTAGATAATAAAAATATATGTTAGTCTTGATGAAATATCCAAACTTAAATATATTTTGACACTGTACGATGGTGGTTGAATGCCCCCCCCCCCTGCACTAATTGTTGCACCTTTAACAACTCATCAATGTTTGATGTATGTTTTTCTGTAAATCCTGTGAACTTGCAATATTAGTCTTTGCACTTCCAAACTAAGGCTTCTGTAATAGGGTACAACATGCTAAAGGAATTCAGTCAGCAGGATTGGAAGTAGCTAATAGCACAGTAAGTACTTGAGACAGTAAATGTGACACCTTTGGAACAATAGTTCATCCTCAAATGAGCAATAATACGTGAAAGAAATGTCCAAACCCTGTGGTGTGTTATCATTAATTACAAAATTTGTGGGACAGAGGTATCATAGAGGTAAGGAGGTGGTTTATAGATGTGAGATGTGGGTGTACATAGGTACACAGAGGTAATATGGGGGTTATAGATGTGAAATGGGGGTGTACATAGAGATGAGATAAGGGGTTACATAGAGGTGAGGTAGAGGTGTACAGATGTAATATGGAGGAGTATATATAGTTGGACTGGGAAATTGGGAGGTATTTGAACCGGTTGGCAGACCTCAGAAAGAAATACTCCTATTGGAGAAAACGAAGGGACTTGAATTTTTATTTACGCAGTTCAAAGCAGAACCACAAGAAATCACAGACAATAAGGTACAGTAGTTGGTTCATGTAAACACAGCCTACATCTTGGGTTATTATGGGCTGTTATAATTAATTACCTTATTGTCCTTTTCTTCATCTTCCTCATCCAGTTCTTCATCATAATATTCCTGTAATTGGATTATTAAAATTATGTATATTTTAACACAAGTTGTTTTTGTGGATACTCATTGCTTGAATGGAAAACAAGTAAAATGACACCATTTATGCTCATATAAATCAAACATATGATGAGTATTTAACAAATAATTTTTAAAGATGTAAACCTAAATATAGTTTATATCCAAATACAATAAATGTCATAATAAAGTCTAACAGTACTACAATACAAGATCCAAAAGATTATACATTTCAATTTCATCTTTTGACATAACATGTTTACTTTAAGCATTCAAATGCACAGAATATTTAACTAGAACAGTAAAAGACATATTAGTTGCATAACACATTTTTTTTTCAAAAAATATCTCTTAATGCAGTGTAGTTTCATATTAACATCTAATGAATAAGCTGCCTATGTACTAAGGTAGGCCAATGTGCTTAAAGTAATAGTAAAAGAGAGCGAGAAAATTAGTCTTTATTAAAAATTATTTAAATTTTGAATTGTGTTTATTTATATATATCGCTCTGTGAACTGTATTGTTTTCAAATTTTATGGTTAGTAAAAAGGAACACTATCAGCTTTTATAAGCATTTGGCAATAAGTAACATTTAAACATTTACTTTACAATACAATATTACTCCTGTAACTGAACAATTTTGTAAAAATATCTCAATTATAGTCTAAGGATAGTGATGATATTTCATTGAAATCAAAATTATCATTGTTCTCACCACACATGCAGGGTTTTAAATGCCAGCACTTACATCTTCTTGGTTTTCTTTATTAAATGCTCCCACAATGTTAGCTACAACCAGATTCTTTAGGAAGACCATGAGGAGGGTGATTGGCAGCATGAACAGCTCAAAGTTCCATACTAATATCAGAAATACCTGCCACACAGGGTTAATAAAATAAATCATGTGCTACAGGAGGGGCAACAGAAAAGAATAAGACTAATGGCCCTAATAAAATCAATGAATACTATCTACGATCATAATACCCCAAATTAAAATTGTGCTGTTTGTTTTGGGGGTAGACCTTATAATGTGCATAAACCTGTGAAGTGGAATACCTTCGTAAACGAACACTTTTCAAAGTCCCTTTACCCACTAACTTAATATAAAATGAACTTCTACTGGAACATCTCCCAACACTATTTTCAGGGACCAAATATATTCCACTTATACAGGTTTATTGCACATATACATGAGACTAATTAATGTATTATGAATGTTCTTCAGACTGCATCTGAAAGCCAAGAAAGACCAGCAAAACACAAGTACAAGTTTAGTATGCATTAAACTATTCACTTAACCCTCCAAGCCTTATCCTAAAATCATATATACGGGTTAATACCAAGTGGAAATCCCAGGTGATTCCAGTACCCACTCATAGGTTTACTGTAGCAAAAGGCTTTATAGCATAGGATATTAACCTACAATGGTTCTCTATGAGAAATAGCCATGAGTTAACAGCATAGCTTAACCCTTGTCCAAATGCAAGATTAAAAGCCAGTCAATCCAACATGTATTTTTCAAAAGGTTTTAGTAACTACTGCCGCCCTCTATAGACCTCTAATGTAACCATGATGATGGAAATGGTTTGAAGATGGTGGTCATAGAACTCGATTCCTACACTTCTCGGGAAAATATAGAAATGTGTGATTTCGAGGTTCAATTTTTGGTACAGTGTAGTTATTATTTTGCTCAAATAAACAACATTTTAGGCAGAGTTGTAATAAAAAGGAACATTGGAAGGAAGCATGTGGAACCTTGATTTGTCCCAAATGACCTGTATATGACATCACACATTTCCATGTAAAATTCACTGAGAAAACCAGGGGGCATTCCCCAACTCTACAAGAGTCTCATGCTCACCAAATAAAAATTTAATTGTTTTTGATGTCATTATTAAGCATCACAAAGCAAAATATGTGGTAGTTTGAGAAATGCCCCCTCTGACTACAAAGCCAAGCCAAGAGAGTTGGGTTGATGAGACAAGCCCCCCTCCCCTCTCCATTGCCATCTACATATACCTTATACTGTGGGGTATCTTGTTTAATACATGTGACTATATAGCCCTTAGTGAAGAGTATCAGCAACACTATTGGAATCATATACAGCTCCACTGTGAGACATATGACTAGAAATACCTAGAATATAATACACAACGTCGAAATGATTTACAACATCAATTTAATGCACAGTAGGATCATGTACAACATAAATATAAATATACAATGCAGTATGACCATATTAAGTGAATGTATCTGGAGCAATGGTAGCTGAAACTTGAAAATATTCTTATGGGATACATGGAATTAACAGACTTTTATTTTCATCACCTGGGATATACAGAATGAAGAAATCATGTTGTGAAATATTAATGTGGGTAACAAATGCACAAAGTACATGAACATATGCAATTTATTTTTATCATTCAGTTTACTACTATGTGTTTATAACCAATTTTGTTTCTCTATTTGCAGTTCTTTAATCATAAGAAGCACTGTACTAAGTACAGTATATGGTATATCCAAGCGCCATCATAATTGTATATAGCCTAGATATGTATACAATTCAATCATTTTATTTATTTACACTTATATTAGGTAATTAACCTGAAACAGTTGATTTAGAGTTCTATATAAAATATTGAATATTCAATTCATTAATTTATTAAAGTGGTCACTTATGTGTACTTATAACAATTCAATTTTGTACATACTGCAAATGCTGTGGCACTTCTAGGTTTAGATTCCCAGCTGAAACAGCTACCCAGAAACTTTCCCGACTCCACCCCCGCCTCAACAATCTTGGACACACGATCAATATTGCGCTTCATTATCTACAGAACAGCAATGCCAAATAGATCATTATATTATTGCAATGCATACAGGCTATCAATATTGCGCTTCATTATCTACAGAACAGCAATGCCAAATGGATTATTATATTATTGCAATGCATACAGGCTATCAATATTGCGCTTCATTATCTACAGAACAGCAATGCCAAATAGATCATTATATTATTGCAATGCATACAGGCTATCAATATTGCGCTTCATTATCTACAGAACAGCAATGCCAAATGGATTATTATATTATTGCAATGCATACAGGCTATCAATATTGCGCTTCATTATCTACAGAACAGCAATGCCAAATGGATCATTATATTATTGCATGCATACAGGCTATCAATATTGCGCTTCATTATCTACAGAACAGCAATGCCAAATGGATCATTATATTATTGCATGCATACAGGCTATCAATATTGCGCTTCATTATCTACAGAACAGCAATGCCAAATGGATCATTATATTATTGCAATGCATACAGGCGGTTAATGTTTGAATATAAAAATTCACACAAATTAAAGTTTCTGATAAAATATTGCAACATTTTTTGGAAGATATTTCATGAAACCAGGGACAGAATGAAAAAGTGATCACATCCTATAAAATACCACTTACAGATATTTTGAACTTTGGCTCTGGTTGCATATATTTCTCCTCACGAGGGTTGACTGTCCTAACTGCAGCTTTAACCTTAAAATAACAAAATTTTCAATTCCAAGTTTACAGTAGAATTGGGAGGGGGTCTTTAAAGAGCTCTGAATTTCTTATACAACCTTATCATAGTATTACTTTATTTTTCAAACACTTTATGCCATAATTTCAATTTAAAGGCTGGCTTATACAACTCGATATCTCAGCAACTAGTATGAGGAGTTATTAACCATATCCCTTATGTTTGTTGGCTTCTTATACCTTATATATTTGGATGCCCTTATAAAGTAACCCTGATTGGCCATACCCATTAAGATTATGTCATGTATTGTTTGATTTCTTTTATAATACTCTTGTAGATATAACTGACATTACTACCTCAGAAGTAAATATTCTGTAAAGCCCCTGAAATGAACTTACCATTTTATATCCTGCGTGTATATTCCCTGAATTTCACATGATAACACATTTGACTGATTTATGTATATTTATATTGTCAATTGCGATTTTAACACATGATAAAATGTGAAAACTCCTATCTAAATATAAACACCTAGATAGAATAAATGTGAAAATACTGCTTATCTCATGTACAGTATATGCCAAATTGCTTATACTGCACACATACACTGGCTGTGTATTTCAACTGAGACATTATAAGTGTGTAAAATGTTGTTGCTTACATGATTGTATATGAAGTCCAACTGTAACTGTATTGCACCCTTGGCTCTGGTCATGAGCTTCTTGTCTTTCAGTGTGTACCATTTCTTTTCACCATTCTTCACTCTTAGGATTGGGATGGCCACCTTGCCAAGAAACTCTGCTTTCTTGTCTCTGTCTTCGTCATACACTGTAACCTCCAACACAGAGTGGATGTCTTTCACATTACTGGAATTACAAATTTATTTGGTCAATTTAAAATTTTGATATTTTTACATGAATTTGGAAAATAATTATGAAATAAAGCTTGAAAAGCATAAAAAAGGTGGAGTGACTTTTTCACATAAGCCCTCTTAGCATTGGATTTGACCCTATTTCTTAAAATAAACTATGGCCTCCTCTTGAACTGAGGATTGAAAATTGAATATGAACATATAACCGGAATCTGAACTCTCAGAAAAAGTGTGGAGTCACTTGATAAGTCTTACATTGGTTTGTAAGCTTTACTGATTCATATATGTATATAGTTTATAAGTTTATTCTGTACATGTTTGAATGCTGTTTCTAATTCTCAGGCATTTATCAACAAATTAGAGTTTCCACTTTAGGACAAACAGTGACAAACACATACATATATATTCCTAACTGTCACTTACAAAGTGAAGACTTTTCCCCATTCAGGATTGAGTGTCTTATACTCAGTCTGTGTCTGTAATCTTGAGTTAACTAGTTCTAATACACAAAATGGATCACTTTTACCCCCTAGGTCTGCCGCCAGTAGGTTCTGAGCTTGAAATACTGAAAAACAAATCAATTGAAAATGACAATAAATTATAATAGTAATTTTCAAACTAACAAGGCACACAGTGAACATCGTACCTAAAAATGAAAAAAATGGCTGACTAAATTTACCCAGCATGCCAAAAAAATTATTCAGTTCAGAGATTTCTCTGAAAATTACAAATCAATCTATCACAAGGCTTGACTGGAAATGCAGAAAGGAAATGCGAGACTACTTCCAAGGTGGAAATAATATTGCACTTTAATTTTTAAATTTTTTTTCGTTAAAACATACTACAACTTATTACATATACATCAATCAATGATACCCGCTTTAAATTGCCATCGTTTGTTATAGTTTTTTTAATCTTATCTATATTTGCCTTCCACTAAATGAAACCTTTTAGGAGAAATCAAACAAAAATAGTCTTACCTTTGACTTGGAGATATCCAATATCTTTTAGTCCTTTAAACGATTTGAGCAAACCCTGTAAATAGAAATGAAAATTATTCGATAACTCATTTATATATTCTGCAATTTTTGCCATTTTGATGATGGAGTTTTCTCAAGCCCTCTACACCTGCCTCACAACCAGGGAAGTTTGTACAATATAGGCCATGTAATAATTGGCTGAAAAGGGGTTCAGTTTATAATGAAAAGAGCTGTTATCAAAATGACCCATCCTCTCATGAAAAACCTCAAGGGACTAATCATGTTTTATTTGGACTCCTCTCTAGGGTTAGGTACTTTCCAATTGTCCAGATCTGTTGTCAATATGACTGATCCTTGGGTGAAAAAATTAAGGGGACTAATCATGTTGTTTACTCACATATTTACAGACAACTTCTTCCCTCTCTCTGGGGTTAGGTTTATAATTGACCAGATCTGAGATAGTTTCTCCCCCCGCAGTTCCACTAATTGTGAGTAATATCTTGACAATTCCCGCGCCATCCTCCAGGACTGTGTCCAATGTATGAGTCACCTCTCTATCTAGACTACTCAAGTCTACAATTGCCCTGAAAGAAAAGAATCACATCTACTGTAAGAAATGTGTCAGTCTTCAAACTACAGAAATTGTATGGTGGCCGTAGCTTCCCAAAATCAAGAGAAATATGCAGCATAAAATATAGGGAAAAGCAGTACAATCTTTTTTCAGGAATAATGCACTTTCAATCTAGATGAATTGTCTTTCTAGTTTCTATATCTAACTAGACCAAACTAAGGGTACCTTCCCATGAAGTCATCTTTGCCTGCTACATCATGGTCCCAACAAGATACCTCCAGCATACTGGTCTGGTCATCAAACATATGCAAATCAAACTGCTCTAGCCATCTTGGGGTGAGTGTCTTAGTCTTGAACTACAAACATAAACAACATGGCTAATTCAACTAATTTTATTCTCAAATGAACCCCTTCATAATGCGCTAATATTTAAATTATTCAAATCAAGAGATACAACTTGTATTATACAAAGTCTTCTTTAGTATTTTAGAATGTCATTTCCTAATTATTCCAAAACATGAATGTCTTTCTTGTTTCTTAAACTACAGCAATAAGGAATCACATTCAATCCTCCAACTGTTTTTTCCAGCTATATTTTTTAAGTTCTTCCCAGTTTTCCATTTCAGACGATGAATATCTGCTGAATTGTCATTTTTGTGTCATGTTTCATTTAAAATTTCTGAGAAATCCTGCAGATTTCATACATCATTGACCTTTTTCATTTGAATTAATAATTTCAATGTGCAGAAAATTGAGAGAAGAGTTTCTTAATATTGCATACAATATTGTACTCATGGAAGAACACAGTGTTGAGATTTGAAATATTTTCCCCTTATCTCCATTTTACAATATTTATCTTAATATTCATTCAGGTTTCCATCTAAATTGTTAATTCATTAGTGACAGCTTTTTCATTACTCACACTGGGAGTACATTTACATAATGACATTTTTCTACAACAGTGTATTCAACTACCTCTGTGGGGTTGAGTTCTCACATCAAAACCTCAGACACTTTCTCTGATAAGTTCTAATTAGAGAAGAAAATCTTTCAGGAACCCATCAGCTTCAGCTCATGGAAAATGTCACCATGACGATTGGGATAATATTGTACAGCTAATTTCAAATTAAATGAACCCCATTTAGAAAGTGTATCATATTAGAAGTTTGTAGTTTTACAATTTACTTTGTATTGAGACCCCAAACCTCCTCACTTCCTATAGTGTAATATAGAGGAAATAGGGGGGGGGGGTATACAAAGGGAATGGGAGCACATCATGTACCGGTATATGCAAAATGATTCGAAAGAAATCTCAAAACGATTTTACCCATAATTATCATATATCTTATGGCATCTTCAAATTGCAGGCAGAAGGTGATGTAATGCAAATAATTGTATGTGTTTTTCAAAAATGGGACAATGAGCTTCGGCTTTGCCTGGACAAAGTCCCATATCCTCAGGTACATAGCCATGCATTTAGAGGATGAAACTTCTCCACTATACATGGATATCTATCAATAATCTTGAGTCACACATGGGGGAAATTACATCCTCAGTTTGCAAGCATTTTTGAAATTCAATTAATTTCAGAATAATTTTCCTTATCCAATCCATGCATGTGTTGTGTTAAACCCAGTAGGGATTCTTCCTGATCCAAATGTCATCTCCAAACTAAAATGTACAACTTAATATGAAATCTTCAGCCTAATAAGAAGGAGCTTAAATATGGCGACACAAGAGCGGTAAAGCTCAATGTTAATGCACAATTTTATATTATTATAATTATACTTTTTAGTTATATTCTTGTTTGTGAAGCTGTCAAAAATACTACTCATAATTTTAACTACAGAAAAATATTCATGCTGATCAAGCCAAATAAGTAAATTTTCAAATATAATAAGTATTTATCATATGCATTGGCCTTAAGTTTTCCACATAAGTCACCATATTTTCTAAATCTAGCTTATGCTCCTTCTTAAGGTGTTGTTATTTCATGCAAAATCTAAACACAATCTACTGATCTATTTATCTAACTATATGAGGGGTTGGGTCAAAACATTGATATTCATCAAAAATCAATTACATTTCAACTCTAAAAAACAGAGATTAATAAGGCATTAATAACATGGCAAAATGTCATCACCAGTAATTTGAAACAAATGCCAAGCCCCAAATGCTGACCACCAAACACCATCCACAAAAAGTTGGAGACAAACACTGGTGGTGACATAACAGAAATTGACGGCATCACAAAATAAATATTTGCTCCCTCCCACAAATGTAATAAATATAATAATTTTGATGAATATCATTAATTAAGCAGATCCCTATGTACTACATCACACATCCTGTGCACCACAACATCAATTCTAAGGTCTATATAATATATCTACAAACTGAATTCACTTCTTTCGCCTTTGAGAATAAAATAGAATGTCTCGTTAGAAAGTAATTACCTTTTTCTGTGAGCAGCATACAATATAGTGTATTACAATAAAAACCTTGCTTTAAAATAGCATATTTCATACTTTTTCTATTAAAGGCATAATCAGATCTAGTCGAGCAACATTTCCAATATATTGTCTCAGTTTGAGAATAATTTCTTGCCAAACAAATTTTCTCAAAATGTTCTACTTTATTCTATGAAAACAAACTTTAAATCTGAAATAACTTTAAATTCTATGACATCATGGATCTTTCATGATGTATTCTAGAAGTTAAAGATGCACATTGATTGGATTTTGTCACCCTTTATGAAATCTGATTTTGCCTTTTAAGTATTTCTTACATGAATTGGATTCTTTGACCCTTATTTATATAAGGATTATGAAGGAATAGATTCTTTCCTGGTTCTTCTGAGAATTGTAAAACATATTTTTATGTATTAATTAATGAAATACTTGAGGTTTGCATATGTAAAAATATAAATCAAGATAATCAGCAACACTCAACATTGGTAATAGTAACTAGTGCGTGGTAATAGTAAAAGCCATAGGAGTCACTTTATTAACGCAATAGGGTCTCGTATAATGATGTCAACTTTCAATATATTAAGAATTATGACTTAATAAAGCTTGTTTTGAGGTGCTATAGTGAATATAATACATAAATGGAAATGAATTCATGCAATTTTCTCCGTTCATTTTTTAGAAATAAAAACATCAAAAGATATGTTTTTCATTGGCTTCACGATCACATCAACTCCAACCTGATGCATAATAATGTGGTGTACTGCACTAACAATATATTAATGTGGTGCACTAACAATATATTAATGTTTACGGTGCACTAACATTAATATACAAGTCATTTAAGTAGCATCGATAATTATACCCTTTGCATTTGTTCGACTTAGCTTTTTAAAAGAGAGCTTCGTCTTCACTCTCAGTAAACAATAAATCTCTGAACTTATTGAGCCATTCAGAGTTGGGTTGTTGAAATACAGATGGCTTTCTATATACGGTAATTTCCTCTGACGTCACCACATAGTTAATGAGCATGCATTTAGCGTGAGCTCCTTCCAGCTCGATGATCCGATGAGAAAAGTTCAGCATGGTCGGTTTGAAATGATTTATAACTCAGGCTATCATAGGCATAGGTGGGGATGGGGCTACTAAAACTGTAATATAGTCTATACTAAGCAGAGGGTAGTTTATAACTAGACTCTGCACGCAGGGTACGATAATTACATGCACTTATCTTAATAGGTAGAGGGAAGTCATTATAAATGAGGTGATGGATATAACAAAACAATTATAGAAGTTCTTTCATTTCAGCGTCAGTAGATAATAATATCAACTTAGCAGAAGAAAGCATATGAAGGATGAAAATTGGCAATAGCAGATATAATCCAGTGGATTATGTCGCGTGTATATTCCCTTTATGATGCAAATATGATTTATTGCAGACGAGATAGGTCGGGAATTGTAAGATATGCAATACTACCATAACATGTTACTTGTAATATGGTTAGATGATTTTGATATTCCATATAAGCCCTCCATTTGCTCCTGAAGAAGATGCATCTATTTCAAGATACTCCTTATTATGGGCAGATTTGTTTATCTATGGTCTATGTTGCAGTTTCAAGATGGAAAGCTTCAGAAATTTTCAAATTCTAAGTGAGGGTGTGGTCTATCATGTGTCCAAAATATGACTGGACAGGCACATTTCATCCTTGGTCCAAGGGTATTTTAATTTATTCCATGAGCTGGGACAGTGATGCCTGATCTTGAGGATGGGTCCATGTATACATGAAATACACAGCCACACTTAGCATTTGAACATGTCTGTTAAAACATTTGCTACATACATATCGCAAGACAGGACATTATAAGATGTTGTCAGACACAAGATGCATCTCAAAATGATCAATCCATTTATACTTACTATACTTACAGTGATGAACCAATCATTGTGAATTATCAAGAATTACATATAGCTATATACAGAACAAGGATTGTGCAATGCTAATAAATCTACATAACATCCTTAAATCGTACCTTGCTTTTGTATTTTTCATTCCCGAGGCGAAACTTGATGTAAGGATCACTGAGTCCATTGTCATCCATTGGGAGAAGATTCCGACCCTCAACAAGGACGATCGTTACAACGGAACTCCATATCTGCTGCTTCATCTTTTTAGCTTGGTCACTCAGTCTCATGCTCTTCTTAAAATACTGGAACATAGAAATATGTACAAAGTTCATTTGTTAATTGTTGTTTTTTAATTAATGGAAATCATAAATACAACATGGAAAAGTTGAAAAGTTCCTAAAAACAACAAGGGATTTTGGGAAAACAACCAGTGAAAATCGCCTGTTGCCTGCTGCTAATGAAACCTGTGCATATTATATTAAATTAACACTTTACTCTTGATATATTGTTTAATAATATGAATCTTTATTATTTTTAAGGAGGAATCCTTTCTCTTTTGTACCACATAGTTTGTCTGTAATATGCAATATGAATGAGACAACCATTGGAGGCATTTATTACACAGTACCCACTAGATAAGCGCGTTATAGGAACATAAAATGGATATATTGAGCCCTGCAATCAAAGAAAGAGTTGAATGCAAAAAAATATTCTCTACTCAACAGATTACATATTTACTCGAAGCTATATTATAAAATCAATAATTCTGTGAATTTCTCTCAATGTTTTATCTCTCAAGAATTATTTTTTCTTTGAAATGAACTGATAGTGCTAATCCATGGGGGTCTTATAAACACTTTGAGGAATAAACTGGAGATGTTTTCTCTATGTACACAGCAGGCACAAGAGGAATACTAATAATCTTATCAAATAAAGACATATTTTATGTTGCCAGTAATGGAATTTGAACTCTATGTATTTCAAGAGCAGAGAGTGTATAATATTAAGAAAGCCTGACATCCCAAAACAATGATTCAGCTTAAATAGGCATGTAAGATTATGGGTGTATTTTTGTATGACACGGAGCAAGTGAATTTGCTACGGTTACATCATATATATTTGTTTTACACAGTGCAGTGATCTCCCCAGCGTTAAAGGAAGTGGGCACAGCACCCACCTGAAATTTTGGAAATAGGCTTGCACCCACCTGAAAATTCATTTGCACCCAATGAATAATGAGAAAAATCATGAAAAATTGGCATATTTTGACCAATTTTGGTCTGAATTGTGAAAATGAGAATTTTGCACTGCGTGGGATTTTGTGAAGATACTTCTCCTTTGGAAGATGGGATAGAGTTGAAATGTGGCATGACTTAGCCTTAATCAAAACCAACTAACTTACCAATAGATATTGTTAACATTGAAACAATTTGGAAGTGCATATATTTGAATCAAGATGTAGACCATTGTTAACTGGATGGATGATGGATGAACAAGTTTGTTGCAAAAGCTAAACCACGTGAGCTAATAATCATTCAATCATAGTAAATCACAGTACACCAACTGCCGTCACAAAAAAACAGAGACCATAGCAATATATCACCACTTGTTGGTGGTGACATAAAATCCTGTCTTAGTAAACACCTCTCTCTAGTGTACACCTGTGTTTAGTGAACACCACTTCAAGACATATTTTACATTATAGACTTCTGTTTAAAATCCCCTCTCTGTAGTGAACACCTATCTACATACGTACAGTGAACACTTTTTTTGCGGCTCCGTAGGTATTCACTATATACATGTTTACTGTACATAGAAATTCAGTGTTACTTATACTGCATTTTACTGAACAAAACTTTTCAATTTGCTGAACTGCTCGTAATGAATCAACAAAGAATCTTTATCTTACCTCTAGCATTTTATTCTGGCTGACTATATCCAATCAAGCTGGGATTAACATACCAAAAGTTTATTCAACCCAGATTCAAGGTTTGATTTAACAATCCATTCTAGTTGCATCATTACCTTCCATTCTTTTCATGTGTTAAAATATATTCATCCTTGTCCTTATGGCTACAAATTAAAAGTTTACATTGATTTTCTCCTCTAATCTAATTAATAAGCGATCAGCAGTGATATGCTAAATCTGAAGACACTGGATAAGTAGAAGTGTGTATATTCCTCTGTAATTGATCAGAAGAAATGTTGCTAAGTAGATTACTCTACCAAATGAAATAATATCCCAACAATAACTACTACTGCCGATCCCCACTTCTTCATGAAGCTCATAATGTAGTTAATTATAGCAACTGAAATCAATCATAAATCACTTTATAATATTATGTGAAAATCGCATTCTGTGTTGTCCTAGACATTGCTTACTAAAACTGTATTTTATTCCAAGGCATGATGTTATTAGTATAAATAGAAGAGCGTCTCTGAGACAAATCTTGATTGGTTTCTTTCATAATCAACTTTTAATCTCTCATGACGATATATCTTTGGATGGACAGTGGCGATATGCAATGCAGTAACTAGGCAACCTATCTATTCAATTCATATTTAATCCTATTTAAATAATATATCTATTTCAGTCGTGATGATGATTGGGTATGTACTCTATTTTTAAGTGCATCTTCAGACTCCCCATTTTCTGTAATTGCCTGAGCCACATTAAAGGAGTTGTCAAGAGGTCTCTTATTATCATGCATTATCACAGCAATTTTTGACAAATGTACCTGGAGCATGTGCTCCCCTAGCAACAGAAGAATATGTTCCCTAGCAACAGATGAGTATGTTCCCTAACAACAGAAGAATATGTTCCCTAACAACAGATGACTATGTATGTTCCTAGCAACAGATGTGTATGTTCCTTAACAACAGATGTGTATGTTCCCTAGCAACAGATGGCTATGTTCCTAGCAACAGATGTGTATGTTCCTTAGCAACAGATGTGTATGTTCCCTAGCAACAGATGCCTATGTTCCCTAACAACAGAAGAATATGTTCCCTAGCAACAGATGACTATGTATGTTCCTAGCAACAGATGTGTATGTTCCTTAACAACAGATGTGTATGTTCCCTAGCAACAGATGGCTATGTTCCTAGCAACAGATGTGTATGTTCCTTAGCAACAGATGTGTATGTTCCCTAGCAACAGATGCCTATGTTCCCTAACAACAGAAGAATATGTTCCCTAACAACAGATGACTATGTATGTTCCTAGCAACAGATGTGTATGTTCCCTAGCAACAGATGTGTATGTTCCTTAGCAACAGATGTGCATGTTCCCTGTATGTTCAACATGTGAACAGGCTTGTCAGTCTGTGAATCTATAAACTGAATTTTCTGTCTATAGAACTAAATGAAAGCACTAGTCAATATGTAACTGTTTACCCTGTACAAATATTGGCAATTGGTTTTATTGAAAGCATACACCTGAACCAATCTTCACAGTTCATTTGCTATTACTGTGTTTACATTGCTTGATAGAGTCTCATTAGATCAAATTCTCTTTGAACTAATCCTCATTGCTACTGGCAACAAAGACAGACACACAGACAAATTCAACTGTAATGTTACTCAACCCATCCTTCTGTTTTCTGACAAGAAAGAAAACCACAATCTTTCACAATGTCCAAGCATGAACAAAACAGTAATATTCTATTTCCTTATCCTCCGATAGTCACTCAGGCGAGGAAATAATCACAGAGAATCATCGCTATCCTAATAGTATGGCCACATAAAATTTGCAGTATCGCTGGTATAATCAATGTTACATACGGTGGTCTCTCAGCAAAAAGTAGTAATATATTAACAGGTTTAGGAAAATATTGCTGAAGCTCAAACCTAATGCATCAGATGCCCCTGGTTTTATCCACTGTGCATGACATATCATATTATCTACAAAATAATCCATAGAAAATCCAACGCAGCACCGACTTTTATATCATATTCATGATGTGAATTCGTTAATTTTCTAATCTAAGCAAAATATTAGAGTGTTATTAACAATAAATCATTTTCCCTTGATACAAATATACTAGTTTAGTGATGATTTGTCATACAGGGGTTTGATTAAGTTGAGAGGTTTTTGTGGTGCTTTGGGTCTTCATATAACAATTTTTTGAACATCATGAATAGGGCCCAGAAGAACAAAATACATATTCCTTAGAATGCTACCTTAGTCCATTTAAGTCCATTTATTTTTCTCAGTACTTCAAGAAATACAGTACACTACCACAAGTGATTCTCCCACAATGCCACTTACATCTCAGTACCGACTTCCTAATGAAGTCATTCATTTTATAACAATAAACTTTCAAAATTTTTATGCAAAACGATATCATCAATTAAATAAATAATTAAGCCACATCAGGATTTTCTTCAATGTTTTTAAATCATTTTTATGTACTTTATGAACTCTCATATGTGAATATGAACATTACATCAGTCAACAAGCACCCTGGTGGCAAAGGTAAATATATTTTAGTGATATCTATATTCACCACCAGTTCTTAGTGAATTTCTCTTTCAGCTTTATTGTTTTAAATCCAGAGAGATCCTTTTCCGTATTTCCAAACACAAAACGAAACTAAATGTCATTATCAACTGCTTCATCTCTTGGAAATGTCTTGTCTTGCAATTTCATTTGTTTAGTTACAATCACATTATCATGTATCAACTAACCTTACAGAATTCTCTAACAAATGAATTAGTTTACAATAGCAATCATAATATATTTCGATAAATGCAATTAAAACATATTCTAAAGGTTACAATAATGATTTTAGCAATTATTGCTTGATATTGTTTGAACTTGTCAAAACAATATGATACTTTTGAATTACATTTGCAGATTCAGGAAATGTTATACTGTACATAGTGCAAAATTAACAAATGAATGCATGTTAAATGATGACAAATGAGGTTTGAAAAATCTTGCCTATTTACTAAAAAGTCCAATAATTGTGACTTTATTTCAAAAAATTATTCATTAAATACAATCTAAAAAATACAGGAAAAGTGTAAGCCTACCTTCCTTTCAAGCTGATTTTATCAAATTGAATACTCAATGTTTCTGCAGGTATCTCTACCAGTATTCAAATATTAGCTATTCTCACCTAACTGCATGTGATAATAAATGGAATCATATACATTATACATACTCTATATGCAACGAAGCAAATTAATTCCGTTAAAAGACTACTAATGGGATATCTGAAGTTGTACATCAATCCATCTGGAATACTTGAAATAATCACATGCAAATTACATGGAGTATTTGCTTTTTATTTTTGTTTGACCTAAGCAAGTGAATGTATATGAGTTACATGTTTCATTTGAACTGTTTTATAAGAATACATATTGTCCTTACAACATAGTAGGTTTCATACTATACACGTATTAAGGCTTACATTGTCATAACACACTTTTTCTGCTTTTTCGTGTCACAATTTCTGTCAGAATATTTCCGTGTGTTATCAATAGTTATGGTCCCTGTGGTTTGAAACCCTCCATAAATGCTCAAATAAAATACTCAATCACTTTTAAAAACTCCCCTAAGATCCATATAATGTAATAGTGTATGGCTGATTGATCTTAATGTAACAATTCTCCCATGTAACGAAAAATGTGTCAAAGTGAACTCTTCTTATTCTAACAGAGAGATAGAGATCAAACATTAATGGATTATGAAAGCTAATCTTAGTAATAATACAATATTACATGAATTGATAAAAATGTATTAGGATCACAAATTCAACCTGACATTCATGAATAAATTCATAGAGGTTGAAAATAGGTGTTACTATGATGAGATGTTCTCAAGGCAAATTCAATATTATAATACTCATTTGTTCTTTTGTCAAATTAGTGGGATTCTTTTGACACTATCTTACACTAGCTAATATGTGCTTTTGTTGCATACTCACCGATTTTACTCAACCCATTGGTGCTCATTGATTGATTCAAGCATGAATTGTTTCAATGTTGAATTACTTCTTAATCGAGGCTTGTCTCTAGCTCATTAATTTACACCAAGTGCAGAGTGTGGTTCTAAACTAGTGAAGCTCTCTTTTAAGGAGCAAGTCAAACAAATGGATAGCCCGGTGGCTTAATTTGCCTTGCATCAAAATTGAGAAAAATGTCTGTTCAGTGGTATCTCCTACCTGTTCTTTCTCATCCTGGGACTTTGGCTTGATAGTGCACTCCAAGAGAAGGTAGCCCATGTACTCACTGGTCTTGCCAGATTTGTCACTCAGCAGAAGCTTCATTTCACTGGAGCTGCAAATAAAGACATAGATTTATGTTTAAAGTGTGTGTTAAGGGGGGATGTTATTTTTCTTTATCTGATGAGATATGATGCCAGTGAGTAGTAACTGGCCTGGTATCATCCCTTGTTATTTCTTTCCTCCCACAAACATGGGTCAATTTTTAAAAAATTTCTCACATAATTATCACCATCTAATTCAACATATTATAGAATGCCAACCACTGAACATTGTCCACAAAAAAGTATTATGCAAGAGAAATAAAAAAATCAGAACTAGATCCTGCATGTTGGGCAGATAGGTAGAATCTACCTACGAATATAGGGGCGTTAAATTATATGATCCCTATAATGATCATCACTTTATCCAATTTTAAACTGGAAATTGGCTTTCAACGGATCAAAGGTAATCTTCAAATTCTCAACAAGATTAAGCTCCCAGTTCCTTTATTCTGACGAGTTTATGGAATGTACCAGTTGGATGATACTTAACGATTACTAGTTGTTCTGACCTTCACAATTCATAGTTACATAATTACAAGACAGATGGATCAAATTCATGACAGGAATTACAAACTCTATCTATTCCATGCTGAGACTTCAATCACAAAATGTCATGACAAGCAGCAGCAGGTTCAACATAATATACTGACATAATCTATCACTATCTACCTACAGCATTGCATCTTTAACAAATAAATTAATAATCAAATCCTACTTTTGCAGAGAAACACTTTAACTGAGGAATGAGTCTCACCCCAGGTATTAACGTAATTTTTTTCTAATGATTCAGTTTAAACATATTTTTTCCAGATGATTATTTAGAATTCTAATTCTGCATTCATTGAAGCTGTAGTAAATCAAAGGAATTTAAGGAAAATGTTTTCTCTTCTAGTTAACAAAAAAACTAGTCTATCACTACCTGAGATTTGCGAGGACAGACTGACATAAGGACGACATGATGGATGGCTTTTCTATATCTTACTTGAGTTGGATGAGATATAAAAAGGTACCATGAGCAGAAAATGTCTCGTTCTAAATACGTCTTTTCTTTCAAGAAGTGAAGTCAAATGAATACAAACAGTTAAAGTGAATTTGAATGCAAACAACTTAAATGATTATTTACGCAGCCTTTGAATGCTTTGATACTATAATGCCATCTTTTAATGAGTGATAAAATTCTAATTCTCTGGAAATAATATTCATTTGAAATTGAGCAGTGTTCCGCCTAATATTGCTAGAGATGATCCATTTCCACTGTTAACCTTGATGTGACTGTTAACACAGAAATGTACTGTCATGGGTGTAAGCATTTTATTAGGGTGAAACCTACAATATCATAAAGGGAAAGCATATTAGAAAGTTATGTTACTCTGGGCTTGTAATTTAGCAGTGATTTCCCCATAAGACCAATTGGGTGTTACACCTTGTTCAAGATATGTTGCACCCTGTGAAGAGGGTGAATATTGAGATATTTTGACTAAACAATCCTGGGAAGATCACTGTATATTCGCCCAAACAGTAATATTAGTACAAAAGCATGTTAAGAAAACACCCAGGTGAGATATCATATTCGTTATCATTGACAATGATAGTTCACTACTCTGCAATGAAGGCAGGACATCCCAGAAGGACTACGCCACCAATGACCCCAAGGGAGTACACTTATCCAAACAGGGGTACAGCAAAATTGCAAGAAACATTGTTAGTACAATGAAAAATACACCTGAGGTAGCCTGTATGAAAACACCCGTCAGCAACAAACGTAAGGACAGATCTTCACAATCTACCCCTACGTCTGCCGAGAAACAGCCAGCAACCAAGACCATGAAGCAAATAACCCCTCCACATTAACTCTTAACATTCATTAAATGATGGATAAGTTAAGAATTCTTACCCTCAATGTAAGGGGATTAAAAGATAATGCAAGAAGAAAACTTTTTCAATGGCTACAAGACCAGAAACCTGACATTATTTGTTTGCAAGAGACTTTTTGTACAACTGATTTTGTAAAGACTTTTAATTCATATTGGGATGGTAAAGTTTTTCATAGTATCACTGATTCAAATCATTCAAGAGGTGTAGCTATTATGTTGAGTAAAGCCTTAAGTAATTCTTGTAATGTGAAGAACTATAAATGTCTAGATAATGGAAGGGCGGTTCTAGTAAATGCTGAAATACATAGCAAAATCTATTCTTTTGCCAGTATTTATGCCCCTAACAATATTGCAGACAGATGTACTTTTTTCAAAGATATTGATTACTGGATCACTGAAAATTCAATGGATAATGAAAATATTTTTTTAGCAGGTGATATGAATTGTTGTAGAAATGAAAATGATAGAATATCGCAAAGTAGAGTTAGAGATGATAAAAGTAAACATTCGTTTGAGTATATGATAAGTAATTTAAACGTTGTAGATGTTTGGACATCAATGAAGGTCAAAAAACCTGGTTTTACATTCTATGATAAAATTAATAAGTGTAAGAGCAGACTAGACTACATATTTAAATCAAAGAATAGTGCCTCTCATATCATTAAATCGTATATTCTTCAAGCATTAAACAGAGATCACCGAGCAGTTGTTTGTGATTTCGGAATCAGTAAAAATGTAAGAGGAAAGGGATATTGGAAGCTTAATGGTAGTTTACTGAATGATTTCGAGTATAAACACAAAATTATTGAATGTATTCAAAATGTTAAAAGGAATTTTGAAAAAATTGACTCAAAACGAGTGTTTTGGGAAATTCTAAAAGCCAAAATAAAGGAAACTTCTATTAGATTCTCTATACAAAGATCTAGAAATGAGAAAAATGAATGCAAACTTTTACAAGAAAAAATTGACAACATAAACACTTTTATTGAAAGATGTAATAACATTGAAGTATCTAATTCGTTAATAATTAAAAAAAGCAGCTTTTGAATCAAAATTAGATCATATATATGAAAAAAAGGCGAAAGGATTTCAAATTCGGTCAAGGGCGAAATGGGTAGAATATGGTGAAAAAAGTACAAAGTATTTTTTGAATCTTGAGAAAAAAAGACAAACATCAAATGTTATAAATAAGATTTCTACTGAAAATGGGACTTTTTTTAAAAGTGAAGATATTTTATGTGAAGCAAAATCGTTTTACCAGAAACTATATTCATCTGATAACATACCCATTGAAGACATAGACGCTTTTTTGCAAAATATTAATCTGGATCATATTCTAACAGAAACAGAGAAAAATGTATGTGAAAATGAGCTTTTACAATCTGAAATAGATTTTGCAGTCAGGAATTTGAAAAGAAACAAAAGTCCAGGAATAGATGGTCTTATTCCTGAATTTTACCAATGCTTTTGGGAGGAAATAAAGGAAATCTATTTTTCAGTTTTACAAGAGATTTTTGAAAAGGGGGAAATGAGTGATTCTATGAGATTATCTGTATTAACTCTATTGTATAAAAAAGGTGATAAGTACATTTTAAACAATTACCGACCAATTAGTCTGTCTAATTATGACTACAAAATACTTGCTTTTGTTTTGGCAAAAAGATTACAAAAAGTGATAAAAAACTTGATTAATATCGACCAGTCTGCATATATTCCTGGCCGTTTTATCGGCTATAATGCTAGATTGCTTCTTGATATCATAGATTACTCTAATATTGAAGATATACCAGGTTTATTAGTATGTTTGGACTACAAAAAAGCGTTTGATTCTATTAATTGGAATTTTATGTTCAAAACACTTGATAAATTTAACTTTGGAAATAACTTCAAAAGATGGATAAAAATTTTGTATAATGACCCAGTCTTGAAAATTCAAAATAATGGGTGGTTTTCGGATAGCTTTCAAATGTATAGGGGAATAAGGCAAGGTTGCCCTATATCGGCTTTGCTATTTATTCTTTGCACAGAAGTAATGGCCGTTTCAATCAAAAATGATGATAAAATACATGGTATAGAAATAGAGAATAAAAATATCAAAATAATACAACACGCAGACGATACAACTTTAATTTTATCAGATAAAGAATCTCTTAAAGCTGCATTATAGAAAATAGAGAAATTCTCAAGGGTTTGTGGGCTTAAATTAAACATTGATAAAACTAAAGGCATACAACTGGGCTCTCTTCAGGATTCAAAGGACGAATACATTGAAGAAATACTTTTCAGTAATACACCAATAAAATGCCTTGGAATTCACATTTGGGATAAACAAAAATGTCATTCTTTAAACTGGGAATCAAGACTAAGACTAAAACAGCTATTACAAACATGGAAAATGAGAAAATTAACATATTTTGGAAAAGCTCAAATTATTAATTCCCTAGCAATGTCAAAGCTTGTATACAATTTTACAGTTATGGAAATTGAGGAGTCAATCGTTAAACAAATAGAGAGAATTTTTTTCGACTTTTTATGGAATGGGAAGGATAAAGTGAAAAGAAATTCAATAATTGGAGCAATAGAGGATGGGGGATTAAACGTAGTAGATATTAAGCTTAAAATACAAAGTCTTCAGTCTATTTGGATAAATAGACTACTTACTAGCAAAACATCATGGAAACTTTTTCCATCGTACCTTATAAAGAAAACAGGTCTAAAATTAGAAACTTTCTTGAACTGCAACTTTAACCAACAATCAATAAATGGTACCTTTTTATAAGGACATATTTTGCTCATTCAACACATGTAAAACATACATAACAAATGATAAAATTAAAAGTGATGATATTTTCAGTGAGGTTTTATGGTTCAACAGGCGATTCCAAAATAGAGGAAAAGTTTTATTCTTTAAAAACTGGATTCAGTCAGGTTTTGTTTATGTAAAAGATTTTTTTTTTAATCCAAATGGTTATTTTAAAAGCAGTCAGTTATGTACTCAGGTTTTACTTGGAAAGAGGAACTGGATGGTAGAATTATATACAATCAAGAAAGCTATTATGAGCGTATGTTCAAATCGTGATAAAACTAATCTACCCTTCATTAATGTAAAGGATAAAACAGATTTTTTGATTGAAAATCAGTTTATTAAACTTGAAGGTAAAAAAGCCAAATTTTTCTATAACATTATGAGAAATTCTAAATTTGAGAGAAATATCCATGAAACATACTGGAGTACTTGTTTTACTATTGCAGAACAGCATCAATGGAAAAGTATTTATAATCAGAAATTAATGAACATGAGTTATAATTACTTCTCAGAATTTAATTTCAAAATATTGAACAATCTACTGGCATGTGGATATCTCATATCTAAATGGAATAATAAAGTTCCAAGAAATTGTCAAATATGTCATGAATTACACAATATGAAACATATGTTATTTGAATGCATAAAAGTAAGACATGTGTGGCAAGAGTTAAGTGAAAAGTTGAAGTGTCAAATTAAATACAAACATATTGTTACTGGATTTTTACCAGGGAACAATATCACCAAATTTAGAAATGTCATAATAACAATTCTTGGCATAACAATTTATAATAATTGGTGCAATTTTTCTGAAGATCATGAAAGTTGGAAAAGATTCGATATAAGAACAGCCTTTGTTACAAATTTACATTTTTATGAATCTATATTCCATGTCATAGAAAGGGAAACTGTTTTAGCATTGTGGATTAAAAATTTAATCAAAAACTTTTAATTCAATATGCCTATACTTTTGATTGATTGTAATTTGATTCTTGTACGGTTGTATTCATATTTATTTGTACTCATATATTGTATGTAATATAAGTAAATGATGAAATAAAAAAAAAATAAAAAAAATAAAATATTCGTTATCTTTCAATTCAAGAGAACTTTGAAAGATGTCATCATTTCTAATGAGTTTAAACATTGTTCAATTTGACAAATTTTACTGTTCAAGTGCTTCTATAATCAACTTCTCTGAGTGCAGATTAACACAGCAGCCTGTACTCCAAGAATCATATACACTGGGAGGGAATCAATCAGATTTGTAGAATAGTCTTACAGGTTAGATGTTGACTGAACACTATGCTAAATACATAGTCATACATAAACCAACTGTAAAACCACTGTTCCCAAACCTGCATACTGTTGTAACACTGTTGTATTCATTCCTTTAAGCCTCAGTCACATTTGCTCTACTCCGGCCGTATGGCAGCCATAGCTTCAAAAAATCTATAAAGAAAATCTACATCGTAGGGCTCCTCCCTTTGTTTTAATGCTGCATAATTCTCTCAATTTAGGGAAGCTACAGCCGTCATACGTTTGCCATGATCAAATGTGACTGAGGCATAAGTTAAATGAAATATTTTGATGGATTAAGATGAGGGGGCATAAGCTTAATGCAAGAAGTAACATTCTGAAGCAGAAACAGCACTGATACAGGAGACACATTCACCATGGTAAATTGGTAAAACCAATTAACCAGTGTACTTCCCCCTGTCTTTGAAACCATAGAACCATAGAGCTCAGTACTCTTGATAATATTTCAGATAGGCTGATCTCTCTTGAAAAAGAGGTGCTTTGGAATTAATGCAAAAAAATAATTCTGTCTATGATCTATGCTGTATTAGAGTCTGGAGTACATTATTTATGGGTTAATATGGAGAAATGTCATCTCTCCATAGACAAATAAAACCATTTATGACTTATCACATCCTGATGATCCCTTTTTATAAGTCCCATAAATGTACTTCCTGTATCAGTACAGTGATCCCCCAGCATTAAAGCAAGTGGGCGCAGCACCCACCTGAGATTTTGAAAACAGGCTTGCACCAACCTGAAAATCCATTTCCACCCACTTAAAACTGACAAAAATCATGAAAAATGGGCATATTTTGACCAATTTTGGTCTGAATTGTGAAAATAAGAATTTTGCACCCACTTATCCTGTGGAGATTACTGCAGTATGTATACATGCAAGGAGATTAGCATTGATTAGATAAGATTTTAGGGGGAGGTGAAAAACTAACTTTTTCATGAAGTAGTCTCAGCATGAAATACTATTTTGTGCAGTGTTGTTAAAAAACATTTTTGTGAATGTTAAAAAGGTAAGTTTCACTCCACTCTTATCTCAAATGGTTTTCCACTTAGGTTGCAGTCGGGAATTCAACTGTCAGATGATGGCTGACGATTGACTCATTTAAATATGAATGGAATAGTGGCAGGTACCATTCACATTTAAATGAGTTGACCATAAAATAAGTTAATCCATCTGTTTTTTTTTATTCAATTCATTCATACCAAATTTCAATTGCTTTTCAGCATTATAGAAGATATGAACGTCAGTTGAATTCGCGAATGCTTCCTTAGCTAGACATTCTCCTAACTTTATTCAGAGTGATTGCTCCCCTCTCCTTACAAGAAGAAGGAATTTACATGTACTGAACAAATAGCCGAGAGACTAAAGGTTAATTAAAGGTTAATTGTTAACACTGCCATCTATATGTAGTGCAAGATACCGTAAGCTCTCAGAAGATGTTCTTCGTCTACGTTTCACTCCCCTGTCTGTCATGTAGACCTTACACTCTGTTGTCCTAGAAACAAGTCAATTTATTATAAAGTTGGGGCTTTATAAAGTTAATGAAAAAATAATAAATTACATTAATGAATAAACTTATATAGTACAACATAAAAATTCCAGGGGCCCATGGCACAACATTAAAAAAATAATATAAGAAATAGAGGTTAAAAATAAAATGATGAATAGTACATGCATGCAATCAGAATTTGACAAGACAGTTTATGAAAAATATGACCCTGCCATCCAGTAACACATATTTTTTGTTTGGGATAACACAAAATATGCCAATATGACTACTGGTAAATGGGCATCTGAGTGATGAATGACCATAGCCCATTTGAGCCATATATGGCTCATACTTATATTTCTTAATGTGTATTATGCAGATCACCCTGTACTAAATCACCCTATAGAATCGAAGCCATTATTCAACTTATCAAAATTAGACCCCCATGTATCATAGATCTATTGGTTCAATTTGTATACCAGTATTATCATCTCTTAATAGCAATACATCAACATAACAATCAAAAAATCACTTGATTTTATCCCAGAGTGGTTTTTTAGGTAAAACAATTTATTACAGAGATCCATTTAGCTTTATTGCAATATCCCAAATGGCATTAAATACCCAAATGTCAAAATGACAGACAGGTACTATAAGGAAAACGTTGGAGTGTTTCTATTGTGTTTCCAAGTAATTTATTACAAAGACAGATTGGGGAATATCAGAACAATGAAATGGTCGAGAATTGCTGTTTCGTTCAATTGTCCCTTGGTATGTGCTGAGTAATGATACACATAGTGTGGGAATATGGATTATGAAAACAACATGGTGGAGGCTTTCCATAGTACAATCAACCCTTGAATTATGTCCTGAATACCTCAGATAACAGTCTTAAAGTACCCTAGCTTCACTTGAACTCATAAATCTGTGAGATGATACAATCAGAATCACTCAACTGTAAAACATGTATATTCGAGGCCGTCTCAATGTGAACGCTTTTTCCATTCTTTTTTTAATCAGTCATTCACATCCATATTAAAAAAAACTCAAAACACCTGGCAATCAAAACCCAGGAAATTCTGAAATTCAAATCCCGAAACTCTGTGGTTTGAAGACCAAGAGTTATGTGTGGATAGCTTATGGGAATTCAGTGTCACCTCTCTCCCTACAGATCTTTTTTGACTCTTTGTTTCGTAAAGGGTATACACAATTACACCTACCTCAGATTATTTTTAACAAGCTTCCAAATGATAGTGGGTAGCTATATTACCACAATGTATTAAATACTAAAGAATGGCTATTTATCTACTTACACGCCAGGTTCAAGCTGTGTAAGGTCCATTTCTGCAGACCCCATAGCATCATCAGTCATCCCCCTGTCATAATCATAAACCTTCACCTGGAGCAAAAATATAGCAGTATTAAGCTTAACAAATACTAACATTTCAAGAGGTCCAGAATTTCACTTAAATATAGTTTTACTCCATCAGTGTTTGGTTCAGTAGATTGTCTTTATGTTTTACCTCTTTGAAACAGATAGATGAGTGGGTGATTGTGTCATTTGGTCCTTCCCTATTTAATCTCTATTCAATATTCTTTCTTTGACATAAAATGAAGCTACAAAATAAATATCCATTGTGAAACGTACCTGTACAGGAGTGAAGGCATCTTCTACTGGAATGGTAAACTTCTCATCCCATTTGGGATTTAGGTTTTTGTATACAATGCGACTTTTGTAGCATTGCTTGCCATTCATCTTGAACTTCACATATGGGTCACTTGTCCCTGAAACATAGTTAAGAACTTATATCAAGGAAAAAATGTCACCTCCTGGAAAAGTCACTTGTCCCTGAAACATAGAGAAGAACTTACATCAAGGGAAAAATGTCACCTCCTGGAAAAGTTACTTGTCCCTGAAACTTAGAGAAGAACTTACATCAAGGGAAAAATGTCACCTCCTGGAAAAGTCACTTGTCCCTGAAACATAAAGAAGACCTTACATCAAGGGAAAAATGTCACCTCCTGGAAAAGTCACTTGTCCCTGAAACATAGAGAAGACCTTACATCAAGGGAAAAATGTCACCTCCTGGAAAAGTCACTTGTCCCTGAAACATAGAGAAGAACTTACATCAAGGGAAAAATGTCACCTCCTGGAAAAGTCACTTGTCCCTGAAACATAGAGAAGACCTTACATCAAGGGAAAAATGTCACCTCCTGGAAAAGTATAACACTGATAAAAATGCCAATGTTGAACACCAGCCACAAAAGAACAGCAACTTTAACATTATGTCATCACTTCTTTGTGGTGGCATAGCAACTAATTTTGCAACTTTTTCAATACCCTCTATTTTATCATGCAAGGATAGCATTTATGGTGATATCTTAGACTGTATAATACTATCAACCTTGGCCGTTAAACTGCAGGAAATTTGAATAATGAAAAACCAAAAGTGAACAACTTTGTTTAGAAATTCTTGGTATAATATTTTGCACTGTATGATTAACAGTAGATTCTTTGAAGGATTTTTGGTGTTGAATAAAAAAAAAATCATACAAGTAAACTGCAGGATTTAACCTTTAGCGTGCTGCCGGCGGACTCGTCCGCCGAGACTAAAATGTCTCTCACAACTGCCGGCGGACCCGTACGCCCGATTTCAAACTTTTAAAAACTTTACTTTTTCGCGCCATTCGTATTGTCCAATTAGATTGCCCGATTTATTCAGTGCCTAACATGACTTCCTGTTGACCTAGAAATGCGATATTTCGAAAAATAATTCTCAATTCAACAATTTAAACAGTGTTTAAGTTGTTTTTAGTGAACGAATCGTACAAAATGGTGGACAAATACGATCACAACGAAAATGTGGAGGAAATGGATTACGATTTCGAGCTCTTTAGGCTCTTGGAAGCCGATAACGGTCATCGAAAATAGAAGCTAGAATATTTTCTGAATTGAAAAATTGAACATTTGATCGCTGCAAATTCAGATTTGGATTCTGACCAGACGAAGAGGCGGAGCGGCGGATTCCGGAGGAGTATTCATGGTATATTTATGCCCAGTCGTGTTAATGTACGAAAAAATTCATGAGAACATTTTTTTCATGAGCCAGGCCACTGTGTCTTCCCTTTGTGAAAATTTTATCCAGATTCATTCAGTAGTTATTGAGATATTAATTATTTAGTCCAGGCATATCATTTTTTGCACTCTTTGAAAAATAAGCCAGTTGCGTGGGATATATTTGCTGAAATAAGGCAGCATGGTAAAGGTTAAACTCTTTACATATTATATGTTATATGGGCTACTTACCACAGGAGTCTCTAATGACAAGATCTCTGCCTTCTTTTAGGTTAATCTCAAGCTGGAAGAATGGGTGCTGGCGGAAAATGTTCTGGCGCTGACGTAAAGCAGTGGCCTCCTGGAAAACATATAAAAAATGTTCTTTTATATTATTAATACACATACTTCTATTATAGAAGTCTACACTTATTCATTCTCATTCATCTTCTCCGTTTTATCATTGTATTATAGTATGATAAATGCAATTATAATATCTCATAATATTGTATAATTTGTTTTATATTTGTATATTCTTCTCTTCTATAATACCTACGATCGATTGAAGAGATTTACTTTAAAATTTTACTCTATAATGAAATAAAAAATATATATTAATAAAATTTTAATAAAAATAAATAAATATAATAGATAACAGTACTAAGACAAAAAGGGAATGTTCTGAAATATGATATGATTGTATTAAAGCTGCAACTTTCTGAAAAGAACAAACGTTTTTTTATTAATTATTTAAGGTCATCTTCTTCTTACTGGTTGACTAAAAAAAGAAAAATGTTCTTTAAATTAGAATACCAAACTAATACTATTTGACAAAAAAGATAAGTTTGATGGAGTCGTGTCTTCGTGTTTTAAAGTCAACAAACAAAAACAAATGGCATTTTGTAGAATAAAATACAACTACATTCATCAAGAGGTAAAAATCAATCTGAATCATGAAGAAACATTTTCCATCAAATAATCTTTGAAATCAATTCTAATATACTGTACATGTAGAATATGAAAAAAATCTGAAAAAGAAACAAACCTTGCCATTATCCTTTTCTATTATCTTCTCTGGTTGTTTTTCAATTCCCATCTTAAAAAACTTCAAAAACTGATTCTATATTTTTGACTCGCTTAACCAATCCTGTATTTAATTCAGTATTTCCTACTGGCAAGTATAACATTATATTATGGTGTCGAATCCTGGGAGACCATCACATACGATAGATATAAGCCTACATTTTTTCCATTATTGCGATTAATTATAAACTATCCTGGCCTGTGATAGAGATATTGGTGATTTTATGATGAAAGGTGCCAACAAAAGTTCACTCATCCCTATCGATTCAAACCTGCTGCAACAAAATAAATGTCATAAGATTGTGATATACCATTGGATAGCTCATTCAGAAAGTCAAAAACAGTCATCCTTGAGTATTGAGAAAGTAGTCACAACAAATTCTGCTGTTATTTACAATAACTTTTTTCCAATACTTTTTCTGTCTAATATATTCCCTATGTCACGCTTGGAAATACCTCTATGTAACAGAGCAATTAAAAAAAACCAATGATATGACTCATTTAGGCATATCAACTAGATATACACCATAAGACAAAAATATGAGAGTATAGCATAATAAAACTTGTTCACTTAATGAATCATAACCTACAATGCATGAAAACATTTTTTATAAGGGACCATTAATATAACATGACTTTCTCCTTTTAATTGGCTACCCTCAATGCCTATTAGGTAGCTAGACCATCCTCTGAATATTACATATGACTTGAGTTACAATCTTATATGATCTTGATAATTTCAAATATAACGTCATGGCATCTTATAGGACTGTGTTACATCCTGCATTGAATATATGCTATTTAAAAAGAGAAAGACCATAGGCAAGGATTATTATTCTTTTGAGGCATTGGCTGACCCAAAATGCAACTCGGAACATCTACCAGCAAGCATTACCAGTAAAAAACTTATTCCATGTTCATCTACACATTAATAAATATTGTAGTGGTGGTACCTGTATATTATTCAATTTCAATAATCCGAAGAGAAGGGATATGGTTGAACAGAAAAACACATTAGGCTTCAAAGCATAAGTGACATAAGTGACATCTTTTTAAATGAGCGGCCATTTTGAAAATCGGCTTTCGAGCAGAACTTCTACCCCCATAGGGTATATGTGTACAAAATATGAACAAAATCAGGCCAACGGTATTTGAGATATTGACCGGACGGACGGACGGACGGACTGACGGCGGTGTTCCCTATATCCCTCCGAACTTTGTTCGATGGGATAATATTCTGAAGGGATGGGATATGGTTGAACAGAAAAACCTATTAGACTTCAAAGCATAAGTGACATTGAAGAATTAAAAGTGCCATCTATCAAATGAGAATGAAATAATTAATAACATTAAACTCATTTTAAATAACTTTCAATAATATTTCTTAATGCATATTGGATCAGTTCATGTGTAAAAGCAGGTGATATTTATGATAATATTTACAATCTAAGTTTTCTGGCTGAGCTCAACTTTGATTTCTCTTGTCTTAATTGATGGGGAAAAATATCAAAACATCACTGACATACCTCCTAGTGGTACAACATGACTTGAATATTGGGAGATAGGAATTGATGTAACATCCAGGATATTAATCCTCCCTGTATAAAAGATCAAAGAAATAGATAAATCACTTGGCTCAAGTATGTCTCAAAAATACTATATTTGCTAGAGTACTTGACAGGTTTTCCCATATCAAATTGATTCTAGTATTGGGAAGAGAATTTCACTAGATAAAGTCTATGTGCTCACTTCAGATATGTCAATATCTCATAAACAGTAAAACCTGTCTTATCCAAATGCAACTGGGACAAGCTATAAGTGTTTTGCATTTGCTGGTGTTCACAATCCTTCAAGATTCATCCTCCGATCACAGGGCTTCAAAATCCAGAATATATTCTTTCTTTTTACCCCCGCGATAAGCAGTTAGCATTTCCCCGATTACGAGCTCGCAATCTGATTGGCTGTCGCAACACTGCGACAGAAATCATGTATAAGTCATTGCGCATAATTAGATCACGTGATTCAGTTTAATCGGGTGCTTCCAAATTGGTTATAGCAGGGGGAAGGAGGTGCGGATTCTGGACACCTGCTTAGGAGGATGTCAAGATCGGGCCTTCACTGCTTTCATAGCAGATAATGTAATGCAATGAATTATTCTTGGGCCAAGGATGGTGTTCACATCTTTTTTGTACTATACAATGCAGCGATCTCCCCAGCATTAAGCAAGTGGGTGCATCACCCACCTGAGTTTGCACCCACATGAAAATCCATTTGCACTCACTTGAAAATGAGAGAAACCATGAAAAATTTGCATATTTTGACCAATTTGAGTCTGAATTGTGAAAATAAGAATTTTGCACCCACCTGAGAAAAAATCCTGGGGAGATCACTGCAATGTATTTGAACTTCTTGAATACCAAAGAATTTTTCATCATTTATGCCATTCTACTATCTTAATATAAAATATTTGATGTTTGATGTTTTTGATATTATCATTAGTTATCAGATCAGTTCATACATATACATCTACTGTAATTTGTGAACAAAATAACTTGAACGAAAGTCAGTGTTAAAAGGCATTTTACTAAGAAATTCTATAACCAATTTATAAACATGTTGCTCTGGGTTTTCATTAGAGGATAATGACCCTATTTAGTGAGGCGGCTCTAAGGTCAGATAAGCCAAGGAATTCTGCACTTCCAGATAAAAGCAAAATTATATTGATTTTATACCATTGGACAACCCCGAAACTGACCTGATATATCTCCAAGCGATCATTTCATGTTAATTTAATTGAACCTCATGTTGAAATTCACTTACTGCTCCTTGGAGTTTTCGTGTAAGAATGCTGTTAATATGAAAATAAGTCTTGCATCGAACCTCAAATAATCTCTCCTCAGCTAACTACAGAGGCTTGATGCAACACTATGATACTGATAGTAACTAAACCATAATAGCCTAGATACAAATAATTTAAAAAAATTATGAGATAATTGGAAAAAATTGCAATAAATAAAGTAAGAGCCAAGTCTGTCAAAGATAAACAATCATTCCATTAGTTGCGACAATTGTAATTCAAGAATTTTAGTTTCACCTGTAAAATCCTTTAAAGGAAAAATATGGAAATGCAAATGTCACAGGCCATTATCTTGCTTGTGAGACCCCTATATACCCATATCCAGGTCGATATAAGGTAGATTTCCACAGACTTTATGCAAGACTACACACCATTGTTTATTATCTATTTCAATAGTTATGATATTATCATGGATTAAACATTTATCATTGAATAATTGTAAGTTGTATAATGCATTATAATTGTAAATTGCGATAAGCTTCATTGCTAACAAACTGCCTCTACTGAAATATAATTGCCTAGTCCATATTTTACTTCTCAATAAATGTAATTCAAATGATATAGCAGTATCATAAAAATTGATTTAGTTTTAGTTGATATTTAATAGCTTATGAGTGAGATATTGAATCGATATTACTCACATTGGGAATAGAATTTCTGAAACAAAAACATAACCTTTGAACACTTGTCAAACATTTTCCGATTTTATAATAGATATTGATCCCAGGATTCAGAATATTTTTCCGAGAATTCCATGAATTACATGTAGTATCCTTTCCCAGTTTGATTTTGCTTTTTAAGGAAGCTTCATATAGTGTTCTTTGGAATAGAGTAGAATAAACGCCTCTGTCTTGTCAGTAAAATCTTTGAATTAAAGTTGAGTGAGTGCATTTTGGATTGGCGAAAAGTGTTCTCAGGCTCGTAGCTAGGAGGGATCAATGGGTAAGAGCGAACCGCCGCTTGGCCAAAAATTCTTTCAAAATCATGCAGTTTTCACCATTCTGAGCACTTTGGCCATTTTTGGACCGATACTGTTAAAGTAACCCCACCCCTTAGAACTTTGGCTATGGGCCCCTTTACCTTTGGCTAGAGGCCTGTCATTAGAATGTTCAATGGCTACTAGGTGCCGACAATCAAAGAGGCCTTATATTTGAATATTACAATATTTGAAAACAGACAGTGTATAATAAAAGGAAATTTAGTTATGGAAACTCAAAATCAAGCCACTAGAGAAAATCAGGAACTGAGAATTATTAAAATATTATACAGCTTGTCAAATTACATTTCAGATTGCTGCATTTTGAATTATAGCTCGTCCTGACTTTTACAATTAAAAGATTTATCAATTGTGTAAAGGTCACATTTTTGCTCATCAGTCAAATCTTTCATTTCAATGCACACAATCAAAACATATCAAATAGATCGTTGTAATACCATGTATTGTTCACCACTTTGAAATAATGACATTATCCTATGGTAATTTCACCAAAAAGAGGCAAAAGTAATAGCCAAAAGCAATGGTATAGATCAACGGCATATACCAGATTGTATCCCCATAAGAGCATTGGTTCAGATGATTTTATTTATTCAAAAATTGTTGAAAGACGGACTAACTGATGGATGAATGAATGGACGGATATATGGGTGGACAGTTGGACGGACGAGGGACAGATAGACAGATGGATGGATGGAGAGTCGAACAGATGGATGGATGGATGGACATGGGACAGATGGACAGATGGATGGACGGACAGACAGATGGATGGATAGATGGAGTGGTTCCACAGGTCCATCATTTAGCCGAAAACATATCACACTATCTTTGACTCTATTTGAACACATGCAACACAGTCTCAGTCTTGAATTTCCAGCCTGAATTATCAGTTGATATCAAACTGGTTGGCAACTAGCTGGCAAGTATAGGAATTTTTAGAGTAAGTATACATGAACCTTCAACGAAGATGTGTCTCATCTGCTTCATATTATAAGGTTATTCATTTTTTACAGATTATCAACATTAACAAAGACATGGATCAATCAGACTGAATAAACCTATTGCTATTGATGAGTCACCACTCAAAAACAAATAAATGCAATTAATACCTAGCAGCTTTTCAATCATGATAATATCTAATAGGTTTCTGTGTTGGAGATAACATTGACATATTTCCAGACATGCTTACATAACAAAGCTATATATGAATTGATCATGGTATTAGTTACTAATGGGAACATGAAATGGAAGTCTTAAAAGGATCTGTAATTGGAAACGAGTGATGGGGAATAACAATTCAAGCTCTTTCCTTTCGTAATGTTATAATGTGATATGCTAACTATGAGACTGTATATCAATGAAATAGCTAGCCACATCTGCAAATTACCCTCTTGTTACTACAAATTGAATTATCAAATTCTTGTATGACTAGCTTATGAGGATACAGGGTACATCCTTGGATAAGTCCATTTCACATAGAGATATGGTAACAGCAAAGGTGAACAAGACGGACAATGCAACTAGTGAAAGAGCTAAGGAGAAAAACATTTGAAAATATCTCCGATTCTATGGATGAAATAGATTGATTTAGATCCCAACACATCATGCCAAGACAATAGCTGCTTTCATCCTAACAAGTTTGACACGGCTGGTAATCAAATCTTGCCATTAAGCAATTCAGTCTAACAGCAATACAATCGATGTTATGCAGAGTTCTGGTAATTTGAAAGACCCTAGGGTCATCAGATTGATTAACCTAAACTGCCCTAACATCTGTTTCTATATATTTGTCTTACTGTTACTATTGTCTAAGGCATATGTCCTGGGAAACATATGTAAATACAATGCATGAGTGTTAATCAGAATCAACAAGGCAATGAGAAAATATTCTGAATAATGCTTGAATGGCCTTATCCTGATTTGCTCCTGAACTTCTGTATTTCATTGTATATTCGTCATGGAGAGTTTGAGCCATGATGGTGGATTATAACACAACAATTTACTTACATGCTTTCTTGATAATTTTACATCCTTTATTCTTTAAGACCTGTATGAAGTGTCGGGATGTATATTCTCAATAAATATATAGACCAATTTTTGTATCCCGGAAATTTATACATGTTACTTATAAAGTTTGAGCAAAAGTTTGAATTGAAATAACGCTTCACGGTGTATATTATAAGTAGATATATTAATCATTATATTATATTCTCTTATTGCAGTAATGTAGATGATGATTTCCTATTAAACAAATGGAATTTCATACTTTCATATTGATGCAAGAAAACATCAGCAATATTATCCATCGCACTACACTTCGAGCTTCCACACCATCCTTCAATCAAAGGACTTTATTCTTCAATTCAGGAAAGAAGTGAAATACCCTTGGACCAAGGATGCTCCATATTACATCTTAACAACTCCCTAGGTGGTTATAACACAAGTTAGAGCAACTGAAACCTTGTGATTCATACTGGACAATATCATGAAAATGTAAGGTCATCCTGCTCCAATAAATAACCCAATTATATAATTTACTGTTGAATTGTTAAATTATCAATTCAGGTGAGACATCTGACATTTTAATTAAGGCAAATGAAAAGTTCATTGTCTGTGGTAAAATCATTATCATTCTTATGACATCCGTGAAAGTGTTTTTATTCGTGCCAAATGGTATTATTTTTTCCCAAATGCAATTTACTAACACCTTACCTCACTTTCAGGAGAAGGGGTCTCCAAGGACCCCTTAGAATCCTCATCACATGGGAACACACATGGTTTGGAATTCAGGTATTGCTGGGTATTGGGAGATCCAAATATTGATGGAAGTGATATCTTGCTTCTAGGAAAAATGGAACCAGTAACTGAAAATGGTGAGTTTGGTGCAGTGCTCCCAGCATCATCAGAAGATATATTCACAAAATCTCCCTCTTCATCCACAAATGGATTATTCTTGCTTAATCCATCTGAATCTTGTTTTTCATCATTTGGAATTTCTTCATTCTGATCGAGGATTTCATCAACAGAGTTTTGGTACTGATCTGTTCGGGTTGCAGGCAGGTCAGGCATGCTGTTTGTAGAATCAGCGCGTACTTTATTTGGACTTCCCTCAACACTCCAGCTCTGGCTCCTGTCTATGATTCTATGTGGACTTGAGTGAGCCTCATGAATAGCATCATCCAACTCACCAATATCCTTATTCTTGCTATCATCAACCTCATCTTGATCTGTGTTGAACTCGAAGTCTTCATCAGGAAGATTTCCAGTTTCTGATGAGTCCTCAGATGCCATTCTTTGGAGCTCTTTAACCATTTCAACCTCCTCTCCACTCTGCTGCTCAATTTCCTCTTTTTGAGGAACACCGTCTAACGTCTTACTAGTAGATTTAAGAGTCTGACCTGTAGCCATATCAAATGCATTCTTCCATTTGCGAAACATTATGAAGCAACCCAGTTTGGTAAAATGCAATACAGGATGATATTTCAAAATGCAGACACACCTGGTTTGTCAGTCTAATACTACAAGCTCAACTAAGTTATGTAATAACTCTGTTTGTAGAACAGTCTCAGTGTTTTATTTTATGATGCAGCCATCCTGCTCAGAAGTTTCACTGGTTGCGCCATTATAAAATAATAAACATAAATTACATCTTTACCAATCATGCATAATATCTGCCAGTTTTCTAAGTTAAGATCCATATTGAATACATGCTGCATATAAACCTTATGTTCCACTGTTATATTGCTAAATTGTTATTAAACATAGCTGTTGCAAACTTGAATATTGTCAGATGCAACAGGTTGCCAGTGAATTATCAACGTAGGATCTCATACAATCCTTCATATGGAGATGACATTCGTAAACAGAATTCGTATTCGTATAATGATACGCAGCAATTAAACCAGATTCCATATCATCATTAAGGCTAATGCTTTAATAAGAAACCATAACTGTATCAGTTTCTATCTTTCTTGGTAATTTATTATTTAATAATCCAGTTTCATTGAATACTCTTATTAAATATTTTTTCAGATTATTTATCAATAAATAGTGATTATTGTAATGTTTCATTACACCGAGAGTGAATTTGTATTCAATGTTAATAAAAACATGAAAATTGATTTTTTACTTTAACCTCAAACAATAATTATCGATACAATATAAACGATTGTGATTTAAAATAACATTGGTTGGCCTAAATGTACAATTCATAATAACGATCCATCAAGTCAAATGAGCATCATTGTTTATTATCTAATTAACATTGTTATTTTATCTACAAATGTCAACCTTATTTTTGATATAATTTGAAATTCAACTCCAAACACCGATCAAACAAATGAAGTTCTTTGTACTTTTATCAGATCTGAATTATCAGTCACTGACATTTACTTGGAGTAATTAGACTATGAAATTCTCATTTAAAATTGCACTCTCTCAGAGTGTCATTGAAAGATTTGTCCACTGTGTGTGAGCGTGTCAATGATTTCTTAGATTCCACATTGAGAGAAGACGTAAAACAAGACAAGAAACTTAACAAAACGCTACCAAAACAAATGCCATGGCACCATTCTCTGAATGACTGTATCAACATCATATTTCTAGATATCAACATGTGTCTATGTTATATACATTTATCTGTTTTGCCATATAATGCAAATAAAATTATTTCTCTTAGAGAGGAAAAAATTCTCATGAACAGTCCAACAGTCCAAAGAAAATGATGATGTATCAGTCAAATGCTATCTGACAGCAACTGAACCTCTATTCATTGTTGCAATGTTTAACTAATAAAAAATGTAAATAGAAGTTATCATTTTATCTGCAATAACCATTTATCACATAACAGTGTATTTACATACTGTGCTATGAATCAAATAGTATTTACATATTCTGTTTACTATAAATGCAGAGAAAAACACACTGAAGAAATATATGTGTGTTTTGCTGATGATTTTGATTATTGATACAATAAAAGGTTTTCAAACACATCAATAATTAATTTATTACAGTAGATAATGTAATACTAGACTAGACTATCCAACATTTTTTTATAAATTGTTAGGATGTACATGTATACCATTTAGACGGGTAGGAAGGAGGGGTTCCCATGCACCCGAAAGATGTATTTTTTTAATGTACATTTTTGTAATCCTAAAGGTCCAAACTAAAGATTTTTGCATGTTCCCAGAATGAAATATTGTCCCATGGTATCCATTGGCGGCCATCTTGTCGGCCATCTTGAATTTTTGAAAGAGTTGATGTTAATTATCTCAAAGTACAATAACTTCCACAGTTTTGAGAATTGAAAGCTGTAAGTGGTACCAAAATGAAGCTATTATAGTATCCTATATTATCAGATGCAATAATTATGCAAATTGCCTCATTTGCATAAAATGTGACATCATCAATCATAATTCTTGCCTCTTTACAACAGTATCGCATTATACCTTTCCGCCTAAGTGATCAGTTTTAGTCATTCATGAACATAAATGAATTTAAATATATAGGTACATTAATTTTGAACATATTTGCAATTGAAAGTTTTGGAAAAACATTGTCAGACACATGATTATGTAACTGAAAAGGGGCGTGGCACTTCTTGCGAAAGAATTGATGTTAATCATTTCAAAGTACAATAACTTCCACAGTTTTGAGAATTGAAAGCTGTATGTGGTACCAAAATGAAGCTATTATAGTATCCCATATTATGAGATTAATAATTATGCAAATAGTCTCATTTGCATAAAATGTGACATCATTAATCATAATTTTTGCCTCTTTACAACGGTATCGCACAATACCTTGCTGCCTGAGTGACCAGTCTTAGTCATCCATGAACATAAATGAATTGAAATATATAGGTACATTAATTTTGAACATATTTGCAATTGAAAGTTTTGGAAAAAACATTGTCAGACACTAAGTTATAACACTTTACATGATTATGCTACTGAAAAGGGGCGTGGCATTTCTTGAGAAAGAGTTGATGTTAATCATTTGAAAGTACAATAACTTCCACAGTTTTGAGAATTGAAAGCTGTAAGTGGTACCAAAATGGAGCTATTATAATATACTTATAGAAAATGCAATAATTATGCAAATTTTTTTCCCATTTGCATAATATGTGACAAGCTCTATCATTTTGGGCTTTTTTCAATGGTAACGACCAATATCTCTCCCTCTGGGTTAAAGTCTTGGTTATTCATGAGCATTTATGATTTTGAATATATAGGCACATTATTTTGAACATATTTGCAATTGAAATTTTGGAAAAACTATAAGAAATTAAGTGTTGACACTTCGCACGATTATGTAACTGAAAAAAGGGGGGGGGGGGGGGCACTTCTTGTTCAAAATGTTAACTTCTAAACACTAATGTCAACTTCAAAGGCTGAAGCTGCTCTAGCAGAGTCATGTAGATAGAGCTCAATGTTGCTTATTGGTGAAATGTTGGCCAAATTTTGCAGCTTGTGTGCACCGCTTACGAGTACATGATGTGTTCATTATGATAGTGTAATTCCAATATGACAGCACAATACAAGTCAGGCTATTTTATTGTCACATATGCAAAAGTCGATCTGATGAGACATGTTAGAAGTGGTAATGGTGAATAATGCCCAGATCAAAGAAACGCAAGATAGATATTGAAGATAGGCCCAGATCAAAGTATGGGCATCCTCAGCCTCAATCATGACGCCATCTTTATTGTCCATCAGTGGGAGCTGTAACCCAAATACTGAGTATATGATTTAATGTACGTGTCATTCAGTTGCCATGCACTTGGGGCAGTTGGCAGTTTCTTCCTTGCCCCAAAATCTGAGGTTTGATGGAGTTGAGACCAGGTCAAGGAAAGCTCTTAATAGGAAATTGAACTCCCCTCGGTCCATGGACCAAAGGTCATTCCATTTCAAGAATTGCTGAAGTGAGGGTTCCCAGGTAATGTCGTAAATCTGAAAAGGCCACTGAAATTGGGGAGTAATGTCATAACACCCCGATATATGACTTGAGTCAATGGCTTTAAGCCACTTGTCCAGGTCCCTTGAGACTTCAGCTGTATTGTTCAAACCACGCAAGGTTTTGTCATAGTTCTTCTCTAGACATTTGATTATTTTATCATGCACTGTTGGTATTTGCTTGCCCTTTATTTTGAACTGCATTGGAGAAAGCTTGCCATCAACCAAAACCATGCTTCTTGACCTGGTTGGCTTTTAACTTCATGCAAGTCCAGTTTGCCATTCTTTCCATAGCTAATAGAACCCATCTGGTACTCACTACTGAACGGGTCATAACTGTGATGTCATCCATGAAAGCTCTGTATGGTAGGTGTTTTGCACCTTCATTTGCTTGTAGAACCTTACACTGCATCATCCCTGCATTTAGAGTTCATGGATGTTACGAAGAGAACTACTGATACAGTGCAGTCTGCCACTATGCCTTTCTCCAAACTCTGCTAATTAGTGGTATAATTGCAAAATGTATTGTGCAACTTCAAGGAGTTTGTGTTTCCCATTGTCAGATTGACTACATCTGTTGCTTTTGGTACGTGAAAGTGAACTGTACCTCTAGTATCAGTTGGTGAGGGACACTAGGTAGGCCTTCTGTCCAGCCAAACTACTGATTCTCTTTCTTGGCTTCCTTCACAAGTTGGCTTATGCTGCTATATGTACCCCATGATGTCTTGGGAGACCACTTTCTGAATGCTTGGCAGGCCACTAGGAAACAACTTCGAGGCTTGACCATAATGGCCCAGAAGATCTTTCCATCAGCATCCAATAATGATGTCTACCTGAACTGGTTCAGTCGCTCAAATTTTAGCTCCTTTGGAATGAAGCACCTTTCCGCCTAAGTCCAAGTCCTTGCTAGATTTTTTTGTTCTGGATGCTTGTTAGCAATCGCCATAGATGTATTAACAGCTTTCTGCAGTTCTTGTAGACCCTGTATGTCACACCTTTTAGACCTGAGGCTGAGCCTTCCTGATGATTGTTCTTACCTCATCAAGCTTGAAATCTGACTGGTCAAACGGTTTTGATGATAAATCTGGTGGGATGTCAATTGCAAAATTACCCAATGGCATCTCTCGATCTGGGTCACTGTGTGCTGCCAAAGTATTTGCTTCTGCTTGATCCTGCGTACATGCCATATGGGCACTCTTTGGTTCCCTAACAAGTTTGATGTGAGCCTATAGAGATTTTCAAAGAATGTCTTCCTGGTCCTATGCTTCTCTTTTCCTGAGTGTTTCTATCTTTGGAAGAAGAATCTTTGGATGACTAAGATGAAGTAATCTCTTAAGAAGCATCTGTTGAAGCTCTCTTGCCAGTGATGAAGCCGTCCACTAACACTGCCGGCTTCATCTCTCCTTCCCAAGAGAAGCTTTTGTCTTCTACTTGGCCCAACACAATGGTGTTTCACAGATGTTTCCTCCACTCCTTGTCCTCGCATCTGGGATGGAAATCGTTCTAACTTGGATAAGAGGTAGCATAGTGAAGAGGCTGGGCTCTGCATCCCACTTCTATTGGTTGCATAACTGCATACCACCCTCTTGTCATCAAATATGTCATGGATTTTTAAGCTGATGAGATATTTTAGTTAGTCTTCTGAAGGTACCGTGAGCTCATTGAAGATGATGGTCCTACTGTGTTTTGACATCAGCACTGAGTTTTTGGGAGAGGTCAGTTGAGAGTCCAGTCGGATGTCTTGGATAAAACATTG